CCCATCAGGATAGTGGGCTGGACATGGTCGATGACCTCCTCCAGGGTCTTGAACTGCTGGCCCTTGTTGTCCTGGCGAGCAAAGTAGACCTTGTGGTCGGCGAGCTTGTCACCACGGTCAGCAGTGACCAGACCCTTGGTGTCGACGAGGTAGAAGCAATTGCGGGCGTCCTCCTCGGACATGCCCTCACGCATGAAGAACTCGACGATCTGCTTGGCGACACCAACACCGGCCGAACCGGCTCCGAGGAACACGGCACGGTGGTCCTTGCAGGGCAGGCCGGAGCGCTTGACGGCGTTGATCACACCGCCGAGAATCACCGCACCGGTACCCTGGATATCGTCATTGAAGCAGGTGTACGAATCCCGGTAGCGCTCGAGTGCGGGGAAGGGATTCTTGAAGTCCTCGAATTGGATGACAATACTAGATGGATAAGCTCTGTTAGTCCACGCGTCATATCGGGAGGAATGGAGTAGATCATCCGGGGATGAGGAGAGTGAGGGGAGCGTGAGGGGAAGGGAAGAAACCGGCGAGTGGAACCCCCCAATGATTGGGCCACCCGGGATCTCGCGAAAAGGGAAACAGGCGAAGGGGAAAAAAAGTCCGTCGGACCTAAAACAAGCATAATCATATGCAAAGCGCAAAAGTACCACTTACCCAGGCCAGCGCTCGGTGAGAGCAGACATCAACTCGTCCAAGAACTCCCGCTCCTCATCGGGAGAGATCTTGTCACGACGGCTACCCATGTACAGCGGGTCTTCCCGGAGAGTCTTGTTGCCGGTGCCCAGGTCCAGAGTCAGAGGCAGGGTGGCCTCGGGACGAATACCCGCACAGGCCGTGTACAGGGCGAGCTTGCCAATGGGGATACCCATGCCGTTGATGCCCAGATCTCCCAGTCCGAGGATGCGGGAGCCATCGGTGATACATGTGATCTCCACATTGGGCTGGGGCCAATTGGCGATCACAGCCGCCAGATTGCCCCGATCTTCCCAGCTAAGGTACATGCCTGAAACAGATATAGTATGTTAGCCCCGGTTCTATTTCGTCACTTGACGAAAACTAAGCCCGTTTCTGGTGGGCCTAGCTGCGTCCACAAGGTCCGTAGCTGAGCTAGGCGTAGCACAGCTGCGCCAAAATTTGGGGAAAGAAAACAGAAAGTTCATGACTCACCCTCGGGCTGCTGGTAGATCTCAGACCACCGTTGGCAAGCCTCGCCCACGACCGGGGTATAGATCAGAGGAGTAAGCTCCTACAAGGATTATTCTCATTAGCCGTTGGCTCTCGTCCTCTCGTTGGCGGAGCTCCCCCCAATCACATGGGATGTAGATTATCAACATACCCTCAAGTGGTCGGTGACCAGACGGTAGAAGAGGTGGACATTGTTCTTGCGCAGGGTGCTGAGATATTGGAACTTGTCGATATCGGTGTTCTTCAGACCCAGCTGGGCCAGGCATCGTGTCTTTTGGGTTTCGTAGCTCTCGGAACGGGGAGGAGTCAGGCCGTACGTGCGCAGGTACTTGCGAATATATGAAGGGTTGGCAGTGTCATAGTTGGCATCTCTGTAGGGAAGAAAGTAGAATGGTCAGTCAATTTTGCTTCTCTTGGGTGTATATTGCGTTCATTCTCTTGTTTCCCAGCAGGTTTGCTGCCGAGAAAGCTTTTATTCTTTGCTCTTTGCTCTACCATGGAGGTGCAGCCGCAAGCGCAAAAAGTGCAATTGGCTCCAAGGTCAAGGTCAAGGCAGGGAAGTAGAAGAGACAGACAAGACCATCGACGAAGGGATATCTGGAAGGAGAGCACTTACGAAGGAGTAGTCGAGTGGTTCAAAAAGGGCGTCGCATGGACAGGGCGGCTTTGTTGAGGAGAAAATCGAGCCATTGTGTCAATTGTGTCTGGTGAAGAGCTAGGCAGTTTACTCGTCACGGTGACTGCGGAAGAAGAATGATAAAGAGCAGTTGGAGTATAAGCCGTGAAGGGACGAGGGGGGCGTGTTTTATGTATGGAGACACGAGCTAACAGACGACTCGGCCCCATCCCCTGGGTGGTTCTCGCGCACATCATCCCAGCCATTATTTCCGACCAGTTGCAACAGGGCAGAGAATTATCCGGGCAAGGCCGTTGAAAGGGACGGTCAAGGCGAGTAAAAGCGACGGCATGTTGTCGCCAGTCGGGAAGAGCCGGGCAAGTAATGCATGAAGGGGCGAGGGATGGGGATGAGCCATGAGGGTCCACGACTCCATGGATGGGGTCGAGAAGTGGGAGTGGAGGAGTAGTGTGGAGCACAACTTCGGTGATGAGAGCGAACCAGTATGCGTGAATGGGTCGGTGAAATCTGGATCCCTCATAAAGCTTCTTTTCTTTTTCGGGAAGCAGATCCAGCAAGGGAGTTTGGAATCGCCGGGGTGGAGCCTGTCGAGGATGCAAGTCGTCGTAGGGTTGGACGGCGGGCGCCGAATCAGCAGTGGACTGATTATTTTTTTTGGAGAAGAGATCCCAACAGACGGAGATAATTCTCGGAGCTGCTCTGTACAGCGCAGAACAGCTTATCCCTTGACTACGTCCGTAGAAGGAGAATCAATTGAGTAGGAATGATGCGGATGAGGAGAGAGAATGGGGAGACAACAGAAGCCGATCAGTTCAGTTCAGCTGGGAGCCGCAATACACCGTACAGTCCATCCTGCCCGACCACCTGACACTGAGCGAGTAGCCACACAACATTCTCTCCTCCGTACTCCCACCCCCGACACGACTTCTACACGGTACACCTCGAACTGCCACTTCCGTCGCGCTCGCGTGGCGCCTGATAATTCTCAATCAATTTTTGCAGCTTTTCTCAAAATATCGTGCATGGCCATTGGCCCAATTGGCCGGGGAGGACCCGTGATGGAGTCTGCCCAGCAACCCGACTCCACAGCAGGGAGCTTCCAGAGCCGCAGACGGTGCCGAAGTGGAGAGTGGAGTTCGGCGCTGCCAAACGGACTAGCCTGTCTCGACTATGGAGTTGATTCTACTACTGTATCCAAAGGCGAACGATGAGCAACCGACGACACCGTCCAGACTCCAGTATGGCATACCGTATACGGAGTCCACGACGGATGGTCTAACTGACTACAGGCTAAACTCCCCCTACCCGACCTCCTCCCCACCGTCTTCTTCCAGAACACACGGAGAAGATCCCAATGGCCAGCCACGACGGAGCTGACCCTGGCGGGAAAGCGGCATGCGGAGCCCGCCGACTACTGATCAAAACACAGTGATTTCTCCTCGCCGTGCGGATAGGAAAACCCTCGTCGGGCGGAGACGATGAGATTCACGGAGCACAGTCGTCCTAGGGCCTTGGAGAGGAATTACGAATGTGCTCTCCAGGCTCCGTACAACATTCTTCACGAGCGGTGGTTTGAGGTTTTAATAATGGCCGCGTTGACAATTGCCGTTCATTCTGCCGTTCTGGTCTCTGAATGGCCTCTTCCGCCGAATGGGGGAGGAACCAGGAAGAATACAATACGACGGCCTACTTCCGTAGAACTATGGACTGGACTGACCCTCGTGTAGTAAGCCTTGAGTACGAAGTACAAAGAGATACATATATGGCTCATATTCCAGCCCCTAGCCCAGCAACCCCAGCAACGCAGATCCAGCACGGCCCTGCGTGATTTTTCTGTCGGGCATGATTCAAACTCGCATCCCAAATCAATAGTCGAGGGGCATTCTCGCTTTCGTGATCAATCACCAAGAGACTTGAGTCTGGAACAAAACCCAGTGACCACACCGGGATACCCCCCACTGGGGCCGATCGGAAGCCCAAGAATCGGAAGCCCGGGATTGGGTTCGGCGGCTTCTGATTGGACCCGATCGCCTTGGTGCTTCGGTGCTCTGGGAGAATCAGAAGTGTCAACGATCGCGGCCTTTTTTTTTTTCTCTCGGCAGGTCGCCAGTCTGCATGGGACTGGACTTGCAGCTGTCCCAACGGTTTCATAAGGCTTAATCCTGAGAATTACGCGTGGACTTTGAGTCATACGAAAATGGGTTTCGGTTTCGACCTGTAGTACTGTCTGAGCTGGTGATTATCCTTTCCTAGATGAGTATGTTGTGGTACAGCTTCGTTCAGACTGATAGCTCTGCTTGTATCTCAATTGTAGCTACTCAGACACAGTATGGACCTTCTTCAATCTCTGCCTATCTCTTCAATCTTTTGTTTCATTCTCGTCAGCTGTGACAAGCTCCACAGCATTGATTCCAGGTTCAAGGAATGCATGAAGGATATCCTTCATGCGAGTAAATCCCGCAAAACTATGCATGTATGACCCTTGATGCTCTCTCCCTGCGTAGATGATTATCGACAAAGTCAAAATAAGATAGTCAGTATCATGCTCATCATCATTACCACTACTCTCCTAATTAATGCCTTTTAAGAACTCTAAAAAGGGGCCTTCAACCCCAATGTCCACGGTCGGTCGCGGCTGGCCAAAGTCTCGAGTCCCGACCGAGAACTACGGGGTACGACAGAGACTGAGACTGCCAAAGTGACTAACTCAACCCGATCACTTCCTTGCCGGACTCGAAGATGTACTTAATTTAGCTCCTCGAGCTTTCCCCAGATTGCCGATCGTCCCAAGCTTCTCGACCGACAAATCCAATTCCTGGAGGAGAATCCATTGATAATTCATACTGTCCATATCCAAATAATATGCAAATTGATTACTTCCTTCTCCCTCTCCCTCTCACAAACACTCGTAGGAAATACAAAAGCAAACACATCCGTGACACAGCCATCAGCAATTCCCAGCCATGACAGAGTGTCGTCATCGCCCCGAGCCAAAACAGGCTGAAGGCCCCCCTCCATTCCAAGCACCTCCGCCTGCAGCAGCTCCAGCTCCAAGCTCACCATCCCATCACCTTCATCAATTTCACCATTCACTCCCCCATTCTCCATAGATCATAGCCCACTTCATCCTCACTTTGGTCCAACGGGCCCACACCCCATCCCATCCAATCCAACCATGCCCTCCGAAACAGAGCCTCTCCTCCCCCGCTACGACGATGAAACCGCCCGCCAGCGTCGGCTTCACCAGAAGCTGCACACGTACCAGATGCTCCGCGCCATGGGCGAGGGCTATATGCCCTCCACCGAGCAAACCATCGCCAACCTACGGACTCTGCTAGCGTCGGACGTGCTGAACCTCCGGAATCAGGATATTGGCTCCGTGGGTCGATTGCTGGTGCGCGATGCGCGGTTGTGGATTACCGTGTTGATTGAGCTTTTGCGGGAGAAGAATGAGGGGGATTTGGTGCAGGAGTTTTTGTGGAGATTGGCGCGGTCGAGGGTGGAGGTTGATACGGGGCGCGTTGGTGCGAGTGCTAGGCGCGTGAAGGCGCGGGCGGATGCGAAGGCTGGTGGGTCGAACTTATTCTCCTTTCCTTTTGTGGTTATTAGGGGGCTTGGACGAGTTGGTCTGGTATTTGTCTCCCGAAGCTCGTGGGTGACAGGCTACAGCTATGTAGCTGGGTCCTCTGCCTGGGTTGAACTATAGTCTTGTCTTGGCGCATCTGTCTTTATGGATTAGGATTGGTCTTACTAACTCGGACGTGCTTGGTTTTAGCATACGACAGCTTCCGCACGGTGGGCAGCTTGCTCCTGACAAATGCTGATTTCCGTCTTTTCGTCGACGACGTCGCTACCGTCGGCCGCCAGATCTTTGCCGATACCGCGGCCTCGCTGTCCGAAACCTCGAAACAGGTCGCTGAACAGGTGCAGCCGTCGGAGGAAGAGACACGAGCTTTACAGGGACCTGGTGCAGACCAGGGACGTGAATTGTCCAGCGAGGAATTGAGGGAAGGAGTCGCGCATGTGGTTGACATCGCTGGCAAGGGTGTCGTGCGCACTGAGCAGGCGGCCGTGGAGAGTGCAAAAGAGCATTTATCTGGCCCAGAACGGGATACCTTGCTACACCGATTGAAGCAGGCTGTCTCGAAGCTCCGCGAACGAACTGACTACACTGATTCTGTGTCGACTATCACGCAGTTGATTCAGCGCTATGCGGCTGTCTACGCTACTGCCGCGGAAGACACGGCCGCAGCGGCACAGGAAGATGTCGAGGCGAATGAGGATCTGAAAAAGGCGGTTGACCACCTTTGGAATTTGCTACGGCAGTTTGGTGATACCAAGGAGTGGGATAGACTCAAGGAGAAGTTCCACGGTGTCCTGCAACATGCTAACAAGGATCCTGAGTTTGATCATCTGATGGGGGGCGTCACCAGCTCGCTGCAGGCTATGCTTACAGAACCGGCATTCTTTGACTCGGCATCCGAGAAGCTCGACGAGCTGAAGCAGCAGTCGGAGAAAGTGGGCCCCGAAACGGGGATTCGCAAAGATATGGATGAACTTTTGGTGCAGGCAAAACGGACCCTGCGGAGTGTGCCCGAAGACAACGAAGTGTCCAAGTTGGTCAATGCGACTAAAAAGCTACATCGGGATGCATACAATGCCTACAAGGATAAAAAGGCAGATATCCCAGCGGATCTTGCGAATGTGTTTCTTCCCGTGGTCCTGCGCATGATCCAGTACATACCCATTCCCCGGTTGGAAGTGTCCGCGCCAGAGATGGACCTGCTACTCGAAAACCTGATCCTGGAACCGGGTCGCACTGTTAACTTCTCATCTTTCTTACCGTACCGCATCAACCTGCTTACGCGGAATGATATCGACATTGTGAAGAAACATGCCAAGCGCACCGACACTACTATCAAAACCGCCTTCACTCTTAACATACAGGGCCTCAATCTCAGTGCCCAGGACTTTGGATACTGGCTACGCGCACACGCTGGCTGGTTCTTCCACCTGAAAGATGAAGGAATAGCCAGTTTCTACCTCGACCGCCGAGGCCTTGATATCTCCCTCGACGTCGAAGTTGGCCGTGGCCGTCTGGAGCAAATCTTCTCTCTCCGCAGTGTCCGTGTCCGCATCCACAAGCTCGAATACAAGGTCTCCCAGAGTAAATGGAAGTTCCTCCTATGGCTGACAAAGCCGTTCCTGAAACACCTGATACGACGTGTCCTGGAGAAGAAAATCGCCGAGGAGATCGTTTCGGCTGCGTTGGCGCTGAACAGGGAGTTGGTCTTTGCTCGGGAACGGCTTCGTGCGGCTCGTATCGCTAATCCTCAGGATTTGGCGACATTTGTGCGTGCTGTGCTTGCGCGACTACGGCCAGCTGATACTGACGTGGAGGCTCGTGTTGCGCTGGAGCCCCCGAAGAGTGGCGTTTTCAAGGGTGTGTATGCACCTGGGAGTATTGTTAAGACTTGGCATGAGCAGGCTACGGCGGCCCAGGAGGCGATTGATGATGGGGATGAGACACATGGTGTGGGATATACGTGGCGGAATGATATCTTTGATGTTGCAGGGGCTTAGGATAACAGGTGATAGCCACCGTGATGATGCCTGGGAAGGGCAGTGCTACGATTGATGACCGATTCTTTTATCTGGATATGTTTATGTTTTTTGTTTCATGAATGAGGACCTTGGCGGCGCAATACAGCACACTTAGTTTGTAATGATTGAATGCAGATTTCTTCTCCAATAGATTTCCTTTTCACAATTCTAATCAAGCTATTCTACACTGCGCAGGAGATCCAACTCTTGACTTCGGCTCAAATAGCCACCATGTATACATACCACGTGACACACCCCTCGGGGCAACATTATTCCCCCATCGCGATAAGGCCTACCTGGCCCGTTCAACGCGCCAGCACAACCACTATAACACCCCGACATCCACCCAATTGTCCTCCCAAAAAGTCCCTAGGACACCCACAACCCCAGATCAACCCCCATGCCTACCTCCTAAACACCCCATCAACAAATCCTCCCAACTTCACCTCCGCGCCAAGCTCCTGCGCGCACGACCCGAGCTCCCATACATACAACTGCCGGAGCGGGACCACCGAGTTTATCGAGTCGCCTGGATCTGCGCCTCCACGCCCATTGCGAGGACACAGACATTCTTTACCCGGTGCACGAGCTGCCCCTGCAGCTTGGTGCTGATACGCAGGCTTCACGATGTATATGCAGCGCTTGGTGATTGTGCTGGCGGTGGTACTTTTCTCGGTGCTTGTGTTGGCTGCTGAGGATTATTACAAGGTTCTGGGCTTGGATAAGTCGGCTTCGGAGAAGGATATCAAGCGCGCGTATCGGACGCTTAGCAAGAAGTATCATCCGGATAAGAATCCGTGAGTTTATCTATCGTCCCCGGGCTGCCCGTGCAATTTATTGTGGATTGGATTTGCCTTTGCGTGTTGAGCAGTGTGGGACTATCTCTATACCCGGCGAGACTGAAATTGCTAACGCGAGCATAATATAGTGGCGACGAATCCGCACGCGAGAAGTTCGGCGAAATTGCCGACGCCTACGACGTCCTCTCCACGTCGTCCCTGCGCAAGATCTACGATCAATACGGCCACGATGGCGTCGAGCAGCACCGCAAGGGTGGTGCAGCGGGCGGTCGCTCCAATGACCCCTTCGATCTATTCTCGCGGTTCTTTGGCGGCGGTGGACACGCCGGACATGCACCCGGACACCGGCGCGGACCGGACATGGAAGTAAAAGCATCGCTGCCACTACGTGATTTCTACACGGGGCGGGAGATCAATTTCCTAGTTGAAAAGCAGCAGATCTGCGATGATTGCGAGGGCACCGGGTCGAAGGATCGCCAGGTTGTGCACTGTGATCAATGCGGTGGGCGTGGCGTGGTTATCAGGAAGCATATGCTTGCGCCGGGGATGTTCCAGCAGGTGCAGATGCAGTGTGACCAGTGCGGCGGACAGGGGAAGAAGATTAAGCATCCTTGTCCTGTGTGTCATGGGCAACGGGTGGTGAAGAAGGCTGTGGAGACGAGTGCGGAAATCGAGAGGGGCATGGATAAAGGGACGAGGCTTGTTTTCGAGAACGAGGCTGATGAGAGTCCTGACTGGGTTGCGGGTGATTTGATTGTTATTCTTGATGAGAAGGAGCCTGAGCTTGGGACGACGGATGAGGAGCGCACGGATGGGACGTTCTTCCGTCGGAAGGGCAAGGATCTGTTCTGGAAGGAGACGCTTTCTTTACGGGAGGCTTGGATGGGCGAGTGGACGCGTAATGTCACGCATTTGGATGGACATGCTGTTCGGCTTGGGCGCAAGCGCGGCGAGGTCGTTCAGCCTTTGGCCGTTGAGACGGTTAAGGGCGAGGGTATGCCACATTATTCCGACGCCCATCTACATGACCAGCACGACGAGGATGACTCGCCTGGTAACCTGTACGTGGAGTACGCGGTTGTGTTGCCGGATGAGATGGAGAGTGGGATGGAGAAGGAGTTCTTTGCGCTTTGGGAGAAATGGCGCAAGAAGATTGGAGTTGATCTGGCGACGGATAGTGGCAGGCCGATTCCTCCGCCGGCGGAGGAGTATGAGAAGGATGAGCTGTGAGATGGGGGATTCTACGGCCTCTACGTGCCCTGTATATTGCATTGTTCCATTGGTTCATTTGTTCCATTAGACTTGCTTGGTTGCTTGAGTTGTGTCCGAGCATAGCTACACATCCTATACATCTTATAGATTTATTTCATCGCCTGCGAGTGATCCACTCACTACCTGGGAGAGGTGCATTCTCTTGCTAAGGTTAGTTGCTCCTGACTAGGTATTGGTCAAAGTATCAAGAAGCTTGTACGACTATGCTCTATCGCGTCTATACCTCAGTCGTTTGCAAGCTGGCGCTTCCGCATTGGAAAGCCACTCGGGGTTGAATTGCGCCGACTGACAATGCTGATCTCGTCTATTTGTTTGAATTTCGGTTAGAAGAACTGGTAATCCGATCTACAACGGGAAACGGCGAACTAAAACAGGAACATTATTACTCTTCAGGTCACAGTGATGGGTCAGATCATCAGGAGGTTTGGCGTACGACTTGATGACGCTGGTATAACTGAGTTGTTCATTTTGTGAATATTTTTATGCTACGCTCCGGGTTGAGAATATAGTATACAGAACCAGCCTAAGACCTCTGCAGATCAAAGTCAACCAATCAGGCATGCTCATCGGCCTATTGCTTGCATTCATGACCGATGACCTAGGTCTTCACATCTATTATTTAGCGGTCAATCGGTTACATTCCAAACCATGCATGTGTCAATGTGTGCTCGTGCCTCGTACTCGACACGCTAACAACTCGCTAGTCGATTGTCTCCTGCTGAACCTGGTTCGATCGTCGCCGCTAACAAGCGACTCGAATTCTCTCGGTTGGCTACTTCCCCGGCTTGAAGAGTCCCCGAATTCCCCGAATGGAGCTCAATGTCATCGGCTGCCATTCTAAACCTAGCGCGCAGTCTCAATTCGATGGACGATCGTTGAGCCCCATACAATTCCTAAGCGACCCTGTTGAACCGATGAACCTCTCTCGCCCAACCCCCACATGTTATCCACCTGCACGACACGACGATCTCAATCGTTCGTTCCTGTTCGTTTATAATCATGCGCTAGTGTCGGATCCAGGCTTCTAGGGAAATTCTTCCAGACGCTCTTTACAATCCCTCTACACTCTCTCAATTCTCGTTCTTGCGATGCTTTTCTGCCGGCTCTTCGGCTTGGCTGCCCTCTCGGCAAGCCTCGCTGCTGCCGTGGAGCTCACAGGCTATGAATATGTCGTCGTCGGATCAGGAGCTGGTGGCGGCCCTCTCGCTGCTCGACTCGCTTTGGCTGGCCACAAGACACTGTTGATCGAGGCGGGAGATGACCAGGGCCTGAATACCAACTACAGTGTGCCGGCATATTCTGCCAAATCCTCCGAGGATGGCGCTATTGCCTGGAACTTCTTCGTCCGTCATTACGCAGACGAGGATCGTCAAGCTCGCGACTATAAAACGACCTATGTAACCCCCGAGGGTGAGGAGTACACTGGCCTTAGCCCTCCCGAGGGTTCAACTATGAAGGGTACTCTGTATCCTCGCACTGGTACCCTTGGGGGCTGCACGGCCCACAACGCTCTCATCACTATCTACCCGCACGAATCTGATTTCGATTATATCGCGACCCTCACGGGCGATGGATCTTGGTCCCCCGCTAACATGCGCAAGTACTTTGAGCGCATGGAGAACAACCATTATCTCCTCCCTGGCATCCCCGGCCATGGCTACGACGGCTGGCTGAGCGATGAAGAGGCGCCGGTCAGTCTTGTGCTAGAAGATCCCCAGTTATTAAGCATGTTGCTTGGTGGCGCATTTGCTCTGGGCAATCAAACCAATGCGGTGTTCAACATTGCGACACTCTTGGCTGCCGACGCCAATAGCGACTCGAAGTCGCGCGACACCAACCCGGGATACTACCAGGTTCCGGTCGCTACTGACGGTGGCAAGCGTAATGGCCCTCGCGACTTCCTTGTTGCTGTGCGAGATGCTACCAATCTTGATGGCTCGAAGAAATATCCCTTGGACATTCGTACTAATTGCCACGTTACTAAGGTGACCTTTGAGAATGATACCTCGACCGGCACCCCGCGTGCTACTGGTGTAGAGTTCCTCGATGGAAAATATCTCTACAGTGCCAGTCCCCGCTCTGCTACTGCTGCCAAGGGTGTTCCAGGCAGTGCAACCGCGTCGCGCGAGGTCATCGTCGCTGGTGGAGTCTACAACTCCCCGCAACTGCTGAAGCTGAGCGGTATTGGCCCTGCGGATGAGCTTCAAAAGTACGGAATCAACGTTGTGAAAGATCTTCCCGGCGTTGGCACCAACTTGCAAGATCACTATGAGACCGCCGTTCAGGGCCATGTTCCTAGGAATTTCTCAGCGCTAGAAGGTTGCACCTTCAACGCAGCAGATGATCCTTGCTTAACCCGCTGGAAGAATCCAATTCTTGGAAACCGTGGTATCTATTCTTCTGCCGGATTTGCCAGCACTATGTTCTATAAGAGCTCGGTAACCGCAGACGATAGCTATGATGCATTTGTCTTTGGCGGACCTGTCAATTTCCGTGGTTACTTCCCGAACTACAGCATCAACATCACCGAACGCCATGACTGGTTCACCTGGGCCGTTCTCAAGGCTCACCCTCGTAACACCGCCGGATCCGTGACTCTCCGCTCTGCCGATCCTCTCGATATGCCGGAGATCGTCTTCAACTACTTCGATACCGGCAGCGGTGACTACCAGGCTGATCTACAGGCTATCACCGAAGCTATTGGTCTCGCCCGCGACGCGTTTGATCGTCAGCTTGTGGACGTGACTGAAGTGCTTCCTGGAAAGGACGTCACCTCTGCCGAGGATATCCACAACTACATCATGAACACTGCCTGGGGCCACCATGCCTCGTGCACTTGCCCCATCGGTGCGGATGATGATCCGATGGCGGTGCTGGATTCTAAGTTCCGGGTGCGCGGTGTGAATGGCCTTCGTGTTGTCGATGCATCGGTTTATCCTCGCATTCCTGGTACTTTTACCGCTGTCTCGACGTACATGGTGGCTGAGAAGGCGGCGGAGGATATCATCAATGATGCTAGTTCCAACTGAGAGATCAGAAGATCGGGACGATGAAGCTTTGTACATACATTCTTACCCCTGTAATTATATATTGTATCGTCTTTGCCTTATTCTAGATCAATAAGTGTTTGAGGATGCTCCATTCTTGACCCCTGAAAAAAGAGAACCGTCAAATTGTTCCCTAGAGAGTCGAATTCCCTCCGCCAAGCACTTCGCCTCAACTCCCTACGCCCTGCCATTGACAGGGTCCACCCGTCCCGCCCGGAAGATTAACTCCTTATAACTGAACTTCTACCTGCGTATGGTCTTCCACTCGTAAAATCTCAGGTCGTGAAAAATATCCGAGAATGCGCCGTGCAACGCGATCTTCAACTCACGAGTTGACCGAGCTCGACGCCACGGTCCCCGAAAACACCGATGTCACTGTCAGTCTAGCATTCCCAGAGGGTGGGCGCGAGGCTTGGACTTGTCTATTGGGCTCGGCTTTGCTGATGTTCCCCTCGTTTGGCTTCCAAACAGCTGGTTAGCATCACATTCATACTGGAAAATCGAATATAGCTGACAACTTCGCAGTGGGGTCGGTCCAGGACTATATCAGCACTCATCAGCTCGCTGCGTATAGCGTCCGAGACGTTGGCTGGATCACCGCCGTGCTGGTCTTTTTAACACTCTTCCTCGGTGTTCAAGTAGGACCTTTATTCGACCGTTATGGGCCTCGCATGCTTTTAATCTGCGGCTCTCTTGCTAGTGTGACGTCTTACCTGCTTCTAGCAGAATGCACCGAGTACTGGCATTTCATGCTATGCTTAAGTATTCTGGGCGGCATCTCTTCGGCAGTCATCACGACCGTCAGCATCGCTGTTCTCAGTCACTGGTTCTATCGGCGTCGTGCTCTCGCCTCTGGGATCTGTATGAGTGGATCTTCAGCAGGCGGTGCAATCATTCCTCTCTTGTTGCGAACTTTGTTCCAAAATTATGGCTGGACGTGGGGCATTCGCATCATCGCTTTGATAGCCTTGGGATGTTATTCGGCCGGAATTTTATTGGTCAAGGGACGACTTCCAGCAGGAACCGTGAGCAAAGCCATGATTGATTTCCGGGCCTTTCGAGAACCACGACTTTGTTTTCTCGCTGTGGCAGTTTTTGCATTTGAATTCATTATCTTCGGCTGCGCCGCACTCTTACCCACCTACGTTCGCTACACAGGCCTCGATCTCAACGCGCAGTTCTACTCGCTTACCGTGCTGAATAGTATGAGCTTGATGGGTAGAGTATTACCAGGTTTTGCGGCAGACCAAGTTGGCCGTTTCAATATCTTGCTCTTCCTGGCATTGATCACTCTGCTTGTTATGTCGGCTGTGTGGATTCCGTTTGGATCCCGCGATGAAGCTACGCTGTACGCGGTAGTGGCGATTTTTGGATTCGGATCGGGTGGCTGGGTTTCTCTTGCGCCTGTGTGTGCAGGCCAGTTGTGTCGCACGGAGGAGTATGGTCGTTTCTACGGCACGATTTACAGTGTCGCAGCTTTTGGCGTGCTATTGACGGTCCCAATCGGTGGTGAGCTGTTGCAGTCGACAACACCGCAAACGCTCGTTGGATTCTATTCTGCTGTCTTGTTGATTGGGCTCATCAGCGTCGCACTGTCGCGATGGGCACTATTGGATTGGAGATGGCGATGGAAGGTAAAGGTTTAGTTGGATGGAGCATCATTATGAACTGTGACAACGGGAAACAAATGAACTTGGCCGGCACAGTAGGCCAATAGAATTGAAGAATATGAAAAAGTACCGGGTATATCATGACAAAACCTCAGAATGCTTTTTTAAAGGCGAGAAATCCATTGCCCTCGGTCGAATCTCCCTTTACAGCTGCAAGCTATCGAAATCATCCCGCTTGCCATGATAATTCTGGCCCGCCAGTTTGAACTTGCTGTTTGGAACCCATTGCACGAAATCCACCATGTTTCGCGTGACCAATGTTGCAGGGTCCTGAACAACCTGCGTACCAACGCGGACATGACCTTGCGCGACGGCCTCGATAGCCTATTCATCGGGTAAGCCAATATCCATGTAAGACCATCCACTTCGTCCGTACGTTGCATATGGACAAATATTGTGAAACAACAAGAATCGGGCACATTGGGAGTTTTTGAATAGGACAGAGGAAGAAGACTTACTTTATCCACATATTGAATCATTTTCTGTTCTCTCACCATCACGATTGGTAGGCGCCTCCGACAGATAGCGGAAACTGTGAGACGCTCCACCTGGGACAATGCTCCTCCCTGTTCGCGTGACTTCTCGATAATACCCATGCTATGCAATTTCTCTAGCATAGCCGACTCCAGCTTCCTGCGTGTAGGATCCTCGGGCTCCAGTTGCGAGAGCTTGTGTGCCAATTTGCGCATCGATCCACAGAGCGCATTGTATGTATTATATTCAACATCTGTAACTCCGTATCTGCGCTGGATTTCGCCAGTACGGTGGCCTTGATCGGACTTGTAGGTGTAAAGGTCGGTTTTCTTGAGTAGCCTGTGGGAGAAGATTATCAGGCTTGGTTTGGGATAGAGCACGCGCGAAGGCTCTTGGACACGGCAGTGTCTATTCAGCGCACAGGCTTGGGACTTACTTTTTCTCGTGATGTTTGAGGTGTCGAACCATCTTGGCGGTTCTTTGACGGACAACGCTTTGACTATGACTGGAAGCAAATAGCGATAATTGAGGTAGAGGCCGAGAGCTGGCGGTCGCGAGGAAAAAGATCGCGATAAGGAAAATTCCGTTATCGGGCGGTGAGAATCTGCCATTATGTGAGTATTCATATCACGTGATGTGTATCTGGTCTGTCGGGTTCGGCTGGGAAGATGCCAACAAGTAGAGGTGGCGTGAGATGGATTGACTTTCGATGTTGAATTAAAGGAGTGTCTTCATTTATGTGGATGGAATCTTCCAGCACTGTGCTCGAGTCTGCTTCCGTGAGTTCGGGATCTGAGGGCCATCTTTGAATAACTAGACTTCCAAGATTGGCTCAACCTTCGATCAGAATAAGGTATTCATTGTATTCGTAAATTAACTCGAAAATTGGTTCTCATAAAACTTGATGTAAATGCACTTAAAAGTAGTTTCGTATCGCATAAGGGGCATCAACATAGCAATGGGCGAGTCATCAGATCACAAAAAGCAAAAAAAGCAAAACACGGCTAACCATCACGGTGAACTAATGCAAATCATAATTCGTAAACCTTAAGTTGAGCGACCTCCTAGCAGGCGAGTTGTCCGAGCAATCTTCTGGCTGAGAGATCGGATATTCTGGGCGCCCATGATATCCAAAAGAGAGACGTCGGCTTTCAGCTCCTTGACGATCCAGGAGCGGAACTCCATTGAGACTAGTGAGTCGATGGCTCCGAATCCGAATCTCTGAACATCAAGGTCTGACACGGGAATTGAAAGAAGGGAAGAGAGCCTCTCGACGATTCCATCAGACACTACCGAAACTGCATCATCGATAGAGGACACTGAGCTCAGAAGAACGGCAGTGCTGATTGTCTTTTGGTCAATGGACTCTGCAGCCTTTGCGGCGGTAGTGTTACGTTGATGGGTAAAGAGAGAGTAGTTGAGGTATGATGGCGACGGAATGCCATTTTGCTGGCACAGTTCCGCCGTCGGAAGGCCCAGCACGAGCTGCGAGTGGGGAGTTGATCGATGATGGTTGATCTTCTGGTACATTGGATCAATCAGGAATTCAATTGCACTGTGAACTTCATCTTCCCGAAGCAGTTCGAACAACGTGGCCGTTTGAGTACGCATTGAGTCTTTGTTCTCCGCCACCCAGCCAATGCTTGACACGCTGCCCAGGTTGAGGCTGTAGGTGTTCATGCCTCGCGCAGTGCGGTATGCAGCGAGGGCGTCTTGGAAAGTATTTCCTGCTGCATAGTTGGCTTGACCACGGTTACCAAAGATACCTGCAACGGAAGAAAGCATGACATAAAAGTCCATGTTTGTGGGTAGGAGCTCATGCAAGTTCCAGGACCCTTCGACCTTTGGTGTGATAGCGGTCTGCCAGTCGCTCATGGACATGCTCGCAAATGCACCATCCTGCAAGATAAATTAGCACTGAGGTATTTGGGCCGATAGAATAATGACTTACCTGCAAAGTCATGGCGCACTGGATACACCCTTTGATGGGAGGTAGACTAGCAGCACAGTCCTCGACGACAGACTTGACATGATCGGCATTGGAAACGTTGCATATGAAGATACGGGCCTTGCAACCCGTGGCTTTCAAGTCCTCTAGCATTTCAGCTACAGGTGCGGATACACGACCTGAACGGGAAAGGAACACAAGGTTCTTCGCACCACGGGCGGCCATCCATCGAGCCAGACTGCGGCCCAAGCCACCCAGTCCGCCGGCAAGAACATAAGAAGCGTGCCTGTCAAATTGATATGGAGATCGAGCATCAGGAAGAACGGGGATGAGGTCAGAAGCTTCATATTTGAAGACGAACTTTCCAACCCTTCCATTGCTGCTGTCTTGTACTTGATCACGTTCACCGATCTTGGCGAAATATTTGATTGTCAAGGGTTGAGAATGACTAATCTCGCCGTTCTTGTACAAACCCAACGCCTTCGTCAACAGTCTTTTGATCACATTCGGTCGATACTGAGCTAGGGCGGATATGTCAAGATTGGCGATGGTCACGTTAGGTCGCACAGACGAGAGATCAAACATGGTTTTGTTGACCTTTGCTCCCGCTGTGTCGACATGAAGGACGGTACCAAATGGAGCCACGCAAGCCAATAATTCTTGCAGACTCTCACCAGAAAGAGTGTTAAAAACAACATCAGCTCCAGTGCCATTCGTGCACCGCATGACGCCGAAAGTAAAGCTGTCAGTCTGCCTGGAGAACACATGGTCTTCAGGGATTCCATACTGAGAAGTGAGGAAATCTCGATCTTCTACCGTTGACACGGTGGCAAAAATTGTTGCTCCAGTTGTTTTGGCATACTGAATTGCAGCCTGACCGAGAGGTCCAGCTCCGCCGTGAATCAAGACGGTGTTGGCTTCAGACAATCGAGCCACATCCGCTAATCCATAAAGGGCAGTGACATAGACAGAGGGAAGCCCAGCAGCGACGGAAAATGAAATTCCAGGGGGAACCTTGACAGCCAGTCTATGATCAAGTCGCACAACAGTCCGGAAGCAGCTTTTGCGTTCGTCGCCCGTAAGGAAGACGACGTGATCACCTGGGGCAAAGTCTTCGACAGTAGGGCCAACGCTCTTCACGATACCAGAAGCTTCATTCGAGAGGTTGGGGGAGCTGGTGTCCGCATTTAACCCGACTGCACGAATTTCGACTTCAATTTCCATCTCGTGAATTGGACCATCAACGGATGTGTCTGTTGACCAATATTGTCCTCGTGTACCAGGCTTTGAGGAATCTAACTTAATGGGGCGGTCAATCGCTCCAAGAAGCTTCATCTCAGGTGCCGCACTCGACGTCTGCACAGCGAGAAACCCATCTGGCTCTTGCCACTCGCGTAATCTGCCGACTTCCATAGTTCCATCCCGCAGGCGGTACTCAGCATGTCGGTCCGCCGTCGGAATCGGTGTGAATTGATGCTCAACAATCTTTTCAATCCATGTTGCCAGGTCCTGCCCGCGAACGATGGAAGGATCGTCAACCTCCAAGGTCACAATATTCGAGCCGTCTGCGTCTCGTTCCCATCGAACAGTCCGAAGCAGACCCATGCTCATACTTGTCAATGGATGGGAAGATGGGGTTGGGGTCAACCACAGGATGCTCGGACATTCCATGAGCATTTCCCTCAGCGCAATGAACTCCTCTTGCTTGATATTTGAAAGGAAGGGGATTTCCAGGTCGATAAGGGAAATACAAATCGAATCGGATCCAGTGATGTAATTGAGTTCTGATGGCCCTACAACGATGACAGCCTGCGAGCCTTCCTTCCCCTGGAGCTTATGTCGAAGAGTGGTGACTGCGTCTTCTGTGATGGATGACCCCAAGGTCAGAATAAAAATATCCCGCGAAGGCATACTTTGTGGAGCAACGGCGGTCGAGACAAGAATGCTTTGCCACGTCAAGTCTTCATCAGCAGAGCTTGGGTACTCGATTTCAACACCTGTAAACCCGGAATCGATGAGGAGTCTATTCCATTCACAGGATGGAATGTATGGGCACCATCGTCGCATGGGCTCATTGCCGAGCCACCACCCAGGAAGCTGACCAAAGACAAGAGGGTACCACAGGAAATCCTGTCGAATTCCTTCCTGCATGATCAATTGACCTCCAGGTCGAAGAAGAGATCTGAGATTGGCTAGTGCATTATGTAAATCCGCGGTGGCGTGGATCACATTCCCTGCGAAGATCAGGTCGTAAGAACCAGGCTGTAGACCCTGCTCAACAGGATTTCTCCCGATGTCCATCGTCTTGAAGTTCATGATGCTGTTCCATGACTGGAATCTGCGTTTGGCTTTGTCGAAGAACCCCGATGAGATATCGGTGAACGTATAGCTTGCAATGCTGCCTCTAGCAGGGGCCAATTCGGGTGAAAGTACAGCGAGAATTTCCGCGGTGAAACTGCCAGTGCCACCACCAACTTCAAGAATGTTCAGGCCGGAGTGTTTGTGACGAAGGAGCTCCAGGTGGTTGTGGAGATGCTTGGGCAAGTTGTGCAATTGAAGGCCCTCCTTATATACATCTTCCATGATACTATCTTGTCCGAACATGAGATGAAGAGGATCAATCTTATTCCGCATGACACCAACAATGCCGCGGCCCATCCGGATGGTAATTGCGCCTTCAGCACTGTGACGCTCAACCTCTGCATAGAGAGATTCTTTGAGTGACTCGTCGCGAGCCAGTTCGCGGAACTTGGAGTGGGGAAGATGAATAATGGTATTATGCTCAAGCTTGTCTCGCATGTGCTTCATCCAATCGTAGAATCTGCGGAGATGCAAGTCAAGGGATGTGACGTCCAGGTCTTGGAGCTCATCCAGGGCATCCATGACATGAAGCATAGTTGCAAGTTGAAGCCGCTGAGTCCACAGTCGCTCCTGGCTGCTATCAGCATGTTCAATTGAAACCGAATTGTAAGCAGACTTGGAATCGAGGAAATCAACGTCCGGCTTCCAGTCGATTACTGTGCAGAGCTGCCGTTTCAGAGTCTCATCAGATCCCGACTCAAGCGGAGTGAGCTCAATGTCATTCATATTGATGCGCTGCACTTTGGTATACGCGTCGAACACTTGTATGCGACCTTGGAATTTGCCAGCCTTCGAAGGAGCGACGGATGCATGCCCAGTGAATTTGTGACCCGGCGAAGAGCTCATGTCGGCGGAAACCCACATATCACGAATGAATGTAGGGAGTCTAATCGTGTCTAGAGAGTTCTTGCCATTGAAGTCAATCACTGCCGCGATCATCATGTGTATCATACTGTCCATGGTTGCGGGATGGATCAAATGAGAATGCATGTACTCCTTGGGCATTGCCTTGGCAATGTTGGGGGTCGAAACCGTGCCTGTCATTATTCCGCATCTTGAGCCACTGGTACGCACATTACCGAGATTCTGAAAGAGAGATCCAAAATTGAGGCCCTCTCTTTGAAGATTCTTGTAGATCATCGGAAAATTCATAGATCGGATACAGTCTTTCTCAGCCCGTCGGAAGCCTTCCCAATGGGCTTGGGCTTTTGCTTTTGCCTCGCGACCATTGTCAATAGGATCTGTAATCTTTGCAGACTCAATTGCGATATCACCAGAACAATGCTCAGTCCATTTCTCGCTTGACTCATTGTATGAGCTGATGTGAAAGCGACGCCAAGACTTGGTGTCCGATGATGCCTCGGAAGCCGTCATCGACAGACTCACTTCAATACCCTGTTTCGTATCGGGAATGATCAGGGCTCTTTGGATGTGGACATGACGCAGTTGAAACCCGTTGAGTTTCGCTTCACCAGCCAGCTGCCGAGAAGCCTCAATCGCCATGACGAGGAAACCAACGCCTGGATAGACATAGTTACCGGTGACCTGGTACATATTAGCAAGTGGACTGAAAAAAGGGGGAACCAAAAAAGCTCTTACCATGTGATCCCTCAGCCATGGGTTCTCGTCTAACCGGACGAAATGCCTCCACCTGGGCAGATTTGGGTCCCAGTCCGCGACAGGTGCACCGAACAGATCATGACGGGGGTACTTTCTGTTTCGCAGGTTTCTGCTCAATCGACTCTCATAGAGGGTCTTCTCCGTATGCTTGAAGCTATATGGGGGCAGGTCAACCAGGAGTCGAGGCTGTCTCTTTCTCCGAGGGCGAGAGGCAAGATTAATCTTGTGCAAGTCCAGAGGATAGCCGTTGACAGCCAAAGAACCAACGGTATTGAGTAACACGTTCAGGGTATGATCATTCCGCTTGAGTAAACCTAGATATTTCGCACTTGGCTGGTCTTTCTTCAATCCCAGTGTCTCTTTGATCGCGCTTTGAAGTGTTGAATGTGGTCCAACCTCAAGAATGTGCAGATTGCTCTCGCCAGATGCATCCGCTGTTGCTCGCGCATGCATTTGGTTCAGCGCCTTCGTAAATTTGACAGGCGATACCATGTTATTGACCCAGTATTGGCCAGGGAGATGTTCTTGCTGAACCTCTTCGCCGGTAACGGTTGAGAACATATGCACCATATGAGGCGTGGCTAACCGACCTCCAGAGTGAAGTGAGCCCATGAGATGAAGATAATCCGGGGCAATTGCTTCCATGTGAGCAGAGTGGTAAGCATTTTGAACATTGAGTTTCCGGCAGAATATCCCGTCAGCGTCCAAGAGCTCTTTCAGGGCATCAATCATGGCCTCGTCACCAGATACCGTGTTGTTCTTGGGGCTATTGTGACAGGCAATGATAAGCTCTCCTTTCCGACACTTGCGCACTGAATCGAGATACGATTCAAGGCGGGTTCCATTCAGGCCTACGGCCATCATCGCTCCGTTGGCGGCGGATTGTTTCGATGAGACGTAACCACGGAAATATGAGACCTTCCAAGCGGCCTCGCGCGATAACTTGCCTGCACAGTAGGCGGCTGCAATTTCACCAGATGAGTGGCCGGTGACGTATTTTGGAAAAATTCCCCAGCTTGCCAGGAGATCTACCAATGCCACCTGCAATGCAGTGCAGACGGGGTGGGAAATCTCGGGAAGGTTGATCCGTGTCGACTTTGCTTCGGCAAAGAGCTCGTCTACCATATGGATTAGCCTTGAGCGTTCATATCATTAAAGGGATAAGCGTCTTACCCATCAAGAGCCAGGGACTTCCTAGCCGGCGGATGCACTCTGAGGCTTCTTCCAGTGAATCCTGAAAAACGGGAAAGGCCATCAATGCTCGACCCATCGCTTGGTATTGTGCACCCTGTCCAGTAAACACGAAGCTGATCTCCGGTGCAGTGACTGTCCTTGTGGCGCTCGCAAAGTCTGATTCTCCCAGTGTCCACGCAAGCTGTTTGACAGTGGACGCTGTTACAAAACCTTTCCAAGGGAAGATAGATCGATGGCGAGAGAGTGTGAAGGACAGATCGTCAAGAAATTGATCTGTTGGTTGTGTCTGGCTCAATTTCTTGTTTAGATAAGTAGCATATGTAGAGGCGTTACGTTTCACGCCATCTTCATCAAATGCAGATAGCAGGAAGACATGCGGAACCTCGATGAGGCTATCGAAGGTTGAGAACCCCAAACCTGGCGAGTGGCAGAATGTATCGCTCGTGGGCGTGTCAACAAACACAAAGCCACTACCTGAATGATCACTATCGTCTGCAGAATCGGAGTGCCCGTAAGACTGATCAGTCTCAGATCCGAGACTTAGCTTCCTTCGTGGCTGTGTTTTCCCTGTCCACGGGACGGTAGGTGCGGTATTATGAATCGCTGAGATTCTGCGTTCTTGAAGATAATGGTAGGCGTCATCCAAGACACAATGAGCATTAGTGCCTCCAATACCAAATGAGTTCACAGATACTCTGCGGAGTCCCTTTGAAGGCCACGGCGTCTTCTTCGTTGGAAATCTGATGTTCCAATCATTGACCGGGATCTTGGGGTTAACCTCTTGGAGACCATGATTGGCTGGAATGATCCCTGACTCAAGCACAAGGACAGATTTGATAATGCTTGCTATCCCGGAACCTCCTTCCAAATGTCCAATGGTCGATTTGACTGCCCCAACATAAAGAGGACCATCTCGACGGCATTTGAAAGCCCTCGACAAGGCCTCCGCCTCGATAGGGTCTCCCGTGCTCGTGCCAGTTCCGTGAGCCTCAACGAATCTGGTTTGTTCCATGTCCAGTCCAGCTCGCCAGTAGACTTCCCGGATAAGTCTCTCTTGTGCATTGGAACTAGGTACGGTGATTCCCGGCGTTCGACCATCTTGGTTGACGCCGGATTCTCGGATGACTGCACGGATGGTATCGCCGTCTCGTACCGCGGCGTTCAACGGCTTTAGAATTACGGTGCCAACACCCTCCCCACGGGCATAGCCTTCAGCACGAGCATCGAAACTGAATGAACGCCCTTGGGCCCCTAGTAGACCGTGGTGGCCCATTCCAATTGTCTCGACCGGGTTCTCCAAAATGCTGACGCCGCTGACGACCGCCTTCAAAGTCTATCAGTAATTGACTGCAATTAAAACCGGAAAGGAAATGAAATGACTTACCATGTTGGTCTCTCTGGTTCGCAGGCTTTGTACAGCGAGATGCAATCCAACCAGACTACTCGAGCAGGCTGTGTCGATTGTCATACTGGATCCCTTGAAGTTGAAGAACCAGCTGACTCTGTTGGAGAGGGTGGAATTTGTTACACCGGTTGGCTTGTATTTAACCGCAGTTTCTGGGTCCGAGTTGAGAATTCCAAGGTATTCGTGGTTAAAGCCGCTCACAAAGACGGACGTATTGGACCCTAGGGCAGTCTCCATAGTGATGCCAGCATTTTCCAAGGCATGGTACACATTCTCCAGGATCAATCGCTGTTGCGGGTCTAGGGTCAGGAGTTCGGTTTTGGAGATATTAAAGAACGGGCTGTCGAAGAATGCCGGATCTTCAGAGAGATAATGCCCTCCTTGAACATGGAACTGAATATTTGAGACATGTATCAGCTAATCGTGGGTATACCCAGGATTTTGGAGATGCTGATCAGCGTGAGGATAAACTAACCGTTCCTCCATGTTCTGGATCTGGGTGATAGAATGCGTCTGCATTGAATCGTTCCTTGGGAATGGATGACCAAGTTGACCGCGCTTCCAAAAGCAGCTGCCACAGCCCTTCCGTGGTGGTTGCATTTTGTGAGAAACGAGTGGCCAGACCGACAATAGCAATAGGCTCTAGTGTATCAGCCGGTGCGACCCGATCGCCACTGGCCTGACTGACCAGTGACAAGGGCCGCATCTTGTCTTGTAATCTCTGGATCGGTGGATATAAAGAAGGTTTCAATAACGGAATGGTTCCCCGGAACACTGCCGGATTGTGAGAGAAAATCGAGGTGGAGCTGTCATATTTCTATTTCGAAGAGCCCAGGGCAAAGGTCCACGGTCCAAAATATCCACCAACAGAGTTTAGGGATGATGGAGGGATGGAAGGAACGGGATTTGCATGCGCGGCGCTAGGGCCAAGCCGCTGGTGCAAGCCCGAGGCAGACTTGCGATTCAGTTGATGCACAGGAGATGTAAGTTCGGATTCGGGGAGTCGGATCTCTCAATGCTGGGCTTGAAGTAGCAGCGTGTACTGTACGTTTGTTGTTGATCTTTTTGGGGCAGCAAGAGCAACGCAACAAGATCCCATTAACCAACCGCAAGAATGGAAAGTTGGCGCAACCTGAAGCTTGGAACGCCTCACGTGTTGCCGGTCTGATGGGATTTACTTTCTCTTTTTTTTTTTTTTTTTTTTGTCTATTTTTTGGGGTCTTTTTTCCCTATTTTCTTGCTCCGTCAACTGTGGAGCCCGACTCGTGCGAGAGCCCTCCGCAATCAAACCCAGTTCTCTCCGTCCCCAACACTTAGCAAAGCTCACTTATCGGCACTCATATCCTATTTGCACGTTCTATCAGGTACATGATCCCATTCCACCGGAAATGCAAGTACATACTTTTCTCTTTCTTTTTTCTCCGACGGACTGGGCCCGTGGGGGCTTGAACGAACGCTGGAATCTGGATGGCTTCTAAGTGGCACACTGCTGCAAGTCCCAACGCCCGCAGATCAAGTTCAGGCTTCCCGCTTCTCTAACGGCTGCAGGCCTGTCATTCTCCACTCGCGCTAATTGGCCACGAGGGCTACCAGTCCCCTCGTTCTGGTCGCGCCCCCTTTCCTATCCTTTTCGGTGCGTTCGCGTTGGTTCGCAGGTATGCGTCGTGCTGTGGTCAACTTCGCAATAATGACATCCCCTGCAGGAGATCGCCTTCGATCGTGCAGCTCCGAGGTAGACATTTGCTGTTGTTTGCCAGGGAGCTCCATGCGGAGAAGGGGCCACTGGCAATTCTAGAATTCTCCGAGACGGGAACCCTTGTTAGCCTACCAGATTGTCCCGTCTATTCCTTCCAGAATTGACCCGACCCTATCACTGTCTGTGGTGAAATCTCGGCTCCCTGTACAGAATAATAGTACAGCAACCAGGGGGTCTCACGGTCTCTCCATCCAAATGACGATTTCTCAATTCGCCAGTCCAGGCCCACTGTACACCTGGTAGATCGTCGCACATTCTCGTTCAGTCTCGGGGGCCTGCTTATCTGGGCAGGAGTTGGCCACCCGACACCATGGTAACTGGCATGATTCAAGCGCGCCCCACTGCCAGTGCCACTGGTCTCGCAAGGACAACGGATGAGCCGGGCACTATCCACAATTCGCGTCTTCCACAATCCTGCCGCGACGCACGCGGACTGATTGGGATGACAATACAACGTGATGACTTGGCTGGTAGACTACCATTGCCATGCTGCAACGCAATAGGCGTCTACAATTGCTGTCTAGACCCAAGCAGGCGTTGCCTCGCGAGGACTTTGACATCGCGCTAAGGTACACCTCTCAGTGCAACTAACCCCGCCATAGAACGTGGGAATCCCACATTGGCCCATCTCACCACAAAATGCCGGTACCTTTTGTCGGATAATGAAAACAGTGCATCCGCCGTTGGTGACCAGGTGAGCTTTGGAAAGCCCGACATGCAAGCTATGCTTTCGTGGGGTCCGACCCCCGCCATTGATGACATCTTTGAGGCCCTTTCATGCTCGTAGATCGCTGCCAGGAATATCTCGGGTCGCTCGGTTGCCTTCAACGGCATATCTGATCCCAATTTTCAGACTTGGTGGTGGTGGTGGTGGAGGTTCATTATTTGGAATACTTCCTAAACCGTTGATAGACACGGAGCAGCACGCGGGCGAACGAGGTGGACATCATGGCATGTTCCGCGTTGCCATTGGCCAGACTCAGTACACAGAGCGCTGATAGACTTCCCTCGGTCCGTATGGATGGTTAACGAAGAGCGGGGTGAGGGGTACAGGCCAGAGTATGGGAATTCTTCTCCGTCCAACGGAAATTCCGAGTCAATGGGCCTTGATCCAGCGCAGAGGAAATGAATCTGCTGCAAGTGCGATCGGTAAATCTCGGGGTTCATCCGTGCATTTGAAACCGAATCTCACTCTAACCGTTTCTACGGGATTTCCAGCTGAGAACTATGAAAATGGGCATATAGAGCGTCGCTTTCCTGTTCACCTTAATCTCTCCTCTACCAACTCCAAATTCCAAGCGCATTCTCGATTGTTCGATATACGCTAGCCAAAACGTCACACCGCCGTTCTCCTCTATGGCGCTACTGAAACTGCCTCGCTACAATCCTGAATTGCCAGCTAACAAGGCACTTCCGTCGTAGCTGACGCCCAGGGGCGCCAGAGGGCCTAGTTTCAACGGCGCTTAACTAGATCCGATTGGGCTAAAATTTGATATACCTTATCTACTTCATTCTATTCTTTGTCTGTCGGGCAATACTGCAGTAGTGTATTGACTAGGTTGGTCAATAATGTCTCGTTCAGACCGAATGCATAGAAAAGGATTCAGTTTCCGTACTTCTTGACTTGAGAACATGGTGTTGCGAGTCAGCGGCTAAATGTGGCCGACCCGAGCCTCTCTATCCAAATAGGAAGGCCTGTCTAGTCGAAGGAGAGAGATGTATGAAGCTGGGACAGGAAATTCTCTGGCATCAGATATACCCTTGCCACAAGAAAAAGGTAGTTGACAGCTTTCCACCAGACTCGGATCCATTTTCTTGGATTGTACTAGCATGTTTTTCGCTTTCATGTGGAAATTCCCTAGTCTCTCAGGATTCATTAACGGTCCAATTGCGTACTCTTCTTTCATCACCTCTTGACCTTAGCGTTTTTCTCCTAGAAGACACGGAATGTGCTCCATTTCCCCCGGTTTTCCTCTTTCCTTTGCCCATGAGGTTCAGTACAATCACTTCAAATTTCATTAGAAGTGCTTTTTGAGGGCCGCTTTATGAATACCATGATCTATCAAGGATATCATATGTCCTATATTTGTCGAACTCTCCATCAGCCAGATCAAATTCTTGCCTGAGAGCTACCTAGGTAGTTTCCGAAAAGATGGATGTCACATTCTACAGTTCAGCATGATGTATATTTGACGCTAATTCACTTCGTCCACAGTACTTCGGGGCTCATTGGCAGTGTTTACTGGTAATAGGATACAACGGAGTGATCCTTTAACTAGTTAACTATACAATTCTCCGAACAATAGTCATGGAGTCGACTTAACCTAACTAACTAGTTAACTAGTTAGTTAATGGATGCGATAGCTCACATATGTGGTGCCTTACGTTTGCCTGAACTGTCAGGCATCAAGTCAATATTTATGTTCTCCGTCCTTCGACTGAGATTCGTTCTTCTTTCTCTTCCTTGGTGTGTTGCTTTAACTATCACAAAGAGCAATCTACATGCATCTGAGTATATGCCTCGTGACAACAGGACAACGTGATACGACGAATGCTCTCTAATGAGCTAACCTTCCAAGGATCTGCGATCTAGGTGAGCCCACTCGCAACAGCCGAGGTTGCTTTGGCATTAACGTTTCGAATGGTCGCTGATTTCTCTCCCTAAGGACCAATTTGACCCTGCGATCGCGATCATCTTATTAAAACTGTCAAGAAGCAAGAATCAGATCGTGGTCGCAGAAACAAATATGTTGATGTAATGCATTTGACAATGGATCTGCAGATCTCTCGCCCATCGTGCTCGCGCTCGGGCCACTTTGCCTGTGATTGCAAATCTATGCCACGCCTTAAACGAAAGGCAAAGACATACTAATTATTGATAAACTTGCTCTTCCTTGTGTCCTTGAGAGTATGGGGTATCTGCGCATGCGAGAAAAAACCCCTGTACACCGCTAATCTTTGACGCATGCCGGATATTTGTTTTGTCGCCTGCCTCGAGGCAGTCAAAATTTGTGGAGCTGAATCAACTCCTCAGAACCAATCTATTTTGGACACAGTATCATGGTCACGGAATTCAGTATACATGACTATCTGCAGAATGTGCAACTAGTGCAGACACATGACCACATAGCTCCTTAGGCACGGTCGCTCGTGCGACCTTGAGTGAGGCGCTCGCAGGGCTAAGACGCAGCTGCATCGAATAGATCAAAATATAGAGCCTAAACCTTCTCTCGAGCTACGATAGAGAGTCGTTCTGGGAGCTTCGACCAATGAGCGTCAAGATTGGTAGATGTGATCACTCTGCTGTGCTACCCCAAGTACAGCTCTAGCTGAGCGAGTTCGCCTACACCCGCAGGACACCTATGATCGGCGGCTAGCTAGCATCGCGTGCAGATCTCCCTCATCCACAGCGAGAGAGCAATGTATAAGTAGGTATATATACCAGTTCGCTCCAGACACTTTCTCCTGATCTCAAGTCTTGTTTCAATAGTAAATTTCTGCAATGGGTTCGATCAGCGAAAACTCTACCGTATTGCGTTTGCTAGACTGCTTACATGCACGGGATCCCGCCGCACTATACTGCCTTCACCCAGCCTCCTCTGAAGTCTCCGACGGATGGGTAGAAATCACCATCGCTGACGTGGTTGGCGCCACAAACCGCCTTGCTCTTTGGCTCCACGAAAATGTGGCTTCGGCCGATGAGCCGCAGGCTCTGGCATATATGGGCGCAAATGACATTCGCTATTGTGCGTTTGTCTTTGCGTGCATGAGGCTTCGCCATACGGTATCGTCCCAGCAGTCCTTCTCTAATTGAGTTTTATCGAGTCACTAAAGAGGCAATAGGCTGTTCTTGTCTCATCAAGAAATTCAGAACAAGCGTCCAGTCATGTCATCAATGCCGTGAACTGCTCCAAGTTTGTTTACACGCCCGAACGGAGTCGGCAGGTTGACGAGATAAAAGCGGCCAACCCATCATTGCAAGCATGGCTCATGCCAGATCTTTGGGACATACTCGACCGCCAATCCACCGTTCCAGTGCCTATCATCAAGGAGCCTGCAGAAGACCCAGAAGACAGGGTGGCGGTTTACATCCATAGCTCTGGGACTACCGGTTAGTAGAAGGAGCCTTGATTCTCTAATGTAAGCTAATACCAATATTTTTCAACTTTTAGGCATGCCAAAACCTGTCCCAATGACAAATGGCTATTTTATCGCCCTGCAGCAGATTTTCGAGCTGCCAGCTCCAGAAAATCGAGTTGGGAGCAACATTGGCGCTGCGGGAAGAGGCAAACGCGTTCTCTCTGTCAGCCCGTTTTTCCACCTCATGGGAATTCTGAATATGATGGTACCAATTTTAGCGGCGACGCCCTTTGTGTTAACCCACGAAAAGCCGCTAACGGTTGATCTTCTTGCCGAAGTCGTCAAGCATGGACAACCCAAGACGGCTAATTTAGCACCGTCCATGCTTGAGGAGCTCAGTACATCTGAGCTGGGCATGGAATGCTTGAAGACATTTGACATGCTTACCTTTGGCGGTGCCCCCATGGCCCGCGAAGCTGGTGATCGCATTGCCAAGGTCGTCCATCTCCAGTCGGTGCTTGGGTCTAGCGAATGTGCTATTTTTGGAGCCCTGAAGTATCAAGAGAAAGACGAGTGGCCGTATCTTGAATTCAATCCCTTTGCCGGGTATGAGATGCGCGACGTAGGAGATGGATACCACGAGCTTGTAGTGGTCCGCGGCGAAAAGGGTCGCAGCCTGCATGCCGTGTTTCATACCTATCCGGACAGAGCAGAATATGAGACTGGGGATCTATTTACTCCTCATACAGAAAAGGAAGGCCTCTGGCTCTATGCCGGTCGGAGAGACGATGTGATTGTTTTGAGCAACGGTGAAAAGTTCAACCCAATCAATATGGAGGAGATTATATCTGGGCATCCTCTTGTTGCTCGAACAGTCGTTGTCGGTCAAGGCCGCTTCCAATCTGGTGTTCTGGTTGAACCCGATTGGGATTCATGGAATGGCGAGCCAAGTGCCTTGATTGATGATATCTGGCCGTTTGTGAAGAAAGCGAACGAAGCGGCTCCTGGGCACGCTCAGATAATGAAGGATCGTGTCGGGGTCACCTCTCAATCTAAGCCGTTTCAATTGACGGCTAAAGGCACCATCAAGCGACGAATGATTGTCAATGATTATGCGGATGAAATTGATGCACTGTACGCCGAGGCCGACCAGCTTGATGTGGCCCAGATCCCCAAGGATGCCACTCGGCCAGACATTTCTAGCTATGTCGCATCGGCGCTGTGTGATATTCTAGAAACTAAAGCCTTTGATGAGAATGCAGACATCTTTGCATCCGGTCTCGATTCGCTCCAGACCCTGCGCTTGGGTCAAATCTTGCAAGCTTCTTTGAAATCTGCTCGTCCTGGCCTTGGGGCAGCATTTGGCAGCGCGCAGCTATATTCTCTGCCGACTATTGCTCAGCTGGCTGAATATATCTACGGTATCCTTCAAGGACAGGATACAGCACCTGCTACCACGGTAGTTGAAAGTGACAACGATCGAGAGACACGAATTGCCGATCTGGTTGGAAAATACTCCGAGGGATTCGGTCAAAATCATGCCGTTATTCTCACTGGCTCAACCGGATCTTTGGGCTCCTACTTGCTATCCGAGCTGCTTCGCGACTTCAGTGTCACCAAAATCTACTGTCTCAACCGGTCCGCAGATGCTGCCCTGAGACAGCTTCAGAGTCTCCGTGAAAAGGGACTCACCACCCTCAGTCAATTCCCGCGCCGTGTGGAATTCCTCCAGGCTCAGTTTGGTGCTGAAAAGCTGGGGCTGGATGACGCCAAGTATGACGAGATGTTACAGGAAGTTGACACAACCATTCACAACGCGTGGAAAGTGAACTTCAACCATCGAGTCGAAGCCTTTGAGAATCCACACATCGAGGGTGTACGCCGTCTAGTGGAGTTTAGCGTTGCCAGCGAAAAGACAGCACATATTCATTTCATCTCGTCCATCTCCACTATTGAAGGATATAATAAGGGGCCGTCTATTCCTGAAGTGATCTTCGACGATCCTAGTTCTGTGCTTCGTCAGGGCTATGGAGAATCAAAGCACGTCTCCGAGAGAATCTGTGCTATGGCATCGGCCAAGTGTGGCGTTCCGACAAGCATTCACCGCGTAGGCCAGATTGGAGGCCCAACTACGGAGCTGGGAATGTGGAATAAGCAGGAGTGGGTGCCGTCGCTAGTTGCATCCTCCAAGACGATCAAACAGATTCCAAACTCACTGGGTTCGGTGTCGGTGCAGTGGGTTCCAGTGGTAAGTGTCCCCAAATCATCTGTCCACTATAGACAGCTAATGGCAGCTTGGTAGGATATCTGCGCCAAAGTGATCACCGACATTGTTCGCACTCGACGCTCCACGCAAGAAGATGAGCCATGCGCGGCTTTCCACATCGTCAACCCCAAGGTTGCAGATTGGCAATTGCTCATCCCAGCTGTGACAAAGTACTTCGATGTCGAGCCTGTTGATATTCAAACCTGGATCGCAACACTAGAGAGTTTCAACAACCCGACTGAAGATGATCTGCGTGACAAGCCCGCGCTCAAGATCTTGGACTTTTTTAAGGCGATCGCGTACTCGAATGAGGCGGGTCCATCGACAGAGACGATCAAGACAGAGGCCGCTAGTAAGACCTTGCGACGACTGCAAGCGATCGATGCCCCCTTGATGGAGAGATGGATAAACCAGTGGAAGTTCTGAGTCGGTACTCTAGGGTCTCGTCAATAGACATCATAATCTGCTCAAAATAACAATCCATCAATCTATGATCGTACACCTGAGATATTCTGCATGAAAAGATAGACAAATTTCTCTTAAACATATCCAAGATCCTAGGATACACAAATGAATTATACGTAGGCGATGACAGGTACGTGGGGGTAGCGTGGATCCTTATCAAAATGACTGGGTTCGCTTCATTAGGCCAACTGCATGACCAGTCCCTCCTTGAGAGCCTTGATCGCCTCCCCGGCCAAAGGATCCTTGCCGTCAAAGCTGGCCTTCTTACGTTCGGGCCCAGACATGGTAGTGATATCGAAACGGTCGCCTCCAAGCTTTTGTTCTTTTCCGAGCTTCTTCAGCTCCGCCGCAAAGCCCCAAGGGTCATTCTTCTTAGCGGTAGGCTCAGGCAGCGAGCCCTTGCCGGTCGCAGGCACGGGGTCTACCGGCTCGCTGTCTTCCGACACATCCTGAAGGACAATCTTATGCTTCTCAGCATACGCATGCAGATACTTAGGGAGATCCTCGAAAGCATCAGAGTCTTCGGCGTATTCATCGAGGCCAATAGCCAGTCCCATGATCATCCCAATATTCTTGATCTCAGAGTCCGGTTTCAATAGATCGTTGCGCTCGAGGGTTGCCATCATCGCGAGGAACATCGTTCGAATGGCATGGAGGAGTACCTCCAGGCCTTCGCCATCGTCGATCCTGTAGTCGATTAAAGGTTAGACGAGGAACAGTGGGCGATAGGAGGCTAGCAAGGCAACATACATGAACAAGGCGGCGGGGTCGAAGCGATGGAAGAACAGTAAAATGGCTTCACAGATATACCACTGTTGCTTCCAGTCATCCTTGGCCTCTTCGAAGTCGAGGAACAGATTCCCGAGCACCTCTACCAGCCCATATCCATAGAAGTCATTGTAGATGTACATTTCAAACAAGTCCGGGTCACGCAAAGAGCACATGATAGCGGTGGTGCGGAACTTCTGGATGCCTCCCAAGGATAGCGTGTAAGGGTGATCAGGGTGATCTTTGCTTGGCTTGGTGCAGAGACAAGTCTTGCCATTGTCGCATGGAGGACGGTCAGTCTTCTTGGGTTCGCCCTCGCCGTCTTCCTCATTGTCATCTTCATCGTCCTCGTCGTCCTCGTCCTCATCGTCCGATCCAGAAATTGGTCGGCACTGACAGACAAACTCCCAAGCAGACTCAGGATTGTGCGTCATCATCGTGCGATATTCCGTGTCGGCATTTGCGGAGCCAGAAATACCCTTTGACCATCGCTTGCTGCGAGGAACCTGGGGCTTCTCCGGCGCATCGTCGGTACTGGCTTTGGACTTTTTGGATGCGCTGGCAGGTGCGGCGTCGGTGGACTTTCTTTTAGGGGGCATGGCGTTGGATATTCCGATGGTCAGTCCAGAAGTGAGAGAGCGAGTTTGATGGTTGTAGGTCTCTCGCGATGGAATAGGAGGACGTGGCTGATAAATTAGTCCAGCCAAACGCGTTGATCTGAAACGACGCGTCCCAACCTTAGCAAAGTGACGTCACTCGACAACAGGGCCTACGGAAACGGAAATCTATCAACAATGCCGTTGGGAGGCCCACGATCAACTTTGTGGTCTAATGTCTTAAGGGAAAGGCGAGGATCCGTATGTCTAAAAAAAAAAAAAAAGCTACACCAACGCGCTCCCGTCCTCGTACTGACTCGACGGGGTGTTGATGTATTTCTTGTTAGTCGGCTCATGACCCTCAAGATAGATTGGATGCCTGGGTTTGGTATAGCCCGTAGTCAGTGTCAAGGAACGGACATTGACAATTTCAAGTGCTCATTCAACTAGAATAGCAAGCATCAGAATCATCATTTACCCCGCATTGGAAATTAATGCTCATCAATTCAAGTATTGATCATACCTTCCCCGCATGTTCGCCGTTCAGACACTGGTAGGTTGGCGTGGATAGTATCTGTTTTGCTCATATCCATCAGATCTCTAATTCTTGACTTAACACGGTGCATAGGTATGAAATTTAACTAAACTCTTCTGATTGATCGATTTCATTAAATAGAACCCGATGGGCTGGGAATTACGGTGTAGGGGTAAGATGACGGAGGAAGGAGATGGGTACATGGAAGATCGCCTAATGGCGCAACTCGGAAAAGGCCGGATGCTCAAAGTGTGGATGCAATATTTGATAGGCTTCTCGTCTCTTTTGAATATGGTCTTATAACCTGAGCAATAGTGAATTCTGCAAGTAATAGCATCTTCATTAGTGTTGAAGAATGACAGCCGGTCGCGATAGTAGGGAGCGTGGTGATAAGCTGGTACCTCTGCACTCGATTGTATACACACAGGACTCTCACGGTAACATTCCACAACATTCAATGTAGTCAATGCAGTCAAAAGTGAGTCATTCAATCTTTCGAGAGATACTCACAGTTTGGATAATGTGCATCGCCAATACTTCCACACGAATATCGGCCATCGGCGATCGAGTGCCTGCCAAGGCCACGTGATAAGCGGAGGGCCAAGACTTGATGGCTTGGCAAAAAGCCTCCCCAAGAGTTCCCAAGACTTCCAAGACTTCCCAAGACCTCCGAAGCTTTCCAGACACCAGTCGAGAGTTCCGCACGTGCAAATGCTGCGGATATCCCATTTGCTACATCAAATATCATCATACAACCGGTTTGACAGGCGTCAGGATTATGCCCAGCATGGTGACACCAGCGGAAGTAGGCTGGTCCCTGCACGTTGTAGCTTGGAGAGCCTCTAACGTCCCTCTGATCGCAACACGCCGGATATTTGTTCGTTTGCTCTCTGGAAGCTTGCTTGGCACGAGATTTGGCAAGAGATCTTATCTCAGGAACCAGCTTCGTGGACTTCCGGTCTGGCGGACTTAAAAAGACATCTCTCACCTGCCTTTTTCTATTCTTTTCTTCTTTTTTCCCCCACCTCTCGTCACTTCTCCCTCTCCAACCCTCTTCGATCAGACCAGCAGTCAAGATGCAGGCTCTGTCATTCCTCTTTACGATCGCAGCTGTGATATCATTCGCAGCTGCTCAGACTCATCAACGTCTGGGTGGCTGCCCTGACTTGGGCTGCGTCTTCCCTCCGGACCAGTATGTATCCCGTATCACCGCGGCGATACAAACTACGCTGGATTGTCAAACTAACAAGACTTCTTTTACCTCCACCTTAGGGCTGACTTCCTTGCCGGTCAATTCTTCGATATCCGTCTTGAGGTTCACTCTCCGGTCAATGGCTCTGAGGCTCGTGTTGGCGAACCCGACCCCAACTTCACCTTCACTATCGCCAAGAAGGGTCACGAGGGTGTCCCAGCTACGAAACTCTTCCATCAGGATGAGCCAAAGCTGGAGCGATGGGACTTCAGCTGGTACGAGGGTAAGGATCTTCCCGTCCGTCATGTTTGACCAGATATCTAACAAAAACAGACCTATTCGCTGAGGATGCTCACACTCCTTCTGTTGTCAACGTCACTTCCAAGATCTTCCGTCGTGTGGCTCTCCATGAGCCTGGTGAGTATGAGGCCACTCTTACTTACTACGGAACCCAAAAGACAGTGGCCAACTGGCTCGTACGGAAAATTCCAACCAAGCGTCGTGCGAAGAACGTGATCCTGTTCGTTGGTGACGGCATGACCACAAACATGATTACTGCTGCCCGTCTCATTGCTCACAAGAGCGTCAACGGCAAGTACATGTCCAAGATGGCTCTCGACAAGTTCCCCGTGCTGGGCCACCAGATGACCCACTCGATGGACTCGTTCATCACCGACTCGGCCAACTCTGCAACCGCCCTGTACACCGGTCACAAGACGACTGTCAATGCTCTGGGTGTGTACGTTGATTCTTCCAAGAGTCCATTTGACGACCCCAAGTTCGAGACTATCGCGGAGATCTTCCGTCGCCAGTACCCTCATGCTGGTATCGGTATTATCTCGACTGCATTCTTGGCTGACGCCACACCTGCTGCCCTGACTTCCCACACCAGCAAGCGTGGCGAGTATGACCACGTCATTAGCACTTACTACGAGGGGCTGACTAACTACACATGGACGGAGTGGACTGGCCCCGACGTCCTCCTTGGTGCTGGTGCTGAGAACTTCCTCAAGTCTGAGGATGCTAGACGGGAGTACTACGACTTGTTCGCCAAGAAGAACTACAACGTTGCTTGGAACAAGACCGCACTGCTGAAGGCACCCAACGGTGACAAGCTGCTGGGCGTCTTCACGACGTCTAACCTCCCCACTTGGTTGGACCGCAACGTCTACCAGGCTAACCTGCTGAACAAGACCAACTACCCCGATGGTTCTGGTCGTGACGCCGATGACCTGCCCGGCCTCAAGGAGATGACTCTCAAAGCTATTGATGTGCTGCACCAGCGCAGCGGTAAGGAGGGCTGGTTCATTATGTCTGAGGCTGCCAGTATCGACAAGCAGATGCACACCCTGGACTATGATCGGGCACTTGGCGAGCTGCTTGAGCTTGATGACACCGTCAGTGCTACCATCGACAAGTTGAAGTGCATGGGCGAGCTAGAGGACACCCTCATTATCGTCACTGCTGACCACGGCCACGGCTTCGATGTCACTGGCTCCGTTGACACCAAGTATCTCGAAGCCCAGCATGATGACCGCAACAAGCGCAACGCCATTGGCTATTACGAGAACTCCGGTCTGTCCCAATACACCGTGGGTGGACCCAATGCCCTGCGTTACTCGGAGGGTGTTCACTTCCCTACTCACTGGGACCCCCGCTATACTCTGCACTCTGGCGTGGTCGCCTTCCCCGACCACCGCGAGAACTACGAAGTGCACAAGGACGGCCCACGCACCCCCGCTGTTGCCTCCAAGAACGACAAGTTAGGCAATGTTGCCAACTACAAGGATGCTGTCACCGGTTTCCTCGTTAACGGAACCCTGCCTGTGGATACCAATCAGGGTGTCCACTCGCTGACTGACGTGCCTGTGTTTGCCCGTGGTCCCTGCCAGGAGCTTTTCGGTGGTGTGATTAACTCCATCGATATCTTCTTCGGCATGGCCGAGTGCCTGGGCCTGTCGGAGAGTAAGTGAGATTGGTGGCGTTAATGGAACGAGAGAGAGAGAGAACTCATGCTTAGCTCTGGAGAACAGAAGCTGCATAAAAATTAACAAGTATTTTTGGGCTGATCTCTAGATCAAGCCGAGCAATGCATTTGATAATTTTCTAATTTCTACTATGATGGTTCCTTTCATTCCGTTACCGTGGCTTCTTAAGTTCAGTAGCTCCCAAACTGTTATTTTACTACACTGCCAAGTGGACAAAGCCGTGTTCCTCGGAGACTGAATAATAGCTTAACCATTCCAAAGCTCAACGGAACTACTTCCACAAAGCAAGCGCCGCAAGAGATTGGAGCAGTCATGCAGGGTGAAACATCCATTTCGACCAAGAAAACAGCCGGATATACTCATGACTATTTCAAACCTGACAATATTGAGTAAAGAAATCTAGCAAACGGAAATAGTAGAGTCTTGTAGGGGAAATTGACACTCTGATGGCTGTTACAGTACCTTCTAGTATTATGCTTCATTTGCCAGATGCTGTCAGACACCGGGGAGGGGTATACTTCCGATCGCCACATGATGTAATGTGGGAGGAATCCGCGGATGGGTGGAAGGTCTTTCAGAGAGGCATTAAAAGATCCAATGGTGCGTTTCTTGGTGGTGGATATGACCGACTGGACGGAAATGCCTGAAAGCCTAAGCTGTCCGTATGTGGAGATATCCCCGTCATGTTGAGCGCAATGACGGGTGGTAATCCAGTGATGTATATCAAGACTTGTGGAATACCCATATCTTACATATGACCATTATCTATGTCCTGAAGTCAAGACAAACCGTCGATTTCCTTTCTAGTGTCGTCGCATAACACGGGGTGGCCGTTTGATGTGCGCACAAGCAAGTGGATGATACTCATGGTAACCCAAAATCCAGGTTTAAACCTCACATTCTTCGCCGATATTCCGTGAAAAGAATTAACCTAGTCTCTCGGGTCTTGCAGCTCCTTCAATTTAACTCTATGAAGTTACACCGCCGTCCTTGGTGCGATCCTACCGTTACCAGTGAAGAAATCGGATGAAATGGAATTACCCCAATAGTTTCTACTTTTGAGTATGTTCTGGCACTACTTTTGACGATCTTTCAGACAACTTCGGAGGAACAATATAATATCCACTAGCCAACTCTTTCATCTGTGGGTACTGTAGGTGACAAGTGACACCTGGATCTTGCCGAGACCTCCCCGATAGTGCCGGGCTATGTCGAAACTAGCTTATCGGAATCGTTCCACGCGTGTTCCAACCCTGTCGAACACGAAGAATCCGTGGAACGCATATGTTATTACGTGCTCTTGTAGTGTTTGCGTGGACTAACTTGAGAAACGCGGGGTGTTGACTACCTCTTGTGGCTCTCATGTGGTTCTAGCTCCGATGCCCCCCTACCCCGTCACTGTCGGGGCTGTTTTATTGTCTTTCTTTTTCATTTTTTCACATTGAACATAGAAACATTTTTGGACCTAACCTAATCCTATATCGCTGACGAGCTACGATATTAGGTAGACAGCTTGTATCTCCCATGCGTTATGCTCAACGATGTCCACGGGCCAAAGGTGACGACCGGGAACTTCCCTTAGGTTCTTGAGTATAGCTTGATTGTCTAGCGGGGTTGATCACTGTCCCGTGAAACTTGATTTTGACTCTGCTATATCCCACCTTCTTAGCTTATATTCTCCTCGATCTGTTCATCCTGTTACGAACCATCTGCAAAACTGAAGTATTTGCCCCCCAAGAGTGAGGACCCTATGTGATAAAGTTCGCAGGCATGATGGTGAAATACCTCTACATGAACTGTGATTTACTCTCACAGAAAGTGTGAGACCATGAATTATCATTTGCGTAATGAGTGACTTGGACCCCACGGTCCTTGATTATACTATTGTCGCTGAGCGCGTATCTCCGAACCCGCCCATCAATGCCAGGCCAGAATCGTAGCAACGGTGACTTCACAAAAGAATGAATTATGCCCAGATCCAGGCGTAGTGCTGGAAGATGGCAATTGCCTAGCTTAGAAATAACTAGGGACCAAGAGTGCAAGCCGACAAGTCCAAGGATGTCAACGAAAGGGTGTATGGAGGAGGACCACTGCCTATACCGACAGCGTCAGCAGATACAAAGAAAGAACAGGATGTTAAGGGCAATACTCAGCGCAAGGGTATAAGCCACAGAGCAAGAGATGGTTTGATCTGGAGCAAGAATGTCGGGCTTTCCACTGTTCTTGAAAACGTTGATAATGCTCTTGAGCTGATCTCCGCTCAAGACCACGCGCTCTGAGACATTTTCAACTGGAACAGCTAAGGCTGCGACCGCGAGGGTTACCAGAGTTCCAAAGGTTGCTTGAAATTTCATATTGAAATTAGTCTCTTGGTACTTGTATGTTGCTGGAGATATGCAAATCCTTGTCTTAACTCTTGAAGATACGAGGGTAGAAATGGCAAGCAAACTGCTCTTATATAGCCGTGAATGGCAGTTCAAGCTGACATTTCCATGCATGAAGTCTACAGTTTGCGTCACACGGCTCGCCGAGTCAAGCCAATGCTGTCAGTCAGGTAGTAGTATTACAGACACAGCATCGAGCAACCATGCTACCACCACCACAGACGGGAAAGAACTACATAATATGTCAGAAAGAATCCGGGGGACTCCAATAGGTTGCTTCCAAACGAAGAGCCAGTCCTCTCGGTTCACTCCGGAGGGTTCCAATAGGCTTTGAATATCGCCAAGGCTGGAACAATATGGCATGATTAACCGCTCCAACAAACCCAATGTCTGTATTATGTAACCCTGCAGTCGTTCTTAAGCTTTCTGCAAATATCAGCAGTTTATGGGCTAAAAATGAGTACTAGATTTCCATGAAGTCTCTAGACTTGCTATCCAATACGCAACAAGTTCGTATTTCCGGAAATCTTCTTACTTCAACGTAGCGTTGGACTCGAGGTCAAACTTCACAGATCGAGTTACATTGTTGTAGTCCTAATGTGAATTAAAGCTATGCCTTACAGCAGATTGAGAAACAGTAGAACATGTACCACATCCTCCAAAACATCCGATTTAAGGACAATCAAAGTGAAATGAGCTAGGTCCTAGCACACAGATTTGGTTACCTATCGGTTGCACATCAATATCCAGAAGATATAAACGCATATTTAGTTGAATAGACCTACTGCAAAATGACCCGATCTTGAAGTCTGTAAGATTGCAGCGAATGATTATCTGTTCAATCCAACTGGGTTGAGGGGAGAAGGTATATGGAACCCCTCCTAAAGTCAAGTTATATTTCACGAGGGCTGATAAATTTTGATATTTGTTGGCTGGGTTGCAATCGGGGAAAGCTTCAACAGAGCTAAACAGAGTCATTCCAATGGCTATGGATTTGAGTATATTCATGGTTATCATATTTGGTGGCGTTGCTTCCTGGTTAATATTTCTTGATGAATGAGGCTGGTGAATATTAAAATAATAATTTAGGGTGATAACCAGTACTTTTATATCGAATCCTAACATTTGTGTATCATTCTTTTGCTCTTTCAGTCTCATTTGGGTCATGTTGCTTCGGCGTATGATCTGGCAAACTTCGGACTGCGACAGTAGGCCCCCCCTTCTTCTGGTAACGACATGCCGGGAAGCGCGACGGCCTTATAATCAGCATGCAAGGGGTCAATTACATAATTATATCTCATTCAAACGGTGTCTGCAAATTTTTCTTTCTCTATGTAAATTATTCCATCGTTATATGTATGCTTCAGACTTATCCAAGCCGGGTACGCTTTTTACTGTATGCGTCTGTAGCGTGGCCACTTCGGGAAGGGCTAAACACTCAGGTCTTTGTGACAATTGCGGATAAATATTCTACTGCTATCGCGGAAAGAAGATAGGAGATTGCTGGATATAAACTGCATCAACCGAATTCTATGCGAATATTCCCTTATAGCGATTGAATCGCTTATTTCAAAGCTGGCACCGTCAGGGAAAAGACACCCTCCGGGTCAAACTTTGCCTTAAGGTCTTTCAACACTGCTGCTTTAGGACCATACGTCTTATCAAGCGCCTCAGTCGCTGACTTAGCCTGAATTGCAGAGTTATACACGGAGACATAAGCCGTTGGAAGCAAAATCTCCGGGTCGGCCCGCTTGATTTCTTCAGCAGTGGAGAATGCCCATTGGCGTGACACTTCTTGATCGCCACTTGTAACATATCCCAAGAGCTCGAGCATGTAATGCGGCTCACGGGTTGCAAAGACTGACGCGTGATTCTGAGGTCCTGCAGATGGCCCACGGAGCTGATGTATAGACAACATGGCACCACGGTCAGATGGCATCTGGACAAGATTGCGTCCAATTGCCTCGGCCAGGGGCGAGGTGATACGGCGGGCATTGTGCGAGAAGCCAGAGCCGGCAATGTTTGAGGGAACAATAGCGCCATTGGCGGCAAACCATTCTGGAATTGTGGTAGGTGCGACCAGGTTCACCAGAAGAGGGCCAAGGCCAGCGATCTTTTCACTCCATCGCTTTCCTTCCTCGATATCGGTGCCGCTCCACAAGAACAAGGCGCCAAAAGCGCGTCCGGTGGGCCCATTGAAACAGATCTGTTGGATGGTGAGCTGCGGGGGTATACCTTCAGAGTCAAGAAGCTTCTCGTAGGCCGCATTAAATTCCACGCAAGTCTTCACGATATCAGTTGGGTTGAACAATATCGGCCCAGCCAGAAGCTAAGGGAAGAATTATAAAGGTTAGTGTCCATTCGATTGACGAGAATCTTACCGGGAATGCTTACACTGGTGAGGGGATAGACTTTGATTGTAAGATCTATGATTACTCCAAAGACACCGCCAGCGCCACGGATACCCTCTAGAAGAGCCTCATCGGCTTTGACGATATCACCGTTGGGATTGACAACGGTCGCGCCGAGGATTTGGTCCACTCCGAGACCCCAGTGTGATGAAAAGGGCCCGTATCCGCCGTACGTGGACCAACCCACGTAGCCAACTGTTGGAATTGCTCCAGTTGGAGTAGCTAGACCATGTTCCCAGAGCTTGTTGGCGACCTCATCCTGGAGAATACCGCCCTGGACCGTGGCAGATTTGCGGTCAGACGCGATCGTCACTCCAGTCAGAGCGCGCATGTCAATCAGTAGCGCATCTTGAGCAACGCAGCGGCCCTCCAGGTTATGGCCACCCGATCGAATGGTGAAGGGAAGAGAGTTTAGCTTGGCATGTTTAACCAGAGCGGCAACATCAGACGGCGATTGCGGCTGAACTACAGCCAGTGGGTTGTCTAAACGGGCACCATTCCAGGGTTTACGAGCAGCAGCGTACTCGGGAGAGGAAGGTGGAATGTATTTGATGGTGGGGCAGCCCTGGAGGAAGGCCTCGAGGGCGGTAAGCTGGTTGGTGCTGCCCATCTTGTAGGGGCTAGTCCGTCAGTAGATACTCCGTAGATGGTGATGAACTGTCATTCCTCGAAACATCCATGGGATCAGCGGATCTTTATACTTTGCTGGGTCTCAGCCTTTTCCCCCGGCCCTGCTGACGGTCGCAGACGTCCACGCGTGAAGCTTCAGTGGAATAAGGCCGACAAGGCCGCCAAAGCCGAAGACGCATTCGTGCAGAATTCGGTATAAGCGGACATTTACGGAAAGTATGGTGGCAAATTGTCAGCAGTGTGCCATTGGAGCTATTCTGTATTCAGCAGCCCTCTCGACTGCGTATGCGCTGTAATTGGACGTGTTGGATTAGGCAGAAGGGCCAGAATACGAGAAGAGGGGGCGATTCAGGCAGCAAGGCACTAATTCCAAATACATTACCCTCCTCGTTCAAGTGAGATTGACAAGTGTTCCCCTGAACAATAAACGGCGGGGATTTTTCTCAGGGCATCTTTCTATGCTTAAGTAGTGGTACATGTGCGCAAGTGCATGGAGCAATCCTCATACATGGTATCGTTGTTAGCTAAACCTATGAGAAAAGATACACAAATAGAGTGGCCACAAATTCAGCAAAGGTCGTTCGAAACATGTATACTCAATCCCAACAACTAGATCTGCTCCACAGTTTCAGTGAATGGCTTCTCTATCTTTGCCGCGAATGAACTCTCCTGCTCGTTCGCAAAGGGGTCCACCTGAGTCGAGCTGAACTTGCGCGCTGGAACTCGCTGTTCAAACAGCAGGTCAAGTTCAGCATAGGTACGGCCCTTGGGCTCTGGTAGGCGGAAGAAAGCCCACATGAAGCACAAAAGACACATTCCAGCCCAGAAGAAGCCTGCCTTGGCGCCCCAATCCCACGCGGATGGGTTGAGCATGCGTGGTGTGATGATGTTGGTGATGAGACCGCAGATGTTGTATAGATTGCGTGCAAGAACAATGGTCTTAGTGCGAAGACGTGTTGAGCTCATCTCCGAGACCAAGGAATAGCAAATAGGTCCAACGGTGGCATCATAAGTGAATGTGTAAACCAGGAGAAGTGACCCAATTGCCCATTGAGCGGGGACACTCTTCCGTGAAATTATGCCTAGGAAGCCGATAATAAGTAGCAGAATCATCTGGCAGCCCAGGCCACTGACAAATAGTGTTCGACGACCAAACTTGGTCATCATAGGCCACGAGCTGAGAGTGCCAATGGCTCCCAGGATATACAGGACCATGGACATCGTAAAGGCATTGCTAGTTGCCATACCAGCTTGCTCATAGAAGTATGTGGAGTAACCCATGAGCGCACTTCCTGACAGGGACTGAGCCGCCCAAGTCAAGCAGACAATCTCTGTACGGCGTCTTTCGACACCGCGGAAGCAGTCGCGGTATGATGTGCCGCTAGTCATGCGCTTTTCAAGCTCGTTTGTGCTGCGAATCATGGCGATGGTCTCGTCGGCGTTGAAATTGGGGTCTCTGCCGGGAACTGTCAAGCGATGTAAGGCATGGCGTGCATCTTCGGGACGGTCTTTGCGGATCAACCACCACGGCGACTCGGGAGCAAGAGCAACGCCAATCGCGATGGGGATAGGCCACATCCATTGTAAGGCGAATGGGATTTTGTAGCCCCACTGATCGGCGCGACCTTGCATAGCTTTGAGGACGCCCTAATCTGTTAGCTTGAAACACACCAAAGGAAAAGTCAATCGAGACTTACTGAAGCAATTAGTTGTCCCATCACCCAACACAAATTCACATATGTCGTCAGATATGGTCGCAGCACCACGGGGCAGACTTCAGACGCGTAGGTGGTGGTGACCGTCTGGAAGAGACCCCAAGGAATACCGATGAGAATCTCGCCGACCAAGAGAACAGGCAGAGACTGCGCAAAGAAGATGATGAAAATAAAAGCCACACAGGCCACCAGGGCCCCGATTAGACTCTTGCGGTATCCGAACTTTTCAACAATGATACCAGTCGCAAATAAACCAAGTACCTCACCAACAAGGGCACCGTTGGTGAGACCAGACTGCCAAGCAGCGGTTACCTGATAAGTTCCGTCGGCCAATTTATCTCCAAATGCACGCTGGAAGGGTTCATATGCAAACAAACTGGCGACTAAGGCATTGTCGTATCCTTCCATCACCAGTGCTGTCGAGAACAGGATAGACCAGCCGACAGCATGCGGATAAGTTCGCAGACTCTGCCAGAAGCTCATCTGATGCTCGGCCTCGGTAGCGCGCTTTGCCTCAGGTGTAGCATCAAAAGCCACGACACGAGTGGTGCCATCATCCTTGGACGAAGTGGCCGACATGGTCGACTGAGGACTCAAAAAGGAGAAGATTGGAAAATTCTTTCGGAGACTGCTCGCACTCCGGAGCTTTGGAACCCACAATTGAACGAGGGACTACGCGCCTTTTAAGGTAACATCCCGTGGAGCCTTCTCAAACGAGGGATTTCCCCGGATTTGCGAAGTCCCTCCTCAACGCGGGAGAAAATCTGGGGAAAGGTATATTTTGGCGATGTCGGCCCGAGATTGGCCCAATCAGGGGTTGGAGTGCGCAAAGCCCCTTCGGTGATGAGTGTGTGCGTGGAATGTTCTTCACTCGAAAAATACGCCAAGTCAAGCCTCGCTTAGGACTCCTGACAGAAGGTCCAACCTCTTGGCCAGACTTTGGCATCAGGCGCAGCCAATCAATCGGGCAAGCCCCAAATCGGGCATCGGCGCAATCTTAAATGCATCTCGGGCCGAGTTCTGGCCAATCACCAAGAAGGGAGGCGTACGTCCAGCGGGCATTCTCTCCAGCGGGGTAGGACATCTCGGACCGACAATGGACCAATAGATTGAGCGTTGGTGGAGAGGGGTTCAAGATAAAAGAGGGAGAGCAATGGGCATTTCAATCACTTTTGACCAGAAAGCTGGCATTCTTCTTTGCTATTTTGCTCCAGTCTTTCCTATCCTTGTCAATCCAAGCCACTCGTTCTTTTCCTAGGCATTTTTGGGTTGACCACGACCAACTTTTCGACCTACTCAAATAAGCTTTTACCATCCCTGAAGATGTCTCGGGAGGCCCCCTGGTGGAAGAACGCCACTATCTATCAGATATATCCCGCCAGTTACAAAGATTCCAACGGCGATGGTATTGGCGATATTCCGGGAATCCATAGCAAGCTCGATTATATTCAGGCGCTTGGTGTCGACGCGATCTGGCTATGTCCCATGTACGATAGCCCTCAATATGACATGGGATACGATATTCGCGACTATGAAAAAGTCTACGAGCCGTACGGCACAGTCGCCGATGTGGAAGCGCTCATTGCTGCATGCCACGAGCGCGGAATGAAAATTCTACTTGACTTGGTTATCAACCACACGTCGCATCTGCATGCCTGGTTCCAAGAGTCACGAGCATCCAAGACAAGCGCAAAGCGCGATTGGTATATCTGGCGACCTGCCAAGTATGATGCCGACGGGAAACGCCGTCCCCCAAACAACTGGCGCAGTGTGTTTGGAGGCAGTGCTTGGGAGTGGGATGAAGAGACCCAGGAATACTACCTGCATCTCTTCGCAGTTCAACAGCCAGACTTGAACTGGGAAAACCCAGCAATGCGCGCGGCTGTCTATGAATGTGCCATGGAGTTCTGGCTTCGCAAAGGCATTGATGGCTTCCGCGTTGATACAGTAAACATGTACAGCAAAGAACAATCATTTAAGGATGCCCCCATCATCGACTCTCGACTTGAATGGCAACCGGCCTCATCCATGTACTGCAACGGTCCCCGAATTCATGAGTTCATGCAGGAGATGGGAGAGATTTTAATCAAGTACAACGCCATGACGGTTGGCGAGCTTCCCCACACACCAGAGGTCGCAGATGTGCTTTCCTACGTCTCAGAGAAGGAGAAACAGCTGAGCATGGTCTTCCAATTCGACATTGTGGACATTGGTACGGGCGCTGTGCGATTTGACACTGTCCCCCGTGCCTGGACATTGCCGGACCTTCGGGAGCGTGTGGCCCGCACTCAGGCTCTCATGGACGGCACGACTGATGGCTGGAGCACGACCTTTCTCGAGAACCATGACCAAGCTCGGTCCATTTCCCGGTGGGGTAGCGAGGCGACCCCGGAACTTTGGGCACGAAGTGCTAAGATGCTGGCTATGCTTGTTGCCAGTCTATCGGGTACTTTGTACGTGTACCAAGGCCAGGAGATTGGTATGGTAAATGCCCCCGTCGAGTGGGATATCAGCGAGTACAAGGACCTCGACAGTCTGAACTATTACAAATTCGTGCAAGAGTTGTCCAACAACGACCCTGTCCCTGTTGGAGCGGCGAAGCGTGCGCTAGCACATCTCGCACGCGATCATGCTCGAATGCCCATGCAGTGGGATGGTACGCCCAATGCGGGTTTCACTACCGCTACAGCTAAGCCCTGGATGCGTGTGCACGACAACTACTCAGAGTTAAATGCGAAGCGCCAAGCACTCGACTCCAATTCTGTCCTTTCATTCTGGCGTGAGCTGCTGCAAGTCCGCCGAGCTCATCCGGATGTCTTTTCGCAGGGTGTCTTTGTTGATACAGACCCTCTCAATGAGTCGGTGTTTGTCTTTGAGAAGAAGGGTGTTAGTCAAAAGCTTGTCGTCGCTTTAAACTTCACGGGCGACAAACAGAGAGTTGATTTGGCAGCCCAGATGGGATCCAAATCTTGCAAGACTCTGCTGAGTAACTGTGAGGGGGAGTCACTGGATGAGCTAGAGGCATACGAAGGACGAGTTTACCTAGTGGACAACTAGATGGCCTAAATCTGGTATATGTACTTGTTGAATTGGCCCCACGAACAATAATCAATCAGTTTCCTGGCCCATGCTTTCCAGAGTAGTGAGATCTAACACTCTACTCAATAGTGAGTTTAGAAGAGAGTCCTAAGAATCGCACTGCGTACACTGCCATCAATCAAGCCACCAGGGAAACACGGTGCAACAAAAGATTTCTCGGCGTTTATATTAATCGTAGCATTAAGGATTCCAATAATTGATTGTGGCTGAAGTACATGATTATCACTAGAGCAGAAGCTCAATTTCTCTGATCTCGGGATATTTTTCACGAATCATCTCAAACTTCTGTGTCAAAGCCTCCGGTCGCAGTGTCTGGAAACCTGCGAAAGAGTATACGAAGTTCTTGAGGAAGATGATGTCGTGGATTCGTTGAATAGTTTCGTCTCCGGAGGCATGGGGCAGGTGGAGAACCACATCGGTGATAACATTCGCGATTTCGAAGAGTTTTTCGAGGATCCCGGATCCATGAATGCCCACCATATTCCGTGGGATTGTCACCAGAAACTGACGTAATTGATTTGAGAGGCGCAGTGGGAAGGAAAGTGAGAGCAATAGGCAGGAATTAGGAGAGGAGGAGAGCAGGGTATTCGACAGTGCAATCTGCCAAGTCAATGTGCGCAACCAGTGCCGAGTAATGATTAGGTCTGCCTGCATCATCCCTGGCAATTGTAAGACCTCGTGGTGCCAGCAGTTGTCCTCCAACTGCTGTTGTTTGTTCTCGATCCACTTGGCGCTTACACCTAACCGTTCACCGAGCCAGTATTCAAGAAACTCCCGGTCGACCAAGCAGAAATTGTCGATGGTGTGATTGAACCCTGCCTCGACATCTTCAGGTAAAGATGGATCATGGTCTGGTAGCCCGCGTAATGCAGTCAGACACGGTGGCCTGTTATAAGTGAGAGCCGTAAACCGCTCGTGGATAAAACATTCCCAATACGCGCGTTGAAGGCGTGCCCTCTCCGGCATGTCGAACTCGGCCAACGCCTCGTCGGAGTGCGCGTGTAGCATGTAGAGCAGCGAGATGGCCTCTCGAAGATACATGAATCCCAGATCAAGGCGCCGTAGACCAACAGAGCACATCTCAGTAAACAGGCTGCACATCACAGACACGATGGTTGGCTGGGCATCGAAGCCCAGCGGGCGGCGGTGCTCCAGTGAGCGGGTCAGTAACGTCGCGATGCGCTCGCGAGTCGCGGGTGCCTCCTGTACAGGCTCGCCTCGAGTCAGGTTGAGCGTCACAGCGGCAAAAATATACACAAAGGAAGCGGCGTCGCGGCTGTCGTCCATCTTCGAAATCATGTCTTGAACCTCGCTTGCTGGGATGACAGGACTCATCGGGAACACATATCGTTCATATTCGTGCAAGAATTCATGGAAGAAGCTCGGATTCGGGTGCGAGACGATCGAGGCCGGGATGGAGATGGATACCACCCTCGAGGCGAGCGTTTGTTCCGGCTGTCCTCCTTGACTGGGTTGGAAGCTGAGTGTTCTGCACTCGGCGATGACCGAGCCTCTTGCTAGTGCTCTCTTTCGAGACCGCGATGTCGGCGTTGAAGCATAAGTGCAACGCAGGCCGACGTGCGTACACTGCTGGCAGCGGGATTGGCCATTACAGCGAACTTTCCGGCGTTTACACGCATCGCAGGCCCTCGAAATGCGTCGCTGCTCCATCATGCTGCTGATCCATCATCAAATTGGTGATTGGGAGTTGTGGAGAGACAAACACAAAAGCCGCGAAAGCGCAGCCGAAAATGCGGGGAATGTCGGTGATTACTCCACACTTGGCCATGTGGCCCATGATCGCCTCATCGGGCGCGGTTGTACAGAGACCTATGGATTGAAAAGGAAATAAAGAGCTGGATAATCAATCAATATTTCAAGCTACACTAATCAGCAGTTGAATCTTGCTTAGCTGACCGGATTACCCGTGCAGGAACTCCAACAGCGATACTAAAAGGTGGAATGTTTGCCTTCACCACGGATCCGGCGCCAATTGAGCAGCCTGAGCCAATAGTCACACCAGCAAGAATTATGACACCAGCGCCAATCCAGCAGTCATCCCCAATGATAACACTTCTTGTAAACTCATGTCCTCGATGTGCTCTTCGATCCTCGATCATGGTGTAGTGCTCCCCAGTGATGATGCTTACGTTCGGGCCGATTTCTACACTGTTCCCAATCGAGACAAACCCACAATCGAGAACGGTAAGGCTAAAGCGATGAGGGTCAGTCAATTGTTCTCATAAAGGAGACGCTATACACTGACTGAAAGTTGGCATAGAAGCTCTCGCCCACACTGATATTACACCCATAGTCGACGAAAAGAGGTGGTTCAATGTAGATGCTTTGTCCTGTGCGACCGAAGAGCTGCTTCAGGATTTCCTCTCTTTGGGATGCAGTCTTCTCAGAGGCTACATCTCCGTAAAGAGATGCATTAAACTCCCCTGTGAGCTGTCTTGCTCGGGATCGACCCTCTATGAGCTCGGGCGCGAGGGGGAATATCTACAAGGCGAGGGGTTAGTAGATAGCCAGCGCTAAAAATGAGACACAACATACAACATGCCACTGATCATCCGCTCATATTCTTCTCCCCAACAAACACGTTGAAGGCCTCGTGCCTCTTCAAGTATCTTGTCGTCTTTGTCTGCTTTCGGGATCATCTTGTCCTCTTGAAGTTACTTTGAGTCTTTGGTCTTTCTCTTATCGTCGGATTTGTGAGGCTTTCTGAGACAATTTCTCTATACGAAACAAATGTTTGTACCTTTATATCTTGGATTCTGCTTCCCACCTCGTGATCATGAAAGTCAGCTGTTCAACGGAATGTCTTGTAAAATCGCACATCGTTTGCTGATTGACCAATATGACACGGAGCCGTTGCTAAAATGCGAACTTCCGCGTGTTCGAGTCCGAGGCTCGGTTTAGCGGGCCGCAGGCCCGATCAATCGCCAAGACTCGACGCATTCAAAACATCAAAATGTGTAGACTTGTTGTTTGCCATTTTGGTTCATGATCATGAGCTAATACAGATCCATTGCCATGTGTAAATTCAATTTCAAATTAGCGCCCTAGGTGACAAAGTTAGCCTTAGCGCCCATGGTAAGCAGCGGGGTGGATGCGAGAATATTAAGGGTCTAAGGCTGGTCCTTAGATCGGGCCAGATTCTAGCCTGCCAAGATAGGGCGTTGGATGAGCGGTCAGAATGAAACGTTCTTTTTGTCGTGTATCTTGAGGGATCAGACATAGTTAATCAAGGCTATTACACCCTTTTGAAACCTCATGCTGCCACTGCTGACACAGAAAAGATAACCGCCTACCACAACCTCGAACGATTGCTCGTGGGAAAGAATGCCCCAATCGGCTGACAATCGTAGGATCGCCACATCACAACAGAGAGTATCAATGGTCTCCATATTGGATCCCTAAATTTGTTTACTCATCCAAAATCATCCTGAATCAAGCCACCATGCAAAGTTTTCTTGATTCTTTGATTAAAGCAGGACTGAGGGGTAAAATCGTGGCCGAAGCATTGGACCCTTTCTGGAGCGGAGATTTCTTGGCGCGTGTTTCATCTTCGATTGCCGCACGATGTATGCATTGGTTGCCGCATAACGCCTGACATATCTATCACATTCATGCCTTGATTGGACGAAAGCTACAAAATTGTGTTGGTGTATTGCATGGTAGCCATGGTCTGCTACTCCTATCGCTTATTATTCCCCGTCCCTGCTTTCTCACCACGATCCATCGGGCATTTCTAAGCCCAGTCGGAACTTTCTGGCAAGCCACGAAACATATCTGATCTGTCTACCTACATTTTCAGTATTTGCACTATAGGATATAAGAACGAGAGAAGATGCGCGATATGTTGGGTTCAATCGTCTTCACGGTCACCACAACTTTGTCGTTCCTTACGTCTAACACTTGGCCGGCCCAAGCTGTTCATTCTATTCTCTTCTTTGAATCTGTCTTCACTCCTTAGACACTTTTTTTTCAACATTTTGACAATGTCTTTCTCTCACTCTTTGAGCTGGGCACAGTTCTTTCTTAAGGGTAAAGGCCTGACCCTTTGTGTTGTTGGCTTCACACTGTTGGTACTATGCGTGAACTCTTGGACGGAGCTTCCTGTTAGCTCAATCCAACGAAGATTCCTCAGGCGATGCGCCGAAGCCAGTGGTACTGAAACCACTAGCACCGAAGCCAATAGCATCGAAGCCAATAGCACCGAAGCCAGTGATCCAACCCTTTGGCAGCCCAAAATTGGAATTAAATGGCAAATCCAGCTGGAGGATGCCGTTGAAGACGTCGCCATGGGCGCTGACATTTTCGATATCGATATGTTCGACAACACTGCGGCCAAGATCTCTGAAATCCACAACAAGGGTGCTAAAGTGATTTGTTATTTCTCTGCCGGCACCTACGAAGACTGGAGACGCGATGCCAACAAATTTACCGAGTCGGACTTTGGCAGTGCACTCGAAGATTGGCCTGGCGAACGGTGGCTCGATGTGAACTCGAGCAACGTGCGCACAATCATGCAATCCCGTCTTGATTTAGCACAACAGAAGGGTTGCGACGGTGTGGACCCCGACAACATCGACGGATACGGCAACGACAGTGGACTCGATCTGACGGAAGCTGACTCCATCGATTATTTGAACTTCCTCGCATCCGAGGCTCACTCAAGGGGAATGTCGATTGGACTCAAGAATGGAGGCGATATCATTCCTTCGGTTATTGAGAATATGCAGTGGTCGGTCAACGAGCAGTGTGCGCAGTATGACGAGTGCGATGTCTATGCGGCTTTCACGGATGTTGGCAAACCCGTCTTTCACATCGAGTATGTTGATGAGATTGGGGGCAACAACAAGCTCAAAGTTCGTGATGTGACGAGCTCGCAGAAGTCTGCGGCTTGCAATGCGAAGAGTGCTGAAGATTTCTCGACCGTTATCAAGAATATGGATTTGGATGCGTGGGTTGAGTATTGCTAGTCCACTATAGCTAAAATTTAAGTTATGAGTGCCTACCTGAGTAGATAACTTGGATCTATTGTGTGAGGGGGATAACTATGTTGACTTATATGAATGGCAATTCAACTCTTGTGGACATGATGTGGCCTCCGTGTAGTTCATTATGATGATTTTGGAGTAACTTTATCTGTATTTCGATCACACATGTGGAGAGCTCGAGTTATGAAGACAGTAGATGTCCAGCTATGTGGGTCTGTTACCGAATTGGGAAATCAAGAGGGGTATTCCCCCTCCAGATATTTCTGGATAAGTTGACAACAGTGGACGTCAGGCCTATTTCTTCCCAACACCCATTACCGAAGACTATAGCAGCAGACGCTGGCTATTTTCATCCTAGACATCGCTTCTTTCCTCCGCTCATTTACCTCATCAGTACTTACTCCAAGGATCCCCGACGAGGTTATCATCAAGATGGCCGACAACTACTGTAATCCAATGGTCGCTTATTGGGCCTATGTGAGACGGGCAAGTTGCACAGGAAATTATGTAGAAAATAAATGATAGCACCTGACTATTTCTATAGAGAGATGCTCATCCCCGTAATCAAGAATGAGTCGTGGTCGTCGTGCGCCTCACATATAAGGCACCGACCACAATGGTTACTACAGAGTTGAGGACTGCAATATTGACGAAAATGTGAGTAAATAATCATCGCACTATTTATTTGATCGTGACTGATCTCTAGTTCATAGGGAAACTGGCAATGTAAGCACGTATACGTTGGTCGTGAACTCGACAAAGCCCGGCATACTTGCTTCGAGTGCGTACACATTACTGGGCCTTTCCCACCATTGTAATAATATGGTTAGAGAAATGCAATTAGTATCAGAAATGGCAGTCATTCCTTCCAGAATCTCGATGGATCCTCAGCATGGTTCAAACCCACGCTATCCGCACACGGCATGGATAAGGCGACTCACGGGCGGAGAGAAGATGCCACGGTCGAACCCAAAAGCGACCTGCGTGTTAAGTGTCAATCCACCACCCCGCTGGTGGGTGTTTCAAAATGGACTGCAGGTTCCTGACTCACAGAGTAAGGCAGAAGAGACCTTCCCTGACTATTGGCCTAACTGACAGCTGGAATCAGATGCTCTTGCTGATCAGCTCGACGAGCACTACTGAAGGATGTCGCCTGGCGAGGAACCAGAGCCTGTGGTTTATGGTGATATGGTGATTTTGACTATTTTTATGGGGGCCCTGGTCCCTCAGTGGGACACAGGGTCGCCAAGGAATCCGAGCCTAGCATCGAATCCGAGGATCAAGAAGACTATGGAGAACCCGAGACTTCTACGTATACTAGTGAGTCTGAAGATTCCGGGGGCTCGAACGACTTTCCACCGCCTCCGAGTGCTCGCAAGTATGGCACTGCTGCTAAGATTTCCATGCATAACACGTCTGCTAAAAGCAAAGATACCCGACGTGCTCATCCGACACAAGTCCAAAAGCGCTCGACTAAAGCCAAGACCACTGAAGGTACATCGAGATCAAGGAAAGGCTCGCAACAGGAACGTGTCACAGTAAGCGATCAAGATTCCGAATCAGACGACGACGAAAGGAAGACTCCCAGCATCGAAGAAGTCAAAGGCATAAGCAAGGCGGCAAAGGTGCAGGTGACCAAGGACGCATCCAAATTGAAGAGTCAGCCTATGGAGAAGCGGGCCGCGAAGAAAAACGTTGAATCCCAAGGCAAGAATCATCAGAATGGATTGCCCAGCCAGGTGGTGAAGGAGAAGAAGCCGAAGACGACTAGGGTGGAAACCGCCAAAGATGCACAAACAGACAGAAAGTGCAGAGAAGAGCGAGCTGCAGAAGCCAATTTCGAATCTAGTCAAACACACGCGGAGCGTCGAGGTCAAGCAAACGTTCTGTGGAATATAATGCAGTAGACAACGACACCGAGTCTGGCAAAACGCAGACACAAAAGCGTTCGAAGATTACTGCGAATGCATCATAGCCAAAGAAACATTCTAGAGTCCAGAAAGCTGCTAAAGCAGACATCGTTCCCAGTCAAACACACATGCCAGACCCGTCAGCAAGATCTAAGGCTACTAGGCGTTCTTCGCGGTCAGAAAAAGGATCCAGGGAGGAGAGAGCTACAGAAGGGGACATTGACCCTGAAACTAAGAGCCACCCAAAAGAGCCTTTTAGAGAGGTAGAGAATGAAAGGAAGAGAAACATGACCAAGAAGAGCACTTGTGTAGAGGCATCTCGGTCAAAGAAGAGGAGGGAGCTCCGGACGGGAGTATCGAGTCTCAAAACCGTGGGTAATCAAAGGAGAGGCAGAGGCGCGATCAAAACGAGAAGACCGATGAGGAAGCTGGGTGAATTCTGGTAGCTCCCACGGTTAAGATATCATCGTTCTACTTTGGTGATTGCTTATTCGGGATCTCCGCGCCAAATTGTCTTGTCAAATTCTTGACGTGCTAGTTTAACTTCGTTTCATTTCAAATAGAAACGTCAATTCATCCTTACCAGTAGCATGGATACCTTAGCTACCTAGGCACCGAGCCGCGTGAATTGTGTGGTTAGATATATCACTGGAAGTATTGTCTACAGTAGGTCCTCGGCAGTGAAGGTAAGCTAGTATACGATGATCGGGCGCGCTACTGGACGGAGTACAAGAGATGAGCTTCGGCCAGGCAGATGCATAGAATCCCGACCGAGTTTCACCCGTGAGCTGAATAGAGACGGCCCGAGAATAAGGATGAGGTGTTTTGATAGGCAATCGAGAAATCCGAAACACGGCCACCCTAGGAACCCCGAAAATTGGAAACAGCCACCTAGAGTGGGGGTGGCCAATCTTACCCCTTACACAGGGGTTCGTTCCCTTTCAACTTGTAGATGTAAAAAATTTCGTAGAGGTCAAAGTTATTACCTATTCAGCCACATTGATCTAAAGGGACAACTTGCCGCCACTTTTTACGAGGGGCTCAGCCGATCCTGAGAGACGGCTGGAAAATTAGATGTTTTGCTGAATTTGTGGCTTGACTATGGTGGCGTCAGTCCTTCATTGAACACGCATGGGGCGGGCGGCCCTACGGCCATGGTTTCGGGATGGAATAAGTACGGTACCGGGCCGGGCTGAGACGACGTTAAATCAGCAATGAGGTCATCGGCATCCATCTGAGTGCCCAAATCTTTGACCAGAAGACGGTGCATGGACTCCCTAAATGGCCGATGGTAACCTTCTTTGGCAGGGCAAAAGAAAACTCTGCAAAGTAGGATTTTTCTCGGCGAACCAAGCATGAATACTCATTTCATGATTTTTTTTCTAATTGGGTTCCTGTGGTGCTTATTCCTATGAGTAAAAGTCTTGTTTACTCTTTCTTTGCAACATATCGTCTCTGTTCACCACCATCATAGATAAACAGAGCTTGATGTAAGATCCTCAAAAAGGGAATGTACTGATTGTACCATCCTATGCAGTGATTGGATTATCCCCCCCCTTTTAGCCCGAATGCCTTATCACTACCCCTTTGCTCGATGATGAATTCGAACCCAGCTTGCGCTTACAACCTTCGATTATCATCACCTCTGGTTGCATGACGGTGGTGGACCAAGATCCACAAATTTGTGGGTTTCGGGAAACTTCAAGGGGAAACCCGGAATGCGGTGAAATTGAGGGTTTACGATGTCTTTGGATCAGATTGGATGGAAAATCTATTATGAAAAAGTTTTAGAGATGCAGAGATTGATGGTTGAAAAGACTTTCGGAAATCGGCTTGTGCTGTGTATATTCTTAGTAACTATAGACAAGGACAGGACACTGGAGGTCAAGGGCTATGGCCAAGAGCGACGGAAGGGAAGAACTTGTTTCCGCCCAACCTAATCAACGTGGCTGGATAGGCAGAGTCATTACGTCATGCATGCGAAAGCGGGAGCCGGTAAAAGCGCAGATTCCCCTTTGCTACTCCTTTGGGTCTAGTGGAGGTCGATCGGGCTACCGACGTCCGTCACATCCTCATCTATCCAGCCAATGACGCATCCCTGAAGATAATTCGGGCTTCACTGAACCTCCTGGTCCGCCCGGTCTTCCCGTGCATTGATGAGCCCGATCTCAGGTGAAACGGGAGATGTAATGACTCCGATAGGACCTGCAGAGACCGGGAGGAAGGTCTCCCGAAAAAAAGTCTGAGCACTCCTATATACCTTCAAAGAATGGAGGTTCGATCGCGATTTCAGTTTTCATGGTAAGTTGGACACACCTACGTACATACCCGATGTGGCTGGCAGTCAGTGATGGGTGACAGCAGCATCAAAAAGGCAATTTGACCCCGATTCTATTGGCTCAAAGCTGAGATGAGCCTGTGGGTATCTGGAACGCTTTTTCCGAAAACGGCCGTTCGTGCACCTTCGTGCCCACTTAGCCACATCCCGCCGAATTTTTCTGTCTTTTTTGCCTCTCCATGAGGATGAATAGGCCTATTCGGAGTGATTGATGGGAGCTGATCCGCTTTGCGCGATTTGCTAAATGCTAACCACGTCATTGTGCTTCCTACTGGACTGAAGTCGAAATGGGTGGAGGATGCCAAGTATAAGGGCTGATTGTATCCAATGGCAGCAGTCTGGGTCCAACTCTCCACCATGGATCCATTATACGGGCCTCCTGCTTGGGGGAACCATCAGCAGCCTGGTTCTCTGAAATATAATGACTTAATGATTCCCAGAAAACTGTCCACTTTCCCCAGTCTCACATTTCAGGTGGGATATTCTTTTTCTGTGGCTCGCTAGACGACTACCACCGACGTTCTCTCCTTCTCTATCTCTACCTCAACTTTTCTTCCTCTCTACCAACCTATTCCGATTCATCTTTCTTCATCTTATCCAATTGTCAACATGTCTCACGCCGCGAATGCTCCCAATGGAGCTGATGCTGCTCCTCATGACGTCGCTCCCAACGAGGTGCCAGCTGAGCTGCTGCCCATTCCTGGAGAGCCTGGTCTTGGCCATACCATCGAGATTCCTGCCACACGGAGCTCCATCAGTGATGTTCACATGCAGCGTTTGAGCCTGTCACCTTCTATGAAGGACCGTCGTGGCTCTCGCAATTCCTTCGGCGTCTCCCTCCCTATTCCTCGCGAGCCGCGGAAGTCCGCGCGTCTGTCTGTTGTTGGAAAGCCCATCAGCCACGTTCGCAACATCCTTGCCTCTGAGCTGCAAGATCAGGAGAAGGAAAAGGTCAAAAAGGTCAAAAATATGTGCTTCTGCTTTGACATTGACGGTGTGCTGGCACACGGTAACAATGCTATCCCCGAGGCTCAAGCCGCTCTCAAGATGCTCAACGGCGATAACGAGCTCGGTATGTGACCATTTGCACCTCTTCCTATGTAGTTAATGCCAATTGCTAATTCTTGTTCAGGCATCCAATTCCCATACATCCTTCTCACCAACGGTGGTGGTAAGACCGAGGAGGCTCGCTGCGCCCAGCTCTCTGAAGTCTTGGGCGTTCCCATCTCCACAGACCAATTCATCCAGTCTCACACCCCCATGCAGGCTCTTGCGGAGTACTACGAAAATGTTCTGGTTTGCGGTGGTGAGGGATTCAAGGTGCGCGAGGTCGCCGAGAGCTACGGTTTCAAGAACGTGATCCACCCCAAGGACATTCTGGCTTGGGACCCCACGATCTCACCCTGCCGCAAGTTCACCGACGAGGAACAGAAGCTGGCTAAGCCCCGCGACTTTTCCAAGTTCAAGTTCGATGCTATCATGTGTTTCGCCGAGTCCCACGACCAGTCAACCGAGTTCCAGATCATCCTTGACCTCCTCCTCAGTGCCAATGGCAAGCTCCTCACCCGTGCCAAGGATCCCGCTGCTCGGGATGCCGTTGCTGGCCACATCCCTATCTACTTCTCCCAGGGCGATTTGCTCTGCCCCACCGAGCACAAGGGCCCCCCACGTCTGCACCTGGGTGCTTTCCGCGTTGCCCTGGAGGCTCAGTACAAGGCTCTTACCGGCCGTGACCTCGACCGTATCGTCTACGGTAAGCCTGAGCGCGCTACCTACATCGTTGCGGACGAGATCATCAAGTCCTGGATGGAGGAGATTCATGACGAGAAGCGTCTGCCAGAGAATGTCTACATGATCGGTGACAACCCCCAGTCTGACATCATCGGTGGAAACCTGTACGGCTGGAACACTTGCCTGGTGCGCACTGGTGTCTTCCAGGGCAAGGGTAATGACGAAAACAACCCTGCCAACTTCGGTGTGTTCGACCAGGTCTACGACGCCGTCAAGGCCGCCGTCCGCAAGGAGCTTGGTGATGACTTCAAGTTCAAGTGGGATCCCAAGAAGCACTCCCCCCACGGCTCTGCTGTTGAGTAAGGGTGCAGCGCGAAGGGACTTGAATCTTTTTCCTTGCAGTCTTTTTTCTGTTTATTTTTCTCCCTCTAAGTCACATGTTCTGTGACTTATCAACCTCCATATCTATGCTGCGCGTCTCTACGGAGTTGTCTTTGCGTTTGGTTTGAAAATTCCCATTTCTTTGGTAGAATCGTCGCATCTTGTCTTTAACTTGATTACGGAAATCAACCCTGTTTTGGACATGGGTTCAGGGCTCTGATAGATACTTGTCACTTATCTATCCGGTGAAAATTATGAGCATTTTACGAACAACAAAGAATTTCTTTTGAAGCAAACTCCTAACTCCTCCAAAATTTTTAAAGCCACGTGCGATAGCATCGTCATGACGTAATAGACTAGATCGATCTTCTTGCCATACTTTTGGAGAGTGCCGTACCACTATAGTAGCCGTTGTCTAGAACCTTGGGAGTCTTAAGTGTGGTTATCTCGATCGTCACATGGCCGGGAAAGGATAAAACAAAATAGTTTGATGCATAGAATCTTAGTCTGTCAATCCTATTGGAATACTTCCTAAGGGAGAAATGCATTGTGGCATCCTGCTGGGATTTCTATTCATATCAATCTCGCTGACGGTAAATTTCGGCCGCTTCTTCTCCATCCCTTAGCCTCGCAACATCATATTCCTCTGCACGACCCATGGCCTCCATTTCAAGATACCCAGGAGCATAAAGCTCAATATCTTCTGCGAATTGATCCCGATCACCGTCCATATCCACCATCTCTGACAGGTCAAGTGCAGTCTCGAGTATATCCAAGATCGGGTCGTCCATTTCCATTCTTGTAAGGAGCCATTAGTCAGAAGAATATCTTTTTCGGGGCAAAACTTTCGCAATACTCACTGTTCATTGGCCCAATCTCCCCCTCCAATATTCTCAAACTTTAACCTGTCAACACTCCACCCGAGTCCATAAATATAGGTCATCACAGATATTATGTTGAAAGGTCGACGAAGCATCTCTACATCAATTTGTCCGTTAGGTTTGAAGTTCACGAGTGTCAAACGACCTGTCTCCAGGCCCTCCTGATCAACAAGAAAATTGGTCCGGAGACCCCCGGGGAATCGGACCATTCCGCACTTGGTCATAGTCAAGTGCTGAAAATTTGCCGGTTCGAGAATTTGCCATGATAGGTAATCGGCCTTTGGAGACCCTCGGGTCGTGCGGTGGAAGGGTTCTGCTCAGCAATGACAATGCAGTCTCCGGGGTTCATGATATGACCGTAGTCACCATCCAAACGGTAGAGGAGAATTTGGAATTTGAGCCATCGGACGTAATTCTCCGGGTGATCTTTGTCCACCGGTGCCAGGCAGAAGACATCACCTACGCGCTGTTGTGTTTCTGAAATTCGATACAGAGCGTTGGTGGGATACTCGAGCGGCGACTTTGGCAAAGGGGCCCAAGAATGGTAGGACTAAATACCGGGTCAGTAATTCACGGGCAGGGGTAAAGGTATATGAACTGAGACTGACATCGCGAAAGCTCTGCTCAGCAGATGCCCATCTTTCGATCAAGGATCGTCGCTGTCGCAGCTCATATTCCGTGTCATCTGCAGGAATGCCATTTTCCTCTCGAGTTTTCCATTCTTCCTAACATCCAACCGAGTTAATAAACTGAATGTGAACTCTCACCGGCCAGACTGACTGTTATAAATAGCAACCACCCCCGGCTGTCCTCGATATCATCTTCCTCGGGTCGCTCGTCATCTGGGTGGATGAGGACCGAGGCTAGAATCCCACCGGGCCAGTGTTGAATTGTATTGGGCCGAAACGAGATTCTCGTTCTTCTCGGGAAACTTTCGGGGATGACGATGTTGGTGATGTGGTTGGGAGTTTGTGGGGATTGAATGTGGAGTCTTTACTAGCTTAGTCTGGAAAGGCGTGCTTTTGAAAGGGGATAAACTACAGAGAATGAATGGCGGCTAGAGAACGAAACGCAAGAATGAAAAAGGAGAAAGATACTGATAAGGTGACAAACAAGAAAAGTAATCTAGGTAGCCCAGTACACAGTTGATTGGCCACTGCACCGAAGGCAAGAGTCGAGATGACTAAACCGAAGTTGTTTGCAAAACAAAAAGGATCTCTTTTGAACCACTTTTGTAGAGTCCTGGGACTAAATCACAAGCTAGTAACAAATGTTTGACATATGGAAGTGTAGAAGAGCTAGACGCCCGATTCCCCGAAGAATAAATAACCTGTCGATTCCAACCATCCCGTGGAGGTGCCGCTGGTGCTCAGGAAGGCCTCTTATCATTTATGTTTGGATCGTCAGTGCAGTCGAAGGAATTTATCGAGCAAGTAAAGTTCATTCTTCCCTTGATGGGAAGCAAAGCTTGGCAAATGGGTAATCCAGGCTGTGGAGTGTCGGCCAAGTTGGTTAACAATTAAATGTTGGCCATCAAAAAAATCGCCACTTGCGAGGCACTCAATTTGGGCCGATAATGGGGTCTGGACCTCACACTAACAGAAATCATAAACTACTCCCCTGGCCACTGCTGGCCAATGGAATCAATAACCCTGTGCCTGGCGTGCTCTGCTCCGCTCCATCTTCCAACAATTATGAACCTGCATGCCCTATCGGTATGATCAATAAAGCCTTGGACCTGGCAATGGCTTGGGCCTCAACTTCCGGAAACCCTCTCCTTTTAGCGAGTACAGCTCCTGAAGCCTACAATAAAGTGGATATCGACTACCACGGACAAGACTTCTCGGTGGTTTATCAGTAGCTACAGAAACGTTCATCTCACTTACGAGGGTCTATTTCACATGAACAATTAGTGTAGTAAAAAGCGTTTTGATTTTGCTCTCAAATTGGAGAAACTTGGTGTAGCTACAGCGTCAAACTGTCTAAGCCAAACAAGTTCACGAGCGCAATCGGTTATTTTGCTGTGATAAAATAGAATCTGGTGACGATTTGAAATTGCAAATAGAAGTGGGAGGTTCGAATACCTGGAAGCCAGCACATGTCAAAATACGATGTTCTACGCCTTGGGGCCACGACATGTACAGTACTTGATGCCTGTTTACGCAAAGTTAAACCTCCCCGGTCTCCACATGAATTACAGTCATTAAACCATCAAATCCTCAGTCGGCCCGAGGGATATGACAGAGCGGGGCTCTCACGCATTCGAAATGCCCAAGGTAGGGGCGAGGAAGGTTTAAGATCTATTCCTGCCGAGAAGAAACAACACGCTTCTTCATCCTCTTTCATGCCTTTGGACTTATACCACCGTGTATCCTCAGGTATTTCATCTCTTACAATTTTAATTTCATTTTCAAACATACCTCATTATCATGGGTTCTATCGGTCTGAATGAATTGCCTAGTTTTGATGAGCTACCACCCGTGAAAGGCATGCCGCAAGGCTGCGCTTGGGGACTGTTCGACCGCCATGGCCAAAAAGACAACCTGGGTTGCTTGAATCTCCTCACACCTTCGGTTGTACAAGCAGCATTGAAAGAAGCCCACGAGGGCGAGTCAGTATCATTGAATTGGCCAATAAATGCCATCCACACACCTGGTTTTCTCCGCAAAGGCCTGGGGCATAAAGTGCTCTCCTTCCAGGACTCGCCATATAAGTTCCACGGCTTCGACGACGAGGTATCCTTCAACACACAGTGCTCCAGCCAGTGGGATAGTCTCGTTCACTTTGCTCACCAACCGAGCGGACTCAGTTACAACGGGATCCAGCCCAATCTGGATACCCTTGCACAAGACGACACCCCTTTCCACAAAGATTGTACCCTTCCAACTCTCAACCACTGGCACTCTCGTGGTGGAGTAGTTGGTCGCGGGGTGCTAGTTGATTATTGTGCCTATGCTGATGCTCACGGTATCAAATACAATCCTTTTGATGCCCACAAGATTACTGTCAAAGACTTGGAGGCCGTCATCGACTGGGAAGGGGTCGAGTTGCGAATTGGTGATATTCTGATTGTACGTTCCGGATTCACGCGTGGTCTCGAGAAGGCCTCTACACCAAAGGAACAAAAAGCGTTAATGAATTCTCACCGAACTGTCGGCGTGGAGGGGAGCGTGGAGACGGCAAGATGGTTCTGGAACCATCACTTTGCTGCTGTGGCGGGGGACGCTATTGCTTTTGAGCAAACCCCGCCAACCCGTGAAGATGGCACTGAGGGTAAAATTGGCGAGTTGGGTAAGTATTAATCCCACTTGTCACATTTGCTCTGAGGCTGTTGTCGCCAAAGTCTGCAGGTCCGTGACTAACAATTTCTCTTCTACTCTCGCTAGTTCTACATCCATACTTTTTGAGTCTCTTTGGTTTACACATTGGAGAGCTTTGGGACTTGGAAGATCTGTCTCGCACTTGCTCAGACAAGCGAAGATACTCTTTCCTGCTCACCAGCTGCCCATTGAACGTACCTGGCAGCGTGGGAAGTCCACCCAATGCCCTGGCCATCTTCTAATCAGCATGTCATATTCCTTGTCGTACACGTGTGGCATTTTCTTGACTGTTTCATAAGCTTCATCAGCGCAAATATATTCCAGTATCTCATCCAACCAGATACCTTTCGCGTATCATGTTCTCAAAGCCAAGACCAGGCGCCAAGATTTACTTTCTGTATCGAATATTTAAAGTTGACCCAAACCCGGATGCACGCGTCCTAGATATGCGGGGTAAGTAGGCTTCGAGGATAGCCATGGCCGAATGTGCCGGAGGTCTACTCCGATTGGTCGATCGGGTAAAGCTGAGCTGAGTCTGGAGTGGCATTCTTGTTCTCAGAAAATATCTTTTAGGGTTACCAAAATAATAGTAGCGATTTAAAGTCGCTTGCCCATTGTGATAATCGGAAAAGACGCGAGTTGCAGGGTTCTCATGCTTAATGCATGATTGTGGTTCCCTATTAAGTCCCCGGATCCCTTCCTGGTGGGGAATTTTGCCGTGCTGAAGCATTGGAGGCCAAGAGGACTACTTCACGCTTTCTAGAGAGATCGTACTCCTGAGATCGTCGATACTAGTCGACTCATAGTCTACTTTAGGAAATTTTATCACATAAATGACAATACGGAGCCCATGTACCGCGATAGGAATTGAGGCTTAGAAAACAGAAGGAGCCGGGCAATCTAGCTATGCAGACCCGACTGAGAATGGGTCTACGCCCGCCATTTCTTGCATTTCCATCCAGCTGCTGAACCAAGGATTCTGCTCCTCAACTGCCGGATCGAAGGCTGTCCACACCATAGATCTCTGAATCACATATTGTATCGCTCTCCATCGCTCTGTATTTTGCAGGCGATCGACAGCTTCCGCGGATGGTTCAAGGGTCTGATCTTCCAGCATGTCGTACCAAATCTGACAAACCCGATGTAGTGATCGCAACTGCCAAGCCGCCAAGTCAAAAGCCTTGGATGCATCTTTCATAGCTTCACAGCAAATATCGAGGTCGGAAATTGCTGCTTTGAATTCTTCACGACCCTTAGAAGTGCAGGCGATGTAGAGATGTACCATCGCGGCGGTAAACATCGGGTGAATGCCCTGGATGTTGATTCGTCTTAGTGACCACAGATGTTTGTAGATCCTTATAATACGCGTGATTGTCTTCGCAGCCTCTACGTATCTGCGACGTGAGTCCGCCCAAGATTTTGTTGCTGGAGAGGTTATGAAAGGGTGGTTGGCGAAGACCATCGCTTCCTGGAACTGTGCATGTAGAACAAGCACATGTGGTAGGTATATTGCGGATGTGTTATTGGTATCGACAACAAGCTCTTGTGGAAGGTCCAAAAGCCACCCCTCAAGGGCACTGGTTACTGAGGAGGTATGAGCCCGCAATTGAGATATGGAGCCAGTTTTCTTGTCATAACTACCAGAAAGTGTCAGTCAAAGTTGAATAGTTTGATATGAAGTTTTCACATTCTGCGATAGCAATACATACAATGCCTTCTGAAGACGCTCCATGATGTAGCATAGTTTCAACTGGTGTTCCCACATGGCCCGCAATGGTTCAACATATCGAGTTAGTCCAAACATGTTTTGATCAGTGTAGTTTTCCCAGTACAAAGGCGGACTGTGATGACTCCCCGTAGGCTTCCGCACTGGGATACGACTCGCACCCGATACAGGAATTGAAAGTCGTCCAAGGTAGTAGCTCCAGGCCGTGTTGATGATGTAAGTTCCCCAAAATGCGGTGCTTCGCGCATTGGCCTCTTCGCAAGACATATCGTTCGACTGAACGTAGTGCTCCACATCCAGGTGTAAACCGAGGTGATGAGCAAGCTGCGCTGCCATGCCATCGTAGAGCCATCCTCGAGAGTCGCGACCCTTGCTTGCTTCACTGCCACTCATCATTGCTAGCGCTTGAACAGTTGCAATCGTTGGGTTATCAATATCGCGATCTAATAATGCTCGGGCTCGAAGTATGAACAGGTCGTGGAGTGGGACTGAAACTTGAAGATTGTCTCGGTCTGTAAAAAGCGCGCCCCATGAGCACCTCCGAAATTGTCAGTGATGGATCTAGAACCGTATTGGTGTAAGGACGAGGGCTGTGGAGTGAAAGGCTGCTCACATGGCATTGACGAGCAATTCCGAATAACATGATGACTTAGTGGCCCTGCCAGCCTCACGATTAAGGATTGCCGTTTTGCGGGCATCCATAAACGCTTTCTGGTCTACTACATGGAAGTATGGATTTTCCCACGTGAAATATAACTTGATCAGATGATCCTCCATCTCGGGAGGGACGACTTGGCCCAAGCCAGCTCGCTCAAGCCACATTTCAGGTGTCGCATCATATCCTCCCCCATGCAAAGACGGCTGAAATGGGATCGCAGTTTTAAGAAAGTGCACGTTAGAGGTAGTGCCAAAATATTTCAGTTGCCCATGCTCCGTGAATTGAAGAGACCCCGTGCGCTTCACAAGGAGTTCCATCTCGGGGTCCAAGCCTGGTGCCAATCTATGCCCTTCATCGATTCGTTCGATGAGAGCTCGTTCCCTATCACTTCTGTCCTGGGTCATCTCTTCCATATCCTCGGCGGCTAGTGTAAGTCCTCCCCCATTAATGCTCAAAAACTCTGACGGGTCTGTTGCCTTTTCACAAGGACCAGATGGTTTGGGTATCGTTTGGCGAGGTGAAGATGAGGGAACGGGAATGTCGTGATCATGCAGAGTGGCCTCTAGCAAACGTACTCGATCAAGCAGCTGGGTAACCGCTAATTTGGACAATCTGCATTCAATAAGCAAAGGCAGACAAATACCAAACCTAGTGTACAGGCGTCGAGTGGATTAGAGGTGGCGACCACGGTCGCTGTCGATGGGGAAAGGTGTTGTCTGGTTTGGGTAGAAAAGGCTCCGCTCACTTTCTCCTATCTGGACGAAAATATGTACATTTCTGCTCTAGGCGACAACAGCTAGCACACGATGGAGAAGAGCCATCGCAGCGGACCTTGAGTCGAAAGCACTGGTCGCACGCCATTGTCGCATGCGACGGCCTGCGAGTGATGGCAGCTGCCATTATCGGAAAATGACTGACTGCTTGGTGAGATCGGGATCGTAGAAAGTGGTTACGAGAGAAAATAATGTGCGCGGGGTTGACCAAGGTTCGCATCAACAGCGGCGAAACGACCAAAGATGCGGGGAAGCTAAACTAAAATAGTCGCGAGTTGAAAGTGGCTCTACAGCCTTTTCTGGGCGATAATAGTACAAGATCCTCTCAGGGATATCTATCCAGAGACATCATTCTAGTCATCCTTAGACCCAACAATATTTAGGCACGTTTCATCAAATTCCCGAGTACACTTTCTATGTGCTTTGTCTCAGCCAACGGTCACTTCTAGCTCCAAGCAAACTAAGACAAAGAAAATTGAACTAACACGGTATTTGGAAAACGAATTTGCTGGGATTATGTCACAGACAATCCTGATTTCCATTTACTTTCCGTCGTGAAGCGGTAATTAGCCTATCAGCTCAACTCCACATGAACCGTAACTGGCTTGGCTCCCTCGCCATTGCTGTTTTCTCCACCATCACACAATGCTTCTCGGGCAATCTTTTCACGCTCTTCTTCAGTCGCATCATACCAGTGTGACACCACATTCTCTGCATCGCCGAACAAAGCACCAATTTCCTCCAAGGTGCGACCCTTCGTTTCCGGGAAGAGGAAGTAAATGGCCACGATGTAGAAAACAGACGGGACAATCAGCACCAGGTAGAATTTCCATTGGATTGTGTTCAAGGCCACTGGCGCAGCAACCAGTGTGACTTCAGAAGTGAGGTAGAAGGTACTGAGGCCAATTGCCACTCCCTGAGAACGCAGATGGTTGGGAAATATTTCAGCAACATAGACATACTGCGTCGCATCCATGAAGAAGCACCACCAGAAAATGTAGAAAAACGTGAAGAAAACCGCTGCTCGGAGACCCGGCATATCTTCGGTACCCAAGTACTTCGCGGAGAGGGCACACAGGAAAATGGCAGACACAGTGCAGCCAATTGACCCGATCAGCAGACATGTTCGTCGGCCAATGCGATCCAAGTAGAATGCAGTCCAAGTATTACCAACGAGGGTGAAAGTCGTCCAACAAGCATTGAGAAGGAGCGGGATTCCGCCAGACAAGCCGAGATAGCTATAGATGAGCACACCATAGTTGGCAATCACGTAGATTCCAAGGAATTGATCGCCAGCCATGAGCATGACAGCCGTAAATGCTCGCCGGCGGTTCGGCGCAGTTCGAAAGAGTTCAAAGGGCCTGACTTTCATGGATCGGTCGTGCTCAAACTGCTTCTCAATCAAAAGGAACTCTTGTTTAGCGCGGGTGTCATTAGGATCGTCAGGGGTCTTGTGCAGCCGTTTAACAATCTCAAAAGCCTCGTCTCGACGTCCTTTCTGAAGCAACCAGCGGGGTGAAAAAGGAATCAAGGAGCTCCCGGCAAGCACAATAAGAGGAAAGGTGACTTGGAAAGCCAGAGGAAACCTCCAGGCAAAAGCTGAGTATGGGCTGCTTGCTTTCATATAGAAACAAGCAAAGCCAAGCCATCCTGCCAAGGTATATCCCACCGCGTACATGATTCCAGTGACGCAGACCATAGCACCGCGTGTCTCGGCAGTCGAAACCTCGGACTGGTAGATTGGCACAATGCAAGCTAGGATGGCCGCACCCACCCCAGCAACAAATCGACCAGCGAGAAACATGCCCATATTAACTGCGCCTGAGCAAAGTGCACCGCCTATAATCAAAACAACACATCCACCTTGCATAGTGCGTTTGCGACCGAAGTAGTCTGCTGTCCACGCCTGTGCTAAGCATCCGACAATGGCACCAGCCGAGTTAATGCCATTGAGGGCACCTATCATATTTGTAGTGTGTGCATATCCCGGCTGGCCTTGTGCAGGCAGCTTGAAATATGTGTAGAAGTTAGGCTGCCCGACAGTCGATCCGATGATGGCCAGCCCATAAGCACTTGCGATTGTGCCAATGGCCACAAAGACCACGAGCCAAAAGTTGTAAGCATTGACAACAACTTTGTGAAGCATTGTTTTGTTGGACTCAATATTGCGCGCCCACAATATATTTGATCTTCCAAAATTTATTGATAGAAGAAAGGATAAAGTCAGCCCATTTGGGTTGCGCAACTATTATAATACCTGAGGGCTTTACAGATCGAACCACTACGAACAATATACTGCAATGCGCAGCCACACCGCCGGCGTCGAAGACCGAGAACGGGGGATGTCCGGTTAATGCGGGGAAAATACATCATCCTTAAAAGGATGCTCACTGAATGATCGGTCTGAATGATGTAATCGTTGGTTCTATATCCCGCGGCCCTTCGGCATAAGGAGCTTGCGCTGCGGGGAAGCGGGGAGATAAAGTTGCTTATGAAAGTCAATGCAGATCCGAACAAGTGGCTATAGAATTCTCATCTAGATATGAATAGTTTTCTCGATTGCGATCTACAGGCAAAGCCAAGACCGAGATCAGATTATACAGAGTCTAATAGGATTGCAGTTTGATGCATCGTTATTTGTGTCGTGAAGAGAAATTTATTCGAGAGTACCTGGACAAATGTTGCCACAGAACAACACAATAAATGATAATCAAACCCCTCTAAAAAATATACAGCAGCTAAAAGTATAGCCAGGCTTACCTAGCGCCTATCGTTCTGTTATAGGCGACTCGCCGCTTTGTTCAGGCAGTAGTTCACCTACCTAAATATTCTTTGCCTAGATAGGTAAAGCCATGCTCCTAAACGTGCTTTTATATATTTTGATAAAGGGAAAGATTCCGTGAGTGGCCGTAATAGATAGAGATAAAGGATAAATTAAAAAGATATACTAGGAGCGTCTAGAAGCGCTCTCTTATTGTTTAACGTCTCTATATACCTTATTGTTATACCTACTATAAGGAAAGATCTTTTAAGATATCTTTTAATATATCTTTTAGGATGGTTTAGTTCTTAGTTAGAAAGCCTAATTAAATCCACTACTTTTCGTTATCGCTTTCTCCCTATTATTAAATATATTATATAGTTACTTGTACGGAAATCAGAGGAGATCTTAGCTCTTCAATCAATTATGTGAATTGGTTCCCCCAGGACTAGGGCGTACGGGTATTCCACGATCCGACACTAAACTTTAGATACACAAGCAATGTCACCACGCAAAACATTCTGCATGTAAATACACACCCTCAGCACCAGTTCCTTTGTTTGACCCGCGTTGCTCACTGACAGTAGCAACGGTATTTCTAACACTGCTCACTAATCCTAGAGGTCCACACACTGCAACACCAGTTTCTCCTTTAGCATGATCCAGTAGATCCCAGAGAAGGGGCTTCAACTGGGGTCGGCCGGACAAGATTGTGGAGCAGGCAACTGGTAATGAGTTACCCATTCTCGGCTGCATTTCTCGTAGACTCACGGATGGAGGTGATTCGATGTCTAGATCATCACTTGCTTGAGTGATCAGTGTGTTGGGCACAGCTTCGGGCCTTTCAGTACCTAAATCGCTGCAGCAGCACGGTCCCTCGATATTCCTGCACTTGCATCCTGCTTTTTTAGTTGATTGTTCCATCGGATCGACCTCACAGGTCACAAATAACTGTACTTCAATTTCAATTCCAACATTGAGTATCGCTTCGGTTGCTCGTTGTAACTCTCTCGCAATCCACTCTTTGCACGAAATAGTTCTTACGACCCAAGTAAACACTATTCTGCGGACTGGAAGTCTCCGATCTGCTGACCTATGAGCAATATCGAGGAGGATTGGTAAAGTGAATGTAACACCAGTTGATCCTGCGATGAGTAGGACGGTGTCGAAGGCCGCAAAATCGGAATGCGATCCACCATACGGACCGCCGATGAGTGAAAAGTGCTTCCCTTTTATTATGTCGACGGCATCCTCCTCACTACTTTTCTCTTTTTCTCGAACATCCCGGGGTAGGTCCATGGAGGATGATTTGGCCGAACGGAGCAGCCGCCGAGTGAAGCCTCGATGAGCTCGCAAGATGAACACCAGGTCATTGTCATGAGATGAGGGAATAGACAGAATGGTGGCCGGGTGTGACTGACCCCATCCCAACTCAGGAATGGATAGAAAGACATGCTGCCCTGGAGTCCATTTTTTAATCCGAGGGGAAGTTATCCGAACTTTTGTAACATCTCCTGAGAGTCCCTGAAGGGTGAATTTTGCGGGCTTCATATTATTGAAAGCGTAGATAAGGGTCCGCACTAGCCGGTCGAAGACAAACACACCGACACCGATCCAAGCATATATCCTAAAGAAAGAATTAGAGTTGTAACTTTTAACGAGAAGGTATATATTGTACCTTGAACTCAGGGCGGTTGAAGGTAAATGGTAGAAAATAGCCACGACAAATCCAATGAAAGTGATGATATGTTGAACCACAAATATCTCATAACGCCAGTTGCGAATTGGAGCAGTTGCGGAAAAAACGAGCCAAAGTAGGAGTATCCAAGTAGAGAACCCTTTACAAATGTTAGTCCCGAACTGTTGTGTTAGGACGTTCAAAAATACCAGTAGGAATGCAGCTATCAGTGTCAATCTCAATTTGCATCACACCATATTTTTGCCATCCATAGGCTTGAACACCACCATGGATGGTAGCAGTCAGCAGCATAATCCTTGCCACCCAACGGTGCAGAATCTGAAGTCGCTCGTACGACACGCCGACTGCGTATCCGATCAGGTTCCTCTTCCCAGCAAGGAGAAGGAGAAGTGGAAATTGAGTTATCGTGAGCCAGCCCGCGCGGAGGCCCTGTGCCTCCCAGAATTGAGCACCGGGATAGTTCCAATCAAAGAATTGCAATCCCATAACGTAACCAAAATATATGAAAATCAACAGGATTGATCCAACTGATGGTATCCGCAGCCACGAGTTTGTTGGTGTAATCTGAGAGTAGGACACTTCTCGAATCACAGCTGTACAACAAGCTAGGAATGAGGTAACCGAGTTAGAAGGACTTGACGGTCGTGGACGGTTTCTTGCGGCTAAATGCAATCTAAACTTGGAGTCAGCAATAGACCCATGATCCACGCAATAGTTTGTGTAATTGACCGTAGCTTCAGTAGACCCCATTGACTCCAATTGGCCATGCCCACCAGCACAATGACAATGACAATGCCGTACCAAAACGCCCGAGCGATAGCATAATCGGATTGTTGCAGGGTTGTGTCATCGAGAAGCGCGGTTAGAAAGTCTGAGGCCACGGTATAATTCGACATATTCAGGCCTGCATCTGTGAGGCCGGGGCCTCCAGACATAGTATTGTCCATATTCATCTTGACCGGTATACACCAGCGCTAGGATATGGAGAACTAAAGAATATACGTCGATAGAAGAGTGTACCAAAACCTTTTCCCATCAGGAGAGTGGCATCAGCCGTGATCATCAATTAATAGTACCTTTATCAGACGGTACACTACGTCTAGCTGCTCCACTTCTTTCCGACCAAGCCGTCGGCGCAGGGGTGGGGAATACTAAAATATCAAAAGCTTGGTCATATCAAGCATTTCTCCTTGCCGCTTCCGGTTTAGCGCTGAGCACATTTGCGTGGATTTTCGGATCCAAGTCCTACCTGGAGCTTTTTAATCCCAGTCTTTCGGGGGGTTCTATCAGCTCCCTGGGTGGCTGGTATTCTTTCTAGAATTTCATTAAGCACTCTATATATTCCCTCCAAAGAACCCGCGTGTCCGGGAGTTGAAGGATTTTCGTGTTCCCGGAGGAATGATTTTCGCCGTCTGCCAACCCCTTATTGTCACCTCTCCTTGGTTATTCATGTTTTGATCTACGGTCCAATACCACCTTCTATACTTTCTATTGAAGTTTGAAAATGACACTATCTCGTCCGTTTTGCCCGCCACGCAAATGTCTTCAACAACTATAACTGCGTCCAGTATGGCGATGACATCTACCACCTCGGCCTCCATGAACATGGCCTTCAATACTGAGAATCTTTCCACGATGCTGTACTCGACTTCTTGGATGCCCACTAGTACTGGCGGCTACGTGGGTACTTGGCTTTTTCTCTTCTTCCTCGCTGCGATCTGGCGAGCCCTGAGTGCGAAGCTTGCCAAATTGGACGCCTTCTGGGCCGCGAGAAGCGCAGGATACCCAATTCTTATCAACGGTGGTCAGGATAAGCCCTCACGTAAGAAAGTCATACAAACATGGCGGTTGTCAGTCAATCTTCCTCGAGCGGCATTGCGAATGGTTAGCCAGGGGATCGCATATCTTTTGTAAGTTCCTAGTCACGCTAGCTGCGCTTATGAAACAACAAAAATGACATTCTTTGACCTGTTTTGTCAGAATGATTGCGGTGATGACTATGAATGTCGGGTTCTTCTTTGCTGTGCTTGTCGGGTATTTCGTCGGCGAGCTCATATTTGGTCGACTTAGTCAGGGTGAATATGGGAGTTGATGGGATGGACATATCTTGGTGGAGAGCGATGTACATATGGCAGGATCTATAGACACTAACTCGTCGACGTGTACCAAGTGATGTAACTGTAAGTCCGATAGATCTTGTAAATATTGTTCTCGTGCGGTGACATTTTCTTGTGACGATCGGAACGACGATCTAACAAGACCCACCGACCGAACGGAGATGTAAGACATGACAGCCTCGACCAGCCGGGAAAGCTACAGTAGCACCGCAAAAGTCTGTGAACACCCGCTTGACCGCCTGCAACATCGCCTTCCTACTGTAGCCTACCCATCCTCCTAAACGCGTAGACGTGTATCGCGTTATATGCAACACCTTGATTTTCGGTTACTCTAAACCTGGAAGAAGAGCTTTGCCAGTACTTAGCCTTCCTTGAGTAGTATTTTTGGATGTTTCTGTGTGGCAAAATAGGCAGAAAAAGGTGGTCAGCCGGGGGTCACAGACTTTTGCGGCGCCACTGTAGATGGATAACCACACACGACCGTACGGGACCGACCGCGTCCTCCCATCGACGGACTGTGTATATCCGACGGACTAGCCGAGACGGACGACCAGACCCCTACTCAGGAAGGATACAGGACGGATAGCCAAGGACACTAGGAGGGCAGCGATCATGGCTCCATCGCTTACCTATAGCTAGTAGCTTCCTGTAGCTCTCCACACTTGATCTACCGTTTATCACGACACTCAATAAAATTTCTTCAGGTCTTCTTCTCTTTGAACGGTCGCAGTTCTCTTTGGCTTTCTGCTGGGCTGCGTATCTGACCTACCCTTAGAGATGAGGGCCATCCAGATACTGTAGGTCGTTAATAGCGTCTGGAATTCATCCCAGACAAAGAGGGTCATTGTGTGGTGGTTAGAAAGTTGTCTGTGCTTGAGTTAGGACTGCTTAAGGCGTTATAACGTTATGGGGGGTATAGTATATTTAGAGCTATAACAGTACATGAACATACTATATAGCTTACTTAGAATCTTACGTGTTTAGCATTACACCATTGAGCCTTGGAACAAATCTTTAAATACGAGGATACCCATATTAGAATTAGCGTACTATACGATTAGGATTTAAAAGATAGTCTATCAATATTCATGCAGTATACACAATCTATAAGGATGGTCAAAATAAGATTATTTACCACGTGGTCAAGGAATATAGAATTCAACCACATAAAGAATTTAATTACATCTAATCATCTTTGAGATATACAGAACTATATAATATCCGTATTCAGACTAAAGAGTAAATATACTCTATATAAGTCTACTAATATTTGCTAGTACATAATCATGCATCGACTGACACTCAAGGAACAATTCTTAATTGATAAACTGGATCTACAATCCCCACTCTCCGGGAATAGTTAGTTAGGGCCAATTAATTAGTAATTAGTAGATATATTCATAGTGACCCTAAGTTAAGTGATATTTTCCCTTCCCCTTTCTGACTTAGACATCCATCCAAGATGCAACGCTAGCAGCAGGTCCTTGAATAATCTTAAACCTTGATACCGCGAAACTGATTCAGTACCTATTATATACGTGTGTACCGACCTAGCGTATAGATACCAAATTGGTTGAATTTCTCTATGCATTTGATTGAACAACGTACATGATGTTCTTCTTGCATAACAGAGAGTAGGCCAGCGGTGCTGTTAGTAGGTTCAAAACTGATAATTCGTCTCCGAAGGTCTTTCAGCAGTGTATAGCGACTCGTTACACCCCCTTTTTTTTTTTTTTTTTTTTTTTTTTTTTCAAATTCTTGCGTTCTAAGTCACAATTTTCGCCAATCCACACAAGTAGCTTCGAAGAGTCCTTGAATTTCTTGCACCTAAGATAGAGCATACAATGGACTCGCAAGTAGAAGCAGAGTGAAATGTGTTTGATCTTGTTCGATCCCTTGCCTCTTATATTTCAGTGTCATCTCTGCCGCAAATCGGGTCATAATGTACATTTCTATGAATTTAGATAATGGGAAGAAGCAAGGTAATAGAAAAGAGGAGAACAAGAAAATAGAGAAAGCATCCAAGGATGGTAGCATTCTCAATGATGCCAAGATGGATCCATCTAGACCTGAGATGATCTGAATGGATAGTATCAGGTGACTAAATGCTACATGACAAATATACGGCGGAGAGAGGTTCAAGAAAGTGTTCGAAGTCAATGTCGCATTCAGTTGAATTTGCACATTTGAGGTAACAATATCGTCTCAAAGGGTTGCTCCACGATATTAACCAGCCGAGGTGAGAAATGCAAGGGCATCTTTTCCAAGTCGACCTTCAAGATCTAGATTTCAGGGTTGTGAAGACACCAGAGATCCTTCTCATGGTAGTCGGGGACGACCAAGGACGTTTAAAAGCATTGAGCATCGATGGAAGCGATCTGGGAACCTGACTGAGGGAGGGAAGCAAACAAGGCAAACAGTCTCCATCATCGTCACATGACCACAAGCCATTCACTTGCTTCGCGCAATAGACGAAGTTTGTCTTCACCATTTTAGTGTTCGGCTTGTGTCTTAGCCTCTGGCATTTGATTGGCTATTTCTTGGCCCCTTGAATTATGTGGCTGCTCCAGGGTTCGTACTATCAGCCCTGTTCGACTCGAAAAAGCTAGTGGTATTGACACGTTATAGTGACCACGAGTATTACCATACATTACCTAACGGTTGAATCAACAGCCAGTAATTTATCCAATGAACCCTAGCGGTAAAATATGACGGCTCAGTTCGTCATATATAATAGCGACGTGCGTTGGGGTAGGGTAGTAGCAGGCAACCACGTTCGTCCGAGGTGCAACTGGTAAGCTGAAGCCAGAAAGGGTTTTTTCCCTTCTCCCTGTTTTATAGGTACAAGCCTCGGGCATAATGGCATCGCGCCGGCATTTCCGGCGACGGGCGGTTATCACTTTGGCAATAGTTGTACTCTTCACTTGGTACCTGCATTGGCGGACAGACAATGCATCGATTGTAGTCGCCCAGTATCCATTACTTTCAAAATACATTTCTGCCCAGAGGGGAGATGGTGGAGGTATGTATGAGTGTTTCAAATATTGTTACACAATCCGTCTTCTTGCTAACATCGGCAGCTTGGCACATCCCATCTAGCTGGACACAGGGATCTGGGGCTGCCATTGAGAATATTGTCGATGCCGCCAGTTTGGCTCTCAATGCATCCAGACTACTGCCAGAGCGGCAGATTCCCCAGTCTGCCATTCCCTTGATCATTCATCAAACATGGAAAAATACACATCACGATCGATGGCCAGAATCATTCCGTCGCAGCACTGAAACCTGGCTCTCGGGAGTTGAAAGTGGCAACATGGCATACTTCCTTTGGGATGACAAAGGCATTGCTCAGTTCATCCGGCACTTTGAACCGGAGATAGAGAGTCAGTTCTATGCACTACCAAATAATGTGGAACGATCGGATGTCTTTCGCATCCTGGTTTCCAAGTGGATTGGTGGCATCGTGAGTAGCTCCCTCCCATTACCAGCACCAGGTTCGAGTCCACTTGCTTCATGACGTTAATCGAAATTAGTACGGCGATATGGACACTGAACCCATTCGCCCCCCGTCAACATGGATTGCCCCTACAGATCTAGAGCCCTGGCAAGATTTGGAGACGGGCACGGTGTACAAATCAACCGAGCCAGTCAGAGCTATTGTTGGTCTTGAGGCGGATTGCCTACCTGACAGTGACCTCTACTGGCGTATGGGGTACTTCTACCCTATCCAACTGACGCAGTGGTCTTTCGCCTGGGCGCCCGGGCATCCCATTCTGCAGTTGTTCATCGACCGTCTACTTGCAACAATGCAGGCAGTTTCTGAAGATAATGATCCGCGGCTTGAATTATATTCAGCTCAACAGGCCCTCTACGCCATCGACCCACTGAACCTGACTGGTCCAGTCGCGTTCACTGATTCGGCTCGAGGGTGGCTGAAAACCGAATGGGGTCTGAGGTGGAATGCTCTGTCTGGCCTTGCTGATGGAGGGCTGAGCAAATTAGTGGGAGATGTGCTCGTTCTTCCCATAACCGCATTTAGGTATGTATAGCCCCATCTGGGTCGTTCTTCTGCTAATCAAATACAGTCCAGGAAGAGGTCAATATGGCAACATGGGTTCGAAGCCCGTCACGGATGCTTCTGCTCGGCTTGTCCACCATGCAGAAGGGTCCTGGAGAAAATCTAGCGTTCTGGTGGAGTACGGCAAATTTTGTCGCACCTTTTTCGGGCGCTGCAGGGACTGGTCAAAAGTGTCTCATAACTGGATTATTTGAGATTGGCGCCAGGATTAGGGATGATATGAAGATTATCTTCACAATCTCATAAGTGATACTACTTAATATTAAATATAATATGAGGTTTGATGCTGATATGAAGTTGTTGGCCAGTATGTAAGATGTGAAGGCAGAAATGCATAACACGTGGCTCGATGGAGGTGGAATTAGAGATTATAGATTAAAGTAACCACCTACATGAACACACCGTTGTATCTGGAATCACAAGGACTCATAAAAACGGAGATCGGCGCAGATACTACTTGTCAGGCAATACCAAAGTTCAAAGTCACTGCAGTATCAAGCCGGAATCATCAAAGGGAACACAACTGGTTCCCCCACATTGGGCACGTTGGCTGCCACTTACTTCTAGACACCGATTCTCAATTCCCAGCGCCTTGAAATTTTTAGAAAGACTCTAACCTTTCTGTCTTTTAAATTCCATGTCAATCAAAATTTGTTTGTAATTTATCATCCTCTATACAACTTCAAAGCGATGTCTTGGCACATCACGTGATCTGGGGTTCTCACTCTCCATCCAGGCAACACTGGAACGTTACGACGTCAAAAATGCCAGCCAGCGTCCAGTCCAGTGAGTATGAGCTCGATTCCGAGTCATTACTAGGCTGGACAAAACGCAACCGGCCTGGCTTTGAATGGCGACGTCACACCGCCGGCTTGCGCTGGACGAGAAGAAAGCTGCCGGCGCTGTTAACCCGCGTTTTCCTCGTCCTCGCCCGCGCCTTGGGTGTGCTCTTCGGGCTGGGATTCAGACGCCGATTTTCTTTCTTCATTCAGGTCACACTTGGCGGGCTTCTAGTGTTGATATGTCTGACTGCAATATTTTGGCCATCATATACCCATTTACCGCCACATTACAAGACGCTCAGAAACCAAGTGGAAAGAACCGCGTTTCATGGGCGAGGTAACATCGAGAACCAGAAGGTCTATATTGCCGCTGTTCTCTATGATCCTGATGGAGAAATCGCGAATGGAGGATGGGGACAAGCCCTTCTCAAGCTTATCGAACTTCTCGGTGAGGAAAATGTTTTTCTCAGCATATATGAAAACAACAGTGGGCAAGAGGGTGAGAGTGCCCTCCAAACCCTAGCAGATCAAGTGACGTGCAACAATTCAATCGCTTCAGAACAAGGCCTCAGTCTAGGAAACATACCTAGAGTAGCTGTCCCAGGAGGTGGGAAGCGAATCAGGCGCATTGATTACCTGGCCGAAGTCCGAAACCGTGCTTTGCAACCACTACGGAATGCCAATATGACCTACGACAAACTGTTATACTTGAACGATGTCATCTTCGACCCTGTCGAAGCCCTCCAGCTATTGTTCTGCACGAATGCCGACGCAAATGGCGTAACTCAGTACCGAGCTGCGTGTGCAGTGGACTTCAGTAACGCTTTCAAATTCTACGACACCTACGCAACTCGCGACATAGAAGGCTACGGCATCGGTCTACCTTTCTATCCTTGGTTTACTACCGCGGGGAGTGCTCAGAGTCGACAAGATGTACTGGAGGGCAGAGATTCAGTGCGCGTCCGCAGCTGCTGGGGTGGTATGGTTGCCTTTGATGCCAGATTTTTCCAGGGCCCAAATCCCGTTCGATTCCGTGCGGATGCTGAGCTCTTTTGGGATGCATCCGAGTGCTGTATCATTCATGCAGACGTACGGAGTGCAGCACCAGTTTCGGGAGTATCTCATGATTCGGGATCATACATGAACCCTTTCATTCGGGTCGCTTATGACTCAAGAAGCCATTCGTGGCTTTGGACGACTCGGCGTTTCGAGAAGTTATATCCATTCATTCATAATATCCTGAATCATGTGGTCGGATTTCCGCGATACAACCCTCGCCGCACCGAGGTTTTTGGCCAGAAGATCACAGACACTCTTTGGGTACCGGGTGATGGTGAAGGAGGCCAGGGTGAAGTTCACACAACAGAGCGCGAAGCTGGAAATGACGGATTTTGTGGACGTCGTGGAATGGAAGCCCTCGTTGAAGATCGAACTTCTGGTCAAGATGGGTTTGAGCCTGTTAAAGTTCCTACCGGATTGGTATAGGCCATTTTGTGCTTTGTATAAAAATAAGCTTTGTGAATCTCAATTTTCATTGTAATATACCTTTCTACTACTATCATCGATCTCGGCAACTTCGGCTTTCAACAATGGTTCGTATACCGTCCTAAGAAACCCCATTATACAAACCCAGTGAAAATGCCCGGGGTATGTATGTACGAGTATCATATTTCAACATACATTTTTTTCCTTTATTTTCACTACTAGATTTCGAGCACCGCGGATCTGTATTACTGTACATACGAGATCCCGTGTCTTCTTGTCTGAATATCCTGATGAACAGGATATGATGGTACACGAGTGTGTGAGGCCTCGGCCCGGTTGACAGGGAATTGGCTGGATTTACCTTCACCGGAGGCAAGGAACCCGATCGGTATTCACTATTGGTGGGAGAATGACTGGTAGAAGAATATGACATAGTAGGTAAATTGACCCGACCGCATGCTCATTTTTCTGTTTGAAATTTTGTGACCTAGCGCTGTACTCAGTACCATGGTATTTCAATGGGCTGCAGCAACGAGGCTTGAATAGCCAGGTCGAAAGACCAATCACCAAGTCCTTGCAAAAAAGCCAAAGAAAAATTTTCCTCCGCCCCGCGAAGAAAAGGGGCCGAAGGGGTTGACTGCTCATAATTCCAGGGATCCTGCAATCTGGGCCAATCTGTGATCAAGCGAGCACTTCCTTCGTGCAGATAAGCGGGCGATCAGCATAGCTTAGCTATGGTGACAGTGACATTCTTTGGTCATCGATTGGTCAAATGAGGTAATTAAGCTTTTAAGGGCAACATCGAGGTGGGCCTGGAATCCGAGCATTCCGCAGGCAACCATATTGTGATTTGCTGTCATGTTTGTATACCATACGGTAATACCGTATTTCATAAACCCCGAATTCAAGACCAACAAAATTACGATATTCATCGAATCAGAGAATCGAGGATCTCGCAGATCGATGTATTGTACTGGGCTGTGGGAACAGTATTCTAGTTTCCAAATGAGACGCCTTGATCGTATTGTATGCAGGGTTCCAGACATTCGCGTCGTCCCACACGAAGAACGGCTCTTTAGGTGACGACATTAAAATCCGTAAGCGAACAGGCTCGGTACAATACCACTACTCAACCCTCTTGGTGCAACAGGACGCGTGAGGTTGTAAGAACCCTCTCTCGTCGCCATCCTCCAGAACGTAGTTATTCCTCGCCTCTTACGACAATCTACTTAATGAGATGATTCTACTTCGTCTCGTTAAGCGACTAGGGCGCCGCCTTCTCACACAAAGTTGGCCTACAATTCTATCCGCCCTAGCTGGGGTGGTCGTAACATGCGTCCTTCTTCTGTATCTCACACTTGCCTATTATCTGGCAGATGACCCGCGCCTTATCCCCGATACATTTCGACATGCACGCCGGCCGATGCTTATCACAGCACACCCAGATGACGAAACACTGTTCTTTAGCCCTAGCATTCTCTACCATCGACATGATCCCCATGTCACACGTTCCTTGCTAGTGATCTCCTCAGGTATGCGACTCGAGTGTCTTAAATAAGAAATACAATATCACCTAATGCTCGAAAAATAACAAGGAAACTACAACGGCCTCGGCGAACAACGTCAAAAAGAAATACACAACAGCTGTGCTGCATTGGGTATTTCTCAAGATCATTGTGTGGTCTTGGATAATCCTGAACTTCAGGACAATCCGAAGAAATGGTGGGATGAAAAATCGGTTCAGGATATCATTGCGCCGTACATTGAGAAATGGAACGCGGACCTGGCAAGTGTCACTTTAACACCCAGCTAGTTAGTTGACGTTATTACTAACATGGATTCATAGATTATGACATTTGATCAAGGTGGAATCTCAGGTCATATCAACCATAGAGCTGTCAGTGCTGGCATCAGGTGCGTTTATAGTCCGACCTTTATATCGAAGTTCGGTTATTTTCCCGCATCATTCCAGCGTGATGGATGATTGACTTTGAAGAATTGCAGGAACTATGTTACGACTACCGAGCATGCACCCCCGCATTTACTCTGCAGAGCATATGGCTACTACGAAAATATTCCTCATTGATCGACCTAATTCCTTCTGCTATTCCGTTCTTGTGGAAGGTTCTGACAACTCCAGTCTTGCCTACGACAATACCAACAAACCCCAAAGTCGCGGATCGATCTCTCGTCCAAGAGACAGGGAAGGAGAGAGTGCTCTTGGTGAGCTCGTGGCAAACATATCTTGAGTCAAGAGCTGCATTCGGTAAACATGAGAGTCAGTACTCATGGGACAGAGTGCTATACTTGGTAATGAGCCGTTATATGTGGTTCAACACCCTTGAAAGAATTCGATAGCATGATCCGGAGCACGCGATTAGTGGGAAAGTATTAGAGTGCTCTTCTAATGAAATATATGTACATGCATAGCAGAATATATCAGTACCCTGAGCAAAAGTCGGAGCCCAGAAACCTCAGATGATGTGCAAAATAAATATAATACAGTGAAAGACATCTGCCTACGTGTCTTTAAACAGAGGCTTGACTAAAGGACTTTGCAAATGAGATTCGACGTCTCGTGTTGACAGACGATGGCGCGCCGATCGTATACACCACACCAGGAGGGCAAAAAACCCAAAGATCATTACCGCTGCTACAAAGACGAGTTTTAGTTCAACATTCTTGAGCAAGAGTATCAGGCGGGCGTCTTTGGTGTGCCACGAGGAGGACCCCAAATGGCGGAAGAGAGGAGTATTGACAAATCCATTCAACATGTGCATTGATGGGTTATCAGAAGTGCCAGATAGGATGCGAAGGCTCGATCGATTGGTTTGTAGGGTGTACACAGTGCTACATAAATGAGTATAGGTCAGTAGGGGCAACAGAGATGGTCATTCAATATCGTAGACCTTGAGAGACTTACGAAGCATAGTGACAACCAGTACTGAACATCACCGTCACATACGGTAGAAGCGGCCATATATGATTGAATATAGGTAGACTCTCGATCATTGATTTGACAAACGTGTTATTGGGCGAGGCAAGCATCATGCCAATCGAAAATCCCGAGGGATGGGCAGCCGGGGCAACGAATTCAAACCGACGAAGAGGCTCTAGAGAACGTTTGCAGGCCAAGTCGAAGTCAAGGACAGCACCTGGTATCATATTGATTGTCAGCCCCTCAGTCGGACTAGGATCTTCGCATTATACTCCACGAGCAACCTACCACCGTACTTGTCCAGGGCCATGTAACGCAGAGCGTCAACACGTTGAACCATGAAAGGATAGCTTTTCCACATATCATAGAGGTGAGGGTAATGTTCCTCTACGAACTGCGGCGCATTGGTATCATTCCAGAGGAAAGTTTCCCACGAGTCATGGTGTTTGAGACAATCGGCCCTGGCTGTGAGCCACTCCTGCGCTGGAGGATTTGGACCAAGGTGAATGTGATGCAATTTCGCTGGGATTAACGGACGCAATCCCGCATCCTCCGTGGAATAATTGGCGGGAAACGACGAAAACGTCAGGTCGAAATGGTCGCGTTCTTGAGAGATGGTCGCATAAGCTGAAGATTTTCTCCATACGAAAGGCAGTCGGAAGAGATAGTACAATCTCTGGACTGAAGAAGCCGATAGACATGCGAGAATGAATAGCAATAGAAGGACAAGGAAGACTCGAAGTCGACCTCGCGCCATCACTCCAGCTGAAGAACAAGACTAAGTCCGTGAAAGTCGATGTCCAGGGCTTGGCATGATTATTATTGAATGTATATAGGCACTGCTGCCTAACCGACGAAGTCAGGGCTAGGGTATCCGAATACACTAGTAACTAGAGAACCAGCTGAGATGATTGATCGATGGTTGAGAACGTCTCAAACACATCATATATGGAGCCAGACGCTCGTATTGGCATGTTACAAGGGGCCATTCCGTTATAACCGTTCCGATACTGTACTGGCCTCCCGAACAGGGGTTCTTAAGACTCGAGTTAATTTTCATCTCAAGTTTCCTTGGTTAAGCTTACCTCTGAGCGCTATTGAACTCTATGTATGAGATCACGACTTACAAAACAAGCAAAAGCTAGAAGTCAGGGTCTCTTACCGACTTGTAACTTGGCCGCCTAGTGCTGTTTCAAAGTACGGTCGGTAGGTGGGGAATTACGGGACGGGGAAATCGCAGATTTACGGTGCGGATACATACTAGTATTCAGGGTCCAACAAAAATGAGATGATGGATACTAACTTTATATAACCTTTCAGGGTCTTGCTGTCAAGCGTTCCAGCCAAAACTTGGGTTGGTTCTTAAGACATCCGTATTTCGAATACTGGATTACCATACAACATTACACGTTGCGTGATTTATGTGTGAATAAACCCTCCCCTTGATGATACATAAAATACCACCTCTCAGCCTGACCCAAAAACGAGCGCTCGCGGAATCCCTTTTTCTGAATCCAATCTAAATATTTCTCCGGGGGACACCTGGCAGCCCACTCTAGGCTACTTTTTCCGAAGTTCGAGGATTTGGAAAAGGTAGTTCCATAAAGGTTAGATCTCCCCGTTGCTTATTGCACTACTATCTCTTTATGCCCCGTTTGCCTTCATGCAATCACACGGTGCGAAGCGTGTGGAAGGGTGGTGGTTTCCCCTCCAGTCCAATCAAGATGTCAAATTATGGACATACATAAGTCTCATTTTTGTGAGTGATATGTAATATACTATATGACTTCATTCATGTCTAACGCCTCAACCACCTTAGTTGGTTCTACAGAACATGACATCTATAATAGTACGTACGCTGACTAGAAAGTTAGTTCTAATACTAAAACATGTTTCAGTTGCAACATACACTTCAGTCGCAGCCAGTCACGAATCATGACAGGTTTGAGCCTTTATCAGGCATCATCTTGATTGAAATATCGAAGTTCACTATCTCCACAATTTATGTCATGCACTCCGACACGGCCCCGTCGCTGCGAAAGACTGTCCGAGGCACACTACTTGGTGCTTCTAATGATACTACCGTGTCAGCGGTACTTTTTACTGCCGCAACCATTTTACAGAGTGTGGGGGCTCATTATCTTGACCTCATTCCCTACCTTGTTTTGTCCCAGCTAAAGACTCTCGTCACCCCCATTTTTGCGAGATTCATATTAAACCAGAGATATCCTCCCAGGAACTGGATATTTATTGCCATGATGGCACTTGGCATTGTTCTGGCCCAGCTTGGATCTGGCTCGGACAAATCAAATCTGAAGGGGTTAAAGACTCAGACCATGGTATATGGAGCAATTGCAATGCTACTAGCAGGAGTTTGCGTTGCTCTGGGTAGCCTATGCATTGAGAGAACCATGAAGCGATCCGGTCTGCTTTTCCTCTGCAACGCTCAACTAGCGGCTTACAGCTCCTCCTTTGCACTCATCTACTTCTGCTGGCTTACAAAATTCAGTTTTGGGCAGTTTTTCCGAGGATTTGATATGCTTGTTTGGATATACCTTGCCCTCCAAATTTCCGGAGGCTTTCTCGTTGCGTGGTGCGTTCAGATGACGAGCACAGTAACCAAAAACTATGCTCAGGGTCTGGGATTTGTCTTGGCTGTCGTGGTGCCTCGATTAGTGACCAACCAACATATCAGTCTCGAGGTGAGATGGCAAACGGCGTACTCGTATTAAAAAAAAACAATCTCGCTAATTTCATCATCAGCTGCTGGCCGGAGTTGGTCTCGTCTTGATCTCTGTACTTGGGTCGACATCTTCCAACCAAAGAAAACCGGCTATGGAGGAAATCAATGAAAAAGGAAATGACTTGGATATGGGCGAAGTGTGAAATATTGTATTCCATGTTATTAGCGTCATGACTATAGAGGCACGGCTTATGAACAAAGTCTTTTTGGACATGCTAGATCTGCCAACTGACTTTGATATTGACTGCGAGACTTCCAGATTGTAGAAAGAGCTTGGAAGTCGGAAAGGTTTCCTTGCCTTTAGTACTGAACGTGGGGAGTTACATGTCTTCGCAGCGACACTGCAAAGACGCAAATTGTCTCTTGGCCGCCCAGCATGGCCATCTCCTCTTCTACGCCAAGTACCGGGCTGCTAAGGGGGCTGGAAGCGACAAACAGGATCGCAAACAGTCCTTGGAGTCCTTCATGCTATTCCCAAAGTGAAACGTCAAACTACACTATCAACGGGCGGATACTAATCGCCTTCGGGAACGCCGCTGGCCAACAGAGCTAGAAATACCGGAAAAGATGATGACGAATCTTCAGCATGAACCTAAACCGCTTACAAGACGTGGAATTCGGCTAAAAAAATCATAAATTGACATTGTTCGCTACCTACCTCCAGCTACAATTATCACATCATGATCGAACACAACCTTGAGAAGTCGCAAACGGTGCCAATTCATGCTGGATCCCAAGGAAAGATACAGCTGGCCTGCGTGTAGTGACTTTGACGCTCCTAGCACTACCCCTGGGAGCTCAAGCCTGCCCTTCATCCATCCCAGATATACTTACTGTAAATGAAATTTATCCTGCTCTTCTATTTTCTCTTAATCGTGGATAGTAGAAGCATGTAAGAGTACCTATCCCAACTTTCTCCCAAGTATGCGTGGCGTAGACACTCGCTTTAGTGGATGGAGCGGAACGCGTGCGAAAATTTGTTGGCGGGTCCGCTGCAGATCCGCACCACACTCCTTTTATTAGCGGATTATGCGACGCGATGCTCCGATCGCGTACGGCGGCCGATAGCGGCTACCGTGGACCGCGTTGCATGCCGCGGCTTGAATTCTAGAAACTTGTCAACCTGCCCTAGAAAGGTTAAGGTTATTGATTCGACCCACCAGAGACATGTGGTGCAAGGGCCACAAAATCATGAAATGGCAGCATGTCTCTCATCCGGGTCGTCACTGATGGCCTAGGGCTCTAGATTCATCCCTCCTCTGCCCTCATGGAGGACGCTAATTGCCCGATCGGGCCCGCTGACGTACAACCATTGCGCAGCACCTACACTTATCCACGGCCCACGATTGCGCTTCCAAGAAGTAATTTGGATTATGGTGTCCATAGAAAAACCATTGCGGCTTCTGGTCTGATGCCCTATGAAATAGAAATTCTCACGTCACCCTTGTCGCGGGCATCGCATTCGCGGGGCCTGTCGGTCAACGATCATTAGACACTCAGACACTCAGTCTAATTCCGATCGACCAGGCTATTGTCATAAGTTATCATTATCCCGTCTGAGATCTTCATTTTTCACCCTGAACTGTTCACAGTCTTCCTTCCAAACTACTTGCCTAGCAAGCACCTGGATTCATCTTAGCTGCGATTTATTGTCTCTGGATCCAATGGGGTACTCAACGCCGACGGCTGTTGCCCCTCATCGACTCAATGACTATTTCAGCTCGCAGCATAAGAGGGAGAGTAGCTATAACTCAGATGGCTCCTTTGATGTGAGTCGCATCTTCGCATTCCACACGTATGACATTTAGTCGTCCGCAAACAGCGTAGGCATTAACCAACTTGCAGCCCCGTCGCTCACTCGTTCCTGGCATTCGCCGATATCCCACGCGCAAAATTAAGCTGGTGCAGGGTTATGTCCTAAGCGCTGACTATCCAGTGCCAAGCGCTATTCAAAATGCTGTCCAGAAACAATACCGAGAGTCGACAGAACTTGCCGAGGAGTTCTCCCAGATCAGATGTAAGTCTCAGTAGGTGAACACCGTGCCCTGTTCGAGACTAATTGTATAGATACCGCTGCTACGTGCGACCCGGATGAATTTGTGATGCGAAATGGCTACAATCTTCGCCCGGCCATGTCCAACCGGCATACCGAATTGATGATCGCAATTACTTGTCGAGGCGAGAATAAGGTTTTGACTGCGCGGACCCTTCATGGAGTAATGCAGAACATTCGCGATATCACCAATCTTAAGAAGTCGGAATTTTGGGGTCAAGGAGGACCAGCTTGGCAGAAGATTGTTGTCTGCTTGGTCTTCGATGGAATTGACCCTTGTGACAAGAACACGCTTGACGTATTAGCGACGATCGGTATCTACCAGGATGGGGTGATGAAGAGATCAGTGGACGGCAGAGAGACTGTCGCGCATATAGTAAGTCACCACGTTCTGGTTTGCCTTCAAAGTACTCATCAATGCCAGTTTGAATATACTACGCAATTGTCTGTCACACCAAACCAGGAACTGGTTCGACCGCACGGGAACGAGTCCACTAATATCCCCCCAGTCCAAATGATCCTGTGTCTGAAACAGGAGAGCAGCAACAAGATCAACTCGCATCGTTGGATCTTCAACGCATTTTCTCGCATGCTAAACCCGGAAGTAGTGGTCTTACTCGATGCGGGTACCAAGCCCTGCAAGCAATCCCTTCTTGCATTGTGGCAGGCCTTTTATAACGACAAGAATCTCGGCGGTGCTTGCGGCGAGCTCCACCCCGTCCAAGACAAGAAAAGTATCCTCAATCCCTTCGTCGCTGCCCAGACTTTCGACTTGAAACAATCGAACCTTCTCGAAAAGCCACTGGAAAGTGTCTTTGGGCACGTTTCCCTGGGCGAATTTTCCGCATACCGCTATCGAGCTATCATGGGCCGACCGCTTGAACAATACTTTAATGGCGACTTGACACTATCTAAAAAGCTCGGAAAGAAAGGATTTGACGGCATGACTATCTTCAAAAAGAACATGTTCCTCGCGGGTGATCGCATCCTATCATTTGAATTGGTAGCTAAGGCCGGGTTCAAGTGGCACTTGACTTTTGTCAAGGGGTCCAGGGGAGAGGTTGAAGTCCCGAGCGACTTTGCAGAGTTCATCACCAAGCGACGCCAGTGGCTCAATGGATCTCTGGCAGCGAATCTCTACGCTTTCATTCATTTTGGTCGACTTTATCAGAGTGGCCACAATGTGCTGTATTTGGCATTCCTCCACCTACAAATGATCTACCATTTTGCCAAATTTGTGATGAGTTGGTTTTCACTGGGTACGGATGGTCAGAATATTTTTAGATAAGAGCTACCATTAACTGTCAACAGCATCTTTTTTTATGATCACTTCGGTCATTATGGGCCTTGTGGGCACACCGAATGAAGCGAATAACCAACAAGCGTGGCCGTTTGGCAATGAAGCTTCGCCAATCGTGAACAACTTCCTCAAATACGGCTATGTCCTGCTTTTAGGCTTGCAATTTATCTTGTCCCTCGGAAATCGCCCCAAAGGGTAAGTATACATCAGAGTTACGCTCGGCTGATCATCTTAACCTGACACTTGCTTCAATCCACAGATCTCGCCTAGCCTATATCATCTCGTTCACATACTTCCCGCTAATTCAGGTTTACACCACACTTTTGGCATTCTACCTGGTTAGCCAGGCTACAAGAAAGCTAGTGGCCAACTCAGTGCTGTACGAAGATGCGATGCAATCCGCAGTCTGGAACAACCTTGGCTCCAGTATGGTTCTGATAACCTCGGTTGCTACCTACGGAGCGCATCTCGTTGCCAGTGTGCTATATATGGACCCGTTACACGTTCTAACATCTGCCTGGGCCTACTTTGCCGGAACAATGTGTTCTTCCAACATACTCATGGTATACGCCTTCTGCAATTGGCACGATGTCTCAATCGGCACTAAAGTGGCGGACAAAAGCGAGTCTCTCCCGGAAGTTCAGACAAAGAAGGACGAGAAGTCAAAATTCATTGAAGAATTGGATAGGCCCCAAATCGATATTGACACCCTCTTTCAAGCGACCGTCAAAAGAGCTCTGGCTAGCTTTGAGCCCCCAGACGAATCGAATGGGAAGGATGTGGACGATCTATACAAAGCTTTTCGGACCTACCTTGTCCTTCTCTGGGTCTTCAGCAACCTCGCCATGGTTCTTTGCATTATGAGCACTGGGATCAGTCGTTTTTGTCTTTCGGTCAGTCCCATCAAGGTGAGGCATTTCTGTCAAGCTAACAACTTTTTTAGACACTACCCAATATCCGTATCTGGAATTATCTTTTGGCTGTGGTCTGGGCAACAGTCGGGATTTCACTGTTCCGTTTCGTTGGATCGCTCTGGTTTTTGGCAAAGACGTCTATTTTATGCTGTGTCTCACGAAAATAAGGTTGTCGAGATTGTTATGCGTCATATACATGTGCTACGCTCTCAATGTGCCAGAAACAATTCAAAATATCAAATACATTCTGAGAACATTAGCTAGAACAGGGAATTCCCCGGTAGATTCAAAGTCGTTGTCACAGAGTGAAACTTTCACGAACAAGCTGCAACGCTGGGTACGTTCTCGCAAGCACTGTACTTTGATCCACCAGTAACATTGACGTCCGTCCAAGTCCAATCCGAACAAGCAGATGATCCACAGACAATGACAACGTCATACCCACTGGAAGCAACAGCATCCGCGCCGGAGATGTTCTCAATGGTCAAGTCGGTGATAGGGATACCGCTGGTTGGAGATCCCTTGAGATCTCCACCATCATAGTTTTGCTCAATAAGGATACCGTACCTAGGGGATCATTAGCATCTGACTAAAATGAGATCAAGCCGAGTCTACTTACCCTGAGATGGAGCTCAGGGTGATTTCGGAATAAGTCACGCCCGTGATCTCGCCGGTGTCACCCTCAGTGGCCTTAATACGGATACCTGAAGGGAGACGTCAGCAAATCGAGCCATCTGCCCAGATGCAAATACTTTTCTTACCATTCACCGAGTTCTTGACCTCGCAATTCTCGAACTTAACTGTGTCCACAGTGTTATCGCTACGGCCACCGACGCTACCGATGGACAGACCGTGGCCACCGGAGCAGACACCGCCACTGAAAGTGATGTCCTATTTACACAATCAATTTCACGCACAAAAGAAGGTCGTTTTCTCGTTACTTACCGTTCCAGAGTTCACAGCCACACAGTCATCTTGGTTGTACACATTGGCGCCCGTGATAACCACATTAGTACTGCTTCCGATATCGAAACCGTCGGTATTGTGACCACCCTCAGTGTCACCAGCCTCATTGTTGATGGTCATATCGGTGATAGTAAGTCCATTGCAGCCGTTGATGCTAACAGCCTGAACAGGGGTGTTCTCAATGTAAAGGTTCGTGATGGTCGAGGAGGTAAGATCATGGGCGTAGAAGAACTTTGGCTTAGTCTTGCCACCGTTGCTACCTTCGCCGTCCCACCAACGCGCTCCGTCGGGGTTAAGGTAGGCACCGCTGGCGCCCTGGACGGTAATGCCAGTACCAGAGATTTGGAGGAGTGGGCCGTCCCATTCCTCGTATCCCCAGGTGGTCTGACCCTCGAAGATCACCTGTCGAGATGGAGTGAGCATTGGACAATGCTGAATGTGATTGGAAAATTAGAAGAAAATATACTTACGGTGGTGTCATCTGCCAGGCTACTGAGATCCAGAGTTGTTCCAGATGGCACGGCCACATCCGACAGAATGATGGTAGAGCAAGAAGCCTGCGACTTGCTTGCCGAAGCGGCGCCGGAAGAGCCAGAGAAGGTGCAAGAAGTGGCTCGCTTGGCCAAGCTGGGCGCCTCGGTGATGGCGGGCTCGGCGACAGGCGAAGCAATGACACCAACCGCCAAGGCGGCTACCAAGAAAGAACCAAAGAGCTTAGGCATTGCAAGTGGAGGTTTGGGTTTGCTTGGTTGTTGTCTTGCGAATGAGATTCTCCTTGGCACTGCTCCACGGATGCAACCCACTTTATAGACATGGCAGCTTCGATGCCAGTCCTCTCGATCATCTCATGGCCTGCTTCAGGAGGTGGATGAGAAAGCTCCCGCAGGATCCGAAGACGCGTATAGCTCCATGATGCTCCATGTTGTTTATCCTCCAATCGTCGAAAGGTGAGAATATACCCTGTCTCCCTATTGGCGGGTTTCAAACTCAGGGCCATTAAGCAAATGGTTATATAGCCACCCTTGCGAATTAAGCGACCCCGTATTTCTTCAGGCCAGCTTAGTGAGCAGAGTCGGCGAATGGGAGGAATCTTCAGGGCGGAACTGAAACGCACTGAGGTTTCCGTTATACCTTGGGGCTAATGAGCGCCACCATGCTGCAGATAAAACTGGGGACTGCTCTTTTCCAGTGTCAAATCCCGTTCATTTGTGGGGAAAGCCTCGAAATCGCGGGGGAACGTGGCCGAAAACGAGAAGAAGCACGGGCCAGTTGGTCATCTTGTCGGATTTACGTCGGCGTTTCTTTTTACCACCACTCGTTTATTCACGCCGGAGGGATGTGACATCCGCTTTGACAAGGACGGGAGTGGCGTGGTCGTGGAATCCGATGGGGATGTTGAGGGTTCCCGGTTGTAACAATTTGCCTCTCAGGGTTCCAAAATCGCAAGTCTGTTGAGCTGTCTTAACCATGAAGTCGGTTATGGTACAGTACTATCATCGCCAGGGCCAAAATTACTGCTACAGTTGGAACTCATAAAAGACCAGGAGAAGTGCCTGGAAGGCACGAGCAAATGAGAGGGATGCCTATCAAGAACCACAGACAAGACTTGATCAAACGTCTGGGCTCCACAGATGGATTGTTCAATCAAAAGACTGCAACGAGCGTGTTATAAGGATCAGAGTTTTGGCACAACTTAAGCAATACCAAGCTTCAAGCCAAGCCTCGGGCACTGAAACATCCTCCAGGGGGTCCTTCCCGCAATCTTGAGCATCAAACAGACACACCAGGCTTCTTTTCCACATCCTCGACAGCAGACTCATTCTCCACTGAAGTAACATAATACTTCTCATCATTCAAATGCTTGAACCTGAACCAGAAAATAACCGTCTGCAACGCCAGCGCAACAGTCGGCGCACCCCAAATCCACAACAACCACGGATCCTTAGTCGCAGGAAGCATGATTTCACCGATCGCGCTCGACAACGCATTCATGAACAGGAAGATGGCCATAACCAAGCCCCGCATGCCCTCGGGAGACCGCGCATAAGCAACTTCATAAGCAGTCACGTTCGCGAAAATCTCACTGAGGGCGCTGAGGATGGTATTCGCAAGTTGCCACCAGATACTAATGGGGGCTACTTCATCGCAAGTTGAGGCATAGTAGCCACAAGGGGAGAGCTCGTATACACGCCATTGGACGAGTGTCCCGGCGAGGCCGGCGAGGGTTGCGAGGAAAAAGCCAAAAGTGATGCGGCTGATGGGTCCGAACTTGATGTTGCGGCGCTGTAGGGTTGGATATACGACGTATGTCATTATGGGGACGACGAAGATGATGGTCAGTGCATTGAAGTTGTTGAGGACATCGTTTGGTGCACCATTGGTGACCATGGAAGCGCCTTGATTTGATGAAACGGAACCGATGCCGCCGTCATTCATGTTCCAGATGGGGTAGAACCAGAATATATCGCAAGCACCTGAGAACGTAAGTTAGCGCACTTCCAAATATCAAGGCCACGTCGAAACAATGCAAGGGAGAAGTAGACATACTGACTGCCCTAGACACGTCCCTGACATTGTTATCCGTCCAGTCAACAATGATCCCCTTTTCACGCAAATTCGCCGGCTTTACAGCCTCCCAAAAGTCTTTACGCCACACTCGAAACTTGTTTTGACGCAACGCGACTCCCGAAATTTTCACAGCTCGCGAAAGTTCTGAGCTTCCAGCCGGTGGTTGCTTGTACGTCTTCTTGTACACGGCAAACAGGAGAATCGGAAGCAAGAAATAAATAAGTCCTGCCAGCAGGAAAGACAACCAAAAACCAACATACTTCTCTGAGTAAGTAGTTGCCAGCATGAAAAAAGCACCGACATTAACAAAGCCATAGAATATAAGCATAGTGCGAGTAGTTGTCGACTCGGGGTCAACAATGACGCGCTCCCCGGACTTAAGAGTCTTAATATAAGCCTTCTTCTGGCGATTCTGGTCCAGAATCGTGGGGGCAATGTTAGGCTTGAAGATTCCTGCACCCACTGATAGCAAAACCATGCCGATGACGAATGGTGGAGCTGAGTTGGAGGCGCCTCTTTGGAGGACAGATGGGATAGCACCGAAGACTTGAATGACATGTGCAGCGCCGCAAATTGCCACGCCCACGACGATTGCCTTGTAACGGCCAACATGAACATCTGCCCACCAACCACCGAAGATTGGGAGGACATATGAGAGGAAGATGAAGAGGAGGGTTAAGCCTGATGCTGCTTGGAGACCCAGTCCCAAGGCGCCGGCAGTCTCTTGCGTGTGGCGTGGGGGTGCACCAGCACCATTGCCGCCTATGAACAACGATTTAGTAACCAATTCGACTATATCATAGCATTCAAGAGCACGAAAAAGGATAATATGTACCTTTGGGCAGTGGAAACTCAACAAAGTTGGAGAAGACCGTCTTGGCTCCATAGTAGGATGCTCGCTCGGCGAATTCCACTAAGCAAAGAGCGAAGGCAACCAGAGGCAAATTTCCAGGGACCTTACGAAGGATCTCGCTCTCTTCCTCAGTTGGAAACTCATACTCATCATCAGAGGAGTTTGTCGAGACCTCCCGGTTGACCGGTTCCAACTTTTTCTCGTTGCTGGATGCCACAAAAGCCGGTTCCGCGATGACTGTGTCGATCGATCCCGAGGCATAATGAGACTCGGCAATCTCCGGAATGGGAGCTTTATCTTCTGCTGGGATTGCTAAGGCGCATATTAGTACGGCTGAACCTATCTGACCAACGGACGAACTGATTAGTGCAAGGAGATGAAGATAGACTAACCCATGGCGCAGCTACGTGGAGTTGGAGGCCAGAAAAAGATATGTGACACAACAGCAGATTCAAAAGCCTAGACCGAAGGAAAACCATTGACTTAAATACCTCCCACATCCCTGTACACAGATGCAGACGCCATGAGATTGCACGATAGCGAGGGGTTCACACTTTCTCCAAAAAGACATATGTCGTCAATTTTCGATTTAAGAAATCATCGAGCTTCGGCCCTCGGCCTGTCAGGGTACAATGTCCCTAACACGGCAGGCACATATCTACCAAGTGGAGTAAATGCAAAAAGATAATATTGGGATTGGACTGCAGGTGTACTTTACGTTATCTCCTCGAGCGATGGCGAATCAACGCAAAATGTAACGTGAGACCACCATCACACTGCACATGGTTGACACCCAATGGGATAACGCGGTTCTGAAACTTCCAACTGATGACTGGGATATGAAATCACTCGTGACTTTGCGTTGAGATTAAGCAAAGCACTCGACATCGGCAAGGACCATCGCAGACCAGCAGCGCCAAGCTCCGGGTGAGGCTTGGCCCGCTGGGCCCACGCGCTGCCATTTTAGTGGAAGATTCGTCATCGGGGCGTTGGGTTGATTAGTAGGATACTCCGGAAGTGGATGAGAGACTTCTTCTGGAGAAATGAGTATAGAAAGATCCTTTGATGGAGTTCTTTGGGCGATCTTGACAAACCTTGGTCCGGATATCCGAGGAAATACCACATATGGGGAGCTTGGCGTAACCGGATATGGACAAAGAATAACCAAAAGTCCGAATCTAAACTTCATCTTAGAGTCTTGATAAGTTGCCCAATTGATCCGAATTTGACGACTTCACTAGTTGTAGTTCCAAACCATCCCAAAAGCGGAATTTCCGACCCCGACGACGGGGCTCACCCGATCCGCATTAAGAGAAGGCAAAGATTGCCGTATCGCGTGACAATCGTGGAAGGCATACTACAAGAATTTAATAGTAAGCCTTGGAGACAATATTACCATTGAGTCCAGCGTCGAATCCATAATAGTTTAGAGCAGAGATACAAATCGATTCGCATCCGTGGCGGGGGCATTTATCAACCTTGGAAAACAAGATTGTATAGCGACAGCCCCGCAGCCGACACAACTCTAAGTATCCATTTTACCCTAACATCTATCAATTAAAAAAACAAGGTTCCAGATACGTATGTACGATATTCTCAATTACCTAACAGCTGGGTATCTCAGTCTCAATAGAATGAATGCTATGCAATTAGCAATGCAAAACGAGCACAAAGACAAGAGACAAAGATAAGGAGAAACGAAAAAGAAAAAGAGAAAGAGAAAGAAATAAATTGACCGTGAACAGGCTTATGAATTGTTAATAGAACATATTAGCAGCCAGTCCACGGGAAGAGAAACATCCACAGCGAAGGAAATAATAAGTTCCATAGTGGGAACAAGAATGGGATGGGGTATTAGACTTGAAGTGAGGATATGCTATGCAAGACGAAAGACAAGGCTGGCGACAAGATGCAGGCCACACGCAATGTAAATGCAAATGCAATAGACTATATGTGTAATCGTCAGTGTGTAGGAGGTCATAGAAATACGGAGGTGTCAGGCCGGACTTGAAGTCAGACAATGTACGGGCGTATAGGGATATCAGGGGATAAAGATGTGAGGGTAGAAGGGGTATCTCCGCAAAAGGCAGCACCAGCACCGCACAAAGCAAGAAACAAAAAAGCGAGAGCATATTCATCAAGAAGGCAGCCAACTCAACTCCCACAGAGACCAGCAGCAGTCTACCAAAGCATCAACCATCAAGGCGATGTCTTCGACCGCCGACACGCCCTCCGTTTATCCCAAGACTCCAGATGCGCCAGGGTCTTCGACCTATGGTCACTTTCTTCTTCATCTGGCAAATCCATCCGGAATCGACGCACGCTACCCTCGCGCCCATTCTTCCCCTCTTCAAAGAACGGAGTACGCGAGTCTCGACTCTGACACCAGCGCGGTGCAACGCGGCGCCATAATCCGCGAACGCCACGACTGGCGCGATCGATCTTTTCATACTCGGCCCGCCGGGTTGAAGGGGACGTCCACTCCATTACTGTCGCCGGGACGTGGATTGATGAAGCGGAGGGACTGTACCCGTGGCCGTGGGGAAGACTGTGGTTGCTGGGCATGGTATTGGAGCGGTCTCTGTATTGGAGGAAATGCGGTGTTGTCGTCGAGCTCACGGAGCTGCGATGTTCGGGGTCAAAGCGGCGTGTAGAATGTGAAGAGCTGATGGGAGATGAAGGTACTGAGTAGTCGTTTTCGGAGGAGGTGCGACCTTCTCGTCTGGATTTATAGGATGTGGATGGGGCGCGGTATAGAGTCGGGCGGGGCTCGTCGGTGGAGTATTTGGATAACGAGGGTGGATTATCTGGTTCTTGGAAGAGACGACACGACTCCCGATGCAGTGCTAGTAGAGACTCTCGTTTGTCGAGCGGGTTTGATCGAGATGAAGGTACAGGCACGATACTTGCGTTGGCGGGTCGTCGAGGTGAATGGAAGGAACTATGTCGACTCGGCGGGCGAGACCGAGCGGTACTCCGCGAGTTGGAACGCGAGTGATGATGGACCGAGTTTGCTGCAGACGACGGTCTTGACGAAGCTGCCCGTGGCGCTGACGAGCGAGTTGGCGAATCTGGGCTCCTGGAGCTAGATAGCTCTATCCTCTTCCTTCTCGGGGTCTCCATTGTTGGAGACGCAGGTTCGGACGAGAGGGCCGAGTCGGTGGGAGAGAAACATTTCTCGGTCGTCTGGGAGTCGATGGAGACTGTGGATGGAGACCGGGAAATATGAGGAGAGTCCACGAGTTCAGTGACGGTCGTCTGAGAGGGACATTTGAGGGTGAGGATGTCGAAGTCCAAGGCAGGCAGAGCTGACCCTGCCAGTGCACCGGCCATGTGAAGATCCCCGCGACATGTGATGGACGCCATCAGCACTCAAATAGACCAGAGAACCTTCTTTTTTTTGCCTCTTTTCCTAGCCCCGAGACTCGAACACGGTAGGCTGCTAAATGGCCACGAGACGGGGGGCTGATCGCATCGTTGGTTGTTGACCAGTTGATTAGGGCAAGCCGAGGTAAAGGCGTCTCAGCAGACGATGGGAGGTCAGAAGTACATCACAGGAACGGGAATGAGAGTATACCCAGCACGACCAACCAGGACTGCAAATGAACAATCAACAAAAAGCATATATTTCCAGGTCCAAAGTGCAGGCGATGAACCGCTCTTTTTGAATTTCCAAATGAGCCACACCGCTCCTCACGGGGATTTGTTTTTTAGCGGAGGAAGTGGGGGCACTTTACTTTGCCTCCACTTGGATTTCTCTCCAAAGTACCCCAAAGGGGAGGGGCTTTTCTCTATATTATGGAGTACGGAGAACATGGGTACTGGAGTAGTGTCCAAGTACCTTGCCAGTATCCGACCCATAGCTTTTCTACCAGACTAGTCCCAGTAGTCCACCTCCGAAGTACTTCCAGCGCACGGTCTGGATCGTCCTTGACTTATTCATCATCCACCCATTCACCATTTCCTCTACAGCTCAAACGCCCTTGCAGTGGGCACCGTGGCGCCAACCTGCAGGGGCCAAGGGTTTATTTGGAGCCTAGCCGCCTGGTTATTATTGGACTACAACTCGACACCCAATAGAGTCCACCCGATTCTGTCCGTGACAGGCGGCCATGAAGGCCCTTGTTTTCCGCGTTTCCAGAGGCAAAAATGCAAAATCTCCTGTAGGAACTCGGAAAGGTCCAGGTTAGAGGTACAGACGGGTGCAGGTATACATCAGGGATACCTCTGGGCCTGATAAGTACATACCCGATAGGGTTACAGCAGGCGCTTTGCACCGCCAGTCGTGGACCCTGACTGTGTCATTTTTGCTTTGGTTCTCACCTTTTGTTGAATCCTTTTCCTAAGGTAGTTAGTTGGTAAATCCTTTATTTGGTACTTCCTCTTCCGTCGTTTGGTTGACCCCTCTAAGGCAATAGACCCCCCCACCCGTGACGGGACAAACCCCACCAGCATCACAAATCCTGACAACGTGGGCCGGGGTTTGTGCGCAGATCACGATGATGTGGCCAGGGAATCAAGGATAGTATCATACTAGTGAAGTCTCTGAAATGACGTGCACTGCGGTTTGCGAGCGTGTCGGATCTTTGCCTGGTTTTTCGTCTGTATGTAGCTTCTACTTCTATAGTACACGATATGGAGGGGGATGGTTTGCCTGGTGGGTACAAAGAATGCGAACTGAAATAAGGTCGCCCTTGAAGGGAGGGGAGGGGTACCCTTGCAGAAGCAGGAACAGGGAATACCCGCCGGTCGCCAGGGACAGCATTTTTCATAGCATGATACGAAAGGTAATAATTATTATACTGTAGAGGGAGCTCTGTTGCCCTATTAACAGTGGCATAATGTAAGTACTATAGGGCGCATATCGCAATTGTTTACTTTGTGGAAAACATAGCCCAGTCCAGAGTCCAGACCCAGCTTGGCCACAGTTATTGAAGAGGCATTTAATTAAAAAATCCCGTATTCCATCCCGCGCCAATAACTTAGTTAAATGGAGCCCCGGTAGGACAAGAACTAACTGCTGTTGCCCTCGTCTCAAGTCCGAGTCCTCATAATTCGCCACCAAAAGTCGGACTTCACAGCGCATACGTAAAATCGGGGTTCTCCCGATCCGTCAAATCAAGCCACCTGCCGGGTTCGAGGTAAGTTAGCGTTAGCGCCAACAAAAACACGTTTCACGAGGACCAGACCCCCAAGGAAAGAATAGAAAAATAGAACCACAATCAAGTCACAATCAACCAAAGGAAATAGTAATGACTCACTCTTGATTCTCCAACCGCACATAATCCGGTCGCGCCTGGAGCTCCAATTTCCGCGCATTCTCCTTTCGGTACCACCACCAGATAAAGACCATGATGCAGATGGCAATGGCGAGACAGACAATAATGGTGATCTCGGCGGGGACGTAGCGGGGGGCATCCTTTGGGCGGAAGGTTTGAGGTCCTGCAAACCAAACGTTAGTTAAGCGGTTCGACATGCCTGCCCTCTGGTGGATATAGACTGCCAAGGCTGGCCAAGCGGTCTCAATCGAGGCTTGATTAATAGTAATCGACTCCGCAGTCCGCACACCGTCTCTTTTCGAAAGTACAAAAAGTACAAAGTATGGGACTCCATCGTGCGCGGCACTCACCGATAATGTTGCCCACACAGTATCCGATCAGGTACAACGCTGCCACGGTTGTCTTCTTCGTGTACCCAGCCACATTGGACGAGATCATGGACAGCAGCGCGACGAAGGCTGTCGGACTCGCTTGCGTCATGTAGTATCCGATCAGACGGCCGACATTGTTTGATTCGGGAAGTGCCACGATGAGGATGATGCCGACCAGTGCAGAGACCAGGCCTCCTAGACTGCACAGCAGTCGCTGGTTCGTGATGTGGCCCATATACCCATTCAGCAAGAGGGCGATGACTTCGACCGCACCGCCGGGGACACCTAGGATCAGACTCTGCTCTGCGGTGAAGCCAAAGCTAGTAATCTAGGAAAGAGGAATCGATGGTGAGCAGTGCTTTTGCAGAACCCGGTCAAGAACGTACCAATTGACTGAAAAAGTTGGTGATACCACCATTGGGGATATCCGCAATCAGCGCATAGAAGAAGAATGCCCAGGTCATCGGGTCCAGCAGCGCTTCCTTGACCTGATACATCTTAAAGTGCTTGTTACCGATTCCCTGCTGGTTGATTCGGACTCGCGCTACAGCCAGCAATCGGTCCTCTTTCTTCAACCAGCGTGCATTTAGCTGGTTGTCCGGTACAACCCAGTAGAATACCAGACCCAGCACCATGGTCAGCACGCCGGTGAAAAGGAAGACAATCTTCCACGATGAGATCGATGAGCCGTGTTTCTCGGTGCCGATGGCAATGCCGTAGGCGACCACGCCACCAAGGATCTGGCCGACGCCGTTGAAGCTGAACCAGATGTTCACGCGAGAGCCCTGCTCTCTTTTCGTGTACCACTATGTATCCAATGAGCAGTGCTCGTTTGGTTGATATTTTTGGGGTGTATGCGAGGACAAAACATACCTGGGATGTGATCAGGGCAAAACCCGGCGTCACAGCAGCCTCGAATACACCCAGGAACAGGCGGATCGCAATCGCTCCTGCGTAGTTCTTTACGCCGGCGAAACAACTCAGGATCAGACCCCAGATAATAATACACGCGGCCGAGTACTTGCCCAGCGGCAACCGCTGCAGCAGGCGGTTGGTCGGGTACTCCCACGCGAGATATCCTATGTTCTAATCGTCAGCTATACCCCTATCCCAATCCTCCCTCTATATCCTCCGAGGATCGGCACTCACCAAAGTAGAACAAACTCCCCAGCCATTGATACTCATCACCCTTGAGTTCCAAATCCTGCTTCAGTCCCATAATACTCGCATACGAAAGGGTAGTCTCTGCACAACGAATCAAGTTAATCTCCGCGCGACACACAAGTCAGACCTTCCCTTCGTCTCATGGTACACCAACTACCCGATGAATAGCGAAAGAACACGATTATCCATATACATACTATCGAGGAAATTCATCCCATAGACACAACACATAATCGGCATCATGTGCCAATCAATAGTGCGCAGAAGTCGACGATTCGTCGCCTCGTCCAGCTCGATGGCTTCGCCGTGCAGCTCGTCAAAGACCTTCATGGCGTCGTCTGCATCGTGGGCATGTTTCTCGAGCGTTGGGTCGACATTCTTGGCAGTTTCGACGTCGACGGCCGAGGACATCCCGGCTACCTTTTCTTCGTCGGCCATGATGGGCAGATCAGAATGGGCGAGGGGGATTGTCAATTGCTCACGGGGTGGAGTTGAGGAATGGGGGAGTGTAAACTGTAGTATATAGTAGGAAGAGGGGAAGGGAGTGCAGAGTGATGTCAATGCCAATACAAGTACGTATGTCAGACTCGACTCAACCCCAGTCAAATCCGGATGATCCCCCAAGCCAATGGAGGGAATTGAGAAAAAAAAGGCGGACGAAGGGGATAGTTAATAAGTGACACACATGCAGGCCGAGCTGCACCTCACGGTCCGCGAATTCCGTCACTCCTCCAAAGATCCGACATGTTGCCGTGGCGTTATCTCGTCTACACTCATGAGCAGTGCCGTAAGCTCCTTCCTATCAAGCCTCGGCGGATCCCCCCACGATAAGCCTAGTATCAAGAAGAGAATATCTGGGGTTGAAGGTCTATTTGGAACGGGGCCATTGATTGGTGATCGCGGGAGGGGAAAAGAGGAGAGATCGGCAGCGTCCACCGGTCCGACGATGAACGAGCTTATCGAGTGGTCTCGTTAGCCGGGTAGTGGAGAAAAGACTAGCTAAAGTTGGCCCCAAGTGAGGAGGTGCTGGTGTCTCGGGAGGGAGAGGTGCGCGTCGAGAGGGTGGTTGTACTGGTCGGAAACTAAATGTAGCTCCGGCGAGTTTGCCGACGAGATTAAGAGTACGGAGAACGGACTCGCTTGGAAACTCACTTCGCATCAGGGATGATATACAGCCGTTGTTTGGTGGTGGTTGGCGATGTGGCGGTTGGGGCTGGGGATGGGCTTGTCCGTGCATACTCTTATCAGGCCGAATCCAGTGATCCACCATGTAACGTGTAACCGTGCCAAGGGCGGCCCCTCTTCACACCCTCGGAGAGAAGGAGTATAAGGAGGGTCCGTCAATTATCTGATAAGTTTATTGCTATCTCTCGGATGGAATCCTATCACCTGCTGACTTGGTCCAAAGTACCGTATGGCACGATTATCATTAGATTCATTACTACGGTTGGGCTGCTCCATTCTATATTCTGTACTCGTTGATGCGGAAAACACAAGAGCATGGATTGATCGCCAATTCACGAGCAAGCTTTCTGTTGTGTCCCGGTGACGGCCATTTATACTTTTCACACTCGTGCCCCAAGCCCCGAGATCAACGTCCAAACCCTATTCTTCCTTCTCCAAATCGCGGAACTCGTCCGCGATCATATTGTGCATCGTCCAACGCTCGTATCCCCCAACTCCAATCAAGATGCTCCCATCCAATAGATTAATCTGTCATGGATTAAGACCTTCCACATCGGGCACATAGTGCTTTACAGATAGATGCCAAACCGAGCTGCCCTCCGTCTTGAAATTAGAGTAGCGTTCTAGTTCTCAAGCGAGGTTATACGGTAGCACCCGGTCAAACTGGATCATTCGGTTGACTATCGATTACACTCTTCTGAAATAGAGATTATTACGCTATGTATCCTAAATTTAGCCCTAGTGAGCGACACTATTCTAAAATACAGATCTTCTGGCAATATAGAATCCACCGCCCCTAAACACCAACACAACAAAGAGAGCTAGCCCACTGAACACAAAACAAGCACAGCAACTTAGATAGGCAAAATAATAGCAGCCCCAAGCGCCGTAGCAGCCAGAGAAACACTCAATACAGCACCAAATCCACTCCAGCTTGATCCCCGCGGCGCCAACCTCACACCAGCATTTGAAGTCGAAGCAGCCGTACCTGTAGACTTCCCCGTCCCCGTTGCCACTACGGAACCGCCTGTGGTTGTTCCTATAGCTGTAGTTGTACCCCCATTCCCGGTAGCAGCAACATCAGACTCATGATGAATCAGCGTAATCGCATCAACAAGCAGGAGAGGCGTGTAAAAGTCCGCAAAGCCCGCAAACTCATCCCCAATCCACGTCTCCGAGTGCGTCGTATAGCTATGGATAGTCGTAGTACTGGGAACAACCTCCTAGATCGTGGTGCCATCCGTGGTGTAAGTTGATGTTGATTTACTCACAGCCCGATAAGAGTGGTCGTAGACATCGCAGACTACTGTGGGTTTGTAGGAGGGGACTGTCTGGAAGCAGCCGCCGAGGGGATCAGCTGTGTAGCCACTGGGATATGGATTAGTATTATATTTAACTTGGAATGTATGTAGAGTTGTAGAATGGGTGAATAATGTATCGTGAATCACGACACTCTCCACCAAACATACCTAGGACAACACATCGCCACCGTCTCACTAGGCCTCAAACTCTTCGCCAACAAAGTAGGCATATAATCAAAATCCGGAAACCAGTGACTCGTCCCGTAACTCATCACTCCAGACGTCGTATAGGATTTATCCCCGTCCCGTCCCGCAAGGCCAACGGTCTCCCAGCCGGACGGACAATACAAACCAGGCGAGTAATAGTGTCCAACGGAAGAAGTCCACGGATCGTCATCAGCGTCGCTTGGAGCGGCTGTCGGCATGGGGGTAATTGTCGACGGGGGCTCACAGTCTGGCCAGGTCGTTGTCTCGCATTGGACGCTGTGCACAATGTAGGGGAAGCCGTCGTCGATAGTTCCGAGATTAATGTGGGATGTGCCGGAGCAGGTTGGGGCGGGTGTGAATGTTGTTGTGAGGGGGCCGTAGTTGTGGAAGGTCCATGAGGCCCTGTTGACTGCGACTGCGATGGTGGCCATTTTCGCGGTTGATTGGAGCGGAGCTTCCAGTTACAATGGAAGTAGTGGAAGGTGTGAACACCGGCTGAGGAAGAAACAGGATATTCGATATACAGTAGTAGAGGAACCACCGACCGTTTTTATAAACTAGACTCTCGCTTCCAACTCAACTAAGAAACTTACTATATCAGCCAATGATACCCACAGACCCTCGATTTCAACTGATTTCAACCATCGGAGATCCCCTAATCGAAGCCCCGATCGATTAAACCGTTCAAATGAGGCTGAAAGAGTCCTCGCTTCTCGGTGCGTGCAATCTCCGCCCCACGCGCTACCGGCTTGGCAGGGACCAAGTCTGCATTGATGCTGGTTGGTCGAGTAAGCTAGGAGTGGAATTGGTTAGTGATGTCTTTCAGGGTCGCATCTTAAAGGCCAGCGCTGGGTTAGTGAGGTCAATCGGATTGGTGCCAGGCAGAGTCCGGAGGGAAATGGAGAGTGGAAAGTCTTGGCATGGTTCTTGGGGAGATTAGGTCTTGGCGCCTATATTTGAGTGCCCAGGCTGGAAGACACTCTGGACATTTGTTTACTGGATTCTGGAAAATGTAGATGGAAGAAAGTTGGACATAATTGCCGATCTATTGGGCTTGTCATATCACGTGATTATATAGACCGACATCCATGGATGCCTCAGAATCAGAGGATATAGTTCATAATCAATTCTATACTTTTAAAATCAAACGGAATCAAGTTCCAGCGACTCAAATCTCCTACCGAGGTCATAATCTACTGACCACCCACACGCGCGAGATACGCCTCCCACCCTTGCTGCTGATACTGCTTCGCGGCCTCAACCGGATCAGGCGCAGCATAGATGCCCCGTCCAGCAATAATAAAGTCCGCACCCCGACCAATGGCCGACTGCGGCGTCTGATACTGCTGTCCAAGCTTATCCCCCTTCGATGAAAGATTGACACCAGTCGTGAAAACAACAAAGTCCTCGCCCTCGGCAGGAGCCACACTACTCTCGACCTCGCCCAGCGCACGCGTCGCCACAAAGCCCAGCACAAAGCTGTGGTACTTGCGCGCATAGTCCACCGAGGCAGACGTATACGCGCCGGTAGCGAGCGAGCCCTTGGAGGTCATCTCGGCGAGGATGAGGAGGCCGCGGTCACTGCCGTAGGGGAAGTCTGGGGCTTGGGCGGTTTGGGCGAGGGCTTCGACGATGCCTTCACCGGGGAGGACGGAGCAGTTGATGATGTGGGACCATTCAGAGATGCGGAGGGTGCCGTTGTGGTATTGCTTTTGGACTGTGTTGCCGATGTCGATGAATTTGCGGTCTTCGAAGATGAGGAAGTTGTGTTTGGTGGCGAGGGCTTTGAGGCCTGTGATTGTGTCTTCGCTGAAGTCGGACAGGATGTCGATGTGGGTTTTGATCACGGCGATGTGAGGGCCCAGGCCTGTTGGGGAGATGCGGTGTTAGTCAGGAATTGGGGGGTGTCGTGGGTAGTAGTAGGCCTTCTGTGGTGGACGTACGGTCGGCCAGGTCTAGGAGCTCTTTGGTGGTGGTCACGTCGGCGGAGACGGTGACGTTGCTCTTCTTGGCTTCGGCGACTTCAAAGAGTCGGCGGGCCAGAGGGTTGGGGTGACTTTTGCCGCGAACGCTGTAGGGCAATTGCGACTTGGACGACATGATGGCGGGGTTGGCGGGGAGGGAAGATAGTCGAGAGGAGGTTGATAGACTTGGGCCGGTGAATGCGGTTGGGAATGAGAGTGCTGGTGTCGTCCAGTAGCAATCGCTATAATCAGAGATACACAGCTAAAGTCTTCAATTGATCTCAATTCTCCAGCCAAGTCAATGCGAAGGTTAGGCACTTCGCAACCTCGACGGCGGGAACTTTTTTTGGCCGCGCCACAGTGGAGCATCAGCCACACCCCGAACGGTGTGGCTAATGGTCGCGTCACAGAAGTTACTCGTAAATAAGAGCTTTCATTAAGTACCAGAATCACACCCAATCTCAAGATACAGATACAGATACAGATACGCTAGAGAGGAGATCATCCTCTAGTAAGAGATCAAATCCCGGGCCACACCAAACACACTCAATCCCCACAGCGCACCCTGCGCAAGCCAGAAGAACCCACCCAACATCCGGCCCTTACCCTGTGGCTTGCCCGAGTAGATATACCCGTACAGGAACAGCGCGCGCAGCACCACCCAAGCGGCACTAATGCCCGCCGCCAGCTGGGGATACTTCAGGCCCGCAACGAGGGTGAACAGCATGGTCTGGGGGGCGTTCTCGAGGAAGTTGGAGTGGGCGCGCTGGGCGCAGTTGAATTGCTCAGCCTTGGCCTGTGAAAAGCCGACAAGGATGAATTGGTTAGTTTATTGGAGAGGATCATCGCGATTGAAATGAGATTAGGTGGTCAGGACTACTTACGTTCTCCTTGCATTGCTCGACGGTGGCATAGCAGTGCGGGTAGGGGACCTTGGCGGCTTTGCGCAGGCCGGTGGTGATGCAGCCGTGGATGAAGCCCAGGACGGGAATGACGCCAAGGGCGACAGCAACGGCCGCGCTGGAGGGGGTGTCAGTATGGAATGTTTTAGGAATGACAATGAACAAGGCCCATAACTAGCTCCAGCCCTGGTTCCTAGCTCGCTGGCCTGAGGGTACCTGCAGGACAGGATCATTGGATGACTGGATGACTGGATGACTGGATGACGTGGATGACTAGATGACAGGGGTAAATGATACTCACCCGTAGTTCTCAGGGAGAGTGATCTGGACCATGATGACAGTGAATAAAGATTGTCTTGTAATAGGTTGGATAAGAAATTGGCAAATAATGCCCTGTGATGGCGCGTTCCACTACCCTTTATAGTGGCAAGGGGGAACGTGTTATGTCGTGGATCCGGAGACGATCTGGTCCGGCCGGGGAAATGAATCCATCCGAGCCACCCAGACATACGCGAGTTCCTTACCCTGCCATTCGATTCGATGCAAGCTACGGACGGAATACATTATTTATTGATTACTATTCATGATCGACGTATGGAATTGTTTAGAAAATTGGATTCACATGGGGGATGGACCTTTTGCGGGGGAATTGATTGCAATTGGCTGACTTTTTACGTGTCCTTTTCGACTGTCCATGATTGCTCTAAACGGGGCTTTGTGGTCACCTTTTCAGTAGAATATAACCAAAATTGACATCTTGACCGTAGTCCCCGCATTTCAAGTGGACGCTAAGAGATCTTTCGAATATCCATCTTCGCGTTATTCGGGACAATACGAGCATCTGGATGTCACGACAATTTTGAGGCCCCTTCGGCGCAACGTGCTCCCGAGGATCTGGGAGAACGGAGTATATATCACGGAAGGTGGTCCGCTTGGCAATATTCAGCTTGTTTCTGGAAGAATTCTCCCCGAAACCCGGTTCTCGAAATACGTTCAAATAAAGAAGAACAGATGAACGATAAATGCAAAGCTCAAATTTATCAACATTTATGCCGCCCTCCACATCAACATTGTCCGACTCTGACACTCCTGCCCTGAACTCTCCCCGTTCTCTTGTTGCTTGTGACGGGTACCGACCAGGACAAGGCCCACCACACGACTCAAACTCACATTCGACTAACACTCCCGTACTTGGCCTGCCAGGCAAAAAGTACAACAGCGCTCCTAATGGCTGTCCAACCAGACAGAAACTCACCCAGAAGATGCAATTGCCGATCGTCCTGCCCTGAGGGCCACGCATCTTCTCCAGCGGTGCCGTCAGAGCGATGAGGGGCAATTGGAACATCATGCCGAAGAAAGCAACCCCTGAGTTGAGCCCAGTCAGTCTATGATCCAAGCGGCACAATTCCAATGGCGAAGGGAAAACAATGGAAAAGAGACTTACCAATAAAGTTATGGGTGGGAATGCCCACCAGCATTTCGTGCAGAATGGCAGACAGTGAAAACACCATCCCACTCGCAGCAAGAGGACTCCAGCCTCGACCGACGAGCGGCGAGTACACATGTCGCTTCATGAACAGGTAGACTGGCCGGTTCCACGACCGCCAGTACACTCCCAGACTAGAGCTATTCCACCAATCGGTGTAAAACTCACGGTCTCCGAACTGCATCACTTCCGCCAGGGCATTCAGCAGAGCCTGGAAGAGGGCGAAGAATCCAGCCAGCCAGATGATCAGCGAGATGGTGGAGAGTTTCATGACGCGCTCCAGGATAGACGCAATATCCATGACGGCGATTTTGTCAATAGAGTTGCGCAGTACGGGGGCGGCATATTGTGCTGAGAGAAGCCAAATGAATACTGCTAGTCCGACGAATTCCGCCAATCGCTTTGCGACAAAGGACCAGCGGATTGACGCGGTACGGGGGTAGACCGGTTGGTAGACTAGTGTTGGAGCCATCCAGAAATACGCCAGGTTCCTGAGGGTCACGTTCCGGGGGTAAGGGCATGTCGCGTAGATTTCGGGCAGACCGGGGTCAGCAGAGGGATTGAGGAAGGCGAGGCGGAGATCACGGTTGGTGAAGGCGTAGGAGCAGTTCTTGAGCCACACGATAATGGCGTGTAGTTGACAAAGTGTTCCAATGCCCGGGTGGTGGATATAAAAGTATACTACGAAGCTGGTGAGAGCTAGGCATATGGTCGCGTTCAAGGTGTGCAGCAGAGCCGTATAGCGCCAGGTAGAGCGGAAGACCTGCTGATCACGCTCCTTCTCTTCGGCAGTCTTCTTCTGGTGGCCAACGGTCTGCTTTGCGGCACCTGCTGCAGAGAGCTCGATCGCATAGGCCAGGAAAAGGTGGCATGGTACCAGGGCAAACAGGATCGATCCCAGCACAAGGTCCTGCTTGCGATAGTCATGGCATTTGATGCAGATCAGCACGCCGTACTATATAGATTTACACAGTTAGCAGTCGCTTGACATGTGAGTACTTTTGGAACACTCTTTAGCGAAAACGCACTTTCATAAAATTTTCAATGATCAATCGAAGATTCATGGCGACTGCCCCGTCGTATCAGTTATCACATGTTAAAATCCGACTCACCATGGGGAGGGAGCATCAATGCCTACCAAGCACCAGAACCATCAGATTCCTGAATCCAAGAAAGCTGGGCGTCACCTCCGCATCGCGACTGAGACTCGAGTGTCGCAGCTGTGCATGGTAAGCTGCGACATGGCGGTACTTGCTATGACGTTTCTTGCCAATCTGCGCGGCGGGCGCAGGAGCAGACGCCGAGGCGTCGGGTTCGTTCTCGGTGATGCCGATTCCCCGAGCACCGGAGTGCTCATGGGCAGTGGTCACGGCCTCTGTCTGCGAGGCCATGGTCAACACCTCGATGAGACTCGGGACAAGAGCTGTTTTGGAAAATTGGTTTAAGAGGAAAAGCTGACGAGAGTGGCCAAGATCCAAGCTCGACGGAGGGGAAAGCTAGTTCGAGGCTCTAGCGGGCGAACCGGGAGCAAGAGCAATGCGCCAAGCACCAAAGTCCTAGAAGCAAGTCGATGCAACGCTCTTAGTTTGCGATCAACATAGTAGAGAAGAGGAGAGAGAATGTCCCCATAAACCCAGTTTCAACCAAGCTATGATATAATCGGGTTCGCCATAAGCCTAGAGAGGGAAAGAAAGTAGGAGGGTACTCGAGCAAGTCCCAGCATAACCAGGCCAGCAGATAAAGGACCAGGTCCAGCCAAGTGCCAAACGGCCCAATCACCGCCTCCGGCAGCTCCTCAAGGCCCTCCCGACCCTGCAAAGCCCCGACCAGAATCCTCCCAACGCTTTCATCATTCTCCAATGATAATGCGCCCGTGAATGCTGCTTTCGAAACGCTAAACGCTCGGATTCCTTCTTTTTCCATTCATGCATTGATTGTGCAGCTTGTCCCCTCCCCTCCCAACCCCACCTGGCGACCGAAACATTCCCAAGAAAAATAGCTCCCTCAATGGCCTATTACGAGGAACATGGGGGCGACGGCCCAGGGAGGTTTGCAAAGAACTTCGATGGTCCCGTCGGGCCTCGTCGGCCGAGTATGTCTACGATGATGCCCTGCTAATCTCAACTCTCTCTGAGGGTATTCCGCCCGATGCGACGGCCGCGACTGACTTCAATGTGCTCACAGGATTGGTGACGGACTATGGCTCGTCGATGGTACAATGGATGCGGACGCGACGACCTCGATACCGCGGTGAGCACCGCATGGAGATGGAGCGCCCCAGTGCGAGCTTCACGGTAGATGTGAGTGTGTCGCGTGAGAAATGTGCCTTGACCTGGCGCTGGCTGGATTCTCGTGACAAAGACTGACGCTGCTCGCGTTGTTGCGCTACAGATGCTTCCACCGATGGCGCGAACCTATTCCGCGGCAGACACGATACCCGTCCGACATTTACATCAGTCGATTGGAAAGTCGAAGAAACCTATCGTGGTGGTACGGTGGACGCCCGAAGGCAGACGGTTGCTGACGGGCGGGCACACGGGAGAGTTTATGCTTTGGAACGGGACGGCGTTTAATTTTGAGACGGTGATGGATGTGCGTGAGACAACGAAGCAGACGGCCGGGATGACTTTTGAATCTGGAAAAGCTAATCGTCGTGACAACAGGCGCATTACGACCAAGTTCAGGCTGGCGTCACATCTATCGCCTGGTCTCATAGCCACGAATGGTTAATTTCGGGCGGACAAAGAGGCGACATCAAATACTGGCGACCAAACTTCAACAACGTCGAAACCATCGACGACGCACATCACGATGCAGTCCGGGACTTGGCCTGGGCACCCACTGATACCAAATTCCTCTCCGCCTCCGACGACACTACCCTCAAGATCTTCGATTTCACATCCCGAACCTGCGACACCGTTCTCTCCGGCCACAACTGGGACGTCAAATCCTGCGATTGGCACCCGACGAAGGGACTGCTGGTCTCGGGCTCAAAGGATCACCAGGTGAAATTCTGGGATCCTCGGACAGCCAGGTGTCTGACTACACTCCACAGTCACAAAAACACCGTCACCTCGACGCGATTCTCCCGCGTGAACAATAACCTGCTTGCCACTTCGTCGCGGGATCAAACCGCGCGGGTATTCGATTTGCGCATGATGCGGGATATTTGCATTCTACGTGGACACGAGAAGCCCGTGTCGTCCTTGACATGGCATCCCATCCACAGCAACTTGATCTCTACCGGAGCCGAGGATGGCTCTCTATATCACTACCTGCTCGACGAACCTAATCTGCCATCCGGCCATGTCCCGACAGTGGCACCATACGACAGCCCAGACCCGGCCAATACACCCCCGCAGGTAATTTTCCCAGCACATCGCGTGCAATACGCTCACGGCGCTACGATCTGGTCTTTGGACTGGCATCCACTAGGCCACATTCTTGCATCTGGATCCAAGGATAATTTCACTCGATTCTGGTCTCGGGCTAGACCCGGCGAGACTAGTTACATAAAAGACCGATTCCACATCGGCGAGGAGGCAGCCGAAGCCCAGGGCACCTGGAGCCGCGGATTCGGCCGAAGGCAGATGCGCGAGGAAGAGGAGCAAGAAATGCAGGACGAGGACGAGAGTCTGGTCGATCAGCGCCGCCCTGGTGCACCCATGTTGCCGGGCATTCAAGCGGGTGGCACTCCCCAGTCTGACGGTGCAGGATTCCTTCCTGGCATCGGTGGTGCTCAACCGCCTCCTCCACCGGGGCTCCCAGGCATGGGCGGTATGGACCCTGGCCGGTTGGCCGCCATCATGTCCTCTCAAGCTCCTCCACCGCAATCCCTCCCTCCACCAAACCAGCCAATTCCGGGGTTCCCCATGCTTCCAGGCATGGGCGGCGCCCCACCTATGAATATGGACCTGGCGCAGTTACAGAAACAACTCGCGTCGCAGGGATTCCCGATGCCCCCGAACATGAACATGCCACCTGGATTTGGCGGGTTGCCTGGTTTGCAGGGTGGGATGCCTGATGGCGGTCGGCGATGAGAATGAGAAAAAGGGAAATGGTGATGGGTTTGCATTCTATATGTGCATGGCAAATCTGGAATCGCGGGGCCGGCGTAACGGACATATAAGCATGCGATAGTCATTATGATTTTGGGGCCGGCGCTCTTATGCGAATATCAATTTTTTCGTGTATTATACGACGGAGAATATGATCAATTTCCCGAGTCGGATGAATAGGCTGTTCGGTGCTGGTGCTGGTGAGTATTTTGTCGGACCCGTGTCAGTCAGCCTGGACGAAAGGCCGTACGCAATGAATCTGGAATCAAGATGTGTAGTCGATGCTTTCGATGTCTTTTCAAAGACCCCCCTGCATTGGATAACTCGTGACAATGAGAACCATCACATTGACACCGCCCCAAATCATGGGCAAGAAAGTCGACATTCTAAAATTGCCTGCTTGATACACAGCCCCAAGTCTAGCCACCCGATAGTCAGCAAACCACGACCCTAAAACAAACCAGAATAGACCAAACAAGTCTCACGTCCTATGATACTCACACAAGCCCGACAATACTCCCAGCCAACAGCCCTTCCAGCCCCGCAACCACACTATACAACAACGGGACAAGCCATATAACGCTCCAATTCCGGCAGTGCGTTAGAACCGCGCATCCGGCGACGGTGAGGTGTGTCGCGCCATAGAAGAGTAGTGTCCAGTAGATCGTGAAGCGCCAGATATCCGACGTGTAGTAGAGGTAATACGCCTCTTTGTGGTGAAATGGGAGTGGATTGTACAACGAGGGAAACCGGGGCGTTTCATAGTTGATGGGGACCCGGTTATTGGCCATGGGGGAGATGCTGCTGTGCTAGTGCAGCTTAAATGTAGATAAGGAATATTAGAGCATCATCAGGTAAAATGCGGGTTAAGGGGCCCTCGATGTGGGTTGTTTGTTGCTTCGAGCTTGTAGTGGATGCCCGTCTCCTATCGGATTTGGGCTCCTGCTGTTGCTCGGAATGACGATGGGCACTGCTTGTTTGCACTGTTTGACAACTCCGGACCGGACCTCGGCTGCGGATGAGCCATGACGGTCTGGGGTCTCCGCGGTCACATCTCTCCTTCTACTTTCACAACCTCCCATGTAGACCTGTGGGCATTGCTGTCCGATCTAGGTCCGTGAGACATGGCAACAGAACGCTCACTTGCCGCGCTTCTGCGCTCGTTACAGTCAACGTCCAGTTTCGAAGACGCTTCTAGGTAAGTGACACCATCTACGCATGGTTTCGGGTATCACCGACCACCGACATCGCCGGCTAACGTTGACGACCATTCGCCCAGTCTCCTTCCCACCGCGACCAGCTTCTTATCTATTCTCGGCAACCCCTTGAATCTGAGTCTTCTCGCCTCGCAGCTCCTCTCTGCACCAGCACTATGGAACCACCCGGTCGATCTATTCGCATGTCGCAAGATCCTCAGCGTGTTCAACACCGCCGCCATCGCCATCCTGCAAAACGATACCATAGAAGAAGCCCAGATCCCGCACGGCGCAGGCCGCAATCGCCGTATCGAGCGCGAAGCATGGGTCAAAGCGATTGCCGAGGGCGCGGACGATAAGTCCCCGCGCTGGAGACACATGCTCCTACTCGGCGGGATCCTGCTCGGATTCGAGGGACAGAATCGACAGGGTCTCCCGTGGCATATTCGGACGAAATTGGAGTCTGCGTTGACGACGGCGGCGCAATTGGCTTTGGAGGAATTAGATCCCGAGGCGGGTATTGACGGATATTGTATCACCATGGTGTTGAATTATACGTTTGAGCTTTTGTCGGATGCGCACAGGAGTAAGCTGGATTATGATCGCTTGCTTCCTATCGTGGTGCGATCGGTTTTCCATTCTCCCGAGGGTTTGGAAGGGGGATACTTTTTGGGCGCGATTGACAAAGATGTCGTCGAGGCGCCGGGGAAGAAGTTCCGCTGGGCACCAAACTCGGCGACGTTTGGTTATGTGACAGCTGTGGCTGGGCGTCCTTTGGTTGGTGCGCTTGGCCCGCTGTCCAGGCTGGTTGCACATGCCGTGGAGAATGTGCGGGATCCAAAGCTAGTTGCGCAGTCGGTGGACTATATGGCGGATTTCGTGCGGACTCTTATGGTGCAGTGGCGGCAAAATAAGTTGTCCGAGGTTGACGTTGCGGAAGAGATGGAGTTCTTGGATGCAGAGACCTTGAAGACTACAATTCCGGCTCTGTGGACGATTCTGCGGAATTGCATGTATTCGGTGGTTATCGTTCTTCGTGCCGTGCTCGGGAGAACGATCAATGATCCGGCTCTTGCTGCTGGCAGCAGTATGTTCTTGTCCACCTTGACTCCCATTCAACTGACACAGACTGACTTTGGATACTTGTTCAGGTGCACCCTATCTTTGCATGCAGTCTCTTCATATCCTTCGCAACCTATACTTTATCTCTTCTCGAACTGGCCAGACGGGATCCTCCCAGCAGAACTTCGTGTTCCTGGCAGCCATTGATATCCTCGCTCAATACCCCGATTTAGCGGAGAATTTCTTGCGCAGCATTAAGCCTAGTGAAATTGGCCAAATACCGGCCCACCCGGTGGAACGTTGCTTAGACCTGTTCTTCTTGAACACGGCAGAGCATTTCCCACTGGTGTTGACCTCTGAGGCTAGCGAAGAGCTGCTCTTGGCGGCTGCTTTCCCATACCTTGCAGCCGGCGCCAACAGTTTACTGCTCGAGATTTTCGAGGCAGCTCACAGCTTGGTGCTCGTTGTCTTTGCTATTCCTCACAACGCCGAATTAGCCGCCAAGCACCTCCCCTTCTACATCGAGAACCTCTTTGCAGTACGTTACTTTACCCTGAAAGCGTTGAAAGCCCTCAAGTTTAACATTCATTTAGGTATTCCCCGAAAATCTATCTGCGAGACAATTCCGCCTCGCCTTCAAAACGGTCATCCAAGTCACCGCTCCCCCATCCCCCCTCGCCAACAGCCAGCCCCTCCTCCCATCAATTCTCCTCGAAGTAGTCCGTGACCGCGCACTGAACGGTCCAACCACCCCCATCCCGCTAACCACTCAAAACGGCTCCTCGCCCGATCAACCACCTCTCTCCGCCCAAGCCGTGCTCATCCTCGCCCTAATCGACTCCCTCTCCTTCCTCCGCGTAGACGATCTGAAAGAGTGGCTCCCCCTCACCGCGCAGCTCATCAACGCAATTCCCGATCGGGGCATGCGCCATGTCTGCGTGGATCGATTCTGGGAGGCATTGAGTGGCGGGGAGATGGATGTGGACCGGGCACATTGCTGCGTTACCTGGTGGAGTACCCGTGGTGGTCGGGAGCTTGTTCTTTTCGGTGCTGAGCCTGGTGCTGGTGCGGGGCCGGACGGGGAAGAGGGTGGGCCTTTTATGAGTGGTGCTGTGGGGGCTGTTGCGCCGGAGAGTAAGTTGTGACATGGAGGGTTGAAGGAGATGTGGGAGGATTGTACAAGAGCGTTGATTGTGTTTATACTTTATATACCAGGACATTACTGTCCAAATCGCAGTGACAACTTACAGACCATGCTCCCCTGAACGATTCGACATAATGCGAAGCTTTTTATTTTTCCCACTTGTCTATGTACGATACTTTTATCAACTAGCAATATCTACATGACGCCGTCCATGTCTTTGCTTAGCGGATCAATGGGATGCCAACAGGGGTATCCTGACGGTACTGAAGATATTCAGCGCCGAAGAATTGAATCAAAAATGATTCTTCACCTGAAAAGACAGACAGCCAGTCAGTAACAGCACTCTGAAACAGATTTCCAAGACATCAATACGTTCATAGGAAAACTCACGCTTAATCCGAGTCGAAAAGAACCTCCACAACACGAGGGTATACCCAACAAAACACACCACATTCCCCAGCACCAACTGCGTCCCCAACCCCCACCAAAAGAAACCAAAGTAGCTCGGATGCCGAAGATACGCATACAAGCCCGTCTTCACCAAAACATGACCCTCCTGATGCTCCGACTGCACATGATGATTGAAATTATTCGCCGCCTGCGCCATGGCCAACGTTCTCACAACCTGGCCCACGACCGTCAAAACAAATCCAAGAACCAGTAACAAAGACACCGACGTGCCAAAGACCGGCTCTGTGAACGAAACCAATCGTCCCACCCGACTCGGCCCCGGCCAAAAGAAGTGCGCCACGATACACTCCACAACGGCAGACCCGTGCGCAACGTTATACGCCCATCCATTCGAGGTAAGCAGGAATGCGCCCACAGATGCATAGCGTGTATTGTACCGCGCAGTGACGTAGTACTCGAGGAAATGGAACAGACTCAGCGCGGCGATGAAGAAGGGTACGCGCCAGAAGGGGGTTGGCGAGATTGTAGTAAGGAGGAGTGTGAGGATGGTCGTCGCGCCGAGAGTGACTCCTAGTAAGAAGGCGCGGAGCGAGATGCCGGATAGTGACTTCGAGCCGTTTGGGTAGTTTGATCGGTCGAGGGGTGGTGTTGTCGAGGAGGAGGCTGCGCTAGAGCTTGCGTTTGAGGCGTTGCTGGATCGGCGCTGGGTTAGGAAGGATGGGTGCCATTCTGATTCGGTGGTGTTTGCGAGACGCTCGATTGGCCAGGAGATGTTTGGGTCGCCTGGTGTGGCCTGGGAGCTGGAGGTTGTTGCGTCGGTCATTTTTGAGAAGTGCTTCGAGCTCTGAAATGCCGGGGGGTGTATATTCTGGTGGTGGGAGAGGATAGAGTCGGAATAGGGGATGAATGTCTCAGGATAAACACGAGCGACTGGGGGTGCTCTTTCAAATAGTACTCAAGACACCATGTTTCATTGTCTTCGAGGTGGAGTGTGGCGGGTTGAGAACAATCGATGAAGTTGGATTGTTATCTCCTCGGCGGACTTGGACCGAGCTTTTTGGCTTTGGCTGTTCCTTTGTTTCTTTTCTTTTTCTCTTTATCTCCGACTCTCCGTGCCCACTTGCCCAAAATCACCCCCACCTGGCTGGGCTCAGGCCCGGTCTTGAGTGGCTCCGGGAGACTGTTTAGACGACACGTTGACACTTGCATAGCTCTAGGACTGCAGCTGAGCGTCAGGAGAATTTGAAATTGCCTTACTAGCACGCACAATGGCGGAATTAACCGAGCGAGAGAAGATGCTCCGTGGAGAGCTCTTTGTCTCCTTCACGCCAGACTTGATTGCGGCTCGCAATCGCTGCAAATATGCCTACACTCGGTATAACAATGCCGGGGAAGTACCACGAAGACGGCTGGTCGAGCTTTGGAAGGAGTAAGTAGTGGATTTCCATCTATCCACCCACCATCTTCCTGTTTCAATGTATGTGTATATGGAACTATAGTTATCTAACCTGATCTTTGTTTGTCAGTGTCATCGAGGACACAACTCCCCTCCCTCCACAACTGGAGGATCCAGTAGCAGATGATGAGCTCTTCAAAGATGAGCCCTGGATCGAACCACCCGTCAAGGCTGACTATGGCTTCAACGTGATCATCGGCAAAAATGTATTCATCAACTCCAACTGCGTCTTCATCGATAGCTTGCCTATTACCATTGGATCCCGGACCCTGTTTGGTCCTAATGTAAGCTTGTTCGCGGGGACACACCCTGTTGATCCTGCTGTGCGCAATGGCATGGAAGGTCCTGAGATGGGTGCTCCAATTACTATTGGCGAGGATTGCTGGATTGGAGGCAATGTGACTATTCTTCCTGGAGTGACGATTGGCAAGGGTTCGACTGTTGGGGCGGGGAGTGTGGTGACTAAGGTATGTTTTCTATGCAGTTCTTTCTTTTGATTTCAATGCCTGTCCTCAGGCTGTGGCAGACTGCTGGATAGCTATCATTGTCGGGTGGCTACAAAATAGTTGCACAGTTGCGGAGTGCTGTGTTTGCTGATGGGGTATTCAAACAGGATGTGCCGCCCTTTCATGTAGTTGCTGGAAACCCGGCTAGGATCATTCGGAAGATTGAGACGAGCATGAAAGAATGAACGAGGGATCTGACATCTGCAGGAAATGTTGGTAGAGGTTGAAGTTAATGTGAGATATTATGCTTTCAGGTAGTGCAACATATATCCTGCGCTAGTATGCTCAAAGACACGCCTATTTTTTGGGTTACATGTACGGTATGTAGGCCTAGTCCAGTCAGCGATATAGATTTGACAAGCTCAATCAAGGAAAAGCAGCCAACGATGGGGGTTCTACTGAGTGATATTGCAGTTCAGACGGCGTTTAAAAGTATCGTGTCTGTGTTTGTAGGGCGGGTTTTTGGTGGCTCCGCCGGCGATTTATGTGGTTTGCCTAGACCCGCTCCATAGTTAGAGGCTGACAGGGACAAAGGAATGTCCATACGGTCTCTGCCAGAACAAAGAAAATGAGAAGATGTAATAACATTCAATATGTGATAGCTATAGTACTGTAGATACAATCAGAAAGTATTATCCTGCAAGAAATGCCAGCACCAGGCCGATCCTGTTAGCAGCCTCTCCACAGCACAACGTCACTGATCTCCAATCACGGATCCTCGTCTCGCGTCCCCCAAAAAAGCTGTCGATCGCCAGGTCGCTAGATCTCTCCCCGCCAAAACACACCTCACCTTCCACTCAGCAAGCGCACACTTCCCGCCGGTGGATTCCGGCAAGCTTCGCTCTCTCATCGCCCTGTCCTCACCTCACCTTCCTCACACCCGCAAACCCTCCTCGGCCTGAGGAAAATGTCATGGCTGAACCCCCGCCAGCGAGCTCTCGCACCCCGCCTGGCGCGCCGCTGAACGATCCCACGCGACCTCTCAACGACCTGATGGAAGAGCCCGGTCCTGAGCGGGTCCAGAAACGACCACGCCTGGACAGTGGAAGTGGTGTCGCTCCATCTGTCTCGATTGACCCTACGGCGGTTGCTGCTTCGGTGCCTTCCTCGACTGTCGCGACACCGCCGCCAGCACCTGCCCTCGAGATGGACACTACACCAGACCAGGTACGCCCCGCCAAGGTCACGATCAACGTCAAGTCTCCCACTTCGGAAACCGACATGGCGAATGCTACGCACGATCCTTCCCCGGTGCCTGGAGGCGCCCGACCCGAGTCAACTGAACCAAACGCGACACCGTCAGACGTGATTTCTATCTCTTCCTCTCCTGCCCACAGTCCAGAGATTCAAGCTGGTGACCCCGAAGATATGGATGGGAATTGGAGGCCTCTGGCCGACGCGGTTCAGGAAGAGGAGCTGGTCGAGGTTCATGACCTCGCTGCGCCTCTCGTTGACTCTTTTCCAAAAGTTCGGGAGAACCTGAGTCCGCGGGATAACGTGGTCAGAATTGTGACTATGATTCAGAAAGGTAAGGGCTCTCTGTTTCTACATGCTGGGAGGATTTGTGATACTGAGATTTGTTGAAACAGCTGATTCCCGCGACGCCGATGCCGCCTCCGCGGTGAAATCGTGGATGGATGACTGTGTGAAGAACTTGGATCGCCTGACCCTTGAAGAGTTTGGCGAGGCCCCGGACTTTTGGCAACAGTTTCCCGACGTGGTAGAGAGCGTGTTGCGCAGACCGTGAGTTTTCCCAAGAGACCGAGATCGAGGGATATGGAATAGAGCTAACTTGTGCGGTCAGACATGAGCTGTTGATCGACGATGGCTCTGGCAGCGGCCCATGGGCCTGTCTGGAAGAGTTCCTCCTTGATTTTGTTCAGATCGCTCTTCAAGTGATGCGCATCGACACCATGATTATGCGCCATCTGCTCGATGACCCAGAGCTTCCGGCACAGGACAGTCTCTGCAAAGACTATCTCCAGCCTCTCACCTTCGTTCTCCTTTCCCCTAAGACCCCAATCCCTTTGTACCGAGCTCTGGACAGAAAATACCCTACAGATACCAACGAAATGCTCGTACGTATTCGGGCAAAAGCACTTGCGCCTCCGATCGATCTCGTCCACACACTATCAGAATGGACGGCCCTCATCCTTGAACTTACCCCGCGGCACACACACTTGACTGGCTGTCTCGGTCACATTATGCTCATCGTGAATGCTTTGGTGGACTCTCACCTGGAACGCGGCCAGGATGTGGACCTCGATGGCTCCGATTCCCCATTGCCCGAGTCAGCTTCGATCCAGGCCCTCTATGACATGGTCCATTTGATCGATGATAAGTACCAAGAATGGATCACCAAGAAAGCAGCCTGGGCGACGAGCGATCTAAGTGAACAGTTGCTGCGTGCCATCTCACACAATTACAAACACCACTGTGCACGCAATCCCGAGTTTGTCAACCAGCTCTCAAAGGATCTCTCCATACCTCTCCCCGAGGATGCCAGTCTGGAAGAAAAGTCCTTGATCATTTTCTGGATGTGGAAGCTCGGGGTCCTAAAGAAGCACATCATGGAAGGCCGCATGGAGCTCCGTGTCCACGGCGTGGAGACCATGCAGTCGGACTTGGTTCACGTCTGGCGGTCCAGTATCTCTTCGAACCCTGGAGGTGTCAACTTGCCATTCGTAAAGCAACTGGTCCGTTTCATTCAGGACAACAAGATCGTGGACTACCTCGTGGGCGTCGACTCCCACCCACAATTGATCAGCCGAAGCAGCAACATTATCGGATTCCTGATTGTGACGGACACCTACACCAATTCTGTGACGGATGTCATTTGGAAGACTGTGACAGAAAGTCAAGACGGTCGGATCGTCTCCGAGGTCCTGTTGATGCTGGTCCGGACGTTCAACATGCACATCACTGCGTCCGCGGCTTTATTGTATGTTTGCCAGAAAGTGTTGGAACTGCCTCTTACTCGATTCGATACGGGCATGCTCGAGTTTTGCAACAGATTGCTCAGCCGGATGTGCGATCATCCCTCTGACCGACGAATCTCAGGCAGTTCTGACCACGATTGGGTCGATGCACTTCCCCTGCAGCTTTGTGTGCGCCTTATTCGCGACAGTACGGCCGCTGAAGATCTCTCGGTGGAACAGAAGAAAAGTCTGCAGAGGTTCGGCAGTCAGAAGCTCATGGGCTTCATTGCCGCCGGCATCAGCGAGGCCGATAGGATGGGGATTTACGAGCGCTGCATCCAGGACATTGCCGAAAGGAATCAGTTTACGACCGGCAGCATTCAAGTATTGAGCGCGCTTGTCCCCGCTCATGATGTACAGGAGATGTTGAAATTGGCGACGGACTTTAACCTGACGGGCTTGGTGATTGACGACATGCTGCATGCCGTGAAAGACGATCATGATGACTCTGCCAATGACTTTTCCCTGCTTGGCCTGGTATCGCGGCTGACCATCCTCTTTCGACTGATCGACATGGTTCCCGAGACGATCACCCCGGAGCTGGGGATGGCCTTGTGGGATGATATCCTGCTGTCCAAAACGTTGACTCAAGAGGGACGCCAGGCTGTGTGGAATATGCTGGTCACCGCTCTGAGCCAATGCACCGAGGCAAATCCATTTCTCCATCGGTGCATTCACGAATATCTCCCTAGCCTGGTCCCCAAGGACTACACGAAGGAGATCTTGGCATTTGCCAAGCAAGCCATCATTTATCAAGTCCGATTCAACCCACCTTCTCCAGCCGGTGAAGGTGAAGTCGTGACTATTCCTGGCATTGATCGGATTTGGACTTTCATCTTAACTGCTCCACCTGGTACGATCGAAGTACAGGCTACTGAATTCGCTGTCAAAGTCTACCTTGATCATTCGATCATCGTCAATTCGCCACAATCCGCCATTGAAGCCACACATATCTCCCTCGTCGAGCGGTGCGTGGATCAACTCAAGTCCGCTGCTGCAACTCTGAAGGCAGCAGCTGATGCCAATGGAGATTCTTCCATGGATTCGGAAACTGAAACTGGCGAAATGAGCTCCGAAGAGCTTCGATTCCGACGCTCACTCTATTTCCTTCACCATCTCCTGAGTGGCCTTCGTGCTCGCCCTCATTACAACTCTCCCAGAGGCTCGCCGCCCATCCTTCCAGAGCGGCCGATCAAGGGCGAGCCAATCAATATCTCTTGGCAGTCCTTCAATGGAAGCACGAATTCCAAAGTCAAGAACCTTCTAATCGGTGACCTGTCAACCGCTGGAGAACTGGTTGAACGGCTCATTCAGCTTACCGGTTTTTCCAAATTCACCGCAATTGCTGGGGGTCAGCGGATTGACTTGATGAAGGATCCAGAAATCACGGTGAAGGACATGAAGGTGCTTCATACAGGCCTGCTTCTAATCCGAAAGGCGCCTGATTCCCAGGAAGTCTCCCGAGCTGGCAATGGTGGACAGCCGCTTACATCGGTCGACTCCGAAGTGTTGAAGCACTTTGATGAGCTTTATGATCTGCTGGCTTTGAATGATGATCTTGCGCGAGAGGTATGTTGAACAATGGGAACGCTACTGAAATATGTGGATAGCCTTGCTAACCAGGTGCTTTTCTAGATCTACGAATTCCTTGTGACATTCTCGCCCCAGCCCCGAATCCGCAGCCTGGTTAAATCGGAGAGCAGCACCGCCGAGGACTTGTTCCCACTTGACAGGCCTTTTGTCGCTTTTTACTCATTCAGTGCGCTTTTGGCTTGTCTCCTCGAAGAAGCCCTGGAGGATGAACCCAACCAAGCCTTTATATCTCACAGCATCGAGGTTATGGTGACGTTCTTGATGGCAGACGAGCTTCTCGAGTCTCTTGTCCGGGACCGGACTCGACTGCACCTTACTTCAACTGCAGTTGAGTGTCTGTTGGATGCTATCGCCTTGTACAGTGCTACTGATGATGGAACATTGGTTGCCAACAAGAAGGATTCTCTCGTCAAACGGTTGCTTTACTTCATTGAGACAGCTCGTTCCATGACCCCCAGGCCTCTGCTCAACATGTCAACAATCCAAAAATTGGTCTGCAATTCCTTCGGTGTTCTGGTGGAAGGATCGATCCGTGACCAGGCATTCTGGGCCGCAGTCAAACAAGAAACACAGCTTGGTCCCTTGATCAAGGCACTGCTTCTTGAGGATACTCGGCAACCGATTCGGAGTGATGTTTCGGAGAGGATCAGGAGGACTTGCAGCGCGGCAAAGTCCATGAAACAGTCATCAAAGAAGTTGGCCAAAAGCAACTCACCCAGTCCGTCCACCCCAGACAGCCCTGCCCAGATTGACATGCTTGCCACTGTGTGGGATGCGTTTGTTCAGACAATCCCAATGACCCCAGAGTACGCGTCTCAATCTGCCGAGTTCTTCAATGTCGCTCTTTGGGTGTTCCGATCGGTGGCGGAGAAATCTCCACGAGATGTCATTTTCAGCCAGTATTTGAAGCAATGGAGTGAAGTTATGCTTCGTCATGAGACTGAAGAGGTATGAGTCAATTCATCGTGTTCTGGCGAAGGAAACATTGCTAATATAATTCTAGTTCATCGGACGTGAGGCAGTTGATAACCTGCTTCTGGGCTTTGCTGGTCTCCTGGAGCAGTGTCTTGAGTCGGCAGACTCGGCTAATGTTGACTTGGAAACTTTGTACATTTATTCCCGTGCATCTTCTGTGGTGAAGCCTGCTGACATGAATTATTTGCCTTTCCTATAGCAACCTCGCTGAGCAGATTATCAGCAAGTATCTGTTCCCAGAGCTTGCTAATGAGAACGATGAGGTCATCGTCCCTAGCACGCCTCATATGCATACCGAGACACGGCAAAAGCTTTACAGTATTATTCGGCTACTGTGCAAGCGCAGTGACGACAATGTTGCACGCATCATGCAGCATCTGGAAGGGGTGATCCCGCGAGGCGAGTCTTCTTACATCTCTTCCGTACCCGGGACCGTTCCATCTAATAATATTATTTTGATAGACGAATCATACAGTCCAACCTGGTGTCATGACCGCACGAAGATGATCCGAGCCCCAGAGGGATATGCAGGTCTCAGGAATCTTTCGAACACATGCTACTTGAACTCTCTGATGACGCAACTGTTCATGAACACCGAATTCCGCAAATTCATGTTCAAGCTCAATATCATCGATCCCAACATGTCTCAGAAACTTCTCGATGAGACACAGAGGCTCTTTGCCTGGATGCAGGATACCTGGATGAAGAGTGTTGACCCGGAGGGTTTCGTGGAGAGCATTCGAACCTACGACAATGAACTTATCGATGTCACCGTTCAGATGGATGTCGACGAGTTCTACAACCTGCTTTTCGATCGTTGGGAGGCTCAGATCATGGACCCGGAAGAAAAGAAAGTGTTCCGATCTTTCTATGGAGGCCAACTTGTTCAACAGATCAAGTCCAAGGAGTGCTCTCACATCTCGGAACGCGAGGAGCCATTCTCTGCCATTCAATGCGACATCAAGGGCAAGGCTAGCCTGGATGAGAGTCTGCAGGCGTACGTCGAAGGAGAGATCATGCAAGGAGACAACAAGTACTTCTGCTCGGGCTGTGGCCGCCATGTGGACGCCGTGAAGCGGGCTTGTCTGAAGGATGTTCCCGACAACCTGATTTTCCATCTCAAGCGATTCGACTTTGACATGGTCACCATGATGCGGAGCAAGATTAACGACGAGTTCAAGTTTCCGCGACTTATCGATATGACACCGTACAAGGTGGAACACCTCTCTGATCCCGGCAGTCCTGTCGAGCCCGATATGTTTGAACTGGTTGGTGTTCTGGTGCACACCGGAACTGCGGAATCGGGTCATTACTACTCCTACACCCGTGAGCGATCCTCGAATGGCACCACGCCTCTGTGGGTCGAGTTCAATGACTCGGATGTATCCAAGTTTGATCCGGCGACCATTGCGGATCACTGCTTTGGAGGTCAGACTGAGACCGGTCACAATATGGGTGGTGTGCAGATCAACAAGGTCTGGAACGCCTACATGCTGTTCTATCAGCGTGTTTCCACGATGGAGCAAGCTACGCAGAACATTCTGCCATTGAAACCCAGCTATCCCGCGCGGGTTCCCGTACCAACAGCCTTTGCCAACCACATTGCTATGGACAATGAGTTGTTCATCCGGACTTACTGTCTACTGGAACCAGCTTATACGAAGCTTGTTCCGGAGCTGTTGTATCGCGTGCGGCAGATGGACCCTAACTCCGCGGGTCACCACCAACTACAAATGATGGGAATAGAGCTCGGCTTGGACACACTGGAGCAGCTGATTGCTCGGACCAAAGAGCCAGCAGGACTTCTTGGTGTCTACGAGGAACTCAGGGTGTTAATTCGGACTCCCCATGGTGCCCTTCGTGCACTCCAATGGTTCGCTCGATGGCCAACAACCATGCGAAACCTGGTATTGAGAATCTTCCAGTATGAAGTTCGACAAAAGGAGGTCTCTATCATCGTTGATGCTGTGCGTTGTCTGAAGATCTTCCTGCAAGCACCAGGTATCGATGACGAGAAGCGAGCTCTTTGGGAGAAAGAACTCGAGGAGACGATTGGGACCATTGTGTCGATGCTAGCAGAGCTTTGGCCCGCTATCCACACTGTTCCTCGCGTGTGGGATGAGTACTTTGAGTTCCTCATCAAACTTGTTGAGTTGGGACAAGAGACTACTGATGCCATTCTTGCTAATGGTATGCTTGTCAAGTGCCTGGAAATCGTCTGGCTTGATTCCGAAGACCGGAAGAACTTGAAGAGCCGCTATCCTGGCTATTGCCGATTGCTCGACAAGGGCCGCCAGTTCCCATACAGAAATTTGATGACCCTGTTTGCCATGCTCTTCCAGCGAATCGACTTCTCAATTCCACCAGTCCCTGCTAACTCTCCTCGCACAATGGCCCCTGATGGCCGAGTCTCGCTCAGTACGGCGGAGGCCAGGTACCTTAAGCCCCTGGAGTACCAGAAGCCTTCCGATGACAGTGCAGTCCTACTGTTTTTGATGAAGTTGCTGCAACATGATCAAATTTGCGTCCAGCCTGAGGTTTCTCAAGTGATTGTGGCTTCCCTTCTCGAGGCTGAGCCACAAATCGGCTTTTTGCCACATGTCTTGAAGACCCTGGAGGTTGGTCTGCGGTATTCGCCTGCGGAACTTTGCATTCCATTCCTTGAATGCGCCGTCGTCTTCTGCAAGCATTCTCCCGATGAGGATTCCATCACTGGCTTGATCAACTTTGTCGCAAAGGGGGTGGAGTCTATCAATAACAGCGCAGGGAATGAGCATCTCGAGTTCTTCACTCAACTTTGCAGTATTTCCAACGAGCGACTGCAGTTGGATAGTGAGTGGTTCATCGCGGCTGTTGAAGAACGAATCCCTGATTTCGTTCCGACCTTGCTGATCTACAATCATCCAAATGTCCGTCGGCGCACCACGGATGTTCTGCGCAGCTTGCTCTTCATTGGCGATAAGAACGAGATGACTGAGGAAGAAGCGCGAAAGCGATATGCTCGCATCGCTCGCGAGCTCACTCATGCCTGTGTTCAGCGGATCATCAGTGTTTTCCTTGATAGCCAGGTTCGAAGCGTCGACTCTCGAATTGTCAATCCCATCACTTCGACTGTCACCCATTGTTTGGAGACTTACTTCGATGAGGATAACGAGGATGATCAGAGAGATATTCAACAAGCCAATGGTATGCCTGGGCCCCTTGTTTTCTTTGCTCTCCCTTTCCATTCTGCAGATTTCACTAACGTTATTTCCTACAGCGATCTTGCTACGCCTGCAAGAAATCACGGTTGATGTCCCAGATGATCTCGCCTCAGGTACCACATCCCCGTGTAGCCCCCGAAGATTCCCTATTTTCTAATTGGAACCTAGATTCCGAGTTGGCCTCACCAGAGGAGTGGGAAGCTACATCCGCTTTGGCTAGCGACTCCGAGATAGGTCTTGCGGGAACCCCTTAGACCAAGACTGAGGGGAGCCTGTCTTATCTGCTTTCGAACTCTCTTATTGTTCTCCTTTTTTACCTGGCGTCTAGCCTTTTCCGGCTGTTTGCTGTCTCATTTAACCTGCACGACGAGCGACATGACATGGACACTATGATGGAAAGATTCCTCTACGATTTGATGACCTTTGTGATTTCGATTTTTTTTTTCACCACTCTGCATTGTGGAGATGGGCGTTATTCGATGGAGGAACGAGGGTTATGATCACCCTGTTCGGATGTTACAATAAAAGGCGTTCAGGACGAGACTTTGTTTCTCGACGAATACAGATTTGATATTTTGTACAATATTTGTTTCTTTGGTAGTTCTTTATGCGTAGTTGGTAGATTACAGAGATTTATGGACAGGTATAAATGCTACGAGGACATTCAGGAATCCTTTGAGAGGCGTTGAGTATCACTGGTCAGTTGGGGTTGTATCAATTAGAATGTGAACTACCACTTTGAATCATCAACCCGAAACGCCATCTGGAAATCTCCATGGCCCGCAGATCATGGAATACTAAACTTGACTCACTGAACCTGAATCACCAGGCTGTTAAGCAAGTTCCATATGCCATGCACTCAGTGCCGAACCCGAATAGTCTCCAGAAAGCTCTGAATCATCTCATGATCCTGCAGCAAATGGAACTCCTCCTTCTCATCCATCGCATGCTCCCGGAAGATAAGCAGGGGCATATCATCCCCGATATCATACGAGAAGAACGTCGCCCCAAGCCCATGCGCAATAATCCCGTAAACACGCACCTGCCGGCCCGGCCGACGCCTCTTCCCATAGATCATATCCAGGTACAGCTCTAAATGAGTCGTCCACTCGGCCAGACCCTCGTTGGCGTTGGCATGCGAAGCGGCCGTGCGGCAGATTACCACCAGGAAGGGCTGGGGGTTGGGCGCGTTGCCCCGGACGTGCTGCACTTGCAGGTCGTACCAGAGGTCGCGCTCGTTGTACCAGCCGTGCTCGCGGGGACTGACGATGTAGCCTTGCCAGGTGGGGAAGTGGGTTGAGAGGATGCTGTTCCAGACGCCGAGGATGGCGGTGTTGCGGCCTGGGTGGTTGGGGTTGAGTTGGTTGATTGCCTGTCTGACGGCGTTGTTGGAGAGCTATGAGGAAGGGGGACGAGGTTAGCGGTTATGGAGATGGGGGTGGTGGAGGAGGAGAACTGATTGTTGAGGTACTCACGTAGGTGCTTGTAGACATTTTGGTGTGATGACGGTGATGGGTTTGTTTCTGTAGAGGTGTTTTGTAGTGTGAATGCTGCTAAGGGAGAAGGTGATGAAGTAGCGAGATGAGCTGAAGAGATGGAGGAGGAAGAAGAGGTTGGAGAAATCGAGGAAAGAGGATGGCGACTATTGTGCCGGAGGGTTCTATAAGGCAGGTTCCTCCGTTTGGCGTCAAGAAAACCGATGGCTTCGTAGCTGGAAAGAACCGCCGACGCGGAATAGCACGGGAGCAATTGTTCAGATATGCATGGAAGCAGAAACACGTTAGGAACTGTGACAGTTCAATGGCCCATGGAAAAATAGTTTAAGAAGGATGCATGTATTTGAATAGCAGCTAACACTTTATTAGCGTGCGAGGCGCCTGCGCCAAAGTCATGAAGACCAAACCGCCTGTCTATTATTTTGAACGCCGTTGGAAAAAAGAAAGAAGACCTAGTGTATCAGACATCCTCGAATTCTTCTTCATCCTCATCGGATTCTTCATCTTTGACGTCCAGCTCGGCCTTGACATCAGGGTCAGTCTTGATGATAGGCTCCGCATTGGACCCAAGCTCCATCTTGATTCGCTTCATCGCCGGGCCATCGTCAGCGGGTGTAGACGGGGTACCTACGGAGGATGGGGCAGCACTGGAGGTGTCATGTTCCCTCTTGATACCCGATAGGCCAGAAGGAGTAGCGACACTGGTCGGACCAGCGCCGGTAGCTGGAGTCCCCGGCCCACTGGGGCCGGAAATGCCAACATCTTCAAATTCGTCGTCGAACTCGTCAGAGTCCTCCGCACTGCTGGCATCTTCTTGAGCCTGGAGAGCCTGTTCTCTCTCCATCTCGGCGTAGTATGCAGCGATCTTGTCGTCAGAGGCATCCATATTGGGCTTCTGGTCCTCATCTTCAAGCTCGGGTTTAATAGAGAAGCCCGTCTCGTTCTTGGTCTGGGCAGGGGCAGCAGCATCAACGGTAGAATGAGTATGCCATACAGGCAGAGCGTTCTGCTTCTCCAACGCAGCCTTGCGAGCAGCCTCCTCAGCCTGTTCAGCAGCACTCTTCTCTTCGCTCGAGGTGAGAGAAATCTCCAAAGCTGCAGCATCGGTCTTGAGATTCCCACGCACCACATCCTGTGGCTTGGGCGGAACGGGGATAGCCGTGCGAATCGGATGGGTGCTCAGGTTCCGGGGAACCTCAACCTTGTGGTCCCAGGCAGTGTCAAAATCGTTGGGCGGAATCTCCACGGAGTCAATCTGCTTCAAGAGCTTGAGCATATTGTCAAGCTGGGCCATGAGCTTGCTGTTCTTCTCATGACCTGTCCGGTCAATGCCCTCCTCGCCCTTGAGATCTTCCGTGCGCTCCAGAATCGCGCCACAATTTTGACATTCGAATCCTTCCTCGGAGATCAGACTCAGGACGTCCAGTTCGGTCCATTCCGCCAGGCATCGCGGGCACATGTATTCTTTGCGCTCCTCGCTGGGCGTGTACTGCTCCTTGATCGTCGAGGTCAATTTGGAGACCTTGTACTTGATCGCGTCGATGACCGGATGGAGGGGGATGTAGTAGTATTCTCGGTTCACGGGGCGAGTGGATCCATCGCGAATTTCGGCGCGTGTGCTCCTGTAGTCAACGAACGTTTCATTTCAGATTAGCCTAGCTCGCAGCCCTTCAATGGGAGTAAGCCATACACTCCGATCAAGCGGTCTTCTCGTAGCCGTGCGCAAAGCTTGCGCAGGTCCTTCTGCTGCATGCCCATCAAGAAAGCAAGATCCTCTGCATGAAGGCTGTGGTAGGTCAGCTAAGTGAACATCTCTCATTCAGCCACATCCCTGAGAGTTCATCGTACACTGAGTGAAGGAAGAGCGCATCAACGACCAAGATGTGCCTAGTCTCGTAGAAGGCGCGCACGACGCTTCGAATGAGCGTGTTGGCGAGATCCATGGTTGCGACGGAGGAGTTGCCAGCGCGAGGTCAGCTGTAGCAGATGGCTCGAGGCTGGGGAGTCGGAAGACGAAGCTTCTGGTGGTGGAGGATTAGGAAGAAGGAAAGTTCATCATCTCTCACAGACTCGTCGCGAGGGCAGGTCTGATGGAGAGAAGGGATGAAGGCGCAAGCAAGCGCAAGGCAGATGCTCCAGATCGAAGCAGTACAAAGAGGCTCTATCGATTGTGGCTGAGAAAGCTTCGAGTGATGATTTTGGCGGCCTCGTTGCCTGAGGTAGCAAGTTTCCAACGGAGACTAGCATGGTACATGGCTCTAACCCAAAGTAGACTAGTGCTATCTGCCGTGGAAAATGTCCGCGGCCACCAGCGGCAAAGGTCGCGAACCTTCTCTACGATACTCGAGTTCATGCGCGCCTCTACCATTTGGCAGCGCAATTTTGCTGGAATTCTCTCGTCTGTCCAAGGACCTCTTTCTCGCCAATCCTCTCTTACCCCCCGAGCATTTGCCTCCGCTAGGCAACCCGCCCGATCCCTCCACATCGAGTCCAAAGCCGAAGCCGAGCTCACAGAACTTTTTAAACGAGTACCATGGCCGACAACACAACGGGAGGAGCGGGCGCTGGTGCAAAGCGTAAGAACCGTAATATGGGAAGGGCAGAATGGAGGTATGTTGTATGGGGTTGGAGATACGCAATCCAGGTCAGCGGCTAACCAAGGAAGTCGACAAGCCTTAGACAAGCGGAAGCGCGCTGAGGAAAGAGAAGCGGCGAAGCGTCGCAAGATTGAGAATGGTGAACAGCCTGTGAATCCAATCTATGCGACTGAGTTCTCCAAGGAAGAAATTGAGAATGAGGAGCGCCGCCCGAAGAAGAAAGTTGCCGTCATGATTGGGTATTCGGGAACTGGGTACTATGGCATGCAATTGTATGTGAAGGTCTCTCAGTGTTGGCTGTGGCCGCCCGTGTCAAAAATGTTTCGCTAACATTGTCCTGTTAGAACCGAGGACAAGCCGACGATTGAAGGCGAGCTGTTTGCGGCTTTGGTCGCAGCAGGTGCAATCTCCAAAGCGAATGCAACGGACCCCAAGAAGTCCTCCTTCATCCGCTGTGCCCGTACCGACAAGGGTGTCCATGCCGCGGGCAATGTTGTCTCCCTGAAGATGATAATTGAGGACCCAGATATCATTGAAAAGATCAATCAGCACCTTAGCCCGCAGATCCGGGTCTGGGGATTGGAGCAAACGGCAAAGAGTTTCAGCTGCTATCAAATGTGCGACTCTCGGGTATATGAGTATCTGCTCCCAAGTCATTGCCTTCTCCCTCCCCATCCCAGTACCTATCTGGGAAGAAAAATTGTGGAGCTGGCTGAGAAGGCTGGAGACTTGGATGCAGTCAAGGCCCGGCAGGAAGAGGTCGCCGATTACTGGGAGAAGGTGGACGAAGAATACATCAAGCCTATTCTGGACAGTGTCCCGGAGGATATCCGCAACATCGTCCAACAATCTCTCTTCTCTAGCGACGCCAATCCGGAAGATCTTGAGAACGAGGATCAGTCCGCTGCGGAAGTCCCAGACAAGCCTGCTGAGGAACCCACGCAACCGCAAGAATCTGGCCCTGAGCAACCAAAAGAGGACCAACCTTTTGTAATGGACCCTCGCCAAAGGCTGATTCTCGACACAACCAAGGCTGTCAAGGCCGCTTACATCAAGGCCAGACGAGCTTATCGTGCGCCTGCTTCCCGCATTGCCCGCTTGCAAGAGAGCCTTGACCGATACGTGGGCACTCCGAACTTCCACAACTATACTATTCAGAAGACCTTCAAGGACCCCTCAGCCAAGCGTCACATCAAGTCATTCAAGGTCAACACCACTCCTGTGGTCATTAACGGCACCGAGTGGCTCAGTCTGAAGGTCCACGGCCAAAGCTTTATGATGCATCAAATTCGGAAGATGGTTGCGATGGCCTCTCTTGTCGTACGTTGCGGCTGCAACCCAGACCGAATCAAGGACTCCTACGGGCCAGACCGGATTGCCATTCCCAAAGCCCCAGGACTGGGTTTATTGCTTGAGCGGCCCATCTTTGACAGCTACAACGCCAAAGCAAGCAGTTTGGGCCGTGGTCCCGTTCATTTCGAGCGGTTCACAAAGGAGATGGACGAGTTCAAACAGCGTGAGATTTACGACAGAATCTTCCGCGAAGAGGAACAGACTTCAGCGTAAGTGATCTTGATACCGTGGAATATCGTATGCTTTACTAGTACTGACGCATGACCCGCAGGTTCGGCAACTTCTTCAACCACATCGATCACTTCCAGAACAACTTCTTCTTGTACTGTACATCCGGTGGTATCCCAGCTGCGAAGCTTGTGACTGCTCCTGGGGGCAAGGGTACTTCCAAGGAAGAAGGTGACAAGGCAGCGAAGGATGAGAGTGCAGCCCTGGCTGAAGTTGAATCTTCAGAGGATGAGGGCGACCTGCAGAACGGTGAAGAAGAAGGCAATTGATCGGAGACTTGTACATCATGGAATGGTTCACAGGCTTGAAATCCTGTCAGATTCTTTTTTATATAACAGTTCGAATGGCACCCTAGATGGAGCTCGTTCATGAGCCTCTCTTGAAGATTCAGGACATATTCATCACTTTCCTAAAAGCGTACAAACGAGATATTTTAAATAATTGGCGAATGCCCCTCGGACTTTTTCAAGAGACAAGGTGGACTTATCAAGTGCAACGGCAGTGTTACGGTTCAATCACAAGTCGACCAAAAATCAAACACTGAGCACACATTGCGGAGATCCATGAACACAATCCAAGAAAAGAATAGTTTGCGAAATTACCTGCAAATTCTCGTGTTTGCCCCTTAGTAGTGTCTTCCAACCCTGGTTCAAGAATCGTGACCGTGCAATCTTAGACTTAATGTAGGCCAAGAGATCACGGTAAACCTACCGGTTTCTTACTGAATCTATACGTCTACCTACATCTTGCTGTGGCAGACTCTACGGCACGAGTGACACTGGTGCATTCTGCTGCAGAAGCATTTGTAGTATCTTTTATTGATATAGTCGCATCGTGGCTGTGGTGCACTAATAAATTCAAATCATTATACTATCTATCATGCTGCCCCTTCGAAAGCCCTCCTATTCACAGGCGTGATTGGATCTCCAACAAATTCCCCATCCGGTCCCACAACGGCAAGTATGTTTTTCATGGCATTCAGTTCGAAATTTATTCTCGTGTCCAAAGCACCGCCCCCGATATGTGTAGTGAGGGTGACGTTCTCCATGCTGGCCAGCCTCGGCGATACCTGCGGCTCATGGTAATGAACATCCAGCGCGGCCGCAGAGATATGGCCGGTTTCCAACGCATGAACCAGAGCATCTTCGTTTAGGATTGGCCCTCGAGCCGTATTCACGATCCTGCTCCCTGGCTTCATCAAAGATAGTGCTCTCGCATCAATCAAGTCTTGAGTGTGCTTGTTGAGGGGCGTGTGGAGGGTAATGCAATCGGCGATCTTCAATAGCTCGTCCAAAGATTCATGATATGTCGCTTCTAACTCTGTTTCCTCCTTTGGATCAGCCCGAATAATGTCGAAATAATGAATCTTCATTCCGAGAGCCACCCGGGCTTTGAAAGCAAGCTTCTTGCTGATATTTCCAAAACCAACCACGCCCAAGATATGGCATCGCGGATTCTGAGAAATGGTTGCAATCAATTTATGGGTCGCGGTGAAGATCTCTGGATCTGCCGTTCTCGCGGCCAGCTGCGAGCGGGTGAAGTTGCGAAATACACTAAGAATCATGTACAGTGCAGTATCAGAAACTGCCTCGTCCGAGGCACCTGCGCCGTTGGCGTACCAAATCTTGTGCTCGCCGAGTATATCAACATCGGCCCAATTAAATCCAGCGCCAGCTGAAGCGAAGATTCGCACAGTTGGTGGGAGTAAAGAAATGAGCTCTGCGTCCCACTGGCCCATGAAGCCTCCAGTCTGGAAGTGTGGGCGAAACAATGCAGAGAAGTTTCCGTACCTACATACTAGCATTTAGTTAAATGAAAGAGACGAACCGGAGAATGGGATACTGTGCTTACTTCTTTGACTTCAGTGCTTGAATAAATCCCTGTCTGTCAGTCTCAGTTGCCTGGATGACATTGAATCGTCTTAGAAATTCATCGTTATAAAAGCCATGATTGTATTTGATGGCGTCGCCAAGATGGAGGACGATAGGTTTATTTGCCATTTTCTAGTGAACCAAAGTGATACAAGATATCATTATCCACAAGTAACTAACTAAGACCTTTGGCTTAGTTATATAATCATCCGTTAGTTGAAGCTGTGCTTTTCCGTGCTTTTCCGTGCTATTTATCCGTGTCCGAGCAACGGTACTTGACCGGAGAGAATGCCGACATGTTTGGTTGGCCATTCCGAGACAGCCATCCTCGCCTCAGTTGCGTGTCACTCATAGATCACTTACACAACATATTTTAGCCCTCCAAATGCCATATGTGCAATCTCATAAGATATACCTAGGTCCTTCACCTGCCCCACGCTCGCTTTCTAGCTTTTTATTCTCTCTCCGCAAAATAAACCGGATGGCCAGCGCTAATACCCTGCAAGCCCCTCAGACACAAGCAAGCACTATTCCAGCAGGGATATATCGTGGGACCTGAGATTCAGGGTAGAGATAAGTTCCGTATATCGAAGACACATTTCCAAACATATCACAGATCGCGACCACCACTGAGCGCTTGACCAGTGCTCGTGAGAACGAAGATGTGATCCATGCGAGAATGATCTGGAACGAGGGCATAACCCCTTGGCATGAGATACATGGCAAAAATCCGGACACCCAATTTGGAAGTCGTGATTACAAGAATGTTCCATGAGGGAAGCAAGTTGCCCAAGCTAAACCTACGTCCAAGAAGTCCAAGAAGCCACGTTAAAGGTACACATCAAAATGTGATTTCCTTTGACAATGTGTTGTGCTTGACGAGTGCCAACACGTCAAGTCAATCCGAACTCGGCAGCATCAGAGCATTGCTCTCCTGCGTCGACACTCTCTTATTGGACTAACGGGCACCCCCATGCGGAATAAAGTAGTCGACCTGTTCGGCTACGTTAACCTTTTGGCTGGAGGACTCCAGGTTGATACAAGCAAGACTGGAATTGAACTGCTTCCTCGGCCTGGAAATGTCGAGTGTGAAGGCTTGTACGACTTGTATATGTCGTGGTCTCGCGTACGGGTGGTACCTCGGGACTACACGCCTATTCCGTATGAGCTGCTTAGTCCCACTATGCTTCTCAAACTTGCGCCTGATTGATTATTCCTGCCTCAAAGTAAAGCTACTTATTTCAGTCCTGCCTTTCCACATATAAGGAGGGAAACACGCTTTAATCACACAGAAAACCTGTACACATCAAATTGGTACACATCTTTCTGAACCGATCGATCAAAGCACAGTTCAGCGATGAATTTTGTTAATTGCGCTCTAACAAAGATAGAATATAAGCCTCGTTATCAGGTGACTTGTGGGCGGCTAATCAGACTTTCCAACTTTCACGCTCATTAGGCCGTTCTTGATGTTTGTGAATCCAATATTAGCTATCAGGGCCAAAGCACGGGCAATCGATCATGACATGCTCCTTGACCAATGATGCCCGATCTGCTTTATTTTTACTGACTTTGAAACCACTAATGTGCCTGGTGCTTGGCTACAAGCGCCGGGCCAGGATTGTTCCCGGCATGTTATCACTACGCTAAAGTTTAGCATGCATAAGCGCCCTCATGTCTTGGTCCAAAGCCTCCCGTTTAATATCCTTCTGGCCCCCGATTTTCAGATTAATAGTGCGTAAAAGTACGCACCAAATCTATTAACGCCCCTCAGGGTATCCAGTCGTTTCTTCCCTTCCCTTCCTCCTGTCTTCTTTATGCCTCGTTTTCTCCGTACCTTGCTTGGCTCATGGCCATGAGATCGATGAAAATTACCATGCAAATGAAGCAGACGCTCTCGTCTGTATCAGCAATTTGCTTGTTGCTGCTACTACCAACAAGTTATGCGACATGCTACTTTCCAAATGGAAAAACAGACTCTGGCTACAGGCAGTGCCCTGGTAGCCTCTCATGCTGTGCAGAAGGCGAAGCCTGTCTGTCGAACGGGTATTGCTTTACAGCCAACTTCGGTATCCTCTATCGTGGGCTTTGCGCCGATAAAACCTGGCCTATCTCAGACTGCCCAAGAGCTTGTTATGAAGGTGGATATTCATCGATTCCTCTGTATGATTTATGAAACTCCTCGCTAACTGGCCTTTCTCCCTCTAGAAATCCCTGATGGATGGGCGAATATGTTTCAATGCAATAGCTCAACGTCAGTGTTGACATGTAGCCAGCAAGTTACTGCCGAAGGAGCCTGCAAAGCAGAAAACGCCCTGAATACCTACGAGTGGACACCAGGAAACGTGACGGCTGCACAAATCGGCATAACAAATTATGGTACGGCATCAACAATGACGAGCAATTCCACCAATTCGACCACGACTTCGTCAGGCAATTCAACGATCGTTACACAAATTATCTCTAAAACATGCTCGCCTACAATCTGCCCATCAGTTGCACCTGGCTCGTATAAAAAGTCAGATCTAATTGCCCTGGGCGCTGGCCTGGGAGCTGGCCTTGGCATACCTCTACTGATCTCGACAATTCTGATGATATATTGCGCAAATGCAAGGCGACGCGAACAAAAACAACGGGGGGTCCCTTTGGCTCCTGGCCATCAACAATATCGCTGGACCGGAACGCCCTACAAACCTGCTGAACTTCGTGTGTCGGAGATTAAGTCGGAGCTCATGGGCTCGCTGGGTGGCCGTCAAGAATTACCGGGTTCATGATCCTGTGTATATACGAATTCCCAATTGATATACCTAATGACTGTTTTAGTCTCGGCTTCGCTATATACCTGTATGCGCAGTCCACAAGCCTGAATTTCGAGGCCCGAGAATTGGTCAAAGCAGCTGGGCTGGTTTCTGACGAAATTTTGTTATGTTTTAATTTTTTTAACTTGATGGCTCCGATACAACCACTCGGATTTGGGTTAGTTAGGTAGTAAATGAGTATGGGATTCAGAAGATCGGTCGCCATTCTGTTATGAGTACCAACTATCCTTAAGGTTGTGAGCAGTAACTAAAACGGTAGGTAGAGCTGGAACTGCCAAGTTCCATGAATGGGTATGTGGGAGAATTGTTAAATGACACTTTTCATTCTCCGTGGATATCTAAGTCTCAGTCGCTTTCTCGTAGAACTCACGGTGCAAGACAAAGAAAGTCGCTCTCCAATTGAAGGAAGGGTACGGCGGCCAATAACGGCCACCGAGTAAAAACAATTTTCCAATGCAGAAAGACCGGTAGAATCCTTAAATAAGATAAGTCTAGCTGCTATACGCTTCGTAGCATCTCCAATTTCCCGATTCTGGCTAATATAAGTACTAGGGTGGCTTTTACATACGCCTATCTTGAACCAAGGATTAGCTCGATTTTACTATAAGGTTACCGTTCTACTATATAAAGCTATTTAGAAAAGTATATTATAAAGATTGATTAACTAAAATCTATACAGGATAAGATAAGACGCTTCGCATAAGACCCTTCGTATGATTATAGTTGCTAGAGAGGGTCTGCTATAACCTGCTACAAGAAAGAGGGCAAGAAAAGGGCCAGAGAGGGCCTGCTGTGAGTTTTGTTGATTTCTGGGATCGGAATCAGCCTGGATTGCCTAATTCGGATGTGTATATGCTGAGCACTAAGGCATGAGGGATAGAGTGGTTAAGAGAGTGGTCGGGTAGGTAACCAATCATAAGTTTTAGTCGCCCCACAAGCTCGGGCAAAGTGAAAGTCGGGGAACAACCATGAATGATGATTGGGATGGAGACTGGGCGGAGTGAACCGGCAGTTAATATTTCTCGAGTCCCCAAGATCCCCGCTTGTCTCAATCGATTATCAGATCGCCAGCTTTTGTTACATCAATCCACGATGGCCAAGTCCAAAGCAGCTAAGCGCAAGCGCAATGCGCAGGTTGACCTTCCACAGAAACAAGCAAAGCCCTCATCCACATTAACACCACCTCCCGATGGTACCAATCTCGAGCCTAAGCACCTTAACACCGTTGTTTCCGAGGAAGAACTTGACATCACGGTTGAAACGCTCACGGCTCTCGCACAATATCCTAGCTTGACGAAATCGAAGGCTTGCAAGGATCTTCGGGTGGCGGTTTATGATTTCCGCCAGGCTTGTACCACAGGCGTTAACAATGCTGGTCTGTTCAGCTGCATATCGTCTAATCGGTACATGCGACTAACTATTCGATAGAGGGTGCTAATCTTACGGCGCGAATTACCGGTGCATTGACCGATGGAAAATACTTGGAAGCTAAGATTCTACTTGCCGAGATGAGGATTAGGGGTGAACAACCCAAGATCGGAGCCTTGTGTCGCTGGGTACGAGACTTGGATGTGGTCAGTGGCCTCTCGACACAACCGGGGAGTCCGATCGGGTCGTCGAGCGCAGCTCAAAGGACCTCGAGCTTCTCGGTGTTCTCGATGCCATATTGCGTGTTAGCACTCCAATCGATACCAACCCGAAAGCCGCCCTCTCCACCTCTCCTATCGCTTTCCAGTCTATCTGGGACCTTCGCCCCTCCACAGAACCTCTACCGATCTACGCCTCTGTACTCAACAAGACGATCTTGGCTGAGGCGCCGACGTCTCCTTCAGCCCTCCGCGTCATAGAGACTACCCCCGGCTCTCTCCGCAAACCTCCAAACCATCATCCTGCCATTCTATACACTACCGCACCCAATGCCGTCCCTTTGGCTCCTGTCGGCCCAACTATCACATACCATCCACACCCTGCAGTGCCGGGTCTCGGCATCGCCATGAATGTGCTCTCCTCCTCCGAGTGCAAGGCAATTATAGCCGCCGGTGAATCCGTGAACTTCATCCCTGACGCACCCCTCCGCGAAGATGGCGATATGAGCATTCTGGCTCACAACTTCTACTGGGTCATCGACACTGCTTTCCACGACCTTCTTTGGGCACGGATCTCCTCATATGTGCCCGCTTCGATCAATGGCCGTCTAGTCCGAGGTATCAATCGGCGCTTCCGTGTGTATAGATACGTCCCTGGTGCCGAGTATCGTTGCCACATTGACGGAGCGTGGCCACCATCAGGCATTCTCCCCGACGACACATACGTATACGACGCTTCACCGGAAGACAAGAAGCAGAGCTCGATGTATACCTTCTTGCTGTATCTCAATGACGAGTTCGAGGGCGGCGAGACAACATTCTTTTTGCCTGCGCCGCGGGAGGGAACACTCAATGCTTACCCCGTGCGGCCTGTGATGGGATCCGTCGCGATCTTTCCACACGGCGAGGCGAACGGGGCCTTGCTGCATGAAGGAACGGGTGTTCGGAAGGGTGCGAAATACATTATCCGAACCGACGTAGAGTACGATGTCAAGCCCTCTGAGGAGTAAAAAGCCAAATATAGAATGTGTATAACCCTGAATGGTGGACAGAGGTGCCCGTCAAAGGTGATCCATGATGATTTACGACCAAAAGAAAGTTATAGCAATTTCAAATGTTATTTTGATTGTCTATTTTCTAATATTACAATCTGTCCTATAATTGTAGATCTAATCTCCTCTTCTTCCTTGTATGTCCATTCATTCCTCGATTCCAAGGGGTATAGTCTCTTAGATTAGGCATTGGTCCCATATTTAGCCCGTCAAAGCCGACCCAACCCGTCCTCGCTCAGTAAACAAGACGCTTTGTCTTGTCTGTTTCGGATGCTGTTAAATTTATCAATCTTATTGTTAGGCTCATCTTTGTTCTTATTGGCATCGACCTCGCAGACCCGTCAAACTCGAATATAAATATGCGGCACTCTTCTGGTACCAATTCCCATCATCAACCTCTCAGTATCAAACTGTTAAGCACAATATCTTCCTATACTCACGGGTTCATTACTCTGTCCACCAATTTGTATACAACATTTGCTCTCCATTGAAGTTCCTGCAGCGCAACCATGGCTTCCGAATTTCCTTCCGAATTCGCACAACTTGCCCTTCTTATCAACGAGTATGGCCCTGAGGATCCCCTCCGGCAAGACGCTAATCGACCTCCAAAGTCCACCTTTGACGGTGGTGCGGATGGTTCGTCAGAATCCCCTGCTCCGGGACCCTCTGATGATGGTGCGCAAGGTTCTTCAGACCCTGCCCCAGGATCTGTTGAAGACACCTACCGGTACGCCGAGCTTCGACGGGACGGGTCTCACTGCCAGAAGATGATTGCTGACCCTAGAGTGGCGTGCGGAATCCCACGAATCACTCTGACCGCTGATGACCTTGAATCCCACCAATGGTCGCACACTAGGCGTCCCATCGGCCTGCCATCTAGCTACTCAGCGGACGCGTTGATCGCTCTTGGACTTCCAATCATTGGTTATGAATACATCACAATGGACTTGTGGAAGGATACTGGCTCACTATGTATTCTCTGGAAGGGCCGCGTTGCGAAGGGCGTTCTTTTCATTGAGGAGCTCCTTCGAATCGGGTCTGGACCTTGGTCCTCGGAGTTGTGCAAGGTTGCTTATGAGCAGGTTGCTGAATTGTCTACTCTTAGTACCATCTTCGTGACCCATGTTATTAATAGTGAAACGCAACCTTTTGCGCGGACGCTCTGGCAGGGACCTGGGGTGAGGGAGTTTCCTTGGGGAAGTCGAGGGTATCAGACCTTGTTGGGAACTCGGATAGGTAAGGTTATTGCTTATTTTATTCTTGGTGCTTTTGGCCAGGGTGTTAAGCGGATTAGGCGCATTGCTATTTGGTGGGCTGGCTTTCGGGCTCTGGAGCTGCAAATGCGCTTTGATATTGAGGATATTCCGGCGACTACGGATTGAGGGGTTTCAGTTTTGATAGATATCTATTTAAAGGCTTTGTATAGATATGATTAGTCTAAGTTTTCTTTTGGTGTTTCATTTTCTTTGTTTCTTTCCCCGGATATGTGGCATAGCCTCGACGAATCGAATGAAAACGTTTTGAAATTTACAAGAACATTCAAGAACTATTTGCTGTTCATGTTGTTGTAGTGCCTGACTATTTGCTTGTAGATGAAATGCAACATATTGTAAGCACCGATCATTGTGCATTGTTGGCGATGACGTTTTAGATTAAAGACTCTTAGAGCTGAGTAATTGAGTCATGGAAATGCAAGAAGACTTTGAGTGACATGCTATTCAAGTGGGTATTAATAAACAAAGAAAGTTTCAAACTTCAAACTTCAGGTCGCATTTAATCTTAATCGGCTGGGGCAGTTGCACATATGTGTCGCCGACATGTACCCAGTCTCTTGTATGGTCCTCCACCACTTGTTGAGCAAATGTCGCAGGATAATCGGCCATGATGGAATCATTCCGCAACCGCATTGTGACATGTAGCGGTTTGTCCTTTGGGAAGGTCGGTTCTCCTTCTCCTCCGCTCTTCTCCTTGTCCTTTTCGCCCTTCTCGTAACAGCCAGGGGTATTCGCAAGCAGAACCACACAATCTTCGTCGGCTGCAATGGCTGTGATCTCAACCTCGACTGCCTTGTCGAGCAGCGGGGTATACACTTCCTTGATGATATTGGTGTATGCTTCCACAGGTAAGTCGTCGGCGGAGACCAACGTCAGATGCGCGGGCTTCGTAAGGCTTCTTTGCACCTTGAAGTCTAGACCAAAACCATAGAAATCAATAACGCCCTGGAGACGGGTAGTCTGCTCACACCCAAGGTTCAACCTGACAGACTTGGGTGGACGGCTTGTAGGCTGGTGAACGGCCAGTGTAGTCAAATTCGCATGGATGTAGCCCGTTTCGTTTTGGTCGAGGACACTGATGAAACCTTCGTGTCCAGACTTGCGTTTCAAATAGATTGTCAGATAGAATGGAATGCCCTTCACGTCGCCAATCTGAGCTTCACCAAGCTTGGAGATTGGAGTGTCGCCATGAACCCAAAACTTCTCCGAACCTTCTGTCTTGTATGCCATGGTGAATTGGTCATTGGTGATAGTGATGGAGAGGGACAAGTTTTGATCATTCAACGGCTTTCCGTGGTAAAACCATACCAACGCTTGATCTGCCCGCTTCTTGGCTGCAGTTCCAGTGACTCCGTTTCGAAGCAGGATTGTGTTCTTTTTCTTGCCTACCAGATCTGCGCCTGGCTTGTTTGAGAGAATTGCCGAGAATACAACGCCGGGATGCAGGTTCCTGAGATCCAAGAGTGTCGACCAGAACTGAGGCTGCTCATAATCTTGGAGGTAAATGGCCTGGCTGATGTATTTGTTCTCACTCTCAAAATCGAGAGATTTAAGCACTTCTTCCGCCCCGAGCGCGGTGAAAGTAAGAGCGTTTGCAGGGATGGGTACGGCTGGGATCGTCGGTATGATGGGCAAATGTGGAATGTGATCCTTATGTGCACGGTACGTCTTTTCCACATGTTGCTTCACCTCCTCAAGTCTGCCCATGGTTACGAACTCCGGCTTATCAGGCCCATGGTCTTGGGGAACCATGGGCGTCACCAGGGCCTGCATCAGACTCGCAAAGAGACAGGTGATTGTGTATTCGGAATTCCAGGTTCCTCCATTCGCCTTGCTTCTAAGGATATCGAAGCACATTGTGCTGTGTGTGTCGTCGCGGATACGTGACTGGTAGACATCAACGTTCCATCGTAGAGTTCGAGTGAACAAATGCAGGACAGGCGGCTCCTGAGGGTATCGCTCGGGTATGACGAGCTCTCCGATTAATGGGAGGTGTGAAAGGGCGCCGTCGTTGGGGAACATGATGAAGTCCCATTTTGCCTTGTGGTCGGTCTCTCTTAAAATTGTTCTGAGAGAATGGAAATCATCGTTCACGTCCTGCACTTCCCTGTGAACTCGGAGCAGGCTTTGCATCGCCATATTTGCCCCGTGGGATCGACTAGGGTCGACTTGGAGATGATTCAAGTCTTTCGAAGATGACGAGGTTCAAGTTCTGGGGGGTCTGGGGGGTTGACAGAAGAAATAGGAGAGAGAAGATGATTACAATGGGAGAAGTTGAAGATATCCAGATCCAGTAGTTGTCAGATGTGAGCTTGGGATTGCCCGTCTGTGGGAGATGGTAGTGGGAAATGTCAACAAACAAAAAGAGGAAACAGCAGGAACTTTGCTCCTGCTATGTAAAGATGACTGTGAGTCACGGTAACACCTTATCAACCTAGAAATAATCTTACTTGACTCACTCTGCTTATAGACCTTGACTTTCTAGAGAGTGGTGTCGCCCAGTCTAAGCTGTTCTGGGATCCCGCTTGGATGGTTTCCACGCGCGGGCCCACTGGGCTTTTGGGGGCCATCCGCCAGGCTACAAGCTTATTCTTGGCGATACCTTTCGAAGTCGAAATATTCTTTTTTTCAAATGAAAAAAAAAGCAGAGAGATATAACTCCGTAGAGATATTGTCAATTATGTCACTGATCCGATAGTATCCTGGAGACTTCAATTTCCGAAAACATAAGCGGATGTAGACAGTGCTTAATATAACGACTACCGTGCCCCAGTCTGAGCCATCATTTGTTCCAACTGTGTAACAGACTGCTGAACTTCATCTTGACTGGGAAGGTTAACAATGAGAAGATACAGCACGTCCTGCTGCATGATCTTCTTGATGATAGTCTTTCGCTGACCCTTCCGTTTGACCTTTCTAGGGCCACGGGGCGGGCGGCCACGAGCCACACGCCTAGCGTCTTTGCGCTCACGCTTGGTATCTTTACGGTCCCGCTTTGCCTCTCGCTTGGCTTGTCTTCGTGCTGCTGGGTTGACAGCACCACCAGTGAGAAGCGAGATCAATGAGCCGCTGTTCGCGGGGTGATTGGGGTCATTGTAGCGCGAGGCCATCGATTTCCTTTCTGCCGAAGGGACAGCCAAGGAGGATCCTTGGTGTTCAGCTTCCTGAATGATTCGTAAGTATAGATGCATCAACTGTCGGTAGTAAGTAGTATTTCTCGAGGTGTTCACTCACGTAGAAAGCTTGGCCACGTCGGTCTAGGTAGTCTTGGACCCAAGCACCAGCGTTCTTGAACTTATCACGAGTGCCAGACTCCTTTCCTTTGCCTTTACCTTCTAATGCTTCGTGCGCGACCCGGTCAAGATCAGGATAGACCAGCTCCGCAGCTTCGGGAAGCTCAATCTGACCACGAGTTTGACCGCTCGTCAATCGTATATCCTTCAAGCCCTTTTTCAGCTTGGACATGTCTGCATCCGGGTTGCTATACTTGGCGACCGTCTGGTTGATGTCAAGTTTCTCGCTTGCGAATAGTGTCTTTCCTATCGAGCTGGACAGTCGGTATAGAGGCCCGCTCTGTTGGCCAGGAACTTCATCTTTAAATGCCATGATCATGGCGTACAGCCCGCGCGGCATAAGTAAGTCCTGGTTGACGCGGTCGAGGAAGGTATTGCGGCGAGAGCGGGATTGTAATTCCCGTGCTGTGCCTGCCACCACTTGCACCACGGTGCTGACAATCTGCGCGGTGACTTCGGGGACGAAGCCAACAATGCCAGCAGCCACGAAGACAACGTCAATCCATGGAGATGCCTGCAAAATGTTGGTTGGGCAATGTTTTTCACCTCTTGTACCTGCGACTGAACGAAATACAGCAACTTACCTTGCTAGCCCTGTCCCAATTGTCTAGGAACTGCAAGAAGACATCCTGGCCAATACCACAATCAGTAAGCACAGGAGCATATGCACGCACAAAGCCGCGGTCTTTGTTTCTCGGGCGGCGCTGAGGGATGATGACGGGACAGGGGATACCCCGCGGTGGATGTGGAAGGGCTCCTGCTTTTCGAACAAGCTCGCGCACCATGCCCTCCTCCTTCTTGACCTTCACATCCTCTGGTTCTGCCGCCGCAGCAGCTTCAGACTCGTCGTACGTGGGCAGTCTCACACGCTCGGCCATGTCATCCAGTTCCCATGCAGCTTCATCCTGGCCGAGCGCCTCGAGTTCCTCGGATTCTGAGCTATCGCCTTCCGAGTCATAGCCCTCCGCTTCAGCTGCCTTGGACGGAGACTTCTTCTCATCGCCCGCGTTGACCACCTGCTCAGCCTGCCCACTGCGGACAAGCTCCTCGGCGGTATCATCAGTAACCTCGACATACTCGGGGGGAGCGGCGTTGCTAGCACTAGCCGAAGAAGATGGCTGGTCGGAGCGCGACCGCGAGCGAGCAGCGTGGATGGCTTCGGAGGTCAGTCCAATGCCAGAACCCAACAGTTTCACCAATTTTGCCATGGCGGCTGATTTGAGAGAACGGAAAACCTCCAGGAATGAAACTGATGATGGCAGGTGCGGGGAGAAAGGAACGCGCGTACGTTTGGTGTCAGCACTAACCTCGTCGCAGTCACAGCCACCAACCCACACGAGCATCCCGACCCACCACTGGAGAGCCTCCCCGCGTTGGATTCAGCACCGATCAACCAGCGATCATCATCAGTCGATCGAACATACTACGTTTCCCCAGATCGCGCTCTTAGCCTGTACCGGTCTTCAGGCAAAATAGAGATTGCACCTGCATTTCTTCAGGGCAGATCAATGCGGGGAAGTACCCCTCAGCCCCAGGCCCTCCCATTCGAGTCTCTGCGCCCAAGACACTACTGAGACTCTGCTGTGTTTCACCCTCAATGGCTTGTTCTTCCTGGCTCCGTCTTCCCGAAACGCCGATCGATTCAGCCTGATTGAATAACTGAAACTTCGTCACGGCTAAATCAGGGCATGTTGCCTGCCAAGTCTCGAATGAAACTTCAACCTTAATTGACATTAGCCAAAACATTTGTTTCGGTCAAAAGGGATCATCGATGTAATCTTATCAAGATGCTTCACGGAGACATGGAAGACAAGTTTGTCTCAAGTCATGGTATGACAAGAGTTCTTCTATAAATCTGCGACGGCAATCTCGTTGTAGAGAGAGGTATAAACAAACAATACCCTCAGAGCCCAAGCCTCGAATCCAATCGCGATCCAAATATTAACTCAATCGAAAAAAAAAAATGCATTCCAAGCTCTTGGCTGCTTCACTTCTTGGTATTGGTGCCGTTGCCATCCCTCTTGAGGGGGCCATGGAGAAACGCAGCTGTCCCGCTATCCACGTCTTCGGTGCCCGTGAAACCACTGCCTCTCCTGGCTATGGTTCCTCCAGCACCGTCGTCAATGGCGTCCTCAGTGCCTATCCAGGCTCCACCGCCGAGGCAATCAACTACCCAGCATGCGGTGGACAGTCCTCGTGTGGAAGTGTCAGCTATTCCAGCTCGGTCGCCCAGGGCATCGCAGCTGTTGCATCGGCTGTGAATTCGTTCAATTCCCAGTGCCCAAGTACGGAGATAGTCTTGGTTGGATACTCCCAGGTTGGTTGAGCCCTCACTCAATGGCAAAATATCGGCAATGAGAGACAACTGACACAACTACTAATAGGGTGGCGAGATCATGGACGCTGCTCTGTGCGGCGGCGGCGATCCCAACCAGGGATACACCAACACCGCTGTACAGCTCTCCGCATCCGCTGTCAACATGGTCAAAGCTGCCATTTTCATGGGTGACCCAATGTTCAGAGCGGGACTGTCGTATGAAGTTGGCACTTGTGCGGCTGGCGGTGTATGTTCTCCTTCTCCTTCTTTCTGCGTGAAACAGTCAATTTTGTACTAACAATGGATGTATAGTTTGATGAACGCCCGGCTGGCTTTAATTGCCCTTCGGCTAGTAAGATTCAGTCTTACTGCGATGCTTCAGATCCGTACTGCTGCAATGGTAGCAATGCAGCCACTCACCAAGGCTACGGCGCTGAGTATGGATCTCAGGCGTTGGCCTTTATCAAGAGCAAGCTAGGTTAAACAGATGGACTATTCACTCTGTCTCACTCAGACTGCTATGCTTGTAAATGCTGAGGCGCCAGCAATTCAAAATGATCTAGTGATTCGCTTAGCAAATGCTGAACAATGAAGAAGATGTTATGAAACTTTAGTGCTTGAACATTATACTTTAGATCAACTGTACCTCGGATAGAGGGCAATTGTCTTGACAGGTTAACTACTTTCTCTCCCATTCTCCCCGATGCTTCCTCAGCTGCAAGGCTGCGGAATACAAGGTTTTTGCTTCGAGACTTATTTTTTTCGAGTGGCAATGGATCAAAACTTCGCACGTGGGGAATATGGCGTCAATTCAATTGTCTCGTTGATATTGGAAACCGCAAAGTCGCCTGTTCTTCAGATGCGATTTTGATTCTACCAAAGCCTCAACAGAGGATACTTCATATAGAGCAACGAAGTAAATACATGAAAGATCCCCACGGCATCCACAACTAGCGAAGAAGAACGGGCCTCATGTATCAGGCGGAGTGCAAGTCTTCTTATGCAACTTCCAGTCCTCCTTCTGACACTCCCTCGAACAGTAATAAGCCTCCTTACAGCGAGCGCAACGCTGGAACGAATAATCCAGCGAAGGTGTAAATCCACAAGCATTGCAGCTCGTCTCCACATCTTCCGCAAATTCATCCGGTAAAATGGAAATAGCAGCCTCAAGCTGTCTCTCCATCACAGCCCACCTCTGCTCTGCAGTCTCCACATCATCGGAACCGGAAACGGACACTTCACACAGCTCCTTTCGAACCCCAATTGCTCGAAGTCGCGTGGAGACTGCACTGGCGAGGACTGGGTCGGTGGTGCTCCAGCTCCATGGTGCCCAGGGGTACATATCGTTGTGCATTTGGTGGATGAACCCGCTCTCGTCGAATCGAGTGTTGAAAGAGTACAGGAGCAGCGGGACGATGATCTTGGCTTGTTGATCTGGTGGGAGTGAGACGATGCGGGTGCGGCCCTCGGTATGCTCATGGCCATTCCAGGGGTTTACCATGAAGACAGCATCTCCCGGGACGAAAGGGAGAGATTTGATGCAAAAGTGATAGTGATTTGGCTGGCCTAGATCGTCGAACTCGGGGCGACGGAGTTCGTTGAAAATTTTCACTCTTTCGTGCTGTGAGCTCGGCATTGTCTAGGATGATTGTTGACAAGATGAGGTGCGGAGATGTAAGACGAAAATACGTTGTTGGGTGTGATTCTTGATGGGGTAAACTAAGCGGTTAACTTGTGCCAAAGATTAGATTTGGATGGTGATTGGTGTAGACGGGAATCCTGCACGGTGATTGGCCCGGCCCAACTGTACTATCCTGAAGGATTTCGATCTGACCAAAATATGTCATCGGTAAATAGAACGTGGTAAATGAAAGGGAAACAAATTAAACACCAGACTTCGGCCTAGGGCGATCAGGAGTGACTATGAGGCCACAAGGCAACAAATACTGCGTCCAGAACATGTGCAGTTCCTGACCTGTGAGGCCTGTATGGCTATCGCCGAAATGGCCTACTTCACTATGGCGACGCCGATCCATCTCTTGTGCCCAACCAACGCGTCATGGGCTAGAGATTTCGACAGTGCACCAAAAGAGCCTTAATCTGACCCTCTCGCCTTTTTTTTGTTTGTTTGTTTGTTTCCGTTTGATTATCCAAAACCCCGTAGTCTTTCGGTCACGTGACTAATACAACAGCCCTGAGTAGTCCGCCTCACCTACTTGATTCACTTGTACGTCTGCTGGCAAACTTGATATTCCAGTTGGACGAGAGGCTGATGAGATGAGGCATAAGCTGACGAACTTTTTTTTCGTGACAACGAACCGATTTCATAGGTGACTCTAACGAGAGGGTGTTGCTCAGCTGGAACCCGGGCGCGGTGGCTGTGCTCCTCGCAGAGCCGCAACAAGCTGGGGCTCTGAGATTTCTATCTTCAAGATACAGCTCCCTCATACTACCGTCCATATTACGGCTACCTGAGTTGATCATAGGAATTTTCATGTGGGGACACCTTCCCTATCTTGTTACCGACTGCTTGCCATGACTTATGAGCAATACACTCCAGATCTTGCCAAGCATGAAAGGAGGCCGCAACGATATTCAACTACAAATGAGAGCTGTACCGGATATAGCGTCGGACTTACGTCGCAGAATGTACTTCAGATCCATTTCACAGCGTATCAATCTGAGTTATCCGCCCAACGGGATGATTGTCCAGCCTTGACAGTAGCCGCGAAAAGCTACCAGACCGAGCAAGAAGGACGACCGATATGCACCGCAGCACACCCGACAGTATCCCACTTACCGGATAGTGCGGGTGAAGAAGGACTGGACGATACGCCTAATCTCTTTCAACTCTCGAGGCCAACCTCGGAACCACAATGCTTGCCAGAATCAACAGACAAGCTACGTCCCTCGAAGAATTTCCACTGTCAACACTGTTCGAAAACATTCAACAGACTGTACAATCTCAAGTCGCATCTAGTCACGCATGATCGTACCATGTCATTCTCCTGTGATATCTGCAACCGAGCATTTGCCAGGAAAAGCGATGCCAAGCGTCACATGAGAACACATTCCGGCGAAAAGGATTGGGTTTGCCAAGGGTGTCAGACGGCATTCGCCCGACGAGATATGTTAAGCAGTCATCATAAATCCCACAAAGGACAGGCGTGTCTTCGAAGTCGACAAAGTCAACAGGCTCAAAGGGATGGGTTGGAGAAGAGCCAGAGTCCAAAGATATTGTCAATTTCCTCCCTCTTGTCGTAATAGAGAGGCTCTAGAAATCGAAATAATGAGACGACGACGCGGAAGTCAAATTTCAAAGCCTGATTGATTGTACTGATCTTTTTTTTCATTGTTCATTCCGTCTCATTCGATCCCTGGGTAAATGTCGCAGGCACCGAGGGCATTGGTGGCACGGCACGCTCAACGTGGAAATTGCAAATCGCGGCCAGAACGCGATGTGGGGAAATTTTTGGTTCCATGAGTGGCTGATATGTTCCGACCAAGGATCTAGTGTCTCTGAGCAAATGAATAAGATAATCTGATTCGGGCGCAGGAAAGGGTCCCTCGGCTTGATCCCATCAGATAAGATGGAAAAATGTGGATCTTTTTCCTGAACGGCACGAGTAGTCTCCGAGCGCATGGCACTCTTTCTCGAGCCACCGGCTTGGCCAAAACCCCCCTTCCCTAGAAAGATAATGATCACTCCGGTAAAAAAATTCATTTGCTCAGATACCCTGTCGCCTGCTGTTTTGCCATCTTCGGTCGCCAGTCATCATGGCAGAGATTCCCGCGGCAAGCGCCAGCACTGATCGCTTTCAGAAGGCCCTGCAACCCCAGGTTGGACCCTTCCGGGAGGTACATTTGCTTGGGGAAGGAAGCCCTGGTGTTCGTCACATTGAGATTATCGCCTCACATTTTCGCCTTGTGGATCGTGTCTTTCTCTTTCTCGGTGTCTTCCTTATCGCGTATGTCTATGGTCTAGATGGAACTGTCCGCTATACCTACCAGGTTAGTTATCTAGGAGGCTTTTTTGTTTTTGATTCCTTGAGGCAGACAAGAGACTGAAAGTTTCGTTGTAGCCTTATGTAACGCAAAGTTATGGACAGCACAGTCTGCTGGCTACAGTCAATGTTCTTCGCGCTGTTATCGCTGCCGCCGCACAGGTATGTTCATTGTTTCCTAAAGATAATACTAGCACTGGCTCACGGCAGTTGTTTAGCTCACGGCTGCGAAAATTGCAGACGTATTCGGCAGAGTCGAGCTTATCATTGTGTCGATTGTTTTCTACACCGTCGGAACGATCATCGAGACTTTCTCTAAAACCGTGGAAGCTTTCTGTGCAGGAGCTGTGATCTACCAGGTAATAGCCCCCGAGAGATTACGGACTTTATAACATTCACTGACTGCTATCCTAGATTGGATATACATGCATCATGTTGCTTGTAGAAGTCTTGATTGCCGATGTTACATCTACACGATCCCGACTTCTTTTTCTTATATTCCTACGTTGCCATTCATCGTGAGTGCTTTCTAGTCTCTCAAAGAGTATCCTTGACTAATTTGAACTAACAGATCAACACTTGGATTAGTGGAAATCTCACAACAGCCGTTCTAAAATTCACCTCCTGGCAATGGGGTATCGGGATGTTCGCCATTATCTACCCAATTTGCGCCTTTCCCCTGATCATTGTTTTGTTCCTTGTCCACCGCCGCGCCAAGGCCTCCGGTCAGCTCTGAGTCCTATAAAAGCTCACTGGACCGGTCGGCGCCAGCGTCTTGTAGTGGAGCTTTTCTGGCATTTGGGTGTGATTGGTACTATATCGCTGATTGCCATGCTCGCCTGTATCTTGGTCCCATTCACCCTCGCCGGTGGCGTGACTCCACAATGGAAAACTGCAAAGGTCCTTGCCTCACTAGTGATTGGTATTCTACTGATCCCTGTGTGGGCATACTGGGAAAGGACATGCATGCATCCAATGCTGCCGTTCAGAGTGAGTTTAAATCTTGATACAATTGGTAGAAGCAATGCAAAAACTAACATGGCCTCACATAGCGCCTTTAAGATCGCGGTGTATGGGGTGCGCTTGGGATTGCGGTCATGTTGAACACCGGTATGCTACACTGTCATTCTTGCAGGAAAATGATCTGACTTCTTCTTAGCCTGGTATGTCCAGGGCGACTGTTTGTACACTGTGCTCTATGTGAGCTTTGATGAATCCGTGCTGAGTGCGACTCGCATTACCTCACTCTACAGCTTCACGTCAGTGATTGCAGGCACTATCCTGGGTTTCATGATTATCAAGGCCCGGCAATTGAAACCTTTCATAGTTTCCGGAACGCTGCTATTTACCATTGCCTTTGGTATTCTTATTCATTGTCGTGGTGGCGCGAGTGGGTCAAGTCATTCGGGAGTCATTGGTGGAAAAGATCTTCTGGGTCTTGGTAAGAGCATCAACAACGAAAAGATAGGTTGTTGCCAGTGGCTAACAGATGCACAGCCGGTGGGATGTTCCCATACCCTGCCCAAGCTAGTATTCAAGCTGTTTCGAAGCATGAACATGAGTCTTTTGTCGGGATAAAATCCCTTTAGAAAATGACCATTTGAATTGACGCATACCAGATCTTGCTGTTGTCACTGGAATCTACCTTGCATCCTACAACATTGGCAGTGCTTTGGGGAACACCATTCCCGGTGCCATCTGGAATCAAGTACTTCCGGCAGAGTTGAACCGCAGGCTTGGAAATGCGACACTTGCTGCGGAGGTTTATGCACAGCCACTACTTTTCGCTGATGCCAACCCAGTAGGGACGCCCGACAGAGACAATGTGATTCTTGCCTACCAGAAGACACAGCGTCTACTTTGCATCACTGGCATCTGTCTGACGATTCCATTGATTGTTTTCGCTCTTTTTATTCGCAACCTGAAGTTGACGAAAGAGCAGATTCTTGCCAAGGCTGAGGAAGAATCCACGTCAGACTCCGGCTCAGAGAGAGCCTAAGTATGACGACGTACGATTTGAATCTCTGGCTACAATTATTGCTTGTTTGATAATTCGAGTTCTCGGAGCGATGTCAAACTTTGATTCAGAGATGATTGCCACAATCTCTAACTTTAATCTATATTTATCTGCATCATGTAACTTATACTTCCTTTTGCTCAGTGGCGACCTTCCGTGCGGGTGGCTTGAACAATGTTTCGAGTGGAGTCGGGGGCCATGGATCGGCTTCAAATTGACACGATAGATCATAATTTCCAGAATGTAGGAGGGTGCCCTGCCGATCCTCTGCAGTGGTGTTCTTTTTTGGTAGTATCACTAGAGCAGAAGAGTTGGGAGGAATCTGAAGCTTCATCGAGAAGACCGAATCATCATCCAAATTCCAGGAACATTTGATCAACCCATAAGGGCCTTCATATTGAATGCTGGCGCTGCGAATCGTGCCACCTGGGATTGGCTGAACTTTGAACACTTTCCAACCAGGCTCTATCAAACTGATTCCCCCAACATATTCATGAAGCCAATTGATGACAGAGCCCAGGGCATAGTGATTGAAACTAGTCATCTGACCAGGATTGACTGTGCCATCTGGGAGCATGCTATTCCACCGTTCCCAAGTAGTGGTAGCACCCATTGTGACAGGATAAAGCCATGAAGGACAGCCAGTTTCGAGCAACATCCTGTATGCAAGCTGGTGCCACCCAGTCTTGGACAGTGCGTGTGTCACAATAGGGGTGCCCGCAAATCCTGTGGCAACTCGGAATTTCGCAAAGCGCACTTTTCGAGCCAAACGTTCACCGGCATTCTTGATCTGATCATCTGATGCAAACAGCGAGAATACCAAGGCTAACGATAAGGAGGTTTGGGTGTCGCACATCACCATCCCCTTGGGAGTAATGTATTTCTCTTGGAACACCTGCTTGAGGCGGTTATGATCTTGCAGATATCTTTGTGCGTCTTCCGGGAATTGGAGAACAGTGGCTGCCTGGCTGAGAATCCCAGTCACATAGACCAAGTAGGCATCAGCTACATACACGCCATCTGTCTGGCCATTTCCTGGATCTTCAGGCGGAGCTGATGGGTCCAACCAGTCCCCGTGTTGCCATAATGAGGTTGTCCATAGCCCATCCTCGCCACGAGAACAGCCTTTGTCCAACCATGATTTCATACTTCTATATTGTCGAAGCAGTATATCTCTGTCGCCGAACCATCTATACAAAGCCCAAGGGACCAGGATAGAAGCATCGCCCCAAACAGCCTGCGGTGGGCGTGACTCTTTCGCAAATTGAACGTTGGGCACTATCATCGGAGGAACGCCGTTCTCTTCATTTTGTTCCAAAGCAACGTCGACAAGCCAATCAGCTAGCATGCCGTTGGTGTCATATAAAAAGTTCGCAGAAGGGCTGAAGACTTGAATGTCGCCAGTCCAGCCCAGGCGTTCATCGCGTTGAGGGCAATCTGTTGGAATAGACAGGAAATTTCCGCGCATGCTCCAGACTGAGTTTTCATGTAGTCTGTTGAGCTGGTCGTCAGAACAAGAAAACCAACCCGTTCGTTTCATATCGCTGTGGAAGACAATGGCCGTGATATTCTCTGCGCGTAGTGGACAACGTTGGTCTTCTGAAGTCCATCCTTTGATCTGGACAAATCGGAAGCCATGGAACGTAAAGCTAGGAGACCAAGTCTCCAGCTCATCACCAGAGCTTAGGACAATATCGGTGCATCGCGCGGCCCGAAGTGGACGCATGCAAAGCTCTCCGTGTTCGAGGACCTCCGCATGTTCGAAAATCACGGCATGGCCAGCTAGCTTTTGCAATCCACGAATACATAATTTGCCCACCAAGTTTTGTCCGAAATCAATGATTTGGTTACCAGATGGAGATTTAAAGATTCTCTGTGGGCTTACCTCCTGTGTCGCACGAACAGGGGGCCCGTCTGGCGCCGAAAATGTGATAGAAGGAAGAGGCAAGACGGTGACTTTCATCCATTGAGTGCCCGATCGAGCTTCGGCTCCAGTTTTCCAGCCTGGTTGATCTTGTGTCCTATCATAGGTCTCACCATCGTAGATCTCACTGCTCACTATAGGCCCCGTGTTCCATTCCCACTCTGCGTCTGTTATCACGACTAACGACTCATGCTCGTTAAAAGAAATTTCCAACTGAGCGATCAACCCGATGTCCTTGCCATAAATCTGCCGTCCTTCTCTCCACAGACTTGATGCAAACCAGCCCTCGCCAACTTCTGCTGCAAGGAAATTGGCTGAGTCACTCCGAATGAGATCTGTCACGTCGAAGACTTGGTAGGCAATGCGAAATCGATAGTCGGTGAAACCTGGAGCCATAAAATGGTCGCCCACACGAGTTCCATTCAGATAAGCATGGTAAACACCTTGCGCAGTAACGTAAAGACGTGCTTTGCTAATGCTTTTCCTAACTTTAGGGACATCGAAAGATCGCCTTAACAGCAGAGGTTGGATCGGCTTGTCGGGAGAAGCTTCTTGCTGGCCTGTGATCAACTGAGCGCGCCATTCTTCTTTGTCGAGTAGGCCTGTCTCAACTGAAGCCCAAGCTGACCATTCCGTGGCAGTGGGTATCTCGCAGCCTTTGAATACCCCTATTGATCTGACACGAATGATAGCCCTTTCCCGGGAGCTCAAGGGTGAAGCAGGCCATGGCACACGAACCGATTCGGGGGAGTCGACGCGATATGCTCCCACGGTACCCTTGCGTTCGAGTTCGATTTCATATCTCTTCTGTTGCCAGTCTTGAATACTGAGATCGTTGTACAAAAAGCGCCAAGAGATACGAGGCGTCGGGTTGCCTATTCCAAACCCATCTTGGCGGCTGTCGAAGGTGGGAGTTTCAAGGGAAATCTCGGAAGTGATTTTGATCTGATCTTCGGCCATAGAGCTTGAATAATAAGTATTCTTTTGCGAATCCACAATCTTGATCTTGGTAGACCCGCCTTGAGTCATTCAGCTTCGCTTGTGAGTTTGAAAAATTAAAAACCCTTGTTCATTCTTTCGCCCTCTCCATAGTGCTAGACATCACGACGATATTCACTAACCCACATCTTTACCCCGCACAATCGATCCTACTTGGTCATACCAAATGCACGATTCGGTTGACACTACCCCGAAAAACATTACATATCGATACAGATAGCGATTTTGTAACAAGGAAAAGCAACATCTAAAAAAAAAGTACCCAATCGCTTTGGTGTTTCGGTCGACAGCCTTGCGTGCCCCAGTAAGAAGCCCCTGATTTGTGGACTTTGGCGCAATAACTCCATCCATTCAAGTGGCCCCCTTCCGAAAGCCGGCAGGTGATTGGCCAAGAGTTCAAAGCCAAGACAAGACGCGATAAGCCTTGCGCCCCAGAGCTTCTTGTTTTCTGTACATGCCAAGCTGAGACACGTAAATGAATCAGAGCTTTGACCTCGACGATCCCACGCCCCTGCCTTACATGACTCGATCGTACAGGAGTTCAATTGGGGTGATCAAGTTTTGGTGCTTACGAAGTGAGTGATTCTTTCACAATCTCGGAACTACTGCAGCTTGAACCTTTTCAGCGGAGGGAAGATGTTTTCTATAGCAAATCATATTATTGTCTTCGAAGTTCATGCGATTTCCTAGCCGAAAGAAGATCGACTAGATGTATGTTCTCAGATATTCTCCCAGAGCCATCATGGCCATGGCTTGCCCGTAAGGCATAGCCGTGACAGCAATCTTGCGGTAATGATCAAGTGTGTCCCCCATGCCCGTTCCGAAGCTAGTATTCTGTAGTTCACCATTCTCATCAATCGAGTCCAGCACAGCACCGATGGCCTTTTCTGCCGTCGCCCTGTATTGCTCGCCAATATAGCGCTTGCGAATACCCTTCAAAATACCAAACGCAAATCCAGCCGTTGCCGAGGCCTCGATGTATGAACCGTCGTCTTTCTGATCGAGCAAAGTTCGCCAATAGCCAGACGGCTCTTGCAATCGCTGGAGAGCCTCGCATTGAGCATCCAGGGTATCCTCGAGATAGGAGCGAAGCGGGTCTGTCAGGGAGAGCTCCATGAGTTCGATGATTTCGGGGATCACAATGGTGATCCAACTATTCCCACGGGCCCAGAGCGCACCAGCGAAGTTGTGCCCGCCTTCTTCGAAAGTCCAACCGTGATAGAACAGACCAGTCTTCCGATCGCACAGATATTTGATATGGATCAGTAATTGCTTTTTAGCTTCGAGGATGTAATGTTCGCGCCCGAGCAATTTGCCAATTTTCACAAGCGGGAGAACAGTCATCATCAGTGTATCATCCCAAAGTTGTTGTCTGTGTTCCATGGCATATGTTTTGTGTTGCATACCATCGTAGCGCGTACGTGGCAGCCCGTGCATGGCCCATTCGGCCCAGGTATCCAGCCAAGGAAGATAGGTAGGGTTTTTGGTTTTCTCATACACGTAGGCTAGAGTGAGAAAGACTGCCATGGTGTTGATATTTTTGGTAGTACCACCCTCCGCAAAGCGTGATGCGAACCAGTCTTCAATGACCTTGAGAAGAGACGCATCTCCAGTCAATTCATAGTATTTCCAGATCCCATAAAGGCCGATGCCATGAGTCCATTCCCAACCGTTCCATGATTTTGTGTCAATCACGCGACCGTCCGATAAATGAAGCAGGAATCGTCCGGTTTCGTCTTTGATATTAATTAAGTTTTGAATGAGGCTGTTGATGGTAGCGTTGATGTCTGATGCGCTTGGTCGATTGACCGCGGAGATTTCTTGGGTAGACATGGCGAGGCGTTCTAATGGCGACCCGCAAGAGACAGAGGGAGCAAGGATAGAATATTGTTATCTCAGTTGAATTGAGGGATGGTAAGTATCGAAATTTATTGGTGCATTGGTTTTGCCTGTCTTACAATTCCATCTACCCTCCTCGCATATCTTTGTCCCGATTTTTTTGAACCTTTGACGACTCGGGGAGCAATGTACCGAGTAAAAAGACCAAGATAGACCGAGGAAGTGCTAAATCCGATGATGGAATAGCCAGGCTTCGGTTGCGAAGCGAGTCCTTATGACTTTCTTTGCCTAGTCGACGATTTCTCCGTCTTGGCAAATCTTCATCGGGTTCTGTCAATCCGGGGAGTACAACGCGGGGTTAAGCTCCAACCAAGCCTTACATGTGGGGTTGCTATAGAGCATGTGGAGAGGTACTCATGTCTACTCTGTGGGCTAAATATCAATCCAGCGGTCGGGTGGTGGACGGAAGCTATATAGAGACCACACAGCTCTGCCCCTTGATGGTTCTCCGTCATAAAGTCACTCGAGGAGGCTCACATTTCATTCTGATATATCAATCTTTCGTTTATCCTCATCCTGGGTTCAGCATATGCCAACATGGGGGATTCCCAGGAAAAAGATGTGAAGGCTTCGACTCACCTTGAGCAACAGGTTACTACAGATGTGGAAGACTTGAAGTCAGCGCAGGTTGGAGATCGTGTTGACCACGAGGTCCAGAAGTATGCTGGCCTGGGACGAGTCGAGGTCGACGAACCTACATCTCGTCGTCTGAAACGGTTGATTGATCGCCGAGTTCTTACCATCATGGTCTTCACATACCTTGTACAGGCTCTGGACAAGGGAACTCTCAGTTTCACGAGTATCATGGGTATACTTGATGATGCTCACCTCCACGGTACTGAGGTAGGTTAAAATTTTGATCCTTGCACGTGGAATTTGCTGACGTGGAACAGTATGCTTGGCTTTCGACCTGCGTATACCTTTCGATCTTGGTGGTTGAGTACCCCACCAACTGGATTATTCAACGGGTTCCCATCGCAAAATACCTTGGTTGTAATATCATTATATGGGGCGCGGTCTTGGCGCTTCATTCGACGGTCAAGAGTTTTGGAGGTCTCTTGGCGTGTCGAATTCTACTAGGCATTTTCGAAGCTTGCGCTCAACCAACCTTTGTTCGACTTTCAGGCATGTGGTACAAACGTGAGGAACAGGCACAAACGGTCACTTTCTGGTAGGCTATTCCTCATGATCTATATTTTCGACCTACTAATTAGTTTCAGGTACATGATGAATGGATTGCAGCAGATGATCGGTGGACTCCTTGCCTACCTATTTAGCCTGATTGGTTCCGACAAAGTTATCAAATCTTGGCAAGCATTGTTCATCACATATGGATGCTTTTCGGTGCTTTTCGGAGTATTCGTGTTGCTCTTCATGCCCGATTCCCCCATGACAGCAAAATGTTTCTCCGAGGAGGACAAGAGACTGATGGTAGAACGAGTCCGAGATAATCGAACGGGTATCCAAAACAAGAAGTTCCGAAAATACCAGGTTATTGAGGCCTTGAAAGACCCTCAAATGTGGTGCTACTGTGGAATCCAACTGTTCACAACTTTGCCGACTAGTGGACTTGGAACATTTGCCAATATCATCATCAAAGGCTTCCACTTTACAACTCTCCAGACCCAGCTCCTCTCTATGGTCCTGGGCGCATACATCATCTTTGTCCTGTTAAGTTCAATGTGGCTTGTCAAGAAGACCAACCAAAACCTAATTATCATGGCAGCTTATTGCATTCCGTGAGTTGAGCATACAATCGAGTGTGGCTTTCGCATTTACTGATATCAATTTCCATCACCAGGTCCTTCATTGGCACTATTGTTCTAATGACTGTGCAGAATACGACGACAGCCACAAAAGCCGGCTTGCTTTTGAGCTACTACATCACACTCTCATTCTGGGCAGCACAGACTCTTACTCTCTCAATGATCTCCCGGAATATTGCCGGTCAAACCAAGAAGTCGACGGTCATTGCTGCCAATTTCATTGCCTGGGCTACGGGTAACGCGATAGGTAGGATAGTGCTCAGTTGCATATTCAAGCCAACATTCTGTAGCTAACATAACATGCACCAGGTCCCCAAATTTTCTTGACTCGGGATGCGCCTCGCTATTTCACCGCGTTCAGCATTCATCTCGGATGTTATACCCTCCTGGAGCTCGTCTTGCTATATTTGCGATTCCACCTTAAGCGACAAAATGACAAGAAAGACCAGCAAGCTGCTGAAGGGTTGGCATCTGAAGAAACTACCAATCTTGAAGGATTCGAAGATCTGACAGATCGGGAGAACCTGAGATTCCGCTATGTTTACTGAAGTTGTGACCTGTTATCTTGGAGAAATTGATTGTTGATTGTGCGCCTAACGCGTCGGCTTTTTGCTGGGCGATTGCACTGACATGACTCTTATCTCCGAGACCGAAGATCATACATGGGATTTAGATACCTCAAGTAACATTTGAATTTGCTCGTACAGCGAGCAGCGAATGAGATATGTCATGTATTCCGGAAACATCTGCATTACATCCTACATTCAAGGTTAAAACGCTGAAATTATGTGCGCTGAGACCATGAATAAATAATAGGGTTGTAGTATTTCCCGAGGCGCGCCCGTCACAACCAACAGAAAGTCCGGTGGCTGGCCCCTCGACTCCCTTGCACCTGCACTTCTTCGACCTCGCGCTCTCAAGAAGTTTGTGGTTACGTCCAAGCAAAGAATGCTTTCCTTTCTAGCGAAAAAGGTTCCACGCACCATAACTGCGAGCCAGAACCCCGTGGTCTTCGATGGGGGCGGTCTTTCATCGAGTTCAAGGCTCCGACCGACCGATATTTAGTGATCAATCGCTGGCCACCCAGTTCAAGTGATGCAAACAGAAACATTGCTTTACGACCACCACTTCACTGGCATCGGCACCAGACAGAGACATTCCATGTGCTAGAGGGAACGGCCGAGTTCCTCTGCGATGGTCAAAAGATAATCAAAAAAGCGGGCGATTTGATCACAATACCAACCAAGGCGATCCATACTTTTCACAATCTTAGCGAGACACATGAGTTGCTGATTGAGTTCGTCCTTGAACCGCAATGGCGCGAGCGAGATGAGTCGTTCTTCCGTACGTCAACCTTGGCAGCTCGCACAAATTCCTTCTGACTGGATGACCAGGGAACGTACAATCTTATCGAGATGACTGCCGCAAAGCTGGTATCCCACGAAGTTTGCCGCAGGTCCTACTCTTCAACTGGGTCGGTGGAGTCGTTCTTGCTCTGCCAGGGCCTGCAATAATTGCGAAGCCTCTAGGTGTAGTCTTGAATTTCTTCGGTGGGCTCTTGCTGGGAAAATATGTCTTGGGATATAAAGAATCTTACCCTGAATACTATAAAGCACGGGTCTAGATGGTGAAGCGCAGGGTTATGCGTATGGTGGCCCAGGAATCTTGGTAATCAGAAGATCAGATCTACAGAGGGTTATTTCTATGAGTCTACATAGCAAGGAACGATGGAAGGCTGATCGAATGTAAACCGTCTTGTTCCAGGGCCATCATCTCGAAAGTTTGTCTCCAGTAAAATTCTAGACTAGATGGACCTGCACATCATTGAGCAATATATCTCTCAATATTGACGTATCAGTGCCCTGAACAATAGATAGCGCCATCTTTGATGCCCGTAACATTGCCACAAGCGCAAAAAGTTTCTCAGCTGGGCTGAGACCTTCCACCTTCCACCCTAGAGTATCGAGAAGATTCTCGGCTATTTGCTGGACAATTTGCTGGCCACCATCAATCGCAGTCCGTTCAAGATTCTCAAACTCGAATTTAAAGCTTTCCATAGTCCGTTCAATAAGTTTGGGCATGGTGTAAAGCAGATCGCCAACTCCGACCACTACAATGTTAGGATCAGAGGGTGGACCATGTCCACATATTTCGGGTTGTCGACCACAGTAAGAAAGCCAAGAGTCGATAGCCATCAGCTCTGTTAGCCGAGAGCGAAGATTTGCGGCATCGGAGGGCTGATGACGATCAACTTGAAAGCCATAATGACGGAGAAGCTCAATCTGAAAAAGCGGCGCCCGAAATGCAGAGAAGAATGCCGTGCTGTAACAACCACTTATCACAGTGCCATGATGGTGATTTGCGCTGACTCCATAGGGAGGAAATGTTGATAGATTACTTTTCATCCAATCCAGGCCACGGGGGTGACAAGATTTGTCGAGATAGACTGGTTGGGAGTAGTCCGTGAGGATCCCGATTGCTTCGAGAATAACCGTAATTGCTCCAACGCAGAATTCTGTCGAGAACTGGGACGTCCACGGGGTCGCTACATATCCAGGAACCACATCGATCTGGCATACCCAGAACCAACTCATCTTTCCTATTATGTTTCGACTGCTGGTGGGGAGCGAAATATCTTCCTCAATTTTGCCGTCATCATCTGAGCTATTCCATAAATCATGTCCCTTTGATCGGTGTCGCCGAGGGTATACACCGTATACATTGGACCCAAAGACCGATTCGGGTACTTCTATCTCGGGTTCGGATATCTCAGAATCATAATAACCATTGTTAAGACGAACTGAAACGTTTCGTCGCCGAGATGGACGTCTGGACCCTGGTGCTGAGGCCCAATCTTGGAAAATTCCGTTGTTTTGATTTCTCCAATTCCCAGTTGGGCGACTTCTTGGCGGCGAATGAGAGCGGACAACCGACTTTCCATGGTCATCGACGGTTCTTAATTGACTAAAGGTTTCGAACTTCTGGGATGTGGTTTCTCTGGAATCACTGCGGTTGTTGGTTCGTGGTACTGAAAAACTCTGGCGCGGTTCTGGAGACAAGCTGCCATCTCGCTTGCGACGACGACCTCGTGACTCTCCAATCCGAGCTTTTCTCCGGGGACTGCCAGACGAGCTGTTGAATGCTTTTTTCTAGCTTCTATTGATCGTAATGAGCTGCGTGAACCATGAATTGCGTGGCATGAACTGACCTCGAATTTCTTGTGTCGTGGAAGCATATTCTTGTATCTCTTCCTTTTGCAAAACTCGGAGAACAACGACATAATCTGTTCCCTCTTCGAATCTTTCATTTCTAGTCTCCAAAGCGGCCGGGCTAACCAGCCTCCGGTCAATCTTAGTCCATCGTGCTCCTGATGGAATTCCCTTGAGACTGGTGTTTCTGAGAGGAGCAACGCCTTCGCGAACTGGGTTCGGTTCTTCCGGGAACTTCTCTTTGGGAGGCTTAAGAATTCCCTTAGTGGGTTCAATAGGGTCAGGTTGATTGATTGATGGCTCCTTTCTGGAGGAAATCCTGGGCTCGCCCGACGATGACAGCCTCTCAGTCTCACTGGCATTTCCATTACTGCCGGAGGACGAATCATTGAGATGAATTTCAGGGCCAAATCCAACTCGAGTATATGATGGATTCTGAGCTGAATTCTGTGATGTTGGGCTTTCGCTGACTTCCAACATAGAATACGTTCTAATCCCGGAGTTGCCTGATACAACGGTATCACCATACTCAACATCTCGCCTAGCAGGAGGTCGAGAACGAACATGAGAGCTTGACCGAGTCTGGGGCTCCCCGGTGCGACCCGCCTGTCTCGACTCGGATGAGTTATCTCGTGAATGAATCTTTGCGTCATAAATGGCAGAGGTTATCGGTTTCCGACTATGGTGCCCTCTTGGCGAATAGTACCCACTGAGGCTTGAGTAGCGAGCGACGCTAGTAGGTGTTGGTGCCCACTGAGCTCCGCTGTCAATGGTTCTGCGGGATCTAATCAAATCAGAGCTTCTGTACGGATTGCCAGGCGAAAGACTTCTGAAAGATCTGCTGTACGAGAGAGTCCGATTTTGCTTACGGCTTTCACGATCCAGTTGTCTCTGTCGGACAATATCACGCCACTTCTGTGCATAGAACGCGGCTCTTTGCTGTCCAGATTCGGTTCTGGAGCGAGCCCACGTTTTTAGAACCATCTTGGCTAGATTTTCCTTGGCCTCGTTGAGCTCGGCGACTTCCTGGCCTTCGTCATCGTACCAACCTATCAAGCGCGGTCCATGCCGGGGCTCATCTTTAGGGATGTCTTTTTCATGCATCATTGCTCGCTTCTGGTCGATGTAATCTTTGATGAACCACCGTGGTTGGAGAGCGGCACCTTTGTCATGAGTATGGGAATTCGAAAGAAATTGACCGTGTGGGAAATCTCGGTTTGGTGCGCGAAACCGGCCTTGATGGGCATGAGGACCTTCCAGGGCTTCTGGGCTGAGGTTTCCTGCCTCAACTTCGGTTTCAACATTCTCCGATGGAGTAATTGAATCTGATTTTGTCTTCCTTTGCAGCATCGCTGTCCATAGTCGGACCCATATTGCCCGCTTCGTTCCCGAGATATCTTTGAGAATTTCATGTTTCTCTTTTCTCCTTCTTCCCAAATGCCGTGACCTCGCGTTTTGCGCTTGATTGGTATTTGAAACATTGTTGTCAATATACCACTCTCCATCAGACCGAGTCCAAAGTGTGTGATATTCTTGACATAATGATGATGCCACTGGAGTCGCTGGAGTACTCTTATGCGGAGCCATGTCATGGCTTGTTGCCTGACTTGATCCGGCAGTCGTAGAAGCTAAGCTCGACCGGCGACGAAACCCGTACAACGAAGCGGGTGGTGGTGAACGATTGCGATTGACGGGTACCATTGCGCGTTCTCGAAGGGGTTTTGCCCAGATCGCCTCATCTCTCTCTATCTGCATCCTGTCTTGCCGAGTGTAACGATGTCCGGCAACCACTACCTCGTCCCAAATTCGTGCCATCCAAGGAGGGTTGACTGTGCCGTTTTCAAGCTGCAAATCCCTAATCTCGTCTACAGACAGATTTCGTGGACTGAAGTGTAGAAGTGGTCCCAGGAGAGGGTGTTGAGATGTGGTAATTGTGCCGACGAGTCCTTGCATCGAGATTGTTTTTGACTCAAATGATGCCTGGGTGCATTTCATGCCAGTCATGAGCCCCATGACTACAATGTCACGCATCGACATTTGTATTGGCACATTTGGGAGATCCGGAGGACAACGGTCGGCATCTGCTTTGATCAAATCGAGCACCATTGATCTCCCAGTTGATGGTTGAACGGCTCGACAGAATGAGACCCATGACGCTTCCCCAGCCGCAAAGGAAACAGATGACCGGCCAGCCCGCCAGAAACTGGGACATTTGTGGTATCTATCATCTTCTTCGCCATCGAGCCCAAGGAGGCCAAGGTCTGGTAAATTCTGAGACCCTTTCGCGTAGGATGGAATATGCGGCAGTTTTCCTGGCCACAGTTCCTTCCGGAGACTAATTTGAGGAATATAATACACAACGCGGAATCTGAGCTGGCTCATTTGCCAGACTCTTTGTCCATGACCCGGCATTTTGCCATATACGACCGAGTCGCATAACCGGATAAGCTGTCCGGTGAGAAAGTACTGCTGTATTGCTTGTGTGATGGCCACCAGCATGGCAAGGATCGCGACCACGAGTGCCGCGATCGTGGCAGCCGTGGACGCGTCGAGTCCTGCCATACTGCGCTAGATATCCATCACCACGGATTTTTGCAAACAAACGCTTGTATTTTGACCTTGCTCGCTCCTCGACTTCATACCCCGCTTGAGGGGTGGCTTGGAAATCTCCTGAATGGATGACTAAAGATGCCATGGGGCCAAAAGATGGGGTAACAAGGAACCTGAATGTTGTCTACTATGATAAAACTTTTATTATAGAAGAGGACTCAATAATATGGGAACAATTCCCTTTGAGTCCTTTGGTGTTGGAATTGAGTTGACGGGATAAACAATTTTTCAAATTTATTTTATAAATGCCTCCCCATGGTCCTCAGATTGAGCCTACACATTTTTGTGCGTTGCGTCCCGTTACTATCAGTAGATGTAACGGAAGTTCGGGTTCTCCTAAAAGAATAGTTAGCTTGGTCCATATTCTTTGACAAAGAACAAAGTCGGCAGGCCCTTACCCGGTCAGTAATATCTTCGAACGAGTGAGCAAATGCTGTGTCGGCGGCCACCTCTCCTTGCTCAACTTTCCGGTCGCGTTTCTTGTTTTCAGTGATGTACCAAGTGCGTAGCGAAAGGAGAACAACCTCCAAGAGCACAAAACAACCCAACACCGCTGCCAGTGCTGGGAAATAGCGTGGCGCATCCTTTGACTGGAAGGTCTGCGGACCAATAGCATTTCCGACAGCCCAAAAAACGAAATTGCAGGCGATGACTATACTCTTTTTGGTCTGACCGGCAACATTACGTGTCACGATGGAAAGGGCGAGACCAGCACATCCCCAGTAAGCGATCATGATATAGTAAGCGAAAAGAAGGCCGACACGCTTGTCGTGCGAAAAGGGAACAGTTAAAAGGACGATGACGCCGGCGATTGTAGGTACGATCGAGGCCATCATGACGAATATGGTCTGCTTGTAACGTCTTTCAATCCAGACAGCACTCAGCATGGCCGTGAGTTGGACGACACCGGAGACCATCTGAAGCAGCTGGGTTTGCCAAGTGGTGAAGCCGAATGACTTGACAATAATGTTGTTGAATGCACCGAGTCCACCAGAGGGAATAGTGAGCAAAAGCTGGATAAGTGCGATGGCATAAACTTCGTGACATTAGCAAACCGTCCGTAAATTGCGAGAGAAAGAAATAGCTCAAAGACTAACCTTGGGGATCCTTGACAACTTCCCACGCCTGTTCCTTGCGGAATTTGCGATTTTGCAAGCCGGTACGGTTGCGACGTACACGTTCGACCATAAGATGCTTGTCACTCTCAGTAAAGCAGTGTGCTCTCATGGGAGAGTCAGGCATCCACCAGCCAACAAATGCACCCCAGAAGACTGTCATGATACCATATGCCATGAAAAGAGCTTGCCACGAGCTGATCGGAGAAGTGCTCGGAATGAACGAGAAACAGAATGCCAAAAGGCCACCGAGAATTTGATTCAATCCATTCATCATGAACCTTCAATGAGTGTCAGCAATGTGAAGCGTAATACGCGAGTTTCACACTATGAGCGAAGATAAACATACCAGAATGTGACAGCTCCACCCTGCTCCTCTCGTGTGTACCAGATAGACGACAACAAAGTGAACGCTGGTTGGCTGACAGCTTCAAACACACCTAGGAAGGCTCGAAGCGCAATAAGGCCTTTGAAATTCTTCATTGCAGCCTGAAGAGAAAGGGTCACACCCCACAATATAATATTACCCGATAGCCACTTGGCAATCGGGACTCGCTGGATGATCCAATTTTCCTGCCGAGCAATGAGAAAAATATCCAACTTTCACACATCCACGTACATATACATACCGGAAATTCCACTACTAAAATGATCATGTATAGGATCGTCGTCATCCACGAGTACTGTTGAGAGGTTTCACGGTTATTATAGGCCAACATAGGGGTATATACGCTTCAACTGACCTGTTGGCCCACCAAGTGGGCATCTTCTTGAATTCCCATAATCGACGCATAAGACATGGTTCCTTTGTCCAAAGTCTGGATGAGGTAGGTGACAACCATGACTACCATCACACGCTTATCAATCAATTTTTTGAGCCGACGATTCGTGGCTTCATCGACCTCCACAATCGTCGCGTTTGCATACTCGGCAACTTCACGATCGATGAGGTCGTAGTTCATCTGCTCCTTCACCACATCCATCTCCACGACCTCTGGGGCCTCGTTTATCTCACTGGTTTTAGTCATGGCAGTTGGCGTTCAATTCTTTCTTGGCTGCGTGGAGAGAACAGGTCTTGATCCGCGAAACTGCGACTTAAAATACCCACGGACCCGGCTACTGCTTTTATTTATCTTTCCACATCTCGCGCTAGGCATACCGGCACCAGCCATCCGTCATTCTTCTTCCGTTGTTCTTGTTGGCTCCAGCGCAATGTTTCCACCCCCACGCTCGTCTTTGTGGGGAGGCGGGGAAGCTCTAAAACGATCTGGGGTCAGCCTGCGCCAAGCCTGCGACGCGTCGGTTGGGATTTAAGCGCTTGTTTCTCCGTTCATGATTGGATCGCTCCCTCCAAAACGTGCTCCTTCCCAGTCAAGTGACCAGCCTCGTGGTGCTGAATTTATCCGATTGGTGGCCCTGCTCGCTTATATTGACTCTTTTGCCTGCCTGACGGAATTCACAGTCCGATCAGCGAATCGGCAAATTAACAACGATAATCTTTTCCATATCCTTGATGATTTTTGCGCCAGGAGCGTGTTGGTCCTTACCTATACTGGACCCAGGGCTTCGATCCGGCTGATAATTTCGGATTCAGGTACCCGAGCACGGCGAAGTGGGTAAACCTCGGTGAAATTGTCCGTCGCGGCGGTTATCATATGCAACTCAAGTTTATGAGTGATCCCACTTCAATCTTTCAATCCCAACTTCCACACTCATTAAACCATGTGTTCTAACGAGATTGACGCATCCTCGCCTTCATATCCACTCCGAGCTCCAAAGCCGGTAGGGAAGCGCATTGCGCGCCTCGACAAGGACCGTCTTGGGCAACTGTATTCTCCAGGGCAATGGGAGAAAGTCAATCTTCTAGCGTGCGTAAAAGGGCTGAGAAGTTCCTAGATTCAGACGGACTGGCTAATATGAATGTATAGTATGCTAAATGAAGGCGTTTTCTCTGGCCCTCCGCATGTCAATCTCTCAGTGTGGCATGCTCCAGGAACCACTCGCCCTGCTTTCGAGGAAGCAACAAACCCATCAAATGATTATCAAGAAACAACCTTGGATCAAGAATTTGGACCCTCATGGTCCACTCACTGGTTCAAAGTTCATATCCAGCTTCCTGTGGCAATTTGTGGCAAAAAACATGTCGAGTTACACTGGGACTGCAACAATGAAGCTACCGTTTGGACAGAGGACGGCATGCCTCTACAAGGCCTCACCGGCCGAGGAGAGCGTATCGAGTGGATCATTCCCGAGTCTTTCAAGGACGGCAAAAAACATCTCATATATATCGAAATGGCCTGCAATGGCATGTTTGGAAATGGCCCAGGCCGACCGATCTTCAAGAACAACCCTGGCGGTGATTCCATTCAACCACCGGATCAAAATAAATATTTTTCTTTGTCCAAGGCGGAGATTGTTGCTGTGAATTGGAACGCCAGGATGCTCTACGTGGACATTATCACCATCCACGACGCTGCTACCGTTTTACCAGATGAATCTTGGCAGCAGCATAAAGCATTGAGTGTAGGTACTAAGATGATCAACACTTTCAAACTTGGCGACAATGAATCGATCATCCGGTGTCGAAAGATGGCCGAGGAATTCCTTGGGCCAAAGGTCAGCTCCAGCGACGTTTACTCAGCCAGTCCTCAGCAAGGCGCTGATGTTTTCGCGATTGGACATTGCCACATAGATACATGTTGGTTATGGCCTTGGGCGGAAACCAAGAGAAAGGTCGCGCGGTCATGGCTCAATCAATGCGACTTGATGGATCGGTACCCAGAGTTAACATTTGCATGCTCACAAGCTCAGCAATTCCAGTGGCTCAAGGAAGAATATCCCCATGCTTTTGAGCGCGTGAAACAAAAGGTTCAGTCTGGGCAGTTTCAGCCGATCGGTGGCTGCTGGGTCGAACACGACACAAATCTGCCAAATGGAGAGTCGCTTGTGCGGCAGTTCCTATATGGGCAGCGATTCTTTGAAGCAAATTTCGGCTCTCGCAGCCGTGTACTCTGGCTACCAGACTCATTTGGATTTTCTGCCCAGCTTCCACAACTGTCCAGACAAGCCGGAATGCCGCATTTTTTGACTCAAAAAATATGCTTCAACAATATCAATCAATTTCCCCATACCACTTTTAACTGGGTCTCTCTTGACGGAAGCCAGGTCCTTTGCCATATGCCACCCGTGCGAACCTACACTGCTGAAGGCACTGTTGCTGATGTCCAGCGGTGTCTCACCAACCATCTATCCATGGACCAGGATCACACGTCCCTCATGGCATTTGGAAAAGGCGACGGTGGTGGTGGTCCAACCTGGCAACACCTGGAGCGACTCAGACGATGCCGTGGTGTCTCAGATACAGTCGGTCTACTTCCTCGAGTGCATGTCGGTGGCTCCGCAGACGAATTCTTCGAGAGACTAGAGCGCAAGGCTGACTTGCTTCCGACCTGGAACGGTGATCTGTACTTTGAACTGCATCGTGGCACTTATACCACCCAGTCCAGTACTAAGAGAAATAACCGAAAAGCGGAGTTCATGATGCGAGATATTGAGCTCCTCGCAACAGTTGTGTCTTTAGCGGATAGCTCTTACAAATACCCAAAGGCAGAGATTGACCGAATGTGGCACAGCATTCTGCTATGTCAATTTCATGACTGCCTCCCAGGAACCGCGATTCGGATGTGCTACGATGACTCGGACCAGGTACGTGACTACTACGCACATGTTGACCTTGAAATTTGAACTGATAGGATGCAATCAGGTGTACGAGAAGGTTTTCAAGACAGGCGAGAATATTCTTCTAGCCCTCTACCAGTGTCTCAATCTGGAGTTATCGGGGGCTAATTCACCAGACGCTGGACACATGGTTGCTCTCAACACACTTCCCTGGAATCGTACGGAAATCATTGACTCCTCGGAAAACTCCTGTCTATTAGCTTCGGGCAATGGAAGTCTAGTTGCCCTTGAAAGAGTCTTCCCAACGTCGAAGGAAAGGCCCGTCACAGTTCAAGAGGTCTCCACCGGCGTTTTCACGCTCCAGAATGAGCATTTATCTCTCACTGTTGAAAAAGGCTGTATCATCTCGCTGTACGATCGCAAAGCAGACCGCGAGATTATCCCACATGGTGAAAAGGCCAATCAATTCGTCATTTTCGACGATAAGCCAATTTATTGGCAAGCTTGGGACGTAGAAGTCTACCACTTGGACACGCGAGAGGAGCTAGCAAGCTCAGGTACTTCTATTACCGAAGATACGTATCACCGTGTGAGCGTGACTACCGAGACCAAGATCAGCAACAAAAGCTCCATGCGGGTTACCATCTCATTAGCGGCGACATTCGAGGAGAGTGACTCGCCTTGCGTCGAATGCACCGCAGACATCGATTGGCACGAGGAGATGAAGTTCCTCAAAGTTGAATTTCCAGTCAACATTCGCAATACGGAAGCAGCATATGAGACACAATATGGAGTTATCAAGCGTCCAACGCACTACAACACGTCATGGGATATGGCCAAGTTTGAGGTCTGCTGTCATAAATTCGCCGATCTGTCTGAACATGGATATGGTGTTTCGATTCTAAACGACAGCAAATACGGGTTCGCAACAGTCGGTAATGTCATGCGACTATCTCTCCTGCGATCGCCCAAAGCGCCTGATGACACAGCCGACATGGGCAAACATACTATCCGGTGGGCCATTATGCCACATGAAGGTGGACTGGGCCCGAGAACAGTCCGAGCGGCATTCAACTTCAACAACCCTCTGAAGCTCCTCGTTGCTAAATCGGCGACTCCCATGTTGAGTCAGTATCCTGTGACATTGGAAGGCGATGAGAGTCTTGTATTGGACACCATCAAGCGCGGAGAGGATGATGAAGACATCAGTACCGGAGAATTGCCTACACGGAAGGGGCGAAGTGTCATACTCCGGATCTACGATTCCCTTGGTGGCAGATCTCGGGGAACCGTACAAACCATATGGAACGTCAGTAAAGTCTTCAAGACAAATCTGCTTGAAGATGACGAAGAAGAGATTTCTGTTCAGTCCGGAGCATTCAAAATTGACTTGGGCCCATTCCAGGTCGGCACATATCGTCTCTGCTTAGCTGATTAGGTAGCATGACCCATGTCTTTCGTTGTTCTCCACTCTGAGCTAGATAGAATTTAACTTAGAATACTCATTGCGCTGTTTACATTGATGTGGCTCTTCAGTATGACGTTGCAGTGCTTGGGTTGATCTTGACTGGCCATTGCAGGTTTAGAATTCACCAAGCCTCGAGATATAAGCTTCCGATCGGGGACGGTGGTAATTAAAGTAGGCTAAAAATATAGTTCAAAACGTAGAGCAGCTGATTACATTCACCAAACTTCACTAAGGCAGTCCTGATACTACGAAGCTGAAAGAGATTATATTTAACTCATTCAATGTAATGATAATCTATGTGCAGCGCTAAAACCACATCCTGTTCTATAATGCTTATTTGCCGAAGACCTTGAAGCGGTTTTCAAGAGGCTCAAAGGTCTTCTCGCCGGGCTCAGATGTAGGGAGACCGAAGACCAGCTGAGCATCCAACTTCCAAGAGGCGGGCAGGTTCCAGGTCTTAGCAATCTGCTCGTCAACCAGGGGGCTGTAGTGCTGGAGGTTGGCACCAAAGCCCTCAGACTCGAGAGCGAGCCAGACTGCAAATTCAAGCGTTAGATTCGTTTTTACCTTATTTAAAACTCTTTATTCCAAATTTCATGGATTAGTGTAAAGCTTACCAAGGTACTGAGACATAGCGTTAGACTCCAGTGCAAATGGATCGAACTTGTCGGCATAAATGGCGAACTTCTCCTTGATGGGAGCGAGAGAATCGTAGTCAACGAAGAAGAGAACCTATCGTGTACAAGTTAGAAATCATATTCAATATTAAGCCTGGAATTGACGTCAGTTTGTCAGTGCAAATTATACGTACAGTGCCATAAGCGGCGCGGAAGGCATTAAGCTTGGGTTTCGTCTGGTTCTCGAACATGTCTTTGGTGACATGTCCAGCGGCAACCAGACCCTCCATTGCACTGATGGCAATGTCCCAGACCTTCTGGTGCTCCTCCTTCAGGAGAAGTACAACACGGGAGGTCTGGGTGTTGAAAGAGCTTGGGACGTGGAGGACGGAGTCCTGAACGATACGCTGAATGGCATCATCGGAGATGGGGCTCTCCGCCTTCAGACCATAGTAAGTCCGACGGGCCTTGACAACCTCCAGGAGAGTGGAGGTAGCAGGGTTCTTGAATTCAGCATTAATGGAGCCCATTGTGGTGGAATTATGACGGGGTGATGAGATTGACCTGATCTATCGGAGAGGATGAAGTTGTTATAAATACATGGCGCCCATGGGGTTTATATAAAATATAGATCAAACTCTTCAGCGAACCTGACCGTGCAAGCACGTACCACTGAAGGTTCATTCGTTGTTATCGTGCGCGAATTATCTCTGCGCGGTTCCGCCATTCACTGGATTGTGCCAATGGCTGCCACGGATGCTCGGGTCCCGATACTCCGATAGGCCCCGCTGACACAGGATAGTGTTCCTTTGGATGTCCAATCACAGGCGTGGTTACGCCGGATCTCTGAGCTTCCTAATTGCCGAGGCGTATGTAAGCGGAAATAGGGCCCACTTAAAATCCCTGACGATTATGAATCACTATATGTCAGCCTGACCAAGCACCCCCGATTTAACTATTAGCGTTGGTATACTACTAGCAAAAAGCTTAGGACGGACTTTGTAGTGCGGAATTAATCATGCAGAGACTCCATTATTAATCCGGACCTAAATATCCCATAGCGCCTATAGGTCTCAACCAATAAAATAACGACTTAGTAGAGGAAACAGCACTCAAATCTGCACGGTTTGTGAAGTAGAGAGGCTTTGAAATATGGGTTGCTTGGTGAACCAAGGAATACTACAAGATATACTACATACAGTTATTAACAAAAGCTGTCAAAGCTAGGAAAGATGGTATAATATTATAGGAGAGAGTCAACGGAATCAGAGGAAAAGATTGATTGTTTAAACCTGGCGGCGAAACTACGCCGCGACGCACAGGAATCCAGGAAGCAGGGAATCGATCATCGTCACTATTTAGAGAAACCTCTAAGGAACAGGAAGAAGAGAAAACAGGAGATGGCCTAAATAGCTCCTCGAACAAAGCAATCTAGAAGACAGAAGGAAGAAACCAGAAACTAACTGCACAAACGGAGACCTGCAGGCAATATGCAATCGCTAGTCCTGCACCAATCCATCGAGGCCAAGAGAGGGATGAAGCTCCATCAGAACCAAAGGGAAGGGGAAATCAATGAATGGAAAAGGGTAAGGTTGAGCTCCCTTTTAGCGAACCGAGTAATCGAGTGACCTTACCGGTGTCGAGTACATAACTACCCACAAATACAGGCCAAATACATGAGAAAAGAGGGAGATGAAGAAACCAATCCCAAGTACAGTGACTACGCAAAAGTCCAGACACCTCTAATTCTGCCGGTGAGGCCTCCACTAATCAAAGACCGATAATACCGGGCGGTAGGGCTACTTCAGGAAGGCGGTAGCAGAAGGGGCATCTGGACTTTTGCGTAGGCACTGTACATGTAATTGAATGGACCCAATTTCTCTTGACAAAAAACATAGAACAGCCAGGATTATTTAGATAGAGTGGTCTATTATACAACTACGTAACTACCTGGAGTGTGGCTGATATACAGCTAGTAAAGTAGTAGGTGTCAGTCGAGCGATTTGAGGATAAGGGCTGCTTTTTCTAACATTGTATGATCGGAAGTAAGAAGGGTGGGTGCATAACAATACCCTGGGAAGTAGCCACAGTAGACGGGCTGGCCCGCTGTTACTTAACCGCACCTCCCCACACGTTCCTTTTGGATTCGGAATCTAGCCACGCTATGATCGGCAAATATGGCACCCGCAATTTTTTTTTTTTCAAGATCGCTCCGCTACAGACCGCTTTTTTAGAGTTATGAACCAAGCAGTGCGAATCAGACAAAAGGCTCCGTGAATTTCACATCCCTCCGAAGTCTCACACTAAGGCCTTGGCGAATAATTACGCGAGAATCAGGCACCAATCAAGCGCTGTGTTGAACTTGAGGCCAAGACAACCCTCAATAACTGGGGGCCGTTAACGACTGATAGCGAATTAAAAGCACGATATTACAGGGTGACAGGGTCTATGTACTTATGTGAGACCACACAGCCCCTCCTTGGCATAATGAGGCTCCTCCTTTTGACCCTGCTTCTTCCTCCTCCACATGAATCTATTCCAATCGGTCAAACATCATGGCATCCGTTAGCAGTCTTCTCATACGCCGGAGCACTGATTTAATAGACGTTCGACTTCGATACCGTGATCAATCTCAGGTGATAGGATTGCTAGGCACCCTACTCATCATTTTCACAGCCCTTGCGTTTGGGTTCGCCATCTTTTGGGTAAGTCGGCATCAGAATTAGAAACAAAAACTATTTAAGCTCATCGGTGATAGGTTGACTACACCTGTAACCATGTTATTGGGACTCTGGCTGCCGTCGAAGACTCGCACCCTAATAGCTATGTTCGCCTCGACGGCGAAGATTCTAACGATTCCTGCGACCCAACTGATCTCGATATCACGGCCCCGGCAACCACTAAGCCTATCACCAGCGGGCTGCGCTCGGCCATTAAGCACTTGCGCGCCCGTGGTGGTATCTGGTCGTGCTTCCGTGGATTTCGTATGTATCTGGCCTTCACGGTTGGCGGTACGGTCGTGAGCTTTCTAGTTCCAGCTACTATCCGTATTCCGATCCACTTTTCTATCCGTTTATTGTTTGGACAGTTCGTTGCTAGCATGCTCTTTGCCACCTGGCAGATGGCTTGGGTGCATCTTGTGATCGCCGATAAATCCCCTCGGAGGTCCTACCGACGGATGCTTGGCCTCCAACATTGGTCTAGAATTGCCCCTGCGGCAGCTTTGTACAATATCCTTGTGTGTGCGTCTTTTTCTCTGCCTTTAGCCGCCAGAAGCCTCGCCGGCTGGACCGTTATGGGTGTCATTGCCACTCGAGGATTTAGCGAGCTTCTCAACTTTCTCATTAGCATTCTTCCGGCTATCTTTTTCTTGTTGGTTTCCATTCCCGCCAGGGCAATATATCTCCGTGTGGCTGCCTCGATGCTGCCCGAGGAGGATGACCCTATCGTGCCCTTCGACCGTCTTTTCGGTGGCAAGACAAACCCCGATACGGTTGGTGGAGGCGGCAAGCTGGGGTTGAAAGATGCTTGGATCACGTTTGAACTGTCTGCTCGCTCTCGCTTCTTTAAAATTATCCTAAAGGCTCTGGCTATTGAGGTTACACTGGGTGTGGTCGGGACCCTTCTGGTAATGGGCGAGGTCTTTTTGGTGACCTCTATTAGATAGAGCTTGTCTTCCCGCTAGTCTGTTACACACTGCTACGGAAAGGAAGCCAAGGACAGGGAATTCACTGAGATCTCGCTATCTAGGAGAATGGAAGAAGAAAGAAGGAAAGACGCAAATTGAGGCCTACATAGGCACCCAGGGCAAACGGCAAACGCTGGTCCTGGAAATCTCCAGGAGTGAATTTCTATCATCCTCGCTTTCAATGAGGTTTCAAATCCCATCTGTAGAATAATGAAGCACTCCCCGAGGTAGCTATGTACATCATAAGCAACTCGCTAGAACAACAAGTCTTCGAGAATTCTATGCCCCACATTAGCCTTCGTCACTGATCGAGGAAGAATGCACATACTCTCCTGCATGTAGCACAGTCCTGATGGTGTCTAGTTACTCCGCTGAAAGCTCGAGACACCGCAAGGTTTATCTGAGCAGCAAGAGAACAGGCTGTCATAGTTCAGCTAGGATTTGTCTTTGGGCGAGTGTTTTTTTGATTTAGCTGAGTTTTCTAGCGCTTCGAGGTGATGATATTTGTGAAGCGTACCGAGTTGCATCTCATCTCGCAGTTAATACATGAGCTGTCCTTGTCTTACCTATCTAGCATGTTGACTTATAAGAGCAGGGAGTGCAGGAAATGATAAGATCGATCGTTTCACAGATGAGATGTTTGTCATTCTTGCACTGAAAGATGGAGAGAGAGCGTGGCTAGGGATTCCCTTTTTCACATCAAAGATTTCTATGAGGGATCACAACCTTATACATAATTCTAATATGGAAAACTCCATTCAGCAAGTAGGATGTATTTAGGGGTTCGTTTGACCTTATGAAACTGTTAAACAGCGTTCACGGAGGCGGAACTTAGTAATACGGCAGATACACTCATATTTCTAGTTAGCAAGCCGCAATTTTATAGAATAGTCTTGTGAGAACCCAATACATATCCCTTTCATGTCTTATTCTAGTACATACGACCATAGAGTGTGGAGAACAGGGCTTCCCGTCCGCTCAGCCGTACTTAAGCCACACGCCGGCCAGTTAGTAGTATGGTGGGTGACCACATGCGAATCCTGGCTGTTGTATGTTTATGCTCGCCGATTTTTTGTCATTCGTTGGAACGATTGTCCTTGCCGCTTTACTCTTCAGCCCTATTCTTCACCCGAACGCCCTGAACACCCCTAAAGCGGTGACGTGGCCCCTCGGCTAAACTTTCCCTCTCTCCCACCCTCCTTCCTCCAATTTTTGGTGGCCTGAACTGATCCTGATTGGGGCTGATCACGGAAAATAGATTCAACCGTTGACATTAGGGGTTCCAGAAACAATTGGGTGCCTTGTGGCCTGACAGGGCACAAGCTGTCGGAACAGCAGGATGGGTGGATCCCCAGGGAAAAGGAAATACTAAACACCCGCCTAGCTTAGTCATGTTTTTGCCCATACAAATTGTTAGCAAAGGGGCATTGTAGCAATTCAGACCTGTTGAGATCCAATTGGCGCGCGGTATGATTGACTAAGCAGCATTCGCGACTCAAGCCCCTTGCCGTGGCTGCAGGGTTCAGCGGGGAATCACGTGCAGTTCGGTGGCTCAGCTGAAGGGCTACACTGCATGAAGGCCACGTTATTTGCTCATATTGCTATTGCGCTCTTGGTACCTCCCTCCTGTTTGAATTCTAGGCATGTTTGTTTATAAAAGCTGATGAGTGAGAAGTAGGTTTCGAACTCCTCAAGAAACAGTCTTGGAACAATTTGACTTGGTAACTTTCTTTCTTACCTGATCAGCAGGCCTTCTACCCCGGAAGTAAATTTCTTCATAACATTCCTCTCCCTTGTGAATATAGCCGGCACTCTAGCTACTTAAGCGGCTAAGAAAGTCTTATTAGTTTTGTTATTTAAAGCCCGGAGCTCCTTAACTTTTCAAGCTTCAAAATATCTTATCTACGAACTAAACCTAGTGGTATAGTTGGATAATAATGCCTTCAGCCTCGGACTTGTTGGATTCTGTCCTCTAAACAGTAGATGATGACGCAGTGAAAAAAAAGCAAGTAGAGGAATGGATGAAAGAATATCGAATGCTAGAAGTGAAGAAAAAGTCCGATAAGGAGGCAAACAGCCGTACCGAGCTTTATTACAAATTAACTGACTATAGATAGAGCGACCCTTTAAAACTTGACAAAATATTCCTGTTAAACAATGGCAAAAGTGATGCCTAAGAGGAGCAAGGAACTTCACCGGACGCGGAGGTTATCTGGGCGCTGCAGTCGTTGCGCTCGATAGTGATCTAGAGATTACTGAATCCTGGCAGATCTAGGTTGGACCGATGGAACAATAGGCGGTTTATGTGGCTGACTTGATCGGGATTTTCTACGCCATCAGCTTAGTTTATCGGCTAGCGCATCAAACCTCAAGACCAAGTAGCACGGCAGCAACATCAGACACGATTCTCCGTGATAGTAGATCAGCGCTACAGGTAATCTAAAACCCCGGCAACAAATCTGGAAGACGAATCATCCACGCTATCCTACAAGCGGCCATAGAGGTTCAAGCGGAGGGCATCGCGCTCCGCCTTTATTGGGTACCTGGACATTGCGATGATCCGGGAAACGACGCTGCGGACAGACTAGCCAAGAACGCGGCGATACCTGGAAAATCGCACCCATTCCGCCCTTTATTCTCAAAGGAGAAAGCAATTTATCCGTAATGGTATCCGCGTTTAGGGGGAACAAGAGTGGAAATCTTCCTCGAAAGGATGTCACCTCCGCAGGATTGACACTATCCTGTCTGCTACCCACATAAGACGGCTATATGGCTCGTTGCCTAGGAACCGGGCGTACCTGCTGACGCATCTTTGTACGGGCCACTGCTGGTTATCTACCTACGCAAAGGCTTACCGATTCCGAGATGACGACCTCTGCGTGTGTAGTGCACAAAAAACCGTTACCCACGTCATAATGGACTGTCCCTAACTAGGGATCTTCGACAGAAGCTACGGAGGAAGGTTGGCGACGCGTTCAGCAGTGTGGCAAGTCAGTCTATTGGGAAGATCGGAAGAAGATGAGAGAGGTAAATTTGACAGTCACGAGCCATGACGGTGAGAGCCGTATTGGATTTCGCGGAGGCACAAAGGTTCAAAGCCACGCGCCACAAGGGCAGCGTAATGACAGGAGCGGCAACTAGGCCACGACAGACCTCAACGAGGCTCTAAGCTCGTTTTCAGGAAGTGGTACACTCAACTTGGACGTTATCTATATTATAAGGATACTTGGTGGAGGTCTACCTTCTTCCTTTAGCGCGCTCCATTATGGATCGATTCCCGGCCTTCATATTCGTTGGTTTGCTTTCCTTCTCGCGTTATTATTGGTCGAGTGAAAAACTGCATGCCTGTTTTCGGTTTAGCTTCTTCCTGTTTTGGCTAATAGTAGATCTTGCTTTGCATCTACATCTGGCTTTGTTTAGATGTTAATTTTGGTCTACGCGTTGCTTCTCTCAACGTCTACAGCCTCTCACGACGGCCAATATATCGAATCCAACCCATCCAATGCCACTGCGTGAGCGTTCTGCCGCGGATTTGAACGCCCATCCGGTCTGCCAAGCGCTGTAGCCGGTGCCATAAGTTATAACATTCGACCATTGACTACGTTCATCAACGACAGAAATATCGAGCTTAAAACCTGTTGCAGATGCCGTCATCCTCAGCCGCAACAGGTCAAGTGCAAGACCCCTATGCATACCACTAACAGCGATACAGACAGTCTTTTGGTCCGCTGCAGTAGGTGTAAGAGCCTTCATCCCTGTTCTATATTTCTGTCTGCCACTGGCAGGCGCTTCAAGACATGCTTCAATTGCAGTATCTGCGTGCTTGCAAAGGTCTTCAATCTAGCCACAATTAACGGTTCTACAGCTACATCAGAATATGCGTCTCCCGCCAACAGGCGTCAATGCAGACTACGGGCAATATCCATCCACAATGTCCTATCGGGAGGAGTTACAGGCACGATCACGCTGCCCCAGTATATCCCCCGGTCCGATACAGTAGAAGAACTCTGCGATGCTATCTATCCCGCTACAGCGCTATCGGCAATCACCGGGGACCTTGATTTCTTTGCGGAACGGTCGATTATCACGATCCGTAACGACGTGGTGACGGTGTTCAACGACCAGCTGATTAGCCGCATGCCCGGCGGTTCGAGGATTTATTAGTCCGCAGACCGTGCCCGGGACGGATCAATAGACCCTAACGGAGCACCCTCCGGAATATCTACATTCTATCAATATGCCGGGCCTGCCGCCATCGAAGCTGGCGTTAAAGGTCGGCGCCTCGATTATGCTGATCCGGAACCTAAGCTAAGAAGAGGGCCTCTGCAACGGCACCCGTCTCATCATCACGGGTCTGTACGACTGGAATGTCATCGCCCGCATCATCGCTAGCGACTATAAAGGGGCGGAGCACACGATCCCGAGGGGATGCGCTAACGGCAGTCTGCTCAATGACAGACAGGTCGAGGCACGAGGGAGAAAAGCAACCACCGGGAGAGGAATAGACGAGCCAAACACCCACCGGAGGCCAGAGGATAGATCAATGCGGTACTCTTCGAAAGAGAGAGCCCGCCAGAAGAGGATTTAGCAGACCATGAGAAGATAGGACCCATTGATTTATGTAATGACCGACAGAAGATCTCCTACCGTAGGAGACCTCCGACGATAGATTGTATGCCTGAATGAATGATCCGAGTTGAATGAATGAATTGAGAAGAAAAATCCTTCTATTTCTTGGATGGCTTATCCCTTCCTCTGACAACATGAAACTTCTTATACTTCTTCCCGAGCAACCAAACAAACAAGACAAACAGTATAAACATGCAAAGATGGCAGATCAGCATATACCAGGAAAGCGTTAGCAGTTCCCCCACTACACTACCTACCTACCCACTGTAACATACCGGAGACTCGCTCACGCAAAACTGAAATCAAACATGTTTGCCGTGCACATGTTGAAGAAAGTGCATGCGAGATCTCTTCGATGCAGACTTCGTAGCCTTCTCAAACACGCTCAATGCCAAGCTGCCGCCGCAAATTTGAGAGGTGTCACCCTCGCATTTCATATCGCATTCGTTTGCCGCGATCTTAGAGCTGCCTTCTATCTTGTCACCACAGAAGCATTGTCCAGCGTACTCAGTGCCTGCCAGACTAAAGCCTGCATTTCCGCAATACTCCATACAGCCAGTTGAAGTCACATTGCCAATGCCCAGATCCGCAAATTGGATCCCAGTGAGCGCACGAGTAGACTCATTGTCGGAATAGCAGCCAAGATATGACCAGCCGATGACACTGTTGTCTGTAGTATAGACTTGAGTACGTGTGGTAGACAAGGCCTGAGATGCAGACAGTATGCTGGTGGTAGTCGAGGTACTTTCTGGATCGGATGAACTAGAGGATACGCTCTCGCCTTGACCCCATCTAGTTGGGGGATTATTGCCTGGCAGCTTCTCGAGAACACCGGAAATCTTCTCGGGGACCAGGTTGGCGATGTTGCAGCTGTCCGAAGAGTCGTTGATTGGGCCAGCGTCAGCGCACTTGTCCATGCCTGAATCGCCGGCATCACAGTTATCAATGATCTTTTGCAAGACGTCCACATTCCAGCCAGAGATCTAGACAGACTGATTAGCTATAGTACCAAGGACTCATCAGGATTAAAAAACCAACAAAATCCCCATGAAGAGAGTACCCAGTGCGGTCTCCATTTGCCAAAATAAAGGGTTGCGTGCCATTTCCTTGCTCCCACATGTCCACAAACAAAGGGGTGTTCCAGTAAACTTCGTAGAAAATATGAGGGAGGTGAGTCCAACCTGTCGGACAATTCGCTTTGCCCCCTGTGGTTCCTTTGCTGCTTGGGAAAACCGCATTTCTCTTGAAGTCATCGAGGCCAGCCTCGGGGTTATAACAAGAAGGAAAGTGAATATCAGCACGCAGAGGGGATGCATATCCGTCACAGTTCATATCCGGGAAGCCAGCCCCAGCCCCAGCATTATTCGGGTCTTGAATCCCAACACCATGCAATCCATCGGAATCTGCAGGATACGAGGGAGGATCATAGGAAGTCCGTGGGCATGTCCACTGAACTGGTTGAATGTCGCCTTCATTCGTGTCTAGGACATTGGCAGCTCCGCCCGGTGGGGGAGTTCGAAGGCTATAGTTCCCACTGACCATGCGGAGGCCGACAGGGAAGGCTTTGATATCATCATCGGTCGGTTCGAAACTGTTCTTTATTAGCGGGCAACTTGATCTCTCAAAAGTGCTGGACCTCAAAGCTACGCACAAGTAGTAGACATTCATGTAAAACATGGGAACTGAGATGAAGCTTCCATTTGTCGGATCTTGGAAGTATAAGGCCGGAGTCCAGTAATTGCTCTTGTCCGCCTGCACGAGGGAAGAAGTGCAACGTGAGTCTAACAGAACATCGTTGTCCATAGTCAAATTGAAGTTACTACCCCCCTGGATCGCGTGCACATGACTGGATGCAGTACCGGGACTGACGATGGGATCCATACGGCCCATTGTTAGCGGACCCTGGCCATAGAAGTGGTTCACAGCGAATGTTCGAGAGTCCTTAGCAAATGCTGTCGCAGAAAGGGCAGCCAACGGAATAGCTGTAGCTTTGAAATGCATCTTCGTAAAATTCAGTCGAAGTACGCCGTGAAATCAATGAAAAGAAAGGGACCACCACAGCGGGTAGTAGTGTAAGGAATGTCAGCGAGGAAAATGAATGAACTCGTGAGTAACCAGACCCGTGAGAGAAGTGAATGGAAGGTTGTGGGGAACGACTAAACGCAAAAGAAAGAGTGTAAGATGATTGTCCTGTTTATATAGATTCACATATCTCCTATCGTGATTTCCGAATCTGTTGACGATAGATGGGGCTCGCTCAACAGTTTCCTTCGATGAGGGAAGTTAGATGTCAATTGTAGTCCAGGCTTCAAGCCCGAAGCTATGCGCTGGCTGTGAGTGGGTTATTTCATGCTCTTAAATTAGCGTGGTGACGCCAGGGGTAACGCCACCAAGATTTCGAGTTAGCCTGCTGATTCTCAAGCGCCATCGCCTGGATTCTTTGAGACCAGTAGGCTTAATACTACGTAATGCTACGTCGAGGTTATGAAGATGTTTCAGAAGCAATTAACTTGAATCAAGGGTCTCCTTTACTCATTTCGAGGAATTGCCCTTTTGTGTACCAAGCAAAACACGAACATGGATCAGTCAGGTTCGTCAGAATCTACTGTCAACTGGTATTCCCCGCAACAAGCTGTCGAAGAATTATGAAATTATATTGTTCGGTTCGAACAGATTCAACTGAGCGGTCAGTGCAGGGATCGCGCAGGTTGCGGCGTGATTTCTCGCAAGTTTGAGTGGATAAGAGCATTTCCCTAAAATTTTGCTTTCTTTCACTTGCTTCAATTATTTTTCGTGCTCTTGGTCCATAACGCGCTCTTGTTGTCTCCACGGGTAAAAGTCGTCAGAAAAATGAACTGCGAGCATATTGGACAAGAAGCCGACCGCAGATCAACTCACCGGATACGGTAAAGAGCAGGATGCAGGTCGGGCCGACAATACTGGGTGGATGTCGAGGTCACATATGTTCTGCTTACTCAGATCACTCTCTCTCTGGATGAGCTTAGTAAGCAACCCAAAATGCTTTGGTTAGGCTCAGTGAGCAAATCAGGATGCTCAGGTCAGGCTCAGTGAGTAGATCAGCAGATTACGGAATAATCATTGACCAGCTCAGGTCGCTCAGGGGTATGCTCAATTCTACTTAGTGAGCAAAAGCGGCGATAGGGTAAGCACTAGCACGGAAAGGGACCGCCAAGCGTTGCCAGACATTGTCTGCAGAATGGAGCTAATGACATGAGCACTGTGCCCTATTGTAGGCATCCTTCCCCCGGTCAGTATATGTGGATCGTGTTTGTTTATGTTGTGTGGTCCTGCTTCCTTAGAGTCACATGCCCTTCAGTTATTCATACCCCCCAGACCTCAGATAGATCCTAGCTTCTTCAACTCCCTGAATCGATCTTTTCCTCTCCCAGTTCTGCTCCTCCTACCTTCCTTCAAACAGATCGCTGGGTAAATTCAGCTATTAGGCAGAAGCAGCACGCCCAGGTGTAAGCCACCCAAATGTAAGCTCACCTGGGCATCAAAGTTTGTTTTCTTTGTTTTGGCTACGCTACGCAAGTCAGATAGAGCAGTCTGCTTGGTTCCCTGATTGCATGCCTGGATACCTTTCACAGTACTGGGATCCTCTCATACCTCGGCGAAGTTCACCACCCGTCTGAATCGACGACATTATTGCCAGCTGTGCAAGTACAGACTGGAATCAGTTTCTGTTTGGTCCCGTATAACGGCCTGTTCTCTATTATGGATTATTTGACATGATGAGAGTTTCTGTCTGTTATATCATAAGAGACTCGATATGCATTCCCTCCCGCGCGCAGAACGTATACGTAATATCCAACCTGGCCGCAGACTGTCCACTGACGATATGTACCCAAGACAAAGCCTCGATCCTCTGTCACATAGTAATTTGTTCTATGCTCTGTGTCATTTGCCCCTCCCTAGACCTACCTTCTTTAATCTCGATTACCCGCTCAACAACCTTGGCAGCAGAGATGCTATCCCAAACCGCCTCACGTACCGGTTGCCGTCGCAGGATACTCAAGATCTCGCGTCGGACCATGGGATGCTGGTATTTGATCCTAATTATGTAAAGCATGGGGACGATTCCGTTCTCCGGCGTAAAAGTCGGCTTTAACGACCCCGAATACCGCTTATACGCCGCCGCTATATCGCCCGCCAACGCTACGCATTGCTGGAACTGGGGCAGGAAGTTGTCATAGTCTATTTCCCTGCCAGGTCCGTAAGTACTGAGGAGAGTGCATGCGACAGTATGTTATAGGCGCAGTAGTGATACGAGCGGGTAAGTTTCAGAAACTATCTCATAGGGGCTGCCTTGTTGCAGTATGTTTTCGAAGAGACTCGACCACGTTTCTAACTATCCGAGAACGATATCCTTAAGTGACGAAGGTGACGGCGGCATCTTACCTATCGGGGACAATTTGCTGCTCCGTGTTACGTAGTCTTATTACCCGAGCGACGAGGATCTAAGCCTCTTGAGTTCCTCTTTATATAGCCGTTGCTTGTTCCTGTATGCGAGTTTTTGCTTGATTTGAATCCTATGTCTTTCCTTAGGAGTCGTAGTAGATAATAGCTGCGCACTTAGAGAGCGCATTCCTTCGTTAAGTATCCTGATATCACTTCGATCTAGGAAGTCGAACTCTGCCTTTGCGGGAAGAGATTGGAAGAGGTGTGAATTTTGATATATTCCTATTCCGCGACGGTTTTCAATATAGTCACTTCGACTTGTAATTTTAAGGTAGTTTGCTGGTCTATCTATTTCACTAACCGGATGGGCATAGAACCTCCCGTAAGTATCTTAGTTAGTCTGCCCCGCGAATCTTATCCTTGTAGACTCTGAATGAGCTTTGTCTGTGTCACTGTTAGGAAAGCTGACTTGTTTCTCTCTATGTCCCGCGTGTTGTCTCTACCTGCTTGCATAAGTGCCTATCTGCGGTAGGCACGAATCGTGATATTCCGCGTGTAACTACTGCGGTAACTTAGCTCAACAAACTCCTTTCTAAAAGTATCTACCCCCCGAGCTTTGCCTGTGGACTTATCTACGTGAAGCTCTCTGTACTGCCGGAAGAGTCGCGTCTTAAGAACCGTCTTAGTGAAATAGATAACTTCTAGGATATTATTATCCGACGGAATAGCCTTAGTATAAGTATTAGCCCGATCTAAGATTTCCCCTACGAAGGAGTAATCTTAGAAGGCGTTATCTACGGATACTATTAGCAAGAAGAATATAAGTAAATTTAGGAAAAGGGATATATCCTCTCTATAGGTTTCATAGAAAGTATACCTAGGAATATCCCGTACCTTCTTCCTCTAATACCCCTTTATAAATTTTCGCGTATAGGTAAGAACAAGTATCGGTATCTTATCCACACTCTTAATAGTAAGTATAAAGTACTAATAGATATATTAGCTCCGAAATATATAGTATATTCCTTTAAAATTTCACCTTATCGCAAGCTACCATCGTACGGACCTCTAGCGCTATATCAGTTCTATCTTCGCTAGGCACTCTTACTAAGCCTCTCCAAGCTATAGACTTATGAACTTCCTCTATCCTTATAGATATAAAGTAATAGAGTAGCATTACTACACTTAGTTACACTCTCGTTCTATTAGGGATCTCACCACGGAACTCATAGGCTATCTCTATACTAGAGCTATATTAAGATGATAATAATATCATTAGGTAAAAGCCCACTATAGTATGACGATTTATATATAGTAATATTTAATACCTGTGTTAATGCCTGCTATTACAGGCATCCCTTAGATATTTAGATCGTCTCTCGCTCTCTCGCACTCTCTCCTTCTTTCCTTCCCTATACTTAGTTATTTCGTTAAATACTACTACGTTAGTTAATATTCTTCCTTTCGTACCTAAGCGTAATATATAGTCTATTTCTACGGTAGAAATTAGGACTTTCTCCCGTAGCCCTTAAATAACGTACTTGTGACGATCGTCAGCAGGATTGATGCCTAGTTCCTGAGGCATCCATCTACTATTTAGATAGCTCTCTCGCCGTTCTGCCTTCTTTCCTTCTTTCCTTCTCTCATGCTTAGTTGTTTTGGTCAAATGCTACCATGTTGATTGATCAATATCTCTCTCGTGCCTGAGCGTAACAGTACTAAGTAAACTAATTAGATTATATACTACGGAAGGTATTATATCGCGTATTATGCTTTAAATCTTTTTAAATATATTAAAAAATTCTTTAGAAAATTCGATATCTCGTATATACAATATCCCGGCCTAAAAGTCCCTCCGGAATCCCTAAATAGTTTCCATAGTAGGCAAAGCCTCGATTCGGCCTCGTTTCCCTTTAGTAGCCTACACGAGGAAGATTTTACAGGTTTAGAGGTCAGGAGGGTTTTAGCTTCGGGATATAGCTTAAGGAATCTAGAAGAGGGTTAGTTAATCAGTAGAATTCTATAGACTAGACAACAACTTATCAAAGACTTTTAGTGTACGCTCATAGTCGCGCTCTATACGCGGCAGGATTACCCGTCTGATTTCGGAGTTATCGAAGTCGCTCAGGTTTACCACATTACAGGCGTAAGCCAGCATTAGGTCGTTTTTCGTTATAGTTACGGTCGGCTTGAAGCAAGAGGGAGGCCGCTGCGGGGTGGGAGATAAATAGAGGTATAGAAAAGGGTGAGAGCAACTAGCGGCAACTGCATAAAGGGAAGGACATAGTGTGTGCTCCCGCATCGCGAAATCTTTCCCGTAATAAAATGCAGAAAAGCACATTTTGGGGAGGGCATCACCCCTCTGGGTGAAGAATATAGGTAGGTGAACTGCCCCCTGAAGCCGCCTGAAGCCCGAGTGCGTAAAGCGGCGAGCCGCCCACAATCGAACGGTGGGCGCTAGGTGAGCATCGCCATAGTCTGGCTGTTGTATGTTTTTTCTTTCTTCCAAACTTTTAATTTAACCTCCTTACCCTTACTACAGCAGGAAACGAAGAGGAAATATATACTAAATATATACTTATTACGGAAGAAGCTTATCTATAGAGGGGACTACTGGCGAAGGACGAATACATCTAAGCTTAACACTGAACGGCGAAGACCCCTTCTGCTTGACAACTGATGTATAATCCACAGGAATTGACTAATGCCATTTAACTAATACTCTTCCACGCCGCACCTCGAAATTTCAAAACCTATAGGTTCTTCGACAGGTTCAAGGCTCGTTCCGTCCTCTCCGACATTGGCAGACGAAAGGTCTTGTGGTACTGAGCTACCGAGCTCCACGATGTCCTGAACAACCCACACCTGTTACTCCTTCAGTCCCGAATCTATACTATGCTGCCATCAGCTGAGGCACTGTGAGTAGTATGAATTCTGGGCCTTGCAAGTGGTGCCCGAGACACAGCAGGTCGGTCCGGTCCAGCCAATGCCACCGCATTGACCCCAAATGGCAGAACACTATAGTCTATGTCAGTATATCGTTAGATAGTAGACGTGGAAGAGTTAACTTACACTTCCAGACGAGCCACCAGTGGAAGTGGCAGTGGCAGAGGTAGTGCTAGTACTACTACCACCAGAGCCAGGGCTAGAGCCACCAGCAGAAACGGAGATAGAGGCAGTACCGGAGCTCTCATAGCCCTCGGTAGATAGAATTTGATAGTTAAATGTGCCTAGATTCATACCCAGAGCAGCCCAAGCATTGAAGTGGTTGGCTGTTGTTACCGTGCCGCTAGACCGCTTGCTCTGCCGGATTGACCAGTACTGCTCAAACGTGGCTGTACCGCTAATTGACGGCTGATTGACCTGCTGATGCGTGTAGATGTCGTAAGTCGAGCCATCACTGATGACTGTTCCCATATGGGTCATGCTGCTGCCCGGGTTATAGTCCCCGAAGCTTTCCATGATGTAATACTCCACAAGAGGACTAGTTGTCCAGCCATAGACAGAAAGATAGGCATTTCCATTAGGACTGAACGTCCCAGAGTATGTAATGGCCCTTTGGGTTGTATTTGTTAATAAGTTTATTGATGTATGTATTTTGGAGAATTTATATCCACTTACTGAGCACTGCCGGGGTTCCAGCCTTTTCCACAGGTAAAGTCACCGCCATTCTGGTTTGACCAAGTGACACTATATTGACCACCAGCACCATTTGTGTAGTCAACCGAGCCGTCTCCATTAGTCCAGAATGAATAGTAGTAGCCATTGTTGGTACCAGTCTGTGACGAGGTGATTGTCTGGCGCTTAGAGAAGTCACCGGACATGTCGCCTGGAAGGGCAAAGACACCCACAATAGCGGAGAGCCCGAGGGCCACGGAAGAGAAAGAGACCATTTTGATGATATATTATGGTAATAATCAACAATTTGAGTGAGGTTATTCGCAAGTTTGCAAGAGATGCCCAACTACTTTTATACTTCCTCCCATTGACAGACTGAGTATGATTCCCCCTCCCCCAAAAACCCCCAGATTTTGCCAGCGGGTAAATATCCAAATTTGATGGCCATTCTTGGGTAACAAGCATTATTGCTCGTGTAGACTGGCTGGATCAAAAAATTGGGCGGAGATCTACTTGCCCTATACTTTTAGCCTTAGGCTAAAGCGGACCTGCTGAAGAACCGAGATCCGTTACGAAAGCGGGGAAGTCGAAACAGGCTACTAGCCAACACCAAATCAATCACGCGGGCCAGTGGCCTGACTCTCTACTCCTTATACCAAAATTTGCTGTTACACTGGTCCCAACCCAGCGATTTGATTGGGCCGCATGCCAGCAGTCCTCCCCTTACTAGCCCAGCTGAATATTGCCTAGTCAATATGAAACCGACGCTGCTAGAACGCGTTGATCAAGCACGAACTATTTGCCACGGTAATAAAGGAGCTAAGATTGTGGACCAAAAGGTGATTTCCATTCCAGAGCCTCTTTAGTTGACTATTACTTACTCCAAAATTAATAAATTAGCTAATAGGAAGTGCGGAATCTATAAAATGCAGGTCACTATTCCTTTGTGGTCAGTCTGAACGCTCTTCTGCCTAAATTGCCAGGAACTTGACCATATTCGTGAGGCCGTGCCATAGACACACAAACGCCTTTCTTCTATTTTTCTAGCATTATCCGGGTCTTACACCAGGAATCAACAGTTCTTGCGCCCGTGGCGCTCTATATGCTCAATTAGGGTGCTTTTTGTTGCTGCGGCCGAAATCCCCGTGCTCGTAAAGTATTGTCGAACGAGATGTACGAAGTATCTGCGCTCAGTTAGTACCACTATTGAACACTTACTTATTCAGTATTTAAAAATTGCCGCGCTCGGCCTTAGGAAGCCGATACCCTCCAAGAAGCACTTGAAATTGTAATCATATAAATCTCAACAGTCCCGACTATGAAATTAGAGAAAAAGCAAGCTCCCAAAAGCATAAGAGCGTGGGCGTTGGCGTTAGTGTTGTCTCTCTCTATATAAGAACACGGTGGTGAAGATTGAATCACCGCCAGGGGCCTGCAGAACCTTAGTGGCGAGTGGTGAAGCAACCCTAGTGGTAGTACATGCGCTAGTGGCCCCTAAGTATCCAGTAAAGTCTGTCTCCTTCCGGGGAAACCATGCATTTAATTCTTCTATAACGGTATCTAGATTTTCAAGACTTGAGAAGACACCGAGCTTGAAAATTATCTGTTCTTCTCTCATTCCTCTTCTAAGGGGCAGCAGTTCAGTCTCTGTCCTGCTCCTTAATTATCGATAATTGAAATGTCTTGTTTGTCAGTTGGACACATTAGGCCTATACTTTTGGCAAAGCAAAGGTTTCCATTGTTTGCCAAATTTGCTATCACACATAGCTCAGGTTTGAGCATAGTGACTTCAGCTTATAAGAATTTAATTTTGGCAAAAGGCGTTGGAAAATAGCCTTTCGGTGGGCTCTATGGATGAAATCCGTATGATGAGGCGGCAGCTGCTGCATGGCCAGTCTCATGAAATAGATTTTGTGTAAGAATACCACCCTGTGCACTATACTTCTACGAGAAGGAATTCGTCCCGTCTCTTCATTTAGGCATGACGGCCCGCACGGTCCAAACTTTGACTGCACGGGGTAACCTGGGGTAACCAACTCTGTCAGTTCGTGTTTCACTCCGGCTATGCCGCTTCGGGCACGGTGGGGATTCCATGTGAAATAAAAAATGAGATCTTTCCCCGTAACATTCTACATCGTTTACCTCAGTCCTGGAGGGTGTGAAGAATTGGCTGCCTGCAAACAAATTTACGAACCATATTATATTTCTGACACTTCTGCCTCGCGTCTAAATAGTGAAGGAGCAGGGTGGCCCGCTGGTGCTCCTACTTGAAATGTTCCAAATGTCCTCATAGATAGTGATTTATATGTAGGCTAACAGTTCAGAGGGGCTAATATAGAAGAAGACTTTAATTAGAATAACTTACTATGTTAGTAAAATGATTTACTCTTTTATAAATCTATATTATTCGCACTTTGGTAGGCTTTTTAAGAGTTGTCCGTTAAGTTATCCGTTACTCGATCTTTCCATGTTCATTCATTCCAAAAGATCCCGAGATATAGTGCTACAGACTCGAGTATTACCTCTACTGGTAGTATAGAGTGACTGAGATTTCTGAGTACCCGACTAGTACTTCTTATTCAAATATTGCGCCTCGGGTAATTCTAGCTCTCATTGACTGACTTCAACTTTATGGAAACAAGGAGGGAATAACTCGTGGTCTAACAAAGACTAGCACTACAGCGTGTTCGAATTTGGCCCGGATGCTGCTCAATTGATGCCTGTTCAACTTAAATTTTGCGACATCACAATCTGTGCGCGGGATAACCAGTCCGTCATTATTATATACGGTCTCCACGGAGGAGGAATTCTACAGCTTAGAAACTGATACATGGCAAGTGGCAAAACGCAACGTAGTCATAATATATACGTCTCTTGCTCGGGGACTCTAACTCACTCAACGAAGATAGGTTGCACAACAAGACGGACTACACCGCTTCCGATCCCTATCTAAAGCCAGTGTTTTTGGCCTCATTTTGATGGCTGATCAGAAGTAGATATCAAGCCTGGGGGAATCGTCAACATTGCCCCTGCGATATGACAGTTTGGGGAGGAGTGGCTTTAGCAATGGGGACCACAGTGATGGCTGCGGGAAGAAAAAAGATGTCCCCCAAGTACTCAGAAACATCCATGTAGCAACCGCTCTTTACACACGGTGAACTTGACAATCGAGACGGGCGCCCGAATCACTGGAACGCCTCCGTGCAGCAGCAGGAAAGCCTAACGGAGCTTATGCACATTTTGATTTTTTCATCGATTTCTGCCCAGGACCGCCCGCCGCTAGTTTCTAATGATAACGGGGTATGATCTTTTCAGGGTGCATCGTCACCGTTGGAAAGATTAATGGGTAATATTGAATTGTTATACTCTGGAATGATGTTTATGATTTTGTTTCTCCGAGGGCGGTTTATGTACTCCGCCGAGCACGCACTGAAATTTGTCCAGATGGTTGGACCGGGTCTTCTTTTTCGTGGTTTTTTATATTTTTCTTCTAGCCGTTATCGTTGATCCTCGGTCCATCTGAGAGGATCGCCGTATTTAGACTACCAAACGTCCAAACTTTAAAGAGAATCATGTCACCTGACCGAAATAAGCTTTCCGGGCCATCGTCATCAATTGATGTCCGTCTCCGCGTCTCACAATCCTGACCGCGCGGTTACGAGGCCATCAAGGCAATCAAGGGAAAGTACTGTACCTCTCTCGCTCCAGTCTCGTCGCTCCTGGTGTCAGCTTGCACGTCCTCTCCCGCGTCACGTGTTTGAGTCCTCAACCTCAAGCTGGACTCGAATGAATTACATCGACAGCTCTCTCTTCACCGCCATGAAAGTCCTCCCTGCTCCATCACAATGGCGGGACTCCACTATAAGACGATGAGGGCCTATCTTCCCAGAGTACGGTTCCTCACACTACATTATGCCTACTTTATTGGGCTATCCTTAATTACCTCCGCCATCTTCTGGGGCACCTCTTCCCCTGCCCAGAGTGTGCGATATATTAACTCGTTGTACATGACTGTGAGCGCTATGACCCTCACTGGCATGAACACGGTGAACCTGTCTACCCTCAGTACATTCCAGCAAGTCCTGCTGTTCTTTCTGATCTTGTCTGGATCTGCGGTAAGAAAAGCAGCAATACCTTGAATCTCTACGGTTGGACGCTAATGCAACGTAGATCTGGGTGTCGATCGCCATAGTCTTAGTTCGCAAACATGCATTTGAGAGAAGGTTTGCCGATATTGTTAAAGCAGAGCGTCTTGAGCGAAAATCTCGTAGTCAGATTAGGTTTGGCAGTGCAATCACAAGGTCACGCTCTTTCTCCAGAGAGCCTACTTCGCCCCAGGAACGTACTTGGCTGCCAGGACACCTACCCATGTTCCGCTCTTCGACCTGGGGAGATCCAGTTGACCCTAGCGGTACATTCCAACGCGGGAGCTCGGAGAAGAAAGACCCGGCATCGGACTCTCGGCCTGAACATACTGATGTTGGAAACTTCAACCAACAACCAAACCAGCCCGTTTCGGAAGTTGGCGATGATGCTCGGTCTGTGGCTCCCGAAGAAGAATCCCATAATGGAGAAGTTTCCAGGGAGCAAACGAGTCACACTGGTAATGATGTGCATATTGCATTCACTGCAGACTTACGCCGGAATAACTCCGAAGATCAACAGTCAAACCCAATACGCCGACGCATGCTTTCTCCATACACCAATGTTCTGAATCGCTCTACAACGCTCGGCGAATTGGAAGAAGGTCCATCCGCCAACGGGTCTGGTGGAGAGGACCTTCATTTGAACCTTCTTCACAAGTTGCATCGCAATTCTACCTTCTACAATCTCAGTGAAGCAGAGCGGCAAAAGCTCGGAGGTGCCGAGTATCGAGCAATCTCCTTGTTGGCAATCATTGTGCCGATCTACTTTTTCCTTTGGCAGCTGCTCGGCGGGTTAGGGGTAGGAGCGTATCTCGCAAGGAATAAAGCGTCAGTGACTGAGTCCAACGGTCTGAATCCTTGGTATGTGCCATCGCAGCCCCTGCTCTCTGAATGTCAAAATGGCACCATTTATGCTACGTTCCTGTGATGGTTTGCTCTAACCGTGGTTTGGGTTAAATTAGGTGGACCGGCTTCTTTTTTGCAATTTCTGCATTCAACAACTCTGGCATGAGTCTTGTCGACGCGAATATGGTGCGTGTTTTATTTCCCCCAAATAGCCCGTCAGTTCTGATCGCTTGTAAAGATTCCCTTTCAAACATCAACCTACATGCTCATCACAATGGGCTTACTGATCCTGGCTGGAAATACCTGGTGAGACTGCCATTCGAGTCTACTTATTGAATTTCGGTGCGCTTATGAGCGTTCATAGCTATCCAATTTTTCTGCGATGGATATTACGTGCTATCCGCCTCATGATCCCAGATCACGAGTACTTCGGTCAGTTCCGCGACACCCTAGATTTTCTGTTGGATCATCCACGGCGATCTTATACCACTTTATTTCCTTCTGCTCAAACTTGGTGGCTGTTACTCTCGGTCATTGTATTGAATGGTATTGATTGGGTTGCTTTCGAAGTACTCAACGTGAGTTGCACAGTCAAACGGTTATACCAATCGATTATACTGAATTTCGGCAACAGATAAATAACCCAACCGTGAACGCCATTCCGCGGGGATCCCGTGTGTTGGATGGGCTGTTCCAAGCCGTTTGCGTTCGCAGTGGAGGTTTCTACGTGGTCAATATCTCCGCCCTCCAACTGGGGACACAAGTCATCTATGTGGTGATGATGTATATCTCGGTCTATCCCGTTGTGATTACTATGCGACACTCGAACGTATACGAAGAAAGGAGTCTGGGGATCTATGCTGATGACCAATTCCCCAACGATGATGATCAGGATTCGTCATCGGATACTTCAAGAAATCCACTTTCCATGACACCCGCCGCTGGGAGAATCTACTTCATCCGTCAACAGCTACGGGCGCAGATGGCATACGATCTATGGTGGATCGCGTTGGCTGTCATCATAATTTGCATCGTGGAGGCAGGCCAATTCACCCGCAATCCCGTTACATTCTCAGCATTCAACATTATTTTCGAGACTGTGAGTGCATATGGATGTGTCGGGATTAGCACAGGCCTTCCAAATCAATTTTACAGTTTCTCTGGAGCCTGGCATACATTAAGCAAGCTTGTGCTCTGCGCTGTGATGATCCGAGGTCGCCATCGAGGTCTGCCGGTCGCTATTGACAAGGCGATTATGCTACCGAGCGAGAAGCTTATCAGAGCCGAAGAGGAAGATGCACAGATTAGGATGGAACGAACAATGAGCCGCAGGCGATCCCGATCGTCAGTCTAGAGTTCCGAAAACGTCAGATGAATAAAAGACTCGCATATTGTAGACCTCTGGGATCTGCGCTGAATGGGTTCGGTTTGAAACATGTGATGCTTAGATCATACATAATGGATGCACCTAATATCCCATATATCCAGTGAGAAACAGGACTGATATAGACGATGGGTCATTGAAATAATGGACCCTGCGAAGAGTGGTTGCTTGCCTGGTCAAACACTTTCCATGATTCCGATCAACTCGTTTAAGAATAGGTACGCTGTTGTCATAATTCACTCTGAAATCTCTATTTGTATAATTGAATTGTTCAAGATATGGTTGGAGCATAAGAATTCAGGGTGACATTTGCCACCATCTCGGGTGATCTACGTCACCAATTGACTCTGCGTCGGGTAGATCCCGCTCGCATAAGAGAGGAATCATGAGCTTCCAGTAATAGATGTTCATGACCTTTAGACTGACATGATACCGGTTTCGTCGCTAATTGGTTCGAACGGATTGTTCATTCCTGTGTGATCGGATACAGTCTCCTTGTGCTTGATCTGGCCAGGGTCGCAGTGTGACGTCGAAGACTGTAATGACACCCAAGTATCACAAATGGCCAAACAGTTATTTATTCTCAGATGCAGGATGAATCGCCCATTATTCTTAGAACTCAGTATTATAAACCCGGAGGCAGACTCTCACAGACTCGATCGACGACAATGCCTTTTCTCGGACTTCGTGATGGCGCCCAGCTCTTCTACAAAGATTGGGGTAACCCCAATGGCTCGATCATCACATTTTCGCACGGCTGGCCCCTGAGCAGCGATAACTGGGAGAACCAGATGGTATTCCTGGCCGATCATGGATATCGCGTCATTGCCCACGATAGACGTGGACACGGGCGCTCAACCCAGACCTGGAGCGGAAACAATATGGACACCTTTGTCGATGATCTCGAAGAGCTCTTCAAGCACCTCAACGTCAAGGATGCTATCATGGTTGGGCATTCACATGGCGGAGGAGAAGTCACCCATTACCTTGGAAAGCACGGCACCGGTCGTTTCAAGAAGGCTGTTCTCGTCGGCGCTATACCCCCCTTCATGATGAAAACCTCGACGAATCCCGAGGGAACCGATAAGTCTATCTTCGACTCTTTCCGCGACTCTATGAGAAAGGACCGCGCTCAATTCTTCTTGGATGTTCCCACGGGGCCGTTCTTTGGGTTTAATCGACCTGGTGCCAAGAAGAGCGAGGGTCAGATTCGGAGTTGGTGGCAACAGGGCATGAACACCAGTTTTAAGGCTGCCTATGATTCAATCAAGGACTTTTCCGAGACAGATTTCACCGAGGATCTGAAGAAGATTAATATTCCTGTGCTTGTACTTCATGGTGATGATGATCAGGTTGTTCCTATCGGCGCTGCCGGACTCAAGTCGGCAAAGCTTTTGCCTCAAGGGACACTCAAGATCTATCCTGGTGGCTCCCATGCGATCCACAACATCAACATTGATGAGGTGAATAATGATCTACTCAAATTTGTACGGTCTTAGAGGGATATTAAGCCTTTATGGGTGCATGAAGATGAACTGTTAAGTGATGGAAACCATCGAGTGCCTTTAAACTCCACTCTTTTGACACTCACTCTCACAAAAGACCCTGTGTGGTCTCCCTAAATAGCAGAGATACAAATTGGTGTATGATCCTTCCTTGAGATTATGAACCAAATACAAGACTGCAACAGCGTTTCTTTCATTCATTCATGACTCTATTCGCGATCTCTAAATTCCCAAAAGGTTCGGACGGTAAGGACTGTATACAAAGAAGCGCCCCTTATCAGCCAAAATTATCAGCTTATCGATGATTGGCAACTTCTGGTAAGGCTTAAAATTTCGACGAGCCCCCCGTTTCTTCAAAGGGTATTTGCATCTCTGCAGAGTCAGGAAAATCCAGCTGCCTGCCCGCTAGGATCTTGGCAGCGGTACCACTCGCCCTACCAAGCCTACGGAACAGAGGATAGCCAAATCCCTGTCGATGTATTCGGTATTACACGAACGTTGTCTGCTCGTTACAGTCTGCCAAGCTGGCACGATAGTCTTGGCAGAAGCCGTTGGTAATTCACGAGCAAGTGAGTCTGTGAGACAGGGGGTGGGATGTCTCTTGGCTGCAGGTTTGTGGAGAGTCGGAGACTCGGAGTGTCGTAAATCATTTCGTAAAGGATTTGACTTGACCGTCGTCCGGTCGGCCCTGGCCAGTTAGGCTCCGCTGCTTTTGTTCTTCCGATACCCCCCGGAGGAATTCCAGTATCATTGGAATCCCCACATTCAGGATTCAGAATTCTTGGCTGGCGAGAGTGGCTGAAAAGGGGGTTTTGAGTTTGCGGAACGAGAGAAGGCCAAACGAAAACGAACGTGGGTGTCCGAATGGCTTGGTATATCAAGGAAGGATATCCAGCGAATCTATTACCTACGCAATAGCTTTCTTAGATTGATGTAGAGCCTACTAGTAGTCAATACTATGTTGAAACTGAACATCGATCTTGCCTACAGTGGGCCCCTGTACATAGAATTGATTTCGCGACAATGAAAAGATAACAATCTGGTCCTACAAGTAGAAGAAAGAATTCTATGAAATATATGAAAATAAAAAGCTAAAAATATGTACATTCAAAATTCGAATGCAAAAGATCGCTTTCGTTCAACCCCAATTAGGTGGCCCTAATACTGACAGTCAAAGGAAAGAGTTGTAAAGAAGGAACGGAAAGTATATACACCGCGAATCATCACGGATGCCATACCGCTCGAACATTACGCGGAAGTCATCGGCATGGTTCTCATTGGCATGCGAGTAAGAGGAAGTGCTTCCTGTGATTTCTCAACTTCATCGAACATCAAATTCTCCAGCTTCTGCGTCATCTTAGCGCAGAACGGGTCCACATAGGAGGTCCAAAGTGATGCACATAGATAAACGAGCGCAAACCAAGCTGGCATAGAGATGGCAAGAACCCATGAAGGACGCCTGGGAATCCAGTGGGGTGGAAGCGGCTCGCCATTCTCGTCCAGAATGCGGTTTCCGTTGCCATCGACGGGTTCGCCGTCCCAAGGCTGGCCGGTAATTCCATATATCATCCAACATAGCACGGTGCGAAGCAGCGTTCCGTGCACAAGATATACCGCAAAACTCTGCTTCCCGAACCAGAGAAGCAGCCGACTTGACAAGAAGTCTTTGGTTGAAGGTGAGATGTAAATAGCGAAGACGATCAAGTCAATGCCAATGGCTGAATAGCGTTTGCCAATGTCCACATTGGGAGGGAAGATGTAATGAGCCAGCTTAAGCATAAAGTTGGACCATGTCGCCCATTCTGGGTGCTCGCCGGGGTATGAGCAGATAAAAAGACCAGAAATTCCACAGATGGCCGACACAACCCTGCGGCCCCGGTTGTGACGCTCAACGAACTCTTTAAATGCGGTCTCGTAGGAAAGGTCGCTGAGGAACATGCCGTAGACAGCTTGCATTTGAAAAGTTTCTTCAAAGCCTTGGTGAGAAATGTAGAGAGCGAAGGATGACAGAGGAGAGAACATACCTGTATTTGCGGCCGCATCTTGGTGGAAGTAGAGGAACATCCCAAGATAAATCGCCAAGCGCCAACGGAACTTGACGAACATGGTGATGCAAAGGAGGACATACACAAGCATGGATGACTTCAAAAGTGGTAGCAAAGCCCACTGATGGTCATCATACGCCATATACCCGGTAGTCCAAACACTGAGGAAATTCTTGAATAACCGGAGGACCTCTTCCCAAAACGAATCGGCCAAATCAGGAGAAGCATGACGGCACCACCAACAATCCGAACGATTGGCAACAATGTAAGCTCCAAACTGAGTCATCACCCACGAAATGATCAGGACGATAGTGGCAGGGAATATCAGACGAGGTGGACGGCGGAATGCGCTCTTGGCTACCGACGTAAAAGCGCCCAAGTGGTCACCATTGCGGGACTGCTTAATGGGCTTGAGGGCGCACACATAACCGGTCAGAAGGCCGAAGATGGTTACACCAAGGCGACCTTGCCCTGGAACTCGCAAAATAGGCCATTGCAATATGCGGGGGCTGGCATCTGCGTCATCTCGAGGGGAAAAGAGGTCATAGTCCCAGCCTCGAGCAAGATGTGTCAGGAGGACCAGAACTGAAGCAATGCCTCGTAGGCCCTTTAAAAAGAATAATCAGAAAATGGTATAATGACAGAGCTGACTGCCAGAATTAGCATTGATGGAAGGGAGCTTACATCAATCCACTTGACACTTTTCCTTGGATCACCCTTCACATTAGGGTCCGCGGATTTCCACGGTACATTCTCAAGTAAACGAGTGTAAAGATGCCTGGGTTGAATGTAATCCATGGTGAAATAGAAATAAAAACAACGGAAAGGACTGAAAAAGAGTGGACGAAGTAGAAAATCAACGATCTGTCATCGGGGAGCCCTAAGTCTCTTAGCCGGAAGAGAGTAGGCGAGAAGGAATGTTGGAAGATGACGAAAGTATATGGCGAGGAAGGGGAAAAAACGAATGGATCGCAGAGACAGTCACGCTCTGCGCTTTTCTAACGAAATGGCTCCAAACCCTGCACAGAGTAAGTCGAGTGGGTGTCCGCCGGGAGTAGACTGAAATGATCTCACGAAGGACGAACAAGGAAGGGATGAAACTTGAAGGCGGGGGGGTTTGGGGGTTATGAGTATCTTACGCTTACGGGTTCGCCCTCCTTCCATTCAGAACCCCCAGTCTTCTCTGGTAGGGCGGACGATAGAGAGGCTTCCCAATAGGAGTGGAAATGCATAGCCAAACCCTCGGTTTGGCAGCGGGGCGGTTTTCCCAACAACGGGGTACAAATGAACGGGAAAGCCCCCTGCGAAGTAAGCTGTTAGCTGATCAATTACCAGAATTAGATCATGCTAATCTCTAGCACAAAATGCATTTGATGTAATCTATCCAATTCTGCCGGTTCGTTTCATCGCCGAGATGCATAATCTCGCCAAGCACGAAACCATTGCCATCTTACCAGAAAGCTATACAGATACGACCGGAACGAGATCGGGAGGAAGGAGGCGAGGAAGCTGACGACGACGTCTGAAGGAATTTTCCGCCCTGCCAATCATCCTCTGACTTCCAGAGTGTTTGACTGGGGTTCCCGCGATGGCCACAGACATGACCTGGATAACGTGAGCAATTTGGTGCTGATCACATTTCTTTGGTCCAGGGCTAGGTTCGAGCAGCCTTTTGGAGACTACCAAATTCGGCGGAGTTTCCCCGTTTTGCGTCCTTATCTTTTCCAGGGGAGTATTATGCGGCGAAGAGGCTCTGGAAGGGTCGTTCTTTATACTCTTGAGATTCGTATAGCGAGCTCGAACTATAAAAGCGATTCCGCTGTGCGCCGAGAAATAACACCGCCGAGAGAAAAAAAAAAGCACTCTGGCAAACTGATCGGATAGGCATTTCGTATAACAGCCTTACTCCATATGAGAATATTCCGACAATACTGATAGCATAGAAACGTGAAACAGTATCGTTGCCCCTCCTGAACTACGAAGGGTAATTGCATGAAGTTGTGCCCAAATGGCGCCATTTGACCTAATTTTACCATCCGCGCGCGCGATCATCGCCCGCGCTTGGCGTGGCTGAATCCTGGCGGGTCTCCAAGCGTGTACGGTAAATACTGTATCGATCGTACGGAGGATTCCGTGCAAAGACCACCAATTGCGAGTGATAAACTGATACATCCAACACCAAATGCTCGTGAAGTTGCTACACCTCTTGGCACAACTGCATGGGAAACGGAGTGCTAAATCAAAAACAAACCTCTACTGCCGATCGTCTAGCCCTGTCAGGGTTACAATCGACTCAAGGGGTCAGAACACGAGACCAGGGGAAATTCTACTGTACGAACGAGTAGGAAATCAGAAGCCAAGAACAAGGTATCCACTCGCAGGTTATTGGAAATAAATGGCGCTGCGAGCCGCCATATTTTATCATGGCTGGCTTGGCGTGCCATCTACGGAGTACCAAGAACATTATGGTGTCCAAGCTACGGTTTTCGGATTCAGGGAATAGGCGAGAGACTGAGGGAGAATTGGCATTCTTCACTATGTGATACTGTATGTAGTTGCAGCAAAGTCGGAGAAAGATCGAGTTCAACGAGTTCAAACGTACAGTAGCAACATCGTCCACCAGAAAAGTGACACCGGGCAACTATATAACTAGTCAGATTCCAATTAGTTAATCAAAGAGTGCATAAATAGTGTATTCATGACTTGTCACAAGTATTTTATACTTCCTGTTGAACAAGACGTTGTATTCCACCCTCTGATACATGTTCTTTCAGACCGAGCTTGATATCCTTTACGCGTTCAATACCACTACTCTAGAAATACATCACACCACGGTCCCAGGATCTGTAAAGGGTCCGAGGAATAAGCCCTCGCAATCCCGCCTCGATCGTACGCGTGGCCTCCGACGGGCCCGGGTGGACCTCCAGGGTCTACAACTAAGTCCGCCATATCACCGGCGGGATAGCGCTCGAGAGTTCCGAGGTTGAATTGTTCAGGCAGGAAAGCATAAGGAACTAGCCAGCGAATGCGAAGGAAGCCTAGGGGTTTCGGTTTTGCCTATCTCTGGTATATACTCCGTGGATATGCCAGGCTTGCAGAAAAGCTCCAGCGCTTCAAATTCGTGGGGAAAGAAGCCTAATTTTTCCAAATAAGGAAGTATACCACACGGACGAGTCAACGGCCACTGGCTCGATCGGGTTTTAGGGCAAGGTACCGCTCAGGTACAGTATCATGGTGCGACTTGGCCATTCCACAGATAAATCCCGAGTAACGCCCAGCCCTCAACGGTGGACCACGACGGGGGCAAGAACGGGACTCCTTCTCAGGCCATTAGTTAACTAACTAGTTATTCTTCTCATCTCATTAAATGATTAATCAGCCATTGCCGGAAAACCCCCCTATTTGATCAGATAGGGTAACTGAGGAAGTACCAAACACCCTTGCAGAGGACAGAATTCTTTAGCCTCATCGCTCCTATAATCGAGTGGAGTATCTGTTCAAATTACGCCATTTTTAGCGTTCTGACTCCATCAATAGCGTTTTGACTCCATCAAACTAGTCAATCAACAGTTGCACTTTCTAACGGCACTCCCATTCCTCCTGGCTTGAATTCCACAAAATAAACCATTGATGCGATCCGTTGTCTACCCCCAATCCAATTGACAGCAAAATGCGGGTTGCACTTTTGGGTATTCTTGTTTCGGCTTTGCAAGTGGCCGGGACCATATTGGACAACGGTCACCCCAGAGAGAATCCGTACCCCGGACAAGCGCCCAAGATCTCCCTCGACGATACTTGGAATATTTACGGTGCTGATGTACCGGAAATCGCCTACAAGGGGCGATGGGATAGCAAGCATGTCTCTTGTACGTCAACTCTGTTCCTTTGATCGGAATTGGTTTTGAGGCCTCGAATTTCTAACTGGCATGCAGGGTGGTCGTTCGTCTCTCCAAAGCTCCTCCCTTTCTATCCCTTTCTATCCCTTTCTATCCCTTTCTTGTGACCCCCCCCCCCCTTCCTCTGTGGCGCTGCTGACATCACCAGGGCACCTGGAATCAAAGTGGAGTTTACCGGAGGCAAGGTAACTTTACCCTTGTGGCTCATTTTGCGGGATTCAAACTCTATCACCACTCTTAGGGTATTAACATTTCTCAGCTTGCTGTGAGCTTTGGTCCCAGTACCTCAGATGGTGTCCTCGTCGCCTATAGGTATGTCAAGGAGTTCCAATTTCAATCATCGTTTGAGCAATCAAATAGCTCATCACTATACAGACTCGGATCGCTTGATTGGCAATTCTCCAATGTTACCGCCGACGCAACGTACCAGTTTGTCGGCGACTGGTCAGAGTTAAGCGATGAAGAAATCCGTGAGAAGAAGATCTTCGAGATGCGAGGTAAATCGTTCTTTAGGACAGAGATGCTGGCATATATGCTAACTGAGACGTAGTCACTAACTGGGGCATCGGATAAGTACACTGCGTTCCTTCATCCAAAGTTTTACTAATTCATCACACAGCCCAAATAGCCGGTGTTGCTACCGCGGGCAACGCAGAGCTTACAGTACCTCCCAGGTTTGAAAAAAAGTGGAGATTATTGGAGGATCGTGAGTTTGACCGGATCACCACCGAGAGATAAATATGATCATCTAACACTCTCTCTTCAAGTCTTGCTTCTGGGCAATTCGCAACATATGAGACTATGTCATCCTGGGCGTATCTCTTTGTGGCTGGGCTAGGCAATGTCGAATACTCCATTACAGTAGGAACTCTATACCCATACCTGCGAGGTGTACTGATTAAGTTTGTATAGGCCTACGCAGGAGCATGCTTGACCGACAAGGCATGCTATGGTGGTGGTGCTCGCGGCATGGTACGTTTCACCTAATATTTAAAACCAACATAATTCCCCTCATATACTAATAGTCAGTATTGCATAGACATGGTACTGGCACCAAGCGGCTGACCCCGGCAGTCGCGCACACGAATTCTATGGCGACGAGCCTGAGGGCTGGGACGTCAACGCAGAACAACCCGCCGACCTAGTGCTAATCCAAATGGGCGGCAACGACCACCGCCACCCGAACGAGATTCCCGGCAAGGACTTCTACCATGCATACGTCGACTTGATCGAAGACATTCACCGTTCTTGGCCGCACGCTGTAGTCCTGATTGTTGTACGAAACGATCCCATCCCATCCATCTCCTTCCCTCGAAGCTAACTTGCTACCCAGTCACAATGGGGCTATTTCGCCAAGAAGGGAATGACCTACCAAGTAGACCAGATCTACGAAGAAGAGGGCAAGAAAGTGCATGAGCATTTCAAGGACCTCGGCTTTGTGTATTATTTCGATACTACTGGTCTCTTGCAGCACAACGATATTGGTCCCAAAGCTCACCCGACCGATGTTGGCCATGTCAAGTTGGCAAGTCACTTGCTGCAGTGGGTGAAACTTGTGTTGCGGTGGAAACTTGAGCCGATGGGAGAAGTTCAGCATGGAACTCTTTCCTGGAATGATCAGGAGGGTTACTAGACACGGGGATCGAGGGCAAGGTTGTGGCAACCCTTATAATTCTTTGTATCATATAGTTCGTGGACATGGATAGAGCTAGAAAATTCCATGGTATTTTGTATACTAAAGTTTTAATTGAGCGAGTTCAAGATTGGGTATCAAAGTAGGCTTTTCTCTCGATGGTGGTAGGTCTCAACGCGAAAGGCATAAGCCGAACAGGCCAATAGGCAAGGTTGGGTGGCTACACCAGCCTTTCTCAAAATACTGTTGACCCACGATCTGACAGACGCAAGCCCGTAGAGTGTTGGTCTTTCTGCACCGGGGTTCATAAACAGCAACAAATCACGAACAATAGGGGGAATATAATCCAATAACCAAATACAGCATCAATCCAGGGTCCGTTAAGCGGATGCAATGATTCTTATCGCACTGCTTGCCTTGAAAGTCCCCGTCTCTCCTGCAACCGAGTATGAAACTTTCCACTCTACCGCATTCGTATGTTGAATACTGTAAGTAGTAAAGTCGGGAATTGGCGAGATGGCAGTTAGAAGCTGTGAGCCAGAACTGAACCCTCCAGGATGAAGAGCCAATTGGAACATTTCACCAATATTGACCCTTTTCTCGCCTTTCTCTGCTGTACTCATCACCAAGGGCGACTCAAGGCGTTGGAAAGCCGCCTCCAGATTCAAGTTCACCGAGTAATGATGATTGTCATCGTGCGCGTGGTCGTTGAGGAAATTACTGGGCGCGAGCACAGATGTACACTGATGCAGACACATTCTAACCCAATTTATCACAATACTTTGGTCCTCCACCGACGGACTCGTTAGCTCGGGACGTGGCCGAATCTCTAAAATAATTGGGATCGGCTCTCGATGATTAAGTTGAATAGCCGCCGGGTGGCGGATGTTCATATCGAAAACGAACTTTGGCACCTTTGATGAACCGAAAAGTTTTTGTGTCTTTTGCTTGAATGTGAGATCTGCATGCTGCATGCCTGGGAGTAGGCGCTGGCTTTGGATTTGTTGGTTGAATGAGAGGCAATTCAGCTGGGAGAGTAGGTCGGTCCCTTCCACTGGATGGTTGATTTGGAAAGGCCATATTGCCTCAACGAGCTTGCTGGAGCCTTTGTAGGTGTACCGAAGCAGCGCTTTGAGATAGTATTCAACAAAGCAGGATGATGAGACGGCAAGGCCATCTCGAAAGGAGATGAATGACCCTGGCAAGGTATGATGCGCTGGATGGTCGCGGTCCAAAGGGACAAAGCTCGTGCTGGGCGTAAAGACCTGCCTCGTGGACTGTAGTGGCTCGGTGGGGATGTTGACAGCGAACTGCCAGGAAAGTGGTGCCCCACTACCCTCGGGAAGATGCAGAGGCTGACCCGAGATGATGGTCTGGTCGGATCTTACCAGGCGTGCCTCGCTGCGGTAGTGTGTGTGCCTGTTGTTGGTCTTACTCTCGGTGATTTTCGTCTTGATCCGACCGACCAAGCTCAGGGTGATCGTTGCCTCGGGCGAGACAATCGGGGTGTGACGGACAAGATTTCCTATGATGGTATCGCCAGCAGCATAACACCAGCCTGCAGGGGCTGCGACATCGAACTTGAAATCTGGCGATACCTTTCTAATCGTGAGAGGCATATTGATCGTAAGGGGAACCTTGGCAGCCTTGCAAATAGTGAGGAGGTAGAGCTGATCTTTGGAATTTGTTGATGCTGCGAAAAAAAAGCTGACTCATTCATAGTACATTCCAGCCCAGCAAAATGATTCAAGTCAGCCTTTTGAGGCTATGTCAAGCTGTGCCACGCTTGATGACGTAGGGGCAGAGCGCCCGGGTTGAACCAGGTCTTCGATCGGATATCCTGTAAATGAACGCCATGAACTGCAAAATAAAATCGTTCATTGCTTTATTAAAGTTATCTTGGCTAATCTACCATCCAAAGGATGTGATCACATTTCCTCATAAATCTTTGTCCCACGCGCTGGAGCCTCACGCCACTGGCGTGAGGTTAGGCCCACTTTTGGCTCGTTCCCGAGCAGACATGACCTGGAGGGCTTGCCTGTGTGGACATTATTGCTCGTTACGACAATAACATCAAGATAGGGCTAGATTCTCATACTCAGTCTATAGAAGAATGGTATTTACTCTAATAAGCATATGCTCAGAAACACAGGATCGTTTAGAATACTCCCAGCGGTCAGCCGATATACTACTTGTCGATGCACGACCGTATGACTATTGTAAACGACACGGTCGGGGTGGCGCCTTCATTGAGTACTTGTGTGGTTTTCGGTGACCAATGGTCTCCTTAACCAAAAGCTGGGAATAACTCTTTGTGAACTGGATATGAGAGGCAGTGATGTGGACGTGGTCAAAATCAACTCCGTAGAAAGAGACGCTAAAGACAAAGGAGCTAGTGGGTCTCAATAAGCTTATTGAACACCCTTTTTGGACAAGCGGGGGCGATCAAGTCTATCTTGGCTAGAGAACATACGGAGTACTCTAAACCCCCACAAAGATGTCACATCACTCTTTGTCAATACCGTTAGTGTACATTCCTTGCATTTTCCTATCCAACTTTTGATTCGCTGGTATAGACAGAACGAGGTCTCCACTCCCATGCTGGTGATAAACATGATACTATAAATGATGTCTATTTTGTTTCATGTGTTAATTTTGCCTTGTGCCATTCCTAACTCGCCCTCGGCGTGCATTGAAAGCTCCCCGAATGTCGTGCATGAGATCTTCGTGAGGACAATGGAGTCAGATCGTACATAAAAAGACCCTTGGCCATTTGTGAGGAGATCGTCATCGGAGTAAAGTGTGCATCCTTCGAAAATGTTCATCCTTCTACCAAGATTCCGTGAATGGACTTGTCTTTTTCTCCTGTTAGGATCAACCACTGCAATCCAGGAACCCGCTACCCTGCTTTCTCGAGATGAGAGTGCCATCTGCTCTACCTACACTGTTGCCGGAGAAGACACCTGCGCCAAAATTGCTCAAAGCCATGGGATCACCGTGAAAAACATTGAAGACTATAATGCTCAGACTTGGGGATGGTCTGGCTGTGCTCAGATACAACAGGGCGCTTTCATTTGTGTATCATCTGGAGAGCCTCCTATGCCGGTCGCTCTTCCGCACGCTACATGTGGCCCACAAGTTCCTGGTACCGTCCGTCCCAAGAAGTATTCTGATCTTGCTTCTCTGAATCTCTGTCCGGCAAACCAGTGTGTATGTATTTCCCCTGAGATTCTGACTATTTGATGAAGGCTAACTTATAATCTAGTGCTCCAAATCCGGCCAGTGCGGGACTACTTCGACGTTCTGTGGTTCAGCGAACGGCTGTATCTCTCACTGCAAAGAGGGCGCAGATACTGCTGCCAGCGCGAGGACTGCCACTGAGCATACAGTCGCCAAGTCAACCAGCACTACTTCCTCGAAGTCAACTACCACCCATCACGCCACGACCACAACTTCCAAAACGTCCAAGACCACCACCGCAGCTGCAACTTCATCAGGCGCCCACTGGCAACTCACAATGTACAGCAAAAAGAACTGCGAGGGAGACTATTACCTACTCCAAGGATACGACTCTGGGCTCGACCACTGTCTACAATTGCAGTCTGCGTTAAGCACTGTTGTCTCTAATACGGGTGTATCGTGTCGTTGGTGGCTCAATGGTGGATTCTCCGGCTGGACAAGCTGCGACAAAAGTGACCTGAAAAAGCCCGTGACCTGGTTTATGAATAGGGGTTCGTGCTTGGTTTACTCTGATACTGCATGTAAGGAGTACTCGGGCACGATCAATGGAGGAACACATCTGGGGTGTCAAAGTGTGAACCTTATGGCAACTGAGCCGGATACTAATTTTGGATCTTTGATGTGTGCGGGTTGGCCAGCTTAGATCAAAGTTGAGAAGGAAAGCCAGGCGAGGTGCTAATTATAAATGTTTCATACTTTCTATCGATATTTTTAAGACATGCTCCTTTTCCATCACATGTACCAACGGAACACTGTGAGGACGTGCTAAACGCTGTAAAAGACTAGGCAATCTTGGGAGGAAAACATGAGAGACTGAGTGATAATGAAGTTGAACTCGTTTCATATCAAAACCAGTTGCCCGATCCAAAAGCTCTTGCCCTAGCCGCTTGGAAGGCGGCAGCTTCGCCCGGTGATCGACACAAATGACTCCAATCAACGTGGAACCAGCACCTATAACCACTATCCCGTTCGAGGCTCATCTGAGATTGCAACATCCTTGCTCCAGATTGTCCATTGGGCGTGGTCCCGTAGATTTGTTCGCTGAACATTCGTAGCTGCATCGGCATCAGACGGTCTCCGTAATGGTCGACAATGCTCGACTTCTCAACGGTGCAGGCAAGAGAACTCCACCCGGGGCGTGAGAGGCCAAGAGCAATACATTCATTTGCCTTGGTCGGGGACCACCAACTCGGCACAAGTCCACGTTGGCACTCGACGAGTCCAAGAAAGCGGCGGAAGCCCGATTCTCCACCGTTTATTGCCCCGCCATAGTTGCTGCCCATATCAAATTGCCCTCCGAAAACACGGTGATCCTCGACTCGCATGCGGTGTGTGTCGATCAACAGTTTGTACACATCCTTTTCAGGTCGACCGTGGAGCCACTGCTTGGCATAGAGTTTATGGAAAGGCTTTTCAACGTCGGCCTCAAGGGCGCGGGAGACACGTGAGGTATTGGTCACTCGATGTACATCTCGTGTAGTTCCAGGGGCCGAGCCAGTGTTGCTCTCAGCGCCCGACTGAGACTTGCCGGCACAGATGGCCTTCTGGGGCTTCCAGTCGGCTTTTTGGCAATCACGGGAGCAATAGAGGACGCCCTTGCAACGACCGCATCTCTTCAGCGTCTGACCCTCAGCGGCGGGCTGGTTGCATGTCTTGCATTTGTCGACTGTGGGGGAACCCGTATCCGCCATGTCTGCAGATTGCAGTGTCAAATGGTCTTGTCAGCTCTCTCTGATGCTTTTTGCCGAATCAGAGATGGTTTGCAGATCTTGCAAAAGTGGAAGATAGTTTGTGGGTGTAATGTGGAAGGTGAAGTGAGAGGATGACTTTCGGAAGAAGGTGACTGGTGAAGATGGCTGAGGTCGACCCTGATAGAAAGTTCCTGGACCACACCAGATGACCTTTTCTCACTCTACACACAAGATTCCACTTTCGTCCTTAAGCTTTCTTGCTCTTCCTTCTATTCTCTTACGCTTCAACTGTATGCAGCCTTCCACATAGCTGAAGATTCTGCTACCAAGACAGTGGTCCATGGAGGTTTTACGAATTGAACTAGATATAATTCGAATAGTGAAAAAGATTTACCAATATCCTGGCTAATTGCAATAAGAAAAGGTCGTCAAGATCCAGTCACCAAGGGTGTTTCCATTGAGCAAAGTTCTATCTACGTTGGTCAACTGGTGTTCGTTCCTGAAATTTTAGGCATAAACTTTATAGTAGCCCTTGAACTTTACCCCAACCTCTCTACCTTGATACATCTCTTTCGGCTTCCACCGGTTAGATCTGGTATACCTCTTACTCTTTCCCAGTGTCCGCTAGGAATCGTGCATCCCTCGTGCCTTGGCGTTGAAAAAATAGAAATCGGCCCTCTTGCCAAGGTCAATACGAATGTCCGATTCCACAGGCACATGCAGGCCAAGCCATCGTATCCATTCATCACTCGCATGAAGCAACCAACCTCGGGCACACTGAGCCTCGTTAACGTTGCATTCATCTTTTGGTCTTCTTACCCGGGTAGCATCAATCGAGGTACTTGGCAACCTCGTATGACTGGGGCTCTGGCATTGGCAACAGGGAAAACACGAAGTGCATACGGCCTCGAAAAGAGAGCTGAGGTGGACTGGTAAAATCATGAGAAGAAGAGGGACTGATGAGAAAAGTATTTAAACGGCTTCAAAGTCAGCGGAAGATGAGGGTCAACAGCAACAAAGATTGGGAGTCTCAAGCATCAGCCGCATCAGAATCTATAAAATCATTTTTCCGGTCCATTAATCAGATTTCTCTTCCAAGATGAAGTTTACCATTCTCTTCCATGCCCTCCTCGTGGCTATCCTCAGCCATCTCGCCTTTGCATCTGCCATCGAGCGATCATCGGGATTGACAGCACGCGACGACACCAATGGCACGGTGTCCACTCCCTACGGTGACGTCGTTAGCTCATTCCTACCTGATGGAAAGCACAAGATCGAGTTCTTCAGCGACGGTGTTCTCGAAGTGACCGCTCTTGAGCGCGAGGACGGCGGTAAGTATCTAATTGCACATTCCATTTCAAGCAAGGGGTGAAGACTAACTAACATGAGCCAACAGGCGTCTCCTTCTACGATGTCGACGGCAAGGAGATCAACATGGACGAACTGAATGAAGATGATGATGCTCTTGAGAAGAGAGTGTCTAAGTGGAAGCTGGCCATAAAGTTTGCCAAGTTGATTGCCAAGTACGGCAAGAAAGCGTGGAATTATATCTATTGCGTTGGCACGGCGCCCTTCTGGAGGTGCGGTGATGAGGTGTGTAAAGATCAAATTGTCTCAAGTGGGGTTCGATGCTTACTGACGCATTCATAGTTCCTTGACTGCGCTTCTGCTGGTCGCGCCCCGTGGAATTGTTATGAGGGTGGCCTTTGTGTCGGTATGAAGGTCTACAAGCACTGCAAGTAGAGCACGATAGGCCAAGTGACGAGGCTGGCGTGTATTTTATTCGAGTCGAAATGTTACGATGGCCCTCTGGTGAGTGATGGCGCGGCCATCTGTGAAGCAGAAACATGAACGCACACTTGAGTTGGGGGGAACCTACGCTGGAATGGAAGGAGAGGCTGCCAGGTGGGAGTCGAGAATTTGTTGATGGTGTTGAGAGGTCCGGTCGCTTGAGGAGATATATACTCTCGGATAGCCGATATGATGTCTTGAAAAACCAACCATCCGAGCACTCCCAATTGAAACACAATAAAGGGGAAGAGAGTAGAAAGAAATTGCATATGATAGAAAAACCAATATCGTACATCTATGTCAATGAATTTTCGCTTCTGCGTCGGGTATTTAAACTGTTTGCCAGCCAAAAGCACATCCCAAATCCCCAGGTGAACGCCAATATGATACATGTTTTATACAAAATGGGGTGTAATGCACAATCCATCTAAATCAGAGCTTGTCCTCGGAACATGCCCTCGCGAACCTCGCGGACGACATCCTTGCGGTCCTTCTTGCCAACCAGTACCACGCCACGACCACGCTTGCCCATGCGGCCCAGGCGACCAAGGCGGTGAATGAAGTCAATGGTGGTATGCGGGACGTGATATAGAATGACAGTCTTCACTGCCAAAGTATCAATACCACGAGACGCGATATCGGTAGTGACGAGGACCTTAGTGTTGGGCAGGCGGCGATCGATCTCAGGTTTCTTCTCAGGCTCCAAGAAGGGAATAGCCTTCTCTGCACGAGCCTGCTTGCGGAGTAGCATGATCTCGTCTGCAGTTGGGGGCTGGTCGACCTCCGTGAACTCGGCCAGAATTTCCTCCTGTTTCCGAGAGCTAGAATCGCGTGACAGCGAAACCGCATCGATATTCTTCGACTGCAAGAACTTGGCTACTTCTTCCGCCTCTTCGCGCTCATTGACGAACACGATGATCTTCTTAACCTTGGGACCCATGTATTGTGTGAGAGGTCCATAGTTCTCGTCACTGGTGTCACCTGCCTTGCCAATCGACCAAATCACGTCGGCGCAGGCAAGGCTGCGGTTTCCACGGTACGGCTCCTTATCAATATCCACCACACCAAGTTGTACACGTCGGGGAACTGCGTGCAGGTTCGGAGTGGTCAGGCGCTTAATATCGGGGTAGCGTTTGCGAAGCTGGTTGTCCAGACTGCGGGGAATCGTGGCGGAGCAGAAGATCAGCTTCTTGAGTGAGGGTGCCACTTTCTCGATGACCTCGGTAGTGGTAGGGAGGAAAGATCGGTCCATCAGGGAATCAGCCTCATCGAGAACGAGATGGCTGACGCGACTGAGGAGATAAGGATTGGTCTTGGCGATGGAGGCCAAGAGGTGCGGTGTCGAGACCAGGATATCGATGCCATCAGGGTGGTAAAGGGTGTTCTTGATCCGACGAGGGGTTAAATTGGATGAAATCACTCCTGAGCGATACTTGACCGTGTGGGCAAGAGCCTTGACTTTGACTCCAACCTGTGCCACAAGCTCCGAAGTTGGAACCAGGATGATGGCCCTCGGACGACCAGCATCGGACATTGGAGGTTCTTCTGGCTCGATTTCAAAAGTCCGATTCTTCAGTCGTTCTTCGCGTTCCTTGGCCTTTTGTTCCTCCACGATCTGCTGCTCCTCCTTGTCGCGTGCCTCGGCACGCTTGACAGCATCAACAACCGGAAGGAGATATGCTAACGTCTTTCCAGAGCCAGTTTCCGCCGCAAGGAGATACTGGTCATAATGGGGAGCATCTTCATCCACGTTTGCAGGTTGGGTTTTATTTTTGTGAGTGCCACTGAGAAGTTGTGGGATTGCAAGCCGCTGGATCGGGGTTGGCGTGACTTCTGCGAGTCCGGGCAGAGCCTGGGTGAAAATCGAGTGTCGAACCACGGGGAGGAGGGGGAAGTGATCGAAGCTGGTAAGGTTGGAGATTTTTGACTTGATAGCCGCACGGCGACCGTAGGATACCGGCGAAAGGGTGGTCTGCATCTTGAGGGCTTTGAACAAAGGCGCCTCGGGTTTTTCGGGTTTGCTTTGTTCGCCGGAGCGCTTGAGGGTGGCTTGAGACCGGGGGCGTGGCGTATCTGGAAGGCGAGCCTCGGTCTGATTCATTCCAGCAAAAGGGCCACGACGATCCCTTCCAGAGCGCGGCTTATTCAACGTGGGTTTGGCCACGTTAGGAGACAGAGCCATGCGGGACGAGGTCTTGCGCAACCGCGCTGTTGCCATCGCTCGCGAGGCCTGCCATGTTGGAAGAAGGGCAGGGAGAGCGGCAGTGGACACTCTTGTTTGGCAGAGGAAACATATCGATGATCGAATGGGAAGAGGCATCCTAATGGAGTCACGGAGTCGACTCACGAGCAGTAGTGTAGAAAAGGATGTCTCTGATTCAGAGCCGGCAAACCAGAAAACCAGATTCTCCGAATGGACTCGAGCTATCCCGTATTGGGACTAGGGCCGATCTCTCCTACCTGACGTCTCAGGCACATATGTCATGTGATCGCTATCAGGACTGAGTCAGCCACTCGTCCCCCCACCGTTGCTATGGAGACTCCCGCGACTGTCAACACCACAACTTGCTTTGGGGTAACAAATCCACTTTCCGACCCATGGAAATAGATATCGAGATCGGATCCCAGCTTGTTATCCTTCCAACGTCCCTTCGTTATCCCTTCCCTCGTTTTCTGTGAACAGTTGGTCCTGTCTTTCATCGCGCAGTAGCTGAAGTTGTGGCATCATCTTGCTGACACGCTCACATTCCTGCAAACGATCGACAAGAGTTCACATCTCTCCCAGGAACACGGACCAGGACTCGGTGTTTTCCTACTCGAATCCTGGTATCCATTCAAACAAAGAGGTATGTTACCTGAGATTGACTCGTTTCTATCACCCTCCTCTATCTTTCACTGCAATCCTCCGTCGCTCGAGTCTCCGTCGTTGATGTCATGAGCACTAACACGTCGTAGACATTGTCTTGCTATTATCTTGCCCAAGCCGGCTTTCCATTACATTGTGCCTTTGAAGACCCATCCACATCATCAATATGGCTAGTGGACTCGGTCAACGGCCACTCTCCGAAGTGAGCCCCATGGCGCAGCGACGCAACTCCCCGATCTGGAATCAGACCACGAAGGTATATCACACTAACAACCGAGCACATTTGTGAAGCAAGCTGAGAATTTTCTATAGAAGCCAAACGGCGAGTCGCCTGCGTTCGATGTATCTCCTCTGAATAACAAACACTCCACGCGTCTCTTCTGGAAAGGTCGCGAATCTCCCTCTCCATTCGCCAAAGGCGCTGAAAATCTCGCCCCATACGACCCGGAGGGTGTCTATCTACCAGCAAAACGCCCGTCTCTCGAGGACCTCAAGCGCGCATCGCGGGTCAAGAATTATAGCATGCTCCAGGGCGCCCAAGAGTACGACCCGGCTCAAGTTTCGCTTCCTCACAGACCCTTGGCCACCGACCGATCTCCCAACCGTGACAGTCAGATGAATCTCGCGAAGTCTCAACTTGCAGATGACTGTAACATGGAACCTACACCAAGACCGGTCTCTCCCAGCAAAGATCAGCCCTCACCAGGAAAATCCTCGCTATCCAAGGGCAGTCGATATGGAAAGGGATTCGACCCTCAGAACGATATCTGGTCAGAGTATGATAGCGCTGGCCACCGACATGCTAAGAGCGTGACATTTGATGTTGCACCTCCTCAAGTGAATGAGTATGAAATGCGTACTCCCGACCCCGCCTCTGTCGCCTCCGGCTCGCGTGAGAACAGCTATGATTCTGAGGAGGAGGGTGATATTAGCTTTGACCATGACACGTCCTTTGATGAACGTGATGATAGCTTCGACGCATCTCTTGAAGATATTGAAAAGACCCCAGTTGTTCTACCAGAGGACTGGCGATTCATGACTCCCGACAGTGAGAATGGTGATGAAGAGTCTTTTACCGAGTCTGTTGATGATCAGGTCGCTGAGGAGCGTCCTGCATCGCGTGAAGGCAAAACTTCCAGCCACGCACGAGTAGAGTCTCTCGATTCCAATGGAGAGCGACGTCCACTGCCTCCACTGCCTTCTCTGTCACGCTTGTCTCTTTCGGGTCCATCTTCGCCCGGAAAACTTGCTGCCGCTTTCGAGCTGGGCAGTGCTGGTCACCGCTCTCTGCCCATTGTGCCTGCCGCTGCCTCTTACAATAAAGCCGATATCAATGGTGCGATGTCCCTGGAGGACCGACTTCGGCTTATGATGCTGCATGAGCAGAAGGGCGACCAGAAGGGCAACGAGGGAGAATCTGTCGGTGATGTCCCCGTTAAGGCGTCCAATAATGTTAATGACAATGACATGGGCGCCGAAAACGAAGCCAACGGAGACAAGCCGTCCAAGGATGACATGTTTTCCCCTCCCCGTATCTCTCGCGACTCAATTCTCAGAGACATCCGCAAGGGTGAGAGCTACGATGATGATGACGTGTTCGGTGACGATTCTCACCTTGACGCAAGTCCCAATTCGTACCACCATTACGACCCGGATGTCCCAATTCCTTCCTTGGAAGACGAGGACGACGATGACACTTCCAGCGTGATCATCAAGGAAGAGGCCCGTGATGATTCTCTTTACACGATCACAGACTATTATCAGCATCTGTCCGATAACAGCTTATCGTCCAGAGATCAGCGAGCGACATACGATGACGACAGCAACTATTCCCTGCGATCTGCCGCCGAAGCTGCCATCAATAATGCCGCTGACAAGGGATCCAGCGAGAGCACCCCGACTGCTGAAGAGACAAAGGAAGCCTCCCCCGATGTAATGATAAAGCAAGAGCGGTCTCCTGAACCTGATGAGTATCATCCCCTTGACATGGCATCAATCCGCCAATGTCTTGGTCGTCCTGTGACCCCTGAGATCAAGCAGGAACCAATCTCTGAGCCCTCCACCCCTGACTCTGTTATTCGGCACCCCGTGGAGGAGGAAGACGGACAGCACGGAGAGGAGGAATGCGAGGAGGATGCTAGCTCTTCAGACGAGTCCATCCCCGAACCTGTCGCAACCATCCGCGCTCCCGGTGCTGGCCTTAAGACCCGCCCATCGCTAACCCCGGCGGATATGGAGTCGATGGCTGCTACTCGTCGCAAGATCAGTGGACAATACCCGCCTCCGATGCCAGCACTGACAAAGCAGATCTCGAACGAATCCGAGAAATCTGATCGCGAGGACAAGATGTCCGATCTCCCACCTCAGCTGACCTTGCCATCCAATCTCACTCAACGACAGGCTAGCCTGATGAAACTCGACATTCCGTTCAGCATTCAGGAGGAAAGTCTCGGCTCAGGCCTGAGCAGAGAATTCGATCGTGTCATCGAGTCCCAAAAGGTTGCGTTCGAACTCGCTCTTTCCCAACTTTCCTCTTGCCCTCCGCCGGTTCCCCAGGCCCAGAACCAGCCGGCTCCCAAACCCCCAGGAACTTCCAACCCCGAGATTGCCATATCAGCCACTAACACTCCTCGTCGTGAACAGAGAGGCTATCTCATGAGACAGAACACCAAAGTTGTCATTGCCAGCAACCGAAACGAGGAGGAGCCCACCCTCGCTGCCGACCAGAACAACCCGGATCCTCGGGGTACTCGCTCTGCAGGTTCATCTCCTCGTAAAGCCAGCCAGCAGACCTGGACGACGGTCCCGTGGAATGGCCAGGCCCGCCGTCCTAGTGTGAAGACAGCGGCTGGCATCCCGAAGAAGAAGCCTGTTCCCGGATCAGTTCCTCCACTTCCTGGCCACCAGAGCAACGTACAGGAGGCTCCAGCGACCATCGATGAGAACGAGCCCATGATCAGCGAGGCATATGAAGAGGGAGAAGAGCGGGGTCGCCTATTTGTCAAGGTCGTCGGCATCAAGTATCTTGACCTGCCCATGCCCCGTGGTAAGATGGTCGAACCTGTAATGGAGACGAACTTCTGATGCTAATTTGGAATAATACAGGTGAACGATCTTATTTTGCGCTGACTCTAGACAATGGCCTTCATTGTGTCACAACCTCGTGGCTGGAACTGGGCAAGTCTGCTCCCATCGGACAGGAATTTGAGCTCATCGTGCAAAATGAACTCGAGTTCCAACTTACCCTCCAAATGAAGGTTGATGATAGCAAGTTCTACCCACAGGAGGCTGCCGGATCTCCTCGCCAGAAGGCGTCCGCCCTGAGTCGTGTCTTTGCATCGCCTCGCCGCCGCAAGGAGCTAGACCTGAAGCAGCAAATGCAGACGCAGCAGCAAAAAGCGAACAACGTCAACGCCCCAGTCTATGAAAAACTGCGCAACCTGGTTGCCCGTGACGGCAGCTTTGGACGTGCTTACGTCGCATTGAGCGACCACGAGAAGATGTCATTTGGTCGCCCCTACACCGTGGATGTTGCTTGCTTCAATGAGTGGGCGGTGGATGAGCAACCCAGTAGCGTGAAGAGTAAGAAGAGCGCAACTAGCGTGACGGCTCAACGCCGTCCGCCATACAAGATTGGCAAACTAGAGCTGCAGCTGCTATTTGTTCCCAAGCCCAAGGGCAGCAAGGACGAGGACATGCCCAAGAGCATGAATGCTTGTATTCGTGAAATGCGCGATGCAGAGAGCCTTGCCGCTCGTTCCTGGGAGGGCTTTCTTTCGCAGCAGGGGGGAGACTGTCCTGTAAGTTATACAATGCTTCCACCACATGAGTAACTTTTTACTGACAAGGAATTAGTACTGGCGCCGCCGCTTCTTCAAGCTCCAGGGTTCAAAACTGACCGCGTATCATGAGACTACCCGCCAGCCCCGTGCTACCATCAACCTGGCCAAGGCCTCCAAACTCATTGACGACCGTCCCTCTCTGACACAGAAGGAGACTAGCACTAAGGGTGGTGGTCGCCGCAAGTCTGCCTTCGCCGAGGAGGAGGAGGGCTACATGTTCGTCGAGGAGGGATTCCGTATCCGGTTCGGCAATGGTGAAGTGATCGACTTCTACGCAGATTCAGCTGCCGAAAAAGATGGCTGGTTGCGAGTGATGTCAGAGGCTGTTGGCAAAGGATCATCGACCGGTAGTGGTGCGATCAAACCCTGGGCCGATCTCGTTCTGAAGCGTGAGATCAGCATGAAGAATAGGCGTAAGACCGTCGACCGCCTTCCTCCAAGCGGTATTCCAGTTGCCCTTGCCTCGCCTGTCGGCAAACGCCCAAGTGGAGTTGGAGCACCGCCGGCTTCTGCGGGCGATGGGGCGCAGGCGTCCCAGTCCCCCCGACCCAGACACAAGCACACCTTCTCCCAGCCCGAGCTACCGAGTGCCGAAGCTCGCCGCCAGAAGACTCGCTCCCTTTTGTTCTAAGGGAGTATCCAAATGACCGCTATGAACAAAAGATTCTCTTCGCTTCTCCTGGACATGATGCCAAGTTGTCACAATATCCTTTTTGATTCCCCTTTGTGGATGTCCGTCCATACTACTATTCTCCTCCTGTCTCGGAGAGCCATTTCCTTTCTTGTTATCTGGTCTTTCCTTCCCGGTGTTGGCGTGTACGATGCAATCTTGTTTCCTCTGTCTTTTCTTTGTTGTTTTCTGTTGTCAGTTTGACCAAGGCTTTGTGCGTGCAATGCTATGACCCCGGGGCTGCAGGAAACCTCCAGACAATTCCATTTTGAGATCCTGTTGTACTTCTAATGAGACATACGCCTCCTGGTTTTCTTCGTTTCATGAGTCGATAGTTACTGCTTACAAATTTCATTGATTTTGGATCGATTCTATAGCATAATTTTGCTTTCAGTGTGGGCAGACTGATTAAAGCAGCTGGTACGAGTTTGAAGCATGGAAGGAAGCGTGAGCATCCATTGGGTAATAGTCACTCATGGATGTTGTACAAGACGCCATAGCTAGCAGGCAATTAATAATTCAAATGCGCCATGATATCAAGCATCACATGTTGTACGTGTCATCTGCCCTGTGGCAACTGGCAATTTATCAGCATTTCTCCATGTCAGACCGATATTGCGTGCTGCTCTGACAAATGGGAGGTTTCACCCCGCACGACGGGGAACTATAAAGCTGGAAAGATGATTTTTTCATGTACATTCCGACTCAAATAAAATTCAAAAAGTTCAGTCCAAGGCATATTATTTTACTCATCACTATGGCAGCAGCAGCCGTTCAAGCATCTACCGGACTCGGACCCAGTCTGGCCCAGAAGCCATCAGTCCCAGTTTCCGACAAGCCTCATCACATTCAGACTACTCTGAATTTCATCAAGGAAAATGAAGATGGCTCTCCACCTAGTCCAAGCTACGTGGGCAAGCCTGAGACATACGAGAAGCCAACTGTACAAGTCACGACTACCATTCACGATATCAGTGGCCACGAGCTAGACTATACTTTAGACAGCCATGGGTTCCAGCTTTACTACCATAAGAGCAAGGAGACCGAATTCATCGACGACGAGAATATCAAGAGAGAATATTACTCCGAGACAGAGCAATTGCTGAAGGATGCGTACGTGTTCCGCTGTTAGGTGGATTTTCACTTCGACTCGCTTCCTTCGACCACAATACTAACCAAGACACATGCAGTACTGGAGCATCCAAGATCTTTATTTTCGACCACACCATCCGTCGTCCAGCCAAGGACGGTTTACCTAGCAATGCCCTCCGTGGACCCGTCCAGCGCGTGCATATCGATCAATCCTATTCTGCATCCAAGAATCGCGTCTCCCATCACCTTCCCGACGAGGCACCCGAGTTGTTGAAAGGGAGATACCAGATCATCAATGTCTGGCGACCCATCAAGACAATCCTCAAAGACCCCTTGGCTGTCGCAGATGCACATACCGTCCCGGATAGCGATCTGGTTCCCATCGGGCTGATCTATCCTGACCGGGCGGGCGAGACTTACGGCGTGAAGCCGGACCCGAATATTAAGTGGTATTATCGTTATGGACAGACTCCTGATCTAGTGACTTTAATTAAATGTTTCGATTCCAAGACGGATGGAAGGGCTCGTCGTGTGCCTCATAGCGCGTTTGTGAATCCGGAGACTGAGCATGAGGCTGGAAGGGAGAGTATTGAGGTTCGGGCATTGGTCTTCCATCCTGATGATCGTGACTAGCTTACGCTTTATTAATGACTTGATGTTGGGCTGATTTATGGGTTGTATCAAATTGAACAAGATTGACATTTCATCATAACATTGAGCCATTGCTATTTCCATTTTTGGACTGGCAAGACTATGAGATATCACAGTTTCCATGTGCAAGAGCCGTGGCCATGATCTATTTTCCAGCTACTTCCTTCACAGCCGCGACGATATCCTCAGGGCCGAGGCCTTGAGCATTAACCTGTTCGAAGAGACCGCCACAGCCCTCCTTGATAGCACCCATAGTCTTGTACTTGGGCGTGAGCTTGCGCTCCAGAAGCTGAGTGCCGAGGCGAGAGCCAAGACCGGTCTTCTGAGCAATAGATTCAACGACGAGGACGAAGGGAGTTGAGCCGTAGTTGCGGATGGCATCTTCGTCGACAACGTTCAGGGTCGGCTTGTTGATCAAACCAACATCGAGACCCTCCCGGCGGAGGCGCTCAACGGCATCGAGCGATCGGTAGACCATGTCACCGTAGGTGACAATGTACCCGGCGGTACCCTTGCGAATGACCTCCTCCTTACCAGGCACGAACTTGTAGCCCTCGCCGTAGAGTTTCTGCTCAGTGCCCTCCTTTAGGATATAAGGTACCTTGGCGCGAGTGGAGAAGATGAACCGCATGCTCTGGTCCCAGAAGACCTTGCTCACGACGGCCTTCATCTGCTCGCCATCAGCGGGGAAATACAACGCAGTGCTCTCAGCGTCCATCAGGCCGTTATCAGCGAAGAAATGGTTCAGGCCAAAGTGGCATGTGTTGTCGGCCATCTCGTCGACACCGCTGTGCGAGAAGTGGGAGAGAACGGTGCAGTTGTTCAAGCGGGCCATGGTGATCTCGGAGATACACATCTCCAGGAAGGCAGAGAAAGTAGAGAAGACACCTTGACGCTCGCCATTGCTGCCAAAGCCGAAACCGGCGGCTGCCGAGAAATTACCACGCTCCATCACACCCGACGGAACGAAGACTTCGGGGTGCTTGGTTGCAATAGCCTTCAGGCCGGTTGAACCAGCGAGATCTGAGTCAATGACCAAGACGCGACGGGCTGCATCTTCCTTGCTGAGACCATCAAGGATGGAGTTGACAGCTTCGCCAAAAATAACACGGTTGGCACCTTTCTCCTTGGTGGAGCCCTCGTACTGGTGGGGGTTGGACCGGCCCTTGATGTCATCGTAGAAAGCAAGCTTTTCCTTGCTGTATCCCCTCTTGGTAAGGTACTTGCGCGCAATATCGACAGTAATAACATCATGAGCGTGGGTCTGGCCTTCAAGGCCTTCAATGCCCGAAGCCATTTTTCGGTTGATGACGACCGCAGCAGGGCCCTTGTGGTTAACGACTTCAGCGACTGCTGGGTACAGGGAGTCCAGGTTCTCGCCCTCTGCACGAACAACGTACAAGCCATGGCCCTCAAGGGTCTTGGCAATATCATAACCCTTCAGGTACTCGGAAGGATGGCCGGCGATCGTGACATCGTTGTTATCAATGAACAGCTTGACATTGAGGTTTCGGGCGACAGCAATACGTGCGGCCTCGGCGTCATTTCCTTCCTGCTGGGATCCGTCCGAGCCCAGCATCAGAAGATTCTTATCCTTGTTGGCCATAGCGATACCATTTACCATTCCCCACATGTGGCCCAAGCGACCGGAGCTGAACTTGACGCCCGGCGTGAGACCAAGCTCGGGGTGGCCGGGAAGCTTTGAATTGGCATCACGGTAGTTCAGGAGGTGCTCAGGGTCAATCTTGCCATCCATGGCAGCCAAGAGATATTGTGTAGCGACACGGTGGCCCGCCTCGTCGAAAACAGCGTCGACAAAGTTATTGGGGTTCGCGTTCATCATGGCAAGTAGGATACAGACTTCCGGGGCAGTGTCGAAAGGGCCACCGGTATGTCCCGAAACACCTCGAGCAGCACCGGTCGCGGTGAAAGCAATGATGGCATCACGGAAGATGTTGATGTTGTTCTGGAGATCAGACTTCTGTTCGGCACTGAGGGTGTTGTTCTTGGGGTCAAGCTTCAGCTGCTTGAACTGCTTGAGATCGACGGGGAAGTTGTTGCCGCTCATGATGATGGTGGTAACAGAAAATTCAATGATGAAGAAGAATCTTCCAGAGGAAGAGTTGGGTATTTCAGGGGGGAAGAAGGTTTGATTGCAGCAGCAAAATCAGCAAAACTCGATGGAAATCCGTTGGCCACCTGAGGAGGGGTGTTGACGTCATGGCCGACTGGGAGGGGCTCGTCCTCTTGCTACAAGAAATAGGCGAACTTGTTACATAATAGCATAGATACTGTCCATTGACAGCAGCAAGATGGGATATTGATACTGATCATAATACTGTAGGAATCACCGTATATACTGAACCGTGAATTATTGTAGATGATTTCGAGCAGTGACCAGTGGTAACCACTGTATAGGTCCATGCTCCCAGCAAACTCAATTGCTTCAGTTTGTTGTTAACTATGTCCCTACTACGTTTTCATCGCTATGTAAAAACAGGGCACAGAACTACAATCTTAGTATAATAGAAAGAGCTCCTACATCCCTTTATGACGACGCCTCATCCGCTTGGCGCTACAAAGTGGGTCAATGAGGCTCACTGGTGGGACACGATCGCCCGTCCAGTAGTGTTACAGTATTTTACGCCTAATATGGGAATTATCCCGAAGTACAGAGGCTCGGAAGAAAATGTAGCATGGAATTGATTGCACATATCCTATCTCGATCAAATGAATGGAAGAACCAAGTAGCTAGCATAGTCCCCACCCGTATAAATCGTGTGCTTCCCGCGATTCTCATCCACAGGCTCCTTCAACCTCAACATCTCTGTTTCTGGTAGCGACATATCATGGCCGGACACACAAAGAACCAATCCCTCTCCTGCCTCAAACACCATTCCGACCGGCCAGATAGGGATGAGTAGCGGGACGACTGTGCCCACAGGAATAGGCTCACGTCGATCATGACCATACACCGGGAACTCGTCGTCGTCCCGTCGAGGAAGAAGACTGACATGGTGAGATGCCCGAAGCATTCCTTGCTGCCCGAGATGTTTGGCAACATTTACATTGGGAACTTCTGGTTGCGGCTTTGGCATTGGGGACCAGTTCAGGGACTCCAGGAGCTTGCCAAATGCAGATACCTTTCGGATTTGTACCACCACGTCCATATCATCGGCTGAGTCACAGGCCATGTACAGTTTGACAAATGGGCGGCCACAGAGCTCTGTGTACTTGTCAAAATACAGGGTGAAGTCCTGCAAGAAACAGCTATTAGTAGGGTCAAGATAAGTTAATGGGTTGTGTAATCCTTACTGAACAATCTGTCAGCGAATGACCCTCATGGGCGACGGAACTAGACACGGCAGGCTGAGCAATAGCCAAAGTCTTGTTGCCAGCATCTAGATAGTATCGAACCTTGTGTTGAGATGCAGGCGGCCACTGCTCCTCAACACGCTCCTCTACGGTCTTCACAAAGCTGCCATCGTACCCAAGTAGAGTAAGTCTGACTCGCGGCGTTTCGGTTTCCCACCCATTCTGCATCCCTTTGGCGTAAAAATCATAAAAGCGCTGCAAATCATCCATTGATTCCGGTCGGTACAAATCGTGCCATTCCTGGGATGCATGAACTCGAAGCCACTTGCGAGAGGTCTGCGCCGTTTCGAAGGTATGGAATGAGCCTTCACAATGGAGACCCGTTGAGTAAGAAGCAGTCAAGTATATCGGAATGTCATGAATATTCTCCGGTTTGATCTTCTTAGTGTACCAGTATTCATCAAAGAGTGGGCGCTGCTTCAACATGGCACCGGCATTTTCGATCTTCTCGAATCCTTGCAAGATCAAACACTCATTTTTAGCTGCTCGCGTCCAGAACTTTCGAAGCCAAAGCACATACCTGCAAATCCACGCATGATAAGCTCGCTAAATGCCGCGTTGGGAACGCCCCCTCTACACAGGTTGTGTGCATATACATCCGTCATGCCCTCCCAGGGTGCAATTGCTTTGAGATTTGGGTGGGTGAACCGCGACACGAAATTGATCTGAGAGATTGCAAGCCAAGAATTTCCCCTAAGTATTCTGGTTAGGCTCTACCCATAAGGTATGCCGATTCATCTCTGAAAACCAACATCATGACCACAGCCCCGCTGCACCAGGGCTGTTTGGCAATCCAGGTGATGGAATCGTAGATATCGGTAGCTTCCTGTCAAATCCTCATCAGCACATTTTTAGAGTATGAAATAATCCTTGATAATTACCTGCTCGCCCCAGAAAGCAACATTCCCCTCTGAATGGGCACAACCCCGAGCATCAATATCGACAACGGCGTAACCTCTAGCACACCAGTCCGCAGGATTGGGTCCCTAATATTTCCAAGATAATTAAAATTTTCCACAAGAAACTCCTGGAGATTCTTTGAATGAAAGCATACCTCAAAAGTTTCATATCCACTTAGCCGCTGGTATGGAATTCCCATACGCCAGGGACCCATACGATCGTAGTTTTGAGTACCACTTCCAACCTTTCCATATGGACTCCAGGGAATGATAGCAGGGACCTTTTCCTCTCCACTTAATGGTCTAAATACATCACCATACAGTATGACACCATCTCTCATGGGAATAGCCTGATCATGCTCCCAGGTCACATCAACCGGAAAGGCTTGAAAGCCTGGCTCCTTGACATGACCACGGGGTAGCTGGTCAACTTTCCCAGGATGGAAACCATTGTAGGTGAATACTGGATGTTTGCCGGGAGGGAGAATGGGCGTATACACCGTATCTGGAAATTGCTGATTGAGCTTCTCTTTGACAGAGATTGTTGTCATCTTGAAATTCAGAATGTACTAGATTGAGGAGAAACGAGAGTACCGTTTTGGAAGCAGGTTTTATAGAAAGTTCCCCACGACCACGTATTCCTCTCGGTAGGCATTGACGGCAGATAGAGGTCTCAAGCCGACGTTTCTCATCTTCTGATGTCTCCTTATGAGGGGAAGGTGGGACGTTACCCTATTGTCCCGTTGGAGTGGCATAGTGTAGTCAGCGGAACTTGGGATGCAGTGGTGGGGCCGTTTGGCGGAAGGATGGGAAGCTCTAAATAGACTAATTGAAGGAGTCTAAATTTATTGCTGGGTGTTCTGGATTTGGCTCGAAGGTGGTTCCAGATAATGTCCCCTGCTTCTTCAAGAAGAAGTTAGACTTTGTCTAGTTTCATACTTTCATACTCGTCTTCTTCTTTCTGCTTCTCTTTTCTACAGATCAAATCTCAACAATGACTACCAAGTTACTCAATGTTGCGCTACATGTTGAACGAAACCTGATATTTGGTGTTTCTCGAGATGAGAAAATGCCCACCCCAGGCGAGGGGGAGCTTCTCATCCGGACTCATTTCTCCGGGGCGAACCCGGCAGACATCAAGCATTCCACCCATCTTGGAATCTATCCTGCACGGCTTGGTTACGACTTCTTGGGAACAGTTCTCCAGGCTCCTTCAGGGTCAGCCTTCCACGTTGGAGACACCGTGGCCGGCTATACTCCAACCGGAATCGATCGACCAGCCAAGTATGGCACTCATCAGAGCTACTTGGTCTGCCCCGAAACAATGGCATATTCTGTTCCTGAGAATCTTCCTTCTGATCATGCTGCATGTTTGACTGTGGTCGCTATGACAGCGGCGGATGCACTGTACAACTTGTTCAAATTTCCCCTCCCTGGTTCATCTGACAGCAACACTGCCGGACCACTTTTGATCTGGGGTGCATCAACGAGTGTAGGAATTTGTGCTGTTCAATTCGCGAAGGCTAGTGGAGTCTTTCCCATTTTCGTCTCGGCTTCGCTAGAAAGACATGCTCTTTTCCAAGAACTTGGCGCCACACAGTGTTTTAATTACAAGTCACCATCTGTGGTAGATGATATCAAGTCAGTGCTGAGAAACTACCATTGTGAAGGGGTAAAATACTCCTTCGATGCTGTGGGAAGTCTCAACGGCCTGGGCTCAGCACAAATGGTGGCTTCTTGTGCCTCCCCAGACGCTATCTTGGTCTCTGTTGTGGTGCAAAAAGATCCTCGGTTTGTGATGCCATTCGCTGTCACAAATGAGGATGTCACACTTAAGATCCCGGGAGTTCCCCATCTAATTACAATACCGGCTCGAAAGGAGGACCATGAACGTGCATGGAGCGCCCTTCAATGGGCAGTGAGCAACTACGGATCCCGTTTTCGGCTCGTGTCTGTCGATATTTTCAAAGGGCGAGCGGAAGATGCTCTCGAGGAGTTGAAGGCTTTAGCCGATAATGGTCGAGGTTTTGGGAAGCTGGCTCTCATGCATCCACTTCAATGATTTTCGCAGTATTGTATGCAAGTACTTGAAGGATTTCTGTTCTTCATAACTGTACTTTCTTTATTCTTGTTCACAAGACGTGTCAGCTATGTCTTTGTATAAATTTGGCTTGAATCGAATTGATAAAATAGCCTGAGAAACCTGCAGTCCGATGACTTGCCCATTAATCGGTGGAACGACTCTGAGTCCACATTCCGATAGATCAGTGGGGCGATGTCGATCGCAGAAAGGAGTGGGTCCTAAAATCTTAAGATGAATGAACCTTGAAAGGAGGTGCTGCTTCCGCTTAGTCATTGTTGTGGCTGCTTCCCCGCCTTCGCGTGGAGAGATTAAGAAGGCATCGGTTGGATGAAACCAAGGATATTCATATAGTAGGATTTATCAATATACCCCGCAAGATCGGAATTACGGCAATATCGAAGTTACGGCCACTGTCAAGCTACTAGCTTATTTTGGAGGCCACTGTTATCACTCTCGGCCGCCTTCTAAGGTGTAAATGGGAGCAGTGCCGGGAATGTGGGATGTTCTCACACAAGTTGGGTTGACGGAGTGATTGAGCTTAGCGTTATGTACATAGTAACAAATTAGATGCGCTCACGACAAAATGCATATACTGAGAGTCGAAGTTATGTTGTAAGAGAATCCATAAAGAAATATCCCGTATTTCATGTCACATGTAGTGTGGACCCCTGTCCAGATAAGTCCATACGCACTTCATTCGACCCTATCCCCTTCTTCAGCTTTCCACCAGTTCCAGATAGACTCGCACCAGATAAAAAGCTCAAGTGCAGCAGTGACCGATGCAATGAGAAGCACTAGGTTCTTCATATTCTTGCCAATGCCAAGAGACTCGAAGCTCATGGCTACCGGGGTCCAGGCGGGTTTTGATCCAAGCCCAGAGTCTGCTTCAGCTTGGCTCTTTGCTTTTTCCATACGGATGGCATGTGTTGAAAAGGCGGAGAAAGAATGTGGTAGCTGACATTGTCGAGATCGACCATGGAATCTAGCCACGTGGGCGCAGAATGTAGGTTGATATTGTGGTCGCGTCCAGGGTTGCTGTCTAGACGCTCTGAGGGGTAGGCGCATGGCCCTGCTAGCTGTGTTCATCGTGTGCTAGGGTTGCAAATAAGAAGAGAGAAGTGTTTCTGACGGTCAGACGAGGTTGTGTCGGGGGCTGACGGCTTCAGCTGCGATGAGTCTCACGCTAGTCTTGAAAAAGCAGGCGCTGCGGGGGATCACTTTTGAGGCAGCAGAACCAGTACCTAAGTGAACATCAGGATGCCATTATTTTTCCAGTTTAACTATTCGATGAAGACTTGTCAAAATCTCCAAGTCTAAGAAATTCCAGCTCAAAATAAAGCCGAAGAACTTCCACAGTACTGGTCACGACGTGATATTATCTAAGAAGTGGAGTGGGAATATATAGTTGCAGGTAGAACGTAGGCCGGGCATTTGTTTTTGCTGTTTCACAAGGGAGTGGACATTTCATGGGCACTACGCTGGTTAGGTGAAAAATTCCTGAAGTCCGCTACTGTTGCACGGTGTCTCGTAGGAAAAATACTCGCTATAACCTCAAATATACTCCAAAAAAAAAAAGGATCTCAGGTTATTTTTAGGAATAGCCGAACGCGGGGGTCGAACCCGCAACCTTGAGATTAAGAGTCTCACGCTCTACCGATTGAGCTAGCCCGGCAGGGCTGGTGGAGAAGCGAAAAATATAATGTCCCACTAAGACTGACTGACGCTGACACTACGTCTCTCCAGGTCCATGCTCCAGGGAATCCAATCTGTGGTGCTTGCATCCTATATGGTAGTTCCCCATTCCGTTAATGAGGACCAAGCTGGGACATGTGACTTCTGTGCTTGTAGCTACTGATGTTGTTGAAACGTCTGGTCAGTGGATCGGACAGAATACTCGGTGGTCATCATTGCTCGATGATGTGTGCTGGTTCCGAGAGGCCAAGCGGACCAACCAATCTAGATAAGACTAAAGAGGTGGGTGATTTCACCGAAGTTTTGAAGATGCTTGACCAGTTTCGAGAATGGAATAGCTCCCACTACGAAAAGGCGATATGGATGACACTGGCATTAGGGCTAGAGCCGGGAATGCGTCACAGTCCGTTTGAGCTGATTGACGAACGAGGATAAGCCAAGCAGCACTTTAGCTCATTTGGATCTTCCACCGGGGTATATTTGAATGTGCTTTAATATTGATTCCAAATTGACTGGATTGATTGTATCTAAATTTATCATCAACTTCCTCTTCCTTGCTGAAATGACACAGAGCGGACGATCATTCTCGTTAGATATTATGATGGTCATCCCAACAGTCATCAAAAGGAACAAAGTCTACTTAAATAGGAATTTTCTTCCCCAGACTTCGCCAAAAGTCGCACCGCCTCTGCAGCTGTTCAAGGCGAACATTTTCAAATCCATGGTCCACAATCACAAACTCTTCCCCGGTGCTTTGCAATTCCGGAACACCCGGCTGCGACGAGTTTGTCAATTTGTGCGCATTCGGATCACCCGTCTGGAAGAAGCTCGCAAAGGCACCAGCATATCCTTCGTACACGACGGGATTCGTAGTTTGCACCGCGTTGATCTGATTCCACTGTATCCAGGTTAGTATACCGGGAAAAAATCTATAAACTCGTCATTCAATACAGGAGAACCACATACGTAAATAGTATCACTTGCATGCGTCGCCGGCGAAATAGTATACTCCCCAACATACCCCCTCCTCTGCGCATCCGACGCAATCCAATACGCCGGACACGCAAGAACAACATCCCTGTAGATCAAACCCGCCCGAATATACGTCGTGTTATACTCATCAATTGTCTCAGTATTCCCATTCACAGGGTAATACACGTTCTCGACTAGACCGATCTGCTTCGCCGACAACCCAGGCAAAAACCCGGTAACCCACTGGTGGAAACTCATAATCGAGGAATTGTACCCGTTCGTAGTGACATCTTTTTGCAGACCCGAAGGTATAAAGTTCTGTCCCTCGTGGGTATTATACATACCCCAAACAAACTCCGTGTTCAGCGTGCCGCTACTCACGGCTTCGGTCAGGGTATCGGCTAGGAACTCGCCGTCGATGACGGGGGCCCATGTATATGAGCTTGTGGTCCATGTATGATCTGCATCGATGATCAGGCTGGCATCACGGATCTTTTGAACATCGACTGATTTTAGACAGGCTAGAACCTGCTGGTCATGACCGTGTTCCGCACAGCCAGTTAGATTGGCGAGTTGATTGAAAATAGCTTCCGCCTCGGGTGCATTATACGCATATGTCTTTGGCCAGAACGGTGAACTAGCAAGAGCCTTTGAGAAAAGCTTTGGATTGCCATTTCTTCCATTGGCAAGCACCTGTCCCACGACGGACCCTGCACCGGCAGACTGGCCCCAGATCGAAACATTGCGCGCATCACCGCCAAAGTGGTGGATATTATTCTGCACCCATTTCAGGACATATTGCTGATCCAGTAATCCAGGGTTAAAATCAGACATGGAGGACTTCTTGATCGCGTTTCCGGGCAAGAAGCCAAACGCATTGAGTCGGTAATTCGGGTATATCACAACGTAATCGTTCAACGTGCTGACATTCAGTATCGGGAACGAAGACGGCGGCATGGTAAACGCAGCATCGCCCTCGATAAATGCGCCGCCGTAGAACACGACCAACACCGGTCTGCGGATATCCTTGGACGTATCCCACGGTCGAGAGAAGAGACCGAGGTATAGGCAATCCTCCGAGCCATTGACCGTGCGCTGGGGGCACATATCGAAGGTCTGATCTGTGTCGTAAATGCCATCTGTAATTTTCCGCGGGGGCTGAGGAGCACGGAAGCGGTTTTCGCCTGTGGGAGGTGCTGCGAAGGGGATCTTTCGGAAGTAGGAGAGGTTATAGGCTGCGTCGTATTTGCCTTGGAAAGAGCCATAGTCGAGCTGTATTAGTGGGTCGTCATATGCATTTGCTATGGTAGCAAAGGAGGAAACAGCGAGGAAGAGGGTCCAGAGAAACCGCATTATGAAAAATTATGCGCTTGAAAGTCAATGATCAACTCCCAAGTCGTGTATGATGTCCCTGGTTACTTGGTACTTTGACGGCTCTATATAGTCTGTCTCCATTTCAGATCAACCAGATCTCGCGAGAGAGAAGGCCGAAGCAGCAGTGCGGGGACCCCTACAGAATAACCTTACGAGTGTTTTCCAGTTCTCGTGGAGAGTAAAGCCAAGCATTGGGATATTGTTTCTGGGATATTATTGGTGCAGTTATTCTTCACAGAGATCGCGGGGATATGATGCGGGGAGGACATGCGGAGGGCTACTTCGGTGTCGATCATCCCGATGGCGAGATCCGTTCGGATGAAAGGAAGATGGCATCATTGGTAGGAGAGTGATGTTTGATAATTTTGAAAGCCCAAAGATCCTTCATTTTCATCTCATCGGTCATACGGGGGAAGGTCATCTGTGAGACGATGTCTGAGCCTTCAAGGAAGAGTATGGAATCATCTTTCAAAACAGAGAAAGAGCAGCAACACGTACAATTGGAGTGACACTACAGAGACCTTCATGATGCGATGAGTAGACTATCCCCTTCATTGCAGATATGTTCGTTATCATGTCTACTTGCTATGTTGTAGTACACTGAAGACAACACATGGACTCTCTATGAAAACAGGCAAAATCCCAGCTGAAGAACCCCCAGAAACCAGAAACAAATCCTTTCCATGCATCTGAAGCCTGTCAACACCATATTCCCTGTGCAATCATGTGCATAATGTTACAATGTCCCGATTCCCCAAACACCTCATCCTCATTAGACCCATGAAAACTAGACAGACATTCCCTTTACATCGTCATCCGGAGCTCCCGGTTCCGCGGCCGACTTGAACGAGTGTTGCGACGAGGCTCATTGGCATCACTCGTCGGCGTCTCAGTGCGGGTATCCGAGAGCTCCGGGGTAGGGGTGACGCCGAAACTGACACCGCGGTCTCGGCGAGAGACACGCGCCTCCGAATCGGGAGACAAGAAGCGATGGATGGTGCGGTGGTCCATCACCCGCTCCTCCCGGTCAGCGCCCTTGTCGGTCTTGGGCCACTGGAAGCCGTAGATTTTCGAGTGCCGCTCGCACCGTGGACACTCACGGCGTGTCTGGTAAGAGTTTGACTGCACAAACCAGGCTTCACAGGTTTGGCAGTCGACCCAACGATCGTACTTTTGGGCGAGTAGTCGTGAGGTCTTGGTGTAATCACCAGGGGAGCGGGTGACAGTTACTTCTGTCTCAACTGAGGCAACGATCGCCCAGTTGCGCTTGCGGCGTGGCTTCCGTTGCTTCTTGAGAACGGTTTGCAGGGTCTCGTCTAGTTCAAAGGAGTCTGATAAGTCTGAGAGTTCACTGGGGGTGGGACTCCGAGGGAGGGGAATGGCTGCTTCTGGCTGACCTGTGATGGGGATATTGGGATGACCCTCTTCCAGTCCTGGGGAAGGGTCGAGGTGGCTCGATTCTGCGAGCTCTTCGGTCTTCAGTTTCATTCCGTCATCCACCGAAGTTGGGAGACTCGAGGCCGAAGATCGATGAGACTCGTCAGTGGAGCTTGGTGAGTGGCAGTCAGCCGGGCCATTGGTCGGGGGGTTAGTGATTGTGGTAGGATCGATGAGGGTAACTGCGTCGGTGTCGATGACAGCGAAACCGGTTTCGGCTAGTTTAGAGTGGTCGGATTCCTGAGTAGATGGGAGTAGTGTCTCAGGTGGAGATTTGACATCTTCAGTCATAATGATCTCCTGTCGCAGTTTGGAGACCTGTCGCTCACCAGTGGAGATAGAGATGACGGGAGTCTCGAGGTCGGATTCGGGGGTGGGAGGGTTATCAGGCTCTGGGGTGGCAGTTGATTCAGTGGGGAGATCAGACATGCAGATCTCCTCGCGCAGCTTGGATGTCTGGCGAGCAAACTTGGCTCGTTTCTTGGGAGTGGAGCAGACTGAGGATGGATCCTCCATGTCCGGGTCAGAGTCGCGTCGGCGCTTCTTGCTTCCCGACTCGTGATCCATGAGACCGGTCTCGTCACTTCCAGCGGGTGAAGACTCCTTGTCGTTCTCATCCGAGTCCACCGGGGGAGACCAGCCGTTGCGAACCCCGTGTTCACAGGTCATGCACAGACACTCGCAGTTGTCAATGCCAAAGTAATCCTCGCCGTAGGAGACTGTGATTTCTTCTCCTTCGTGGATGTCACGAGTGGCCATGACCGACATGCCCTCGGTCCCACGAGTGACCAGACGGCCGTTGGCATCGCAGTCGTGGTTCGCAAAGCGAGCGGGCCCCAGGAAAAAAGAGGGGGTCTTGCGGCGGCTAGACATGACCACGCTGAAATCCTTGCGGGTCAGACCCAAGTCCATTTCCTCTTCTTTAGTCATGGCGACGAGGGTACCGGCCAGATATTTGATCTCTTGACCAGCCTTGATGAACTTGCGGGCACAGATAGCAGCCTCGTGTTGGGTGATAATGTAACGATTGGTGGTCGTCACTTCAAATGGGCAGTCCGGGTGGTACATTTGAATGTACTTGCGGAGATGGCGGCGGAACCAGTCCTGCTCTCGAGGACTGGGGAGGTTGGCCAGGTATTTGCGGAGACCAGGAAGTTCAAGCAGTTTACGCTCCGCAGTCGGGATATCCTTTGCGACGACAACATCGTGGAGGAGGATGTAGCCGACCTCGTCGTCGTGGACGCCGCGGGCAGGGCTGTACTTGTTGCGATTCTTGCGTGTAGTGGTCCAGAAGTAAGCCTGTGGATAGAAGGAGTCAGTATTCTGTGCCATGATTCCAAATGTGAGCAGGAGTCGTACGTGATCGACCAGCGCATCGGTTGCGACGTCGTCATAGCTGGCCAGTTTGGCTAAGGTCAGACGCTCACGGCGCTCGGTCGCGGGAGAGCTTGAGCGCGCTTTCTTGGGCGGCATGGTTGCAGTCACATGTAGGAGGAGTGAGTCGAAATGGGCGAAGGGGTGTATTCCGTGAGAAGTCGAGAGAAAATTGCAGGTTGCGCAGATTGCGGAGATTCGAGGGAAGGGAGGAGCGTGTGGAGAAGAAAAGGACGGGTTGGAGGGCGAGTCAAAAGGTGAATTTAAAGAGTGACGAAGTGAGAGAATCCAGTCGACACAATAGGCACCGAGGTAGGCCGCATGGCGCGAGAACAATCGCGAGGTCAATTGGTGCTGGAAGGCTGCGATGTGAGGCTGGCGAGGCCAAAGGGGAACTTTCCAGGAACCCTGCACCCGCTCCGATGGTCGCCCGGTCTTGTCTTTACGAATTGGTGCACTCTGCCTTGCAGCCCCCCTCTTCAAGGCACCGCCACATTCTGACACTTTTTATTATCGCCAGCCTAATAATTGGTGCCTTCTCATTGATCTTGCATTATTTGTCTCGATTTGGTAACCTGTCAACATCCTGACACGCGACTATCAATGCTGACTCCGCGCGTTGCCGTGTGCAGGATCGAGTGGCATACCTCATTGGTTCCACTCCAACGACCGGGTTGGCTAGCATGAGGATAATAATAAGCTTTCTGAATCTGATATTCTCCGATGCTGTATGGACCTTGCTTTGAGCGTTTGACAAAGTACGAAGAATATAGTCGATTTGATATGTAGTACCCTCCATGGAGAGGACTAACCTTGGCCTTCCATCAACGTGTATAGCATCTATTCTCCATGGATTCGAAAACCTTATTCCAGCCCGGAGTCTGATAACTACTTACCTTCTTCTGATTCACTGTTTCAAATCCCTTCTACTGATTGCCTTGTCATTAGGAGTATTTAATACAATATACCAGGCTTGGATCATGCAGCATCCCTCGGCTGCAGGATTCTGCATGGTGGTTGTCCTATGGCAGTAGAAGATTCTACTGCATATACCGAGATTTTATTCTTCTCTCTGTATATGTCCCAGATGATTAATATCTCGGATCATTATCGTTTTACAAACTAATTGAGCAGACACAACCTGTAGACAAAGGGAGCCCATCCTATGTCGTCGGAATATGTCCCCATCGTATATACTTAATTTCCTTCCGAGAACTAGGTATGGAATGGGCTCCAACTAGGCATAGATCTGCTCCACTGAATCCATCCTCCAGAATTCCCTAAGTAGTCTTCATGAAGATGAATAACCCAGAAGGGCTCCATCAACCGGGGTCCTACAAACTATCGTAGTAGAAAGCTCTCGGATCGTGAAGCAGTGGCACGCATATACCACAATAAGTTACCAACCCCGGCAAACAAACACATTGAATTTAAAAATATTTATCGGAAATGGATAATGGTCAAGGTCCCAAATTTTCAAAATATTCCCTATGAATTATTGAAGTGCCTTTTGTATAGATCTCCCATCACGCCTCGGAGAAACTCTCCAAACCGGGAAACCCCCCGTTCCGCGCCGACTCTCCGAACAAATTGTGGTGATACGAACAAAAGCCGCCCAGTGCTTCAATCCCTCAATGCACCCACAATGATTCAACTAAAGGTACAAGCTACACAATCAAAGAACCCAAGCCAATTCCCACTAACACCCCCTCTCCCAGACATTACTAAACTGCATCGACAACTCCGGCGCCTCGGTCGTCGAGTGCGTCAACGTCCTGAAGAAGCAGCGGGCCGCAACGATCGGTCAGTCCCCCGAACTCGAACCGAACTAGAACACGCCTCGGACGAGTCGCGATTACAGAGGATACAGTGTGCTAATGCTGGTTGTGTGTCTAGGTGACCGGATAGTCGTCGTCGTCCAGAAGCAGAGGGCTGCTACGTCGGAAGGGTCTAGCACTACCGCGCTCGCGAACAAGGTCCGTCGTGGAGATATTCGGCATGCGGTTGTGGTCCGTGTGAAGAAGGAGGTGCAGCGCGATGATGGTACCGTTGTTCGGTTTGGAGATAATGCCTGTGTGCTGGTGAATAAGGCTGGAGATCCTATCGGGACAAGAATGAACGGTTCGTCCAAATGGTCCTATTTGTTCCGGCTGTCCACCGAGTCTAGCTTGGTTCTGACGAGAATTCACAATAAACTGACATCCTTTCTACAGGCGTCGTGGGACAGGAACTGCGCGGCAAGCAGTGGTCCAAGATCTTGTCGTTGGCGCCCGTGCACGTGTAAGTCGGGCTGTGCTATTATTTGTTTTTTTGGGAAAGCGTTGTTCATCGAGAGCATTTTCATCTTGTACCATATAAGTCTCTATTTTTCAATACCAAAGCAGAAGAAGGTGACATGTTTTGAAAAAGCGCATTTTCCATTTCCTTATCTCATCGCCGAATAAACTCCATCCCTATGCAAGAACCGCAAACTAAATCAAAGAAGGACCAAAGGGTATCCGGTGGGAAACATCGCGCCGTATCGTAAAAAACAAGGATCAGGTGAAGACAGTACCACATGCGCAGCACACGTAGTAAAGTTTCTGGAAACCAGGCTTAGTGTCGGGACTTGACCACGATTGAGGGGCTAGGATCGAGGGATCGAGGAACTCACCATTCCACTTTCCGCGGAACGTTGCTGAGACTGGAAGAAGACCGCTTCGTTCTCACCGCAGCTCGGGCAAAGCTTGTTCGCTCGGGGAAGCTATACACGGTGGGGAGAAAAAGAGAGTTAGCCGAATGAAACGATCTAAGCCAGCCGAACAGCGTCGATGCTGGACACGTTGCTAGGCGCATCCGAGACTGGGCTCAGGTTTCCATCGGGAAGGTCCTTGGGAACCGCATAGTAGGCGCGGCCACAGGTCACGCAGGCGATTTCTTTGCCACAACATGCGCAGAATCCGGGGATGGTCAGGAAGCCAACAAAAAGAGACTCGGGGGAACAAACCGTGGGGTCCGAGGCCACATCCTGAGTAACACCGGCAGTGTCTCCAACTTGGCTGTTCAGCTTGTTCTGGTAGACGCAGTGGGAGGTTGCGGGCTCGCCGACGTGGCAGGTACGGCAGGTGAACATGAGCTGGTTGGTGACGCGGTCCTCTTTTGGGTAGAGCAGGTTAGAGCTATGAGAGGGTTAGTTCGAGATACAGTACAAGCGGGGCATCAGATAAAAGGACTTACCACTCGCGACAGAAGCGGAAGTGAATTTGGTCAGCGGGCTTCGAATCGGCACCGCCAGAGGGGGTCGGGCTGGCAGACATTGTGGGTGAGGTGTGAATGAGACTGGTTGAAACGCGGGAGAGAGATTGTTGCGGTAGATGAGACGACTCGCTTGTTTGGGATCGTGCAGGTTGGAGAAGAAGAGAGAAAGAGAAGACGGACAATCAACCAAGTTGGCGGGAAGAAGGCGCAGAAGGCAGCACCTGATATTCCGATGGGTTCTAGCGGGCGATCAGTTTGCAGTGTTTGCAGCTGTCCCCCGCAATTCCTCCATTCTCCAGTTCAATACTTGCCAACCAAGCTTCCTCAATTAAACAACCTTTGCATATTGACTCATACTCTCACAATGGTAGTTGCCTTGTCTTCCAGCAGTCTCTTTGGCCTGATAACTAACCAGCATCTAGGCTGCTACAGGACTTCCAGCGGGCTGGGAGGTTCGTCACTCGAACTCCAAGAACCTGCCCTACTATTTCAACCCCGCGACCAAGGAATCGCGCTGGGAACCTCCTGCGGACACCGATACCGAGACACTCAAGGAATACATGGCAACTCACCACTCTGCAGCAACCCAGAATGATGTCGGTGGACAGGGAGAGGGCAAGATCCGCTGCAGCCACCTGCTCGTGAAGCATCGCGACAGCCGTCGCCCCAGCAGCTGGCGCGAAGCAGAGATTACCCGGACAAAGGAAGAGGCTATTGAAATTCTGAAAGGGCATGAGCGGCGCATTCAGTCTGGGGAGGCCACTCTCGGTGACATTGCCGTCTCCGAGTCCGATTGCAGCAGCGCCAGGAAGAAGGGTGACCTGTATGTTTTGACCCCCCCCTGAAACATAATGTGCCTGTACTAAGTCTGTATAGTGGCTTCTTTGGCCATGGTGAGATGCAAAAGGAGTTTGAGGATGCTGCCTTTGCCCTCCAGCCCGGTCAAGTCAGCGGCGTTGTAGAAACGGCCTCTGGAGTCCACCTCATCCAACGGTATGTATTGATTGAACAAACCTGATGTCATTAAAAATCTATCTGCTAATACAAAAATAGTGTCCAGTAATCTAAATTCCCATCTACGAGATTGATACTCGCTTGACGATCTTGGTTTCCTTGGTCTTTCTTTCTTGGTTTTGGATACTCTTGGGTTGGCATGGATTGATTGGGATTATGGAGAGAAGGCAAAAAGGATTTATGACTCTTCGCAGAGATCTCCTGTTACAGCCTGACATCTTCAGCGAGCACAGAGATTGATGGTGCTGGGAAATATGGTGAAGAACTAATATAGAATAGCTTCATGCAGGTGAATGATAACAGGGCAGCCTTTGGGTAATGCCAGTCACTGAGAAGGTTCACGACCTCCACGGGGTTCTTACTAATTAATGTCGTCGTCGATATCGGTGTAGAAAGGTCTCACATGTCATTACAATATAATGCGAATTTGAGAAGTTGGGATATAAGCACACACTTGAAAACACCCTCCAGCGCGGTGAAAAGCGTTCACTTCTCGATCGCGCCTTCACAGATTAAAACATCCACAGTCTCTCTGTCTTTCCCTCTTTCCTGCCCTTTATAACCTCACACTGATCGTTCTAATCGTCCTCTTCTTTCCACTTCACACCCTGCTGCTTCGCTTCCCATCTTCTCATCACAGCAAGCGATATCCCGTCCCATCACCATGAATCCCGCAGCCAGCATCGCTGAGCCAGAGCCAGAGACAATCATGTCCTACGCCTACGATGCAAAGGACTATTGCCTCCCAAGCTACCTCTGGGTTCCGGAAGAGGTTCGCCTGATGCACCTGCAAATCGCCGAGTCCGCCTACACCGTCATCCAAGGCCTGCGCTTTCTCCACCAGCTGCGCTCTAAGCGCTTCCTGGCCATGTGCCCTCAGAAGCAGGGTCCAATTTTCGACAAGCACTCTCGCTCTCTCCAGCGGCTCTTCGAGTGGAAGGAACAGTGTGATCCGGCAAACCCAACCCTCGCCCCAGCTGCCAAAATCCCAGGTGCAACCCTGGGCTTCCACCTCAACCGGGTTGCCTACGACACCTACTTCACTCTCTACTTCAATACCCTGGCCAAGTTCAACGCGATTGAGTGGTCGACATACTGCCAGCGTATGTTCAGTATCAAGCATGTCGCTTCGCAACAGATGGGCCACCCCGAGTACTTGGCCTGGCTGTACTGGTGGAGATCGGAGTTCAAGCCGGCGATGAGCAAGTGGCAGGTATTTGTTAAAGATGTGAACCTGCCAAACTGGGAAGAGATTGTTGACGAACTTTACGACATGATTATTGAGCGTGTCGAGGACTCGGATGAGATTACGGCTTTGCAGTTTGCTCGCGGAGTTTGCTCTTGTCAGATCAAGGCTCCTGAGGGCCTCACCAAGCTTCCGCCCAGTCATCGCATTCCTGATTTTTGATACCCTTTTTTTATCTTGCATGGGTCCTGGGTGGCGTTTCAGGGGTACAGGTGCATCTACAGGAAGGGCATGGAACATGGTGTCTCTGGTCTTCGATGGATATGGTTGGGCCAATCATTTACATACCCATAATTCCTGTATCTAATTCAATATGGCCTCTTTCTTCAATGTTGACGGGTCTACAAAGGAAGTGTCAGAATGTAGGACAATGGAGTCCTTATCTCGAAAGACTCATTATGTCTGAAATCATAACATAATGCCTTTTCATTCAAAGAATCATTCCACAGTACTAGACACAAAGCATCGATCTCTATTACCCTTATATGAAGATGCGCTAGCAACACGGCAGATCATATCTTCTACATATTTTGAACATCTAACTTTCCAGATTTTACCAGCGTTCAAGTTACAGCAAAAATGTGTCTAATTTGGACCCAGAAGTACCTCCTCTGCGGTTGTATCTGGAATATCCGAGATCTCTACTGCAAACCAACCGAGACATGCTGGGGCGCTAGAATGGTAGTAATCAACTGCCATCTACAAACCTGCAAGGAATGTTGGAGATCCGGTGACAAGCGTATTGATCAAGAAGTAGCTAACCTTATGTCGCAACAAAAGGAAGCAGAGCAACGACGTAAAGAGAGTTTGCCAGAGGAAGAGGAAGAATCATTACACTGCGAAGTTGACAGCAACTACGATTCAAACGCAGAAGAAGACTTTGAAGCCTTGCATCCGTCTAGACCGACGACCCCGGAACTCGATCTAGATCCACAAAAATTGCCTCGATGGTTGTTTGGAGCCGAGGTTATGGGGGATGCGACGCGAGCTTGTGAACCTGTGAAGCTAGAAAAGATATGGAAGAATTATCGGGCCCGCAGGGAGAAGACGGATTGGTATTTAGTTGAAGGTAAGTCAGCATGAGAACTTTGGATTCTCGTTTGTCATTATAATTTTCTACGGGTGTGATGTGCTAACTTGACGGATTCATTAGATCTACTGGGAGAGTGGTTAGGCCCGACGGTGAGTAGCGACGAGGACGAGAAAAACGCCCAGGAAGTGGAGGATGTAGACTTGAGAAAGCGGACTGGGTCGTGCTGCTAGTTGATGGATTTATTGTTGGTAGACATTCGATATTTCATGGTACTTTTTTTCGCTTTTGGGCTACTCCAACTCCGGGGTGCTGCAACTAAGAAGTATGAAGCCAGTGAGAGTACTTGGACGGTTGATCGTCTGTCCCATTCATTATGCATGCTATCCTAGAAACTAAAAAAAGATCATGAGCGTGCGAGAGTGCTCTCCACACGATGTTGCGAGGTCATGAGACCTGGAATGGCATCATCACTATGCCACCAGCTGGGTTTATAAGCTTGTGTTGAGGCGCTCGAGACGAGCGGTAATCGCATCGATAACCGCAGACCTGATTCGGAAGTGTTAGTGAAGGTAGCTAGAAGATTAAAAGAAAATAGTCACTCACTCTCGTTCCACCATTCTCATCGCATCAGCAATCTTGGCACGTTGAAGTCGCTGCGGCACCTTGGGGTGTGCGCCACTGGGAGAAGCAGGGCTTCCAGGCTCGTTGGGCGATGGTGCCTTGGCTGTGAGAGTCTTGGTTTCGGCCAGAAGGTCGTTGGCGAGATCTTTGACCTGAATTGTTTGTTAGTCTGAAGGACCACGAAGGAAACACGAAAATAAAACCTACAGTCTCCAGGCGCTGCGCTAGCTGTTGGCCTGCCTCACTGGGCTTGGAATCGCCAACGGACTCAGCCAAAGCGTCCACCTCAGATACCCAAGCCTTCTCCTTCTCACTCAGAGGCCGACCACCAGAGTTGAGAATCTTCTTGCGCAACGCATCATATCTCTGTGTAAGGTCGGTCTGTCTGTCCTTTGCAGCTTGCAGTCTCTTGTCAAGCGCGTTGCCATTGCGAGAGCCTTCCTTGCGATTGCCGTCCTCGCCAATCTCACTTGTCACGCCCTTGATCCGCTCAGCAACATCGGAAAGTTGCTTGAGCTGGTCTTTCATCTCACCCTGCAGTCTCTCGCAACGGCGGAATAAGTCCGAAGCAGCTCGTTCCAGCGCATTTGTGTGAGCGGAGAGCACACGGTGAGCCGTGGTGACTAGGTCGAGAGTGGCTGGTGACAGGCGAACCTGCTCTTTGAGGGTGTGTCGCTGGCGGTGCGGAACGTGTTTCTCGACGAAAGATTCCAGTGGAGACTTTGCGTACAGGATGGCCGGAACTTGGTAAGGAGCTCGGCGAGGGGCCAACATGGGGGACGCCTCCGCAATATTGTTTTGGTCGTAAGTGCGAAGATCCATCGTTGTCGAGAAAGCATCCTCCGGGGCATCCATGACAGCAGCATACGGACAGGATGGAAGATAGGTGAGAAGAAGGTATCCCAGGTCGAAGTCATGGAATACCAGAGATGCAGCTAAATGCTCCTTTTGAGAAGCGATATCCGCATCTGATACCTGCAAGATTCTTTCTCTCTGAGCAACGTTTCCACTGCATATAACCTGCAACCGGAAGCCTGAGCCAGTCGTGTCCTCGGCCTGCAATTCCGACTCTAATCTTTGCACCCAGGACGACATGGAGAAGTGCGCCACATTGGACGTGTTCGTCACGAAGAAGGAATACCGGGAGTGGATGTCCTTGGTGAAAGTAGGCCAAGTGACCGACTCGGTACCGTTTGTTTTGATGGTATCCAAGGATTCAACCAAGACCAGATCAGCGGGCTCAGAAAGTGGAGTCCGGAAGGCATTCTTTCTAGCCTTGGGAAGCCACTGACCCTCGACGCCATCCAGTTCTAGACAAATGTGAACTCGACCGTTGCCGCTGGTTAGACAGATGACTGTTGCAGACAGCTTGTCCTGATCGCTTGATTCCACGGCCAGCTCTTCGTCTTCTCCCATCATCAGGTCTTCAACGTTCAGTCTAGCAGCGATGACCAAAATATCACAAAGGTCTAGATCGTCAAGCTCATCTCCAGTGTCGAACCTGAAGGGTCCTTGCATGCGCGGAATGGCACTTGGGTTTGCTGGCCGAGCGAACACATCCGCACCCTGAATCGTATCCGAATCAGTAGGAGGGTTCAAAGGCTCCTGATCATCAATCTCACGCAGCCATTCATATTGTTGCCGGCATGCGATCAGCTCCTCCTCCAAGTCCTCCGGCCCTTCCTCAAAAGCTGCCATCTTCGGGATGATAGCCGAGGAGAGCGAGGGAATGGTTGCAGAAGGTGCTTGCCATTTTGAGGGCAGCAATGGGCATAGCGCATAGAGATCACCAGGCTTCATGGCAACCCACAGAGTCATGGGTGCCCAGGCGTCCTCCTTGTCATTTCCATTGCCAGCGAAACAAGCCGATGCAACCTCCATATCGAAGACATCCGCAGAGAATCCCTTGCTCTTGCCGAATCCGGAGGGCGCAAAGTCCTGATCGGACGAGGTGCCATCGACCAACTTTTTAAGATCAACAGCCAATGTGGGCTGGTCAAAAGACCAGTGGTTGTTGCGGTCCAGCTCCCAAACGCGCACTGCAGCATCCGCAGTGATTGTGACAAGGCATCCACCGAGATTGGTATGCAGGCCCAGCGGGTGCCATAATGCAGACACGACTGGTGATTCCGGGATGACATGGGTGGTCGGGCCAAGCTGGTATGTCTTCAGTCGAATCGGGGCTTTATCGCTTGACGATAGATGGGAAGAATCCGGCAACACGGCAATGTGAACGGTGTGCTCGGTGACGATTGCGAGAAAAGCGCCGTTCGGGGAGGGAAGGATTTGTTTGATGAGTCCATAAACTGGCACAGCCAGAACCTGCATCATGTTAGTCGCAATGGATTACATGCCAGCACAGGAGCAATGAAAGATGCTCAAAGATTGACATACTCGGTAGGATGGAGGAGAAGCGGCATTCGTCTGGTCCTTGGTTTTCTTCTTTCTGGCCTGTTGTTGCCATTGATCCTTCAGGCGCGCCAGGTTGGACCAGCGGATCTCATTGTCGACCACCGCAAATATCTCGTTTCCTCTCTTTGCGATCGTTCTGGTCGCACCGCGGTCGGCGGAGGGCTTGGCTTTATCCTGTAGTTCCTGCGCAGGGCTCTTGTCGGCATTGCTCGTGAAGAGGCTGGCACCAGGCGAGGGCCGGCACAGCCAGGCCGGCGCGTAGCTGTTGACCTTGGGCATCGTGACGTTGATGAAGGAGAGATCAAGAAAGTCGCTTGAAAGGCAGATATTTGTTTAGACCATCCTCGTCGCCGACAAATATTCGCAGATGAAGCGGAACTGAGGCAGAAATTTGGCTGTGTTGTTGATGCGCCGTGGAATTTGGTGGTGCCGGTGCCAAGAAACTTTTAAAGCTCCAAGCTTCCCTTTGCCGCCCGAACGACCAGTCCACTTCTTGTCTTTCTATCACCTCCGATTGCTGCACCTGATTCCTGGGTTTTCACGATGAGCTTGCTGTCTGTCAATACTGTCGATCGCTTGGATCGGCCCAGTGCCTACTATGTAGGAAAGGTAAGACAATTCTACGGCCGCGGTTCGGCCCAGATGCGGCCAACAGGTACTAACGAGAGACGCAACAGAATAAGCGGCGTAGCAGATACAACGATCGAGACGAGGAAGAGCATGAGCGGGAGGACCCTATGTCTAAGCTTCATGATGCGACTACACTCTACGTGGGCAACTTGTATGTGATGCTTCGAAATGCGCTAGGAAGACACATCCACTGACTCGTCTAGGTCCTTCTACACGACCGAGGAACAGATCCACGAGCTTTTCTCCAAGTAAGCGCGTGCATGTACAAAGGGTCCATCTCGGAGTATTGACTTTTCTCTAGGTGTGGCGAGATCAAGCGACTGGTAATGGGCCTCGATCGGTTCAACAAGACCCCTTGCGGATTCTGCTTTGTCGAATACTACACCCACCAAGATGCGCTTGATTGCTTGAAGTACGTTGGAGGAACAAAGTTGGACGAGCGAATCATCCGAACCGATTTGGACCCTGGCTTTGAGGAGGGCCGACAGTATGGGTATGTAATTGTTTCATAAAGGGTCACCCTGGGAAGTTCTAGAAGGACAGAACAAGAGAGTGGACAGCAACTAACTTTTTCCCCCGACAGACGTGGAAAGTCCGGTGGACAGGTTCGCGACGAGTACCGTGAGGAATACGACCCCGGCCGTGGTGGCTATGGCCGTGCATACGATGACCAACGCCAACGAGAGGAAGAACAATACGGCGAGGGAAGGTAAGGTGTTTTGATCAGCGACATGAAAACAGTATTGGAGCCGGAAAATGGCGTTTATGTTTATTACCACGGCGTGGAATTCAACTAGCAGAAACTCAAGATTTCTCTATTCATCTGATACCCTATTTACAAAAATGTCTTCGCAGTGCGCTCTATATAATACCTGCCCTTGGTCTAGGTCTATTGCCCAAGCTTCTTCCTTCTATTAACATCAGCCTGCACCTGATGTAACCACCATGCGTGGATTCTGGCGTCTCCAGTCAACTCGGGGTGGAAGCTGGTTCCAAAGACATTGCCCTGACGAACAGCCACGACGTCGCCGACCTCTTGGTCGGGGTCGATATTACGCCCTTGAGTGGCGCACCGAGCCGCGGCACCAGACAAGGTGGCCAGCACCTCGACATGATTGGCCGTGGCAGCTTCCGCCGCGGCGTCTTTGGCCTTCCTCGAGGGCGCGATAACGGTATCTTCACGCTCCGCCTCTGCCACCTGGATCCCCTCTTGATGCGGCAGAATACATTCCACAATGGGGGCTCGGATGAAGACAGCAGGGAATGGCGGTGCGTTTTCGCCCAGGAATGGCAGTTCTAGTGGTCCTTGGAAACTCTCGGTCTGTCGGCCAAAGTGATTGCGGTTGACTCGAACGTCAAGACCACCGATCAGCTCCTGACCACCCTTCTTAGTCTTGTTGGCCGACTCGGCCAGCAGAATCAGGCCTGCGCAGGTGCCCCAGGTTGGCTTGCGGTGGACTCTGTACAATTGCGCTATCGTCAGATCTGCTCAACACTCGTATATTTGCAAGCGCACAGGCAAATACTTACTTGACAAAGTCTCTCAAAGGCTCCAAGAGATTAGATCGCGCCGCCACGAGAGACATGGTGGTGCTCTCGCCACCGGGCAACACAAGCCCGTCGCATCTGTCGAGCTCGTGTGGCGTTCGCACCTCAATGAACTCCCAGTCCGACAGAGCTTCCTGCTCAGCGGCCTTTTTCAGCAGCTGAACATGTTCAATGAATGCGCCCTGTAAAGCGAGGACTCCAACTGTGACCGGCATCTCTGTAGTGGCAAGAATAAGAAGGAGAGTGAGCGTTCACTTGCCCGTTTAGATATGACTCTAAAGGCACGTGATGCAAACTTTCCGCGGGGAGTTTCTTTATCGAGAACTTTTCTTATCGCCACGTGAGTCCGATAACGGGGGGTTCCTGGTGGGATGCAGCAACGCACTTGCAACATGCAGCTCGCGGAGCAGAGGCCAGTGTGCTTGCTTATGGGGTATGCCGCCTCGCTCTCGAGTCCTCAGGCAAAGCTGAGACACTTTGTTTAGCTGTTTTTGAACAGACCGAGTCCTTTGGACCGATATCACGGCCAACGGCTACAAAATGGCAGCCAATGAGATCAGCCCCGCTGATGCCCAATTAGCCAGGCCCGGAAACAAGACTACCGAGCCATCTTTGCACAGTCTACCAACCTTAGTTCGCTGGTATATCAATACCCGCGAATGGGAGGCCAATTGCCTCGATCTACCATTGTTGAATGTCCTCCGCCCTGCCGAACAAGAAGCCGTGAAACGATACCATCATGCTTCGGACAGGCGCATGTCTTTGGCATCTCATCTACTGAAGTATCTATACATTCATCATGCCTGTGGCGTTCCTTGGAAAGACATTATCTTCAGTCGCACCCCCATGCCTGAGAATAGGCCTTTTTATGCATCAAACTCGAATACACAGGTCGACTTTAATGTCAGCCATCAAGCCTCTCTCACTGCCCTGGCGGGAGTCATCGCCCCGTCTCAGGAACAACTTGCGAGCCAATCCGTTCAAGGCATTGCGCCCTCGCCGCCCAGGATTGGCATAGATATAACATGCGTCAACGAGCGGCGCAAGCCTATGAAGACCATGAAAGACTTTACCGACTTCGTAACCATCTTCAGCGAGGTATTCTCACCCAAAGAAATGGCAACCATGCAAAATCCCCTACCGACTCTTCGTCGAGCCCGTGAGCTGGGACTAGCTCCATCCTTCCTTTCAGATGATGATGCAACTATCATCGAATTTGGATTCCGCCTCTTTTATTCTTACTGGGCGCTGAAAGAGGCATATCTCAAAATGACCGGTGATGCCCTCTTAGCAGAATGGGTGCGTCATCTTGAATTCACAAATGTTATTCCCCCGGCTCCAGTTGATCCATTGATCTCATCCAAGCCATATGGCTTGTCTACTGGCGCGGAGTATATACCGCAGTCCCCTCACAATTGGGGTCCGCCGTACGCAGACGTTGAAGTCTTCAGAGATGGAGAGGTGATCGAGGATGTACGCCTTCAGCTGCAAGCTTTTGAGTCTGATTATATAGTTGCTACTGCTGGCCGGGGATGCCCTGTGGGCCCTATTCCTGAAGAGTGTGAAAACGATGGCGACCACCATCTTCCGAATCGTCACGGAGAGCTTTTGGCTAGAGGTACCACGACAATAAAACGCATTCCCATCAGCGCCCATATGGCCGTGGGTCAATCGGATCCATGGTGTCCAGACTCTACCATTGTTGATCCATGGCTCCCAATGCAGGAGGTGGATATTGAACTTGATATCCGGGCCTGCGCTGAGGGCCATTGTTCTCATCTATAGAGCAAAGCCGCATTCAGAACAGGACAGGGTGACTCTTTGACTCATTTATGACTATCACGCATACTTCCAATTACATTTGCATATACATAGCCACCACGAATAATGACTGTTTGAATCAGAACTTCCGCTTATTTCAAATATCCTATAGCCCAGCATGCTAATGAGACACACGTATAAGCTCATTCTATGTCACGCCTCCAAAATCCCCTTCTTCCACGTCCTACTCAGCCTCGGCGTCACCACCCTCTCAATCCCCTCCCTCCTCTGCCTCAAATACACAGTCCCATACCTAAACAACTGCCCCAAAGTCCCCGGCATCGCATATATCCCCTCATTCTCCGGTAGATTCAACAGCGTCCCCAGCTGCACCGAATGCCTCAATCCATGCGCATGTGGCACTTTCCACATCGACGCATTAGCAAGCATCTCCCAAATCAAAAAACTCCGCCTTCTCATACTTCTCCGAGCCAGGCTCTACACCCTGCGTTCCACAATACGGCAGAGTCAGCGCTTCAAATTCCCGCTCGCCAAACCCTACAAAGCTGGTCAGACTCTCCTCGCGCCAGTCCTCTTTTAGCACGTTGAAGGCGTAGAACAGTAGTCAACGCCGGAGAATTTTTCGCCGGCTTCTTCGAGGCAGAGCAGGCGGCCGGTGCAGATTAGTTGGGTTACGCATTCGAGTGTGAGCGATTCGTCGATCCAGTCCGCGTTGAAGGATGGGTCGGGGTTTTCGAACATTATGGGCATGATTGGGGCTAGGAGCGGGTGGGAGAGCAGGCGTTTGAAGTTCTTGTTGCTGCCCCAGACGTGGGTGAAGAAGCGGTGCCTGTGGATACAGTTAGCTTGACCTTTTTGTCTTCTTATATACTAAAAGAGACCGAATGCCATGCCCACCGTTGATAGATGAACGGATCATGTCTCCGCACAGCAACGAAATGATTCGCCGTCATAATGTTGTAAACCACCGGCAAAGCCACTCGATACGGCGTATTCTCATCCTCAAGTACATTACAACACATCCGATCTAGATGTCTGATCAAAATACTACCAACGTCCATCTACGCCCCGCCATGTTCGTACAGACAAGCCGTGCGAGTGAGATCAGCCCCATGTTATCCAATATAAGGCCCATCCATGGACTGGTCCACAAACGCCAATGGTAATAAATATTCCGGAACAAAGCGAAGAGTATTGTTTGGCGATCTGGCTACATTGTCGAGGATTCAGACGGTCCATTCAGGCCCTAGAATGCGTACCCAATCTATGGCGTCCTTTTGGCACCATTTGGGCATTTGGGAAGCGCCCGTGTGCTAGTATGCCCTGACATTCTTTTCGGATGTCACTGGTTTGTAGTCTTGGAAGGTTACGAAGATTTCGGCGTTTATTCGACTACCTATGGCCTCGATTGGCTCTAGGAGATTGTGAATTCGAACATTGTAAAATTAAAACGAGCAAAGCGGGATATTTGACAAGGAAGTTCACCCTAACTCTCTGATTTCAGAGTTGTAAGAATAGGTCCTCACTTGCTTTAGAAGGGCGATGGGTTTTGGTATTTTATCCCAAATCTCAGCTTCTTGGCAATACTTCAGCATTGGAAGCCTGATGGCGCACGGTTGGCTGCGGGAGCCACTGGGATCGCTTCTCATGGAGTAATCACTGGCATCCTTTGCTGGGCATGTCCCGCCTGAAATGGGCATATATTGCCTCTGGTGATACTCCCTGCATCTCTAACCACTCGCTTTTCTTATCAATGGCCCAATTCCAGCAACTCTATAGAAAGCAATAGCTCTGCGACGGCAGGCACCCAGAACAACAGCGTCATGACATCTTTTCATGCTAGGAATATATACATTTGCAGAGACCGAAGGGTAGAAAGGGCATAATGGGGAATTGGAGGACATTGGTGAGAGGCCCGAAAAAATGCACATGGGATCGGGTTAGGGTGAAAGGTGAAAGGTGAAACAAGATCCTCACAACAAAGCATGCGCCCTAATGTGGAGGAACGGAAAGGTAGCTGATCTAACGATTAAACCAAGACGCGACCGAGTCGGTATATCATCTCAGGGGTGGGTTCATGGCAGGAACTACCTGCAGAAGGGGAGTCGTGTTCTTCTTCTATGTATAATGCTCTTCGGGGGGAATAAAGGGTATGTACCGAAAGGAGAATGGTAGTTTCTCAGCCTCGACATATAAGGCTGATAGCTTTCCTGGATGGTGTAGAGAGATGTAAAGACCAAATCTTTGAAAGCCTTGACTTCGAGACAGTAGGGAATCCTAGAGGATCTTGCTTCAGAGATTCATCTGAGAGTCTGCATATTGATACTCTCAAATCTCAATAGCGGACGATACACCATTCGCCTGCAAAGGCTCAGCCTTGATGCCCTCCTTGGACATGCTCAGAATGGCCTTGAGCATCGAGTCACGAGTGGACTGGGTCAGCTGATCCACATCGGCAGGACTCAAGTCCTTGGTAATGATAGGAGGCAGAACTATGTATCACATTCGTTAACAAAAACTCAACCAGTGGAAGCTCTACAAACTAACCCTTGACCTTGATAGAGCCTGCATTGAATCGCAAGTTGCGAGGTGACATGACATGGGAGTAGTTCTCAGTCACGACAGGGACGATAGGCACACCAGCCTTAACAGCCAAGTGGAAAGCACCCTTCTTGAAGGGCAGCAGCATAGGCTCATCGGAATAACTCCGTGTACCCTCGGGGAAAATGAACACACTCTGGCGATGGTTGCGCATCTCATTCACCGCACCATCAAAGGCCTTCATGGCATTCTCGCGGTTGGCACGGTCAATGAATACCGTCCGGGAAAGAGTCATGAACCAGCCCAGGAAAGGCACATTGCGCAGGGACTTCTTTGCCGTTACACTGCAGTAGGGCGGGAAAATAGCACCGAGCATCAGGACGTCCAGCTCGGTCTGGTGGTTGCCAACGAAGATAGCCGGGCGGGTGCTCAGGTACTCCTCGCCCTCGATGATATCAAATGTCACACCGGTAGTATACCGCATCACCCACTTAAAGCTGCGAGCGGTAGCCCATTGAGAGACACGGCCATAGCCAACGAGGCGGAGGACGATCGAGGCGATAACACCATATGCCGCGCACAGGAGTAGCGAACCATAGGCGGCGAGACAGCGAGCGGCGAATGTTGCACGAGGCACCTTCTGTCCCAGAGCAAAAAGCGACAATGTCACTAACACAAAGGAGCTGATGCCCGACAAGATATATGAAGTGATCGACATGGCAGTGGGATCGAAGTGAAGGCTGTTGGGAAAAGGGTTGGGTCAGTCCTTATACAAGACCAGAAGCGAATGACAACGGATCTTCGTACTTCACCGAATTGTTTGACGGCGATAGCCCACTGGAGGAATGCACGCGAGATCCAAAGGAACAGACAACTCAGATAGCGACAGCGAAGGCCATGTTGGCGGGACTGCGGTGGGTGAAGCTGCTTTTTTTGCCCGTGGCCGACTCACCGCCAGCTGACCGCGGCAAATGACGGCATCACGCAGACTAGCCACGAATGAGGGTGGAGAGAGTGGGAGTCACTAGTCAGATTCTTGTAAAACAATTGGGCCTGAGCTCAAGCCTCGGCAGGCCTGGCTGTTGATGTTGGTGGGGGGTTGGGTGAGAAAAGCTTGTGCCTGGCAACCACACAACATTTACGGTTCAATCGGGACGGACCCATTGCCACGATATAGGACATACAAGACAACAACAATCACGAGAAACGTCGCTAGCTTTTAGAGGATTCAGGTAGAATTCAATCAATTACAAATTACACAGAAATGGTCGTGAATCTTAGAGGATGATTCATTGTAATAATGGATCGTGCTCTGCCCCATCGGTCCGTCGTCCATGATGCCCAATCGTCATACATTAATGTACAAAACACCAAGCCGGATGCCTGATGCTTGGAATGAAGATGCCAGATGTCCAGGGTAGGGAGACCTGGAAAAAAGACGAAAAAAAACAACTCCCCAGTGATGCTGTGCAGAAGAAAGAAAGGAGAAAGAAGTGGCCCTCGAACGCCAAGCTCGTAACATAAGACGGTATCCCCCCAATTCGCCCAAGGCCCAGGAATTTTCGTAAAGGGAAAAGGAGAAGAGACCTGGAAAGCATCACAGATCTTTCATGCAATATCATCATCTTCCATTTCATCGTCATCCAAGGACTCCATCGCGTCTTTGATGAACTGGGCAGCCTGGGAGAGAAAGGTAATTGGTTAGTTCACCCAAGTCTAGATTGCAGTCGAAACCAGGGGGGGGGGATTTACCTTAGGGTCCAAGTTCAAGGCGGTGGTAAAGTGCTTGATGGCATTGGCTTTGTCATGAATAGCCTTGTACAATTTACCGAGGAGGTAGTGTACGTTGGCCTCGTCGGGTGCCATGTCCTTCAGAACCTTGAGCTCGGCCATGGCAAACTTGTACTCACGGAGCCGCATCAAGACGCGAGCCTTGCGGAAGCGAGCCAGCACAGAGTGTGGTGCGACTGAGCAGGCACGCTCATAATGGAATAGAGCGTTCTTCGGATTATCCATCTTCTCCATGACCAAGCCAATGCAGCAGGTGAGGACGGCATTGGTTGGGTTGATGGTGGCTGCATTGCGGAAATGCTGCTCGGCAAAGTCGAGCTTGCCCATCTTGTCATAAACCGTGCCCAGGCCATACCAGGCATTGTAGTGGCGGTTTTCCGCATTGATCCCGTGGCGGTAGGCATCAAGAGCCTTGTCGTATTCTTCATTGGCAACGTACTCGTGACCCTGTAATGTGAAAGCATAGGCAAACTCGGGGTCCAGCATAGTTGCGCGCTTGAAGCATTTCAAGGCCTGGTCGTGATCTCGCTGGTGGGAGAAAGAGTTACCGATGGCACACCAAGCCTGAGGCGACAACCGGTCGGCCTCCAGTAATTGGTGTGCCAGGTATGCCAACTCCACGTCATTTTTGAGGTGCCAAAGAACGGTCGAGTAGATTTCCATATCCTCCACCCGCGAGGGTGCCAAGGTTTGAACACGGGAGAAGTATTGGGCAGCTTCGGCATACATTGCCTGTTCAAAGTGGGCTCGGCCAAGTTGAGCCAAGACCCACGGGGTCTCACGTTGACCCTGCGAGAGAGAATTGAAGTGTTGTATAGCTTCGGGGCATCTGTACCGACTCAATGCGCTGTACCCAGATGCAATTTTGGTAAACAGCCCCAAAAGCCAGTTCAGGGCTTCGAGCTCTTTGGATCTCTCGGCATTTCTGGGGAGAGGAGGAACGCTGGAGGTAGAAGGGATGGATGTAGCACGGGGTTCCTTGCCATCATTGTCGGCTGACTCGATAGGTTTGCGGTTGCCGCTCACCACCCGGCCCACGGTGGACGTTGTGGCAGGACGTCCCTTGGCGTGGGCACTTCGTACTTTCTTCACTTCACGGCCATCACGGCCCATCAGAGTAGAGTTGGAAAGCTTGCTGGTGGTAGGTTTGATCTGATTGAAGAGTCTGACGCTTCGACGCTGAGGAGCACCAGGCTCGGCCGGTTGAGAGGGGAGGGGATGGGCAACTTGGCCAGAAACCGTGCGTTTGCGATCACCGAAGCGCGGCGCGGGTGGAGGTTCTCTGTCGGCTGGTGCGATGGGAGGTTCGTCCGGTTCGGTTCGAGTTCTAGGTCGAGGGCGAATACCAGTTGATCGCATTTTAGGTGGGGGGTGACCCGTTTGGTCCAAGCTCATTGACTGGATCGTACGATTCTTCCTTGCGGGCGCCAATGGTGGCTCCCATACGGAGTCTGGTTCCGTGACGCCATTCGCGATACGAAACTCTTCTGAGCTACTGCTTTGCCCACTGGGTGTCTCCATTCCCTCGTGGATTACCGGTGCCGCTACCGATGCAACACTAACGGAGCTGCCGTTGAATTTCTCCCACAACGCCGAGCTTCCGTAGGTCGAATCAATGTCGCCACGTGCAGAAGAGACCATGAATGGATCACCACCCGGGTGTCCAGTGGTTTGTGCGGGAAAGGAACCTTCAGTCGACGAGAAATGCCGAGGTACAGAGTCCAGGTCGTCGGGGGAAGCAGAGATTATGGAGAGGAGTTCCGGGCTAAGTTGGTAGATGTTAGGGACTCGGATGTTGACGCCTAATCATGAGTTAGCTTCGTTCTGTTTGGCCTCGTTTAAACATTTGAGGCGATGGCACTGACCGGTCGAGCATAAGCCGAGGAAAGCATCCCACATGAAGGGATTCAGTTTCAAAGAATCCACGTAGCAATCCACTGCCTTGTTCAAGTCCTTATGACCTTGCCATAGCTTTCCGAGCAGGCAGTATACTGCTGCTGCATCCGGTAGATGCTGCCGAGATGTTTCACTGTGCTTATCTGTAGTGCAAACGTTAGACCAATATCAGACCAAGCCTGTGACTTCGGAAGTGAGACATACTCCAGTGATTTTTGGATTGCCAGAGCGACTTGCTGCGTTCCAGGGCAGTGATACCATCCAGGTATTTGCCCAGATCCAAACAAGCCTGGCCGTAGACATAAGCGCAGCCTACATGCAGGCCACGCGATCCTGAGCCCTGGCTACACTCTAACGCAGCCTTGACTTCGCCATTGTGCAGGTGGCAGAGAGAGAGTAGGTATTGCGCTTCGAAGGATCTCGGTTCATAGGCAAGAAGACGACCAGCAAGGAAAAGGGCATTTCGAACGAGGTTGTTGTCGAGGTGATAGTAGATAAGGTGCCTCAGTTGGCTGGCCACATGGCCCGTGGAAAGCGCCATGGTGGCGCGCGGGGAGGTGAACGCGATGTTGTTGTTGTGATGAGGACCGAGGGAGTAGAAACCATCAGCAAACGCCACCCATCAGCATCAACTCAAGACCAGCAGTACTGGTTGAAGGCAGATTTGAGAGGAAGGAGAGCTGCCGATCTCGACTTGGAGGTAGTGAGGTGCGGGAGTACGGTGGAATGTAAACGGAAGCCGGAAGCGGTAGGTGGGAAAGGTAAGATGAAAAGTCCCCTAAGGACCTGTCTGTACACACTCTATCGAGTCAGACCACCTTTCACATTTACACGGCCATCGTGTAAGTCCTGTTCAGACGATGTTTGTGAAGAATCGCGTAGTGATAAGTAACCGTGCGTGCTGGCTGGTCTTATTTTGGTTGCATCTGCTCAGCGGAGGTCTTCTATTTTGCCGGGCGGTGAGTGTTGGAGTGGGCAACAATCGCCTTTGCTTGGAGCCAACTGAATACTTCTACGAACATAATTAAAAGAACTAAGGAAATAAAAATTAGAGTCAATTATTTCTGTTCACTTGGTATGCCGTTCTAGGTGATGCCGCTAGGTAGTACAATACGTCCCATTAGAATATGAATGTTCCTGATTTAAGCTCAATATATTCTGGCAGCTTACCTCTACAGGGAGTCCGTCAACTCACTCTCGCGTAATGCACTTCAACATAATACATGCTCGAAGAGGCCAGCAGGGATAATCCTTAAGGTTGCTTACAGCAAAAGCCAATAAGCAGGTAATTGAGATCCAAGTAACCTTGTCTTAATGATTATTCCATCAGTACCGAGAAGTAGTGCCCTTCATCCATTGCTAACTCAGAATGCCTATGGTAGCTTCGAGCACCTATCTGCATGAGGTTTGTTTATACTTTTTACACGCATGAACCCCGCGGGGCACCCGCGGGGAGCCTACGCCCCAGGATCAGATATATTATCAGATAACATCGTTTACTCTGACCATATGCTTCATGTAAATTGAATGGTCTGACTCGTCACGCGAATATAGATCTACAGATGTAACACGGGCCAATCTCAAAGCGGAGTCAAAGGCGGTCATACTAGGCAAAACCATGGCGCACCTGCATGGAGCCGTTTCTGCCGCAGAACATCGCCTACATCGCCCAGAGATCTCCATACTTACCACCAACCATCATCTTCCCTTCCCCTCTCTCTTCCCTGGATGTAATCCCAAGCTGCACAGCGGACACTCGGGACAGTGACTAGCACCAGTCACTTGACAGTCGTACGGCCATACCTACGCCTTCTGCCACCCACCCTACATTCAATCCTCGGCTCCCATCCAGCAACGTCGCCCGTTCCTCTCCAACATGGCCCAGGTAAGCTCCAATCCCACCATAACCACTCATACCCACTCGCATCACACTACTCAGACCCCCTAACACTTCTATAGAAAGCAGCCAAGACACTGGCAACCCGCAATGCCGCCGTCCTCACCCGCACACACCTAATCACCGCCGCCCTCCACCTCCTCTTCCTCATCCTCCACTTTACATTCCAGCGCCCCCGCTCACTAAAACCCTACCTCCTCCTCGCCGTGCCAACTCTAGTCATCGAATTCTACCTCGACCGTGTGGGCCGTCCCCACTACAACGAGGATGGCTCGCTGCGCTCCGCGGGCGAGGACCTCAACGCTACGGGTCTGACTGAGTACATGTGGGATGTGCTGTACTGGACGGAGGGGTGCATTGCCGCTGTGTGCATCTTCAATGATCGGGCTTGGTGGTTGTGGGTGGTTGTGCCTCTGTACTCAGTTTATTTGGTGTATACCACTGTGATGGGTGTGAAGAAGGGGTTTGCGGGGATGGGTGGGGGGTGCGGAGGGGGCGGAGGGGGCGGATGGGCAGGCGCCGATGAGCAAGACGCAGATGAAGAAGGAGAAGAAGGGGGACCGGGTGAAGTATCGTCGGTGATTGCACAGAGAGAGTTTTGAAATTGGGGTATATGCCACTCCTACATACATGGTTTGTGGGACAGCATTTCATACAGATCGGAACTTATGAAGGGATTGAGCGAAGTGCAATGCTGAACCCTCGGCTTCTGCAAAAAGCTGGATTTAAGAAGTCCTGCTATGCCAGCGCAACAATCGACCTTGACCAGGCTAGTGAAAGAGGTCTACGGCGGCCGATAGTGGCCACCCTTGGGCAGGTGGTATGTTTATACCGCCTGGCCTACATACCTTATAAACTAGGTATTAACATACCCGAAATAGGTAATTCAGTCTGCTTTCGAATAACCCGGAATCTCTTTCTACATCTCTCTCTACATCTCTCTCTCTACCTACGTCGCTTATCGGGGTGGCCTCTATTAAGAATAACGATATGACCCCAGTCGCTATAGTAGCTCTAAGTCGGTGAGTAAAATCTTCGACAATAGTACTAGAGGCTTCTTCCCCCGTTCGGTGTAGCCAGCGTAGACCTATGTAGAATTGCTTGTGCCTGATGTTACGTGTGAGTAGCCTAATATTTCAAGGTGCCAGGTAGCTATGTGGCTAAGTAGGGGTTTCTGCCCTTGAAATTTGATCAAAAACCACTTGCCAAGGGTGGCCACTATTGGCCATCGTAGAGGTCCCAGCATACGGCGAACTAAAGCGGGCGCCGAGAGAATACACCAATTAGCATGACATGCGCGATTCTACACCTCACCAGATATTCTCCGATCAGGAAGTAGCCAATTTAAGACATAAAAAGCGCGTTTCATTATATACTAGAAAAGAACATCGCTGGCCAAAAAGCCGAAAACAAAAACCGCCATGAGAAATGGGCATTCGTGCCACAAGAAAAGCCGAGAAAACAGAGGGGAGGAACCATGATTTCACTGTGCAATTTGCAGGTCATGAGCATATTGCCATCGTAACAAACTATATGGGGAATAAAGCATCGAGAGACTGCGCCCCACATGCTACTGGCATGCCACTGTAGGAGGCCCAGTCTCAACGCGACACATTTAACAGGAGTGGATGTAAGACACGGATAATGAAGAAGGGGGAAAAAGAAACATCAGACAATGCCGTATAACAATGAGGGGCTATTTTCGTCTAGAGCTCGTCCTTGGTCAGGGACGAGGCACCAGCCTTGATGCTGCTGGTGATCTGATCAGCGTGGGGTACAGCCGTCTCAACGGCTTCAGACGCAAAGCTGCTCGCACTGGATGCGAGGTCAGCGAGTTGCGCCTGCGCACTCTCAACAGCGGCGGCAAGACGGCTGGTGGCACTTTCCACAGCGCCAGGTTCCTCGCCATAGATCGCAGCGCTAGCCTTGGATTGAATCTGCTCAATGTTGTCCCTGGCGATATCAATATAGCTAGGCTCCTTTCCGTACACAGCGCCACTGATCTGGGCCGAGGCACTCGAGTAAGCCTCAGCTGCAGCCTCAGTAGCCTGCTCGAAGCGACCCTTGGGCGTCCCGTAGATACCAACGCTGGCAGCTTCAACGGCAGCTTGCAGCTGATCATTAGCCTGCTGCATGATATCTTCCACACTGGGGATGTCGGAGACAAATGCATTAGCTGCGGAAGAAACCGCCTCGTAGGCTTCGCTAGCGTAGCTCGAGGCTGCGGACACAGCTGCAGCCGGGTAAGGGGTCTCATAGGCAACGCGGAGTTTGCTTAGGACGCTCTCAGTGAAAGATGGCTGTTTACCAATAAGCAGCTCAGAGACGATCGCTTGGACGGCTTCGAGATGTGGCACGTGATTGTCCACTACCTGTTGCAGATACGGCGCTGGGGTACCGTAGATTCGCTCACTGGCCTTAGCAACAAGCATCTCCCAGTTCTCAGACGCCTGGCTGGAAAGAGACTCCAGGGCCCCGGGCGTCGTGCCATAAATAGCAGAGCTAGCCGAGGCTGACGCGAGAGACAGAGAAGAGGAGGCAGCGGAGAGGGCGGCCTGATATCTGGACGAGGCATCATCGATGATGCTCTGACTCCTTCCATCATCAGCTGCAGAGACCATAGAGCTTGCAGAGGCGACGACTGCGGCGAGACTAGCGAAAGCCAAGGAAGAAGCCTGCTCGTACTGAGAGCCGGCTTGTTCTACGAGGTTTCGGAAGTCCAAGGGTGCCGGGGTTGGGGTTGGAGTGCCATAAACTGCCTCCGATGCGGTAGACACGAAAGCAGTGTAGTGCTCGTGAGCGACGCCAACAGCCTCATAGTAGCGACGCTGTGCATCAAGCACGAAAGGCTGGAAACCAACCGAGCTGGTGGCTGGGACAGTGTGTAGGGCCAGCTGCTCCGAGGCCAAGCTGAGTCCTTCGCTCAAACGCGAAGATGCAACGGAAGAAATGTGCGCTAGGGGGCCAGCAGTAGTAGGGGTAGCCTTGACAGCGGCGATCCGCGCCTCGAACTCCTCGGTGGCGTACTTCACGGCACCAGAGTATGCAGACTCGATAGAAGACAGGACCTGAGCATGAGCGGGAGCGCTCGAATGCGCCATCTGACCCATAACCTGAGACTTGGCGATTTCGTAGAGAATCTTGGCCTGAGCGGTTGAATCGGCGAAAGCGGAGCTCGCGTCAGAGTAGACATCGCCGACTTTGTGAGCCAGGTTGTGGAAAGCATCCTGCTCATCCTCGTCAAGGATAGGTTCCTGCTGGGAGTTCAAAGTGGCTGCGGCGACGCCAAAAGCAGGCTTTGTAGCGTATTTATCTTCCTCAAAAATGGCATCAAGGACACGCTCCTCTGCATCTTCGTTGTCGAGGGTCGTTTCGGACTCCATAGCCTCGTCGGCCTCCTCGGGAAGATCACCACTGGTGGCGGAGGTAGGGGTCTCTTCAGTATCATCTTCTTGCGAAGTCGACGAGAAAGCTTCGGAATCCATGGTAGCTTCTTCGAAAACTTCATCATTGTCCGTGCCCTCCTCACTTTCCTCAGACTCCACTACTGGCTTGGGCCGCGGAGGAGGAGGCTCAGTACGGGTATCGAAGTTGTCACCCACCTCACGAGCGGCAATCTTCCAGTTGCCAACATCTTTAAGCCGGATGAGTTCTCTGGCGGTATCCTCAGCCACCTCCATTCCACTGTCCAGAATTCCAGCAGCCGCAGACTGAGCTTCGGCGATGGACTTGTGGTTCATGCCGACCTTGCGGATCTCGTTGCGCCAGTCATCGATTTGAACCTTGAGGGCGTGGTATTTAGCCCAGTCTTTATAAGTCACATCGTCCATCCAGGCCCACCGAGTACCGATCTCCTGTAAACCCAGGTCACGGATGCTGTCGAGCACATCCAGCGTTGAGTTGATAGCAGCAGAGACCCGGCGAAGGAGTTCTTCGTCAAAGGATAGAGACCATTGTCGGAGAGCGTGGGCGCGATCTCGTACCAAGACAGCGGCTGAGCGAATGTCAACAAGCAACTTGTCACGGGACTCTTCCTCCTCCTCAGGTGCATCTTCCTCTGGCAGGGCTGCCGCAAGCTCGTTAATTCGCTGCTTGATAGAGGAGATCTTCTCAGCCGAGACTGCCTGGAGGGCAGTAGATAGGCTTTCACCGTGGCTGTTGGCACTGTTCGCAATGAGCGCGGAAACGATGTCTCCAATGCGCTCCTCGAGATCTTCAATTCCCTTGTCGGCTGCTTTGGCAAACTTGTCCTGCCACCTTTGAAGATCAGACTCAATTCGGGCACGAGCTTGCTTGGATTTTTCCTCGGCCGACAAGGTGGGCTGAGCAGATGGGGTCTCTGGTGTCGAAGTGGTGGTTGTGCTTGCGGAAGTGCGAGGTTCAACCTTTGCGGTTGTGACGGTTGAAGAGACGGGTTGTTCAGAAGCGGAACTGTTGGTTTATGTTAACATGGACTTCGTACATGTCAGTGATGCGGGTAGTACGTACCTATCCATTTCTTCGACGACAGCGCGGAGGCGCTTGCCTTCCCGATAGCTTGCCAGGCGCTGACCGATCTTGACAAGCTGAGGCTCGACCTGCTCCGAATAGAGGCCTGTCACATGGGGCCACAACGAGCTGTTCGCAAAGTAAACCACGGAGGACCAGGTGTAGCGTGCACCAGGCATCACATGGGTTGTTAGGACTTGTTGGCTGGTGCTATAAGTCTTGCCAATGAACGGCTGCGAACGAGTGTAGAAAGGCACTAATTGGTTCCAGTAAACAGCCTGCGCCGCCCCCTTTGCCTTCTGGTAATAAGGCGATACCACGGCTACACCTTGTTGCACATATGGATCAATCTGGGCCAGATACAAGTGATGAGCTTGAACCTGAGCGGCTTCTAGGCGCGGCGTCACTTGAGCTTTCCATTGTGCTTCGCCGAATGCTCGGGCTCGTTGCCATGCTGGGGCGCCGTATTTCTCATAGCTGATTTTGGCGACATTAGAGGCAGGCGTATAGACTTGCTGGTTGAACACCTCCACATACGGGCGCGCCTGATTCACGTAGGGGGCGGCATATGTGTCATAATAGGGGGTCACATAGGGTTCCACATGGGAACGCGCGATCAAATATGGCTTGCAGACCTTGGGAGAGGTCTCGTTCAACTCGTCTAAGCGTGATGGGCACCGTAGGAAGGGCGTGAGGAGAGTATACCAAATACACAACCTAGAAATATCGAATCATTAGTCCACATCGATTTTTTTCTCGCTCTCCAGCGGTTCCAAGCGAGGCATGAGAGCTGTTGTCGTGAGGGTTGTTGAAGAATGAGATCGTATGGCCAGACTTACCGAACCACCAGCCCTAGCGTCCATCGCAGATGACTCTTTCTGCGAGCTTTCCTACTTCTCACATCTTTGCCTATTGGGCTAGACTTCCTTTCCTCACTCGATACCGCGGGTACATATTCATTCTCTTGGACTGCCATGCTGGCTGCCGTTGGCAGGTGGGCCGACCCTCGTGAAAAAAGTTGCGGGCACGAGCTTTCGCGTCGCGTCGACGTATTCTTCGGACAGAGGTATTTGTAGTTATCGATAGACTGCTATTGTCTCATCAGGCCAATGTAAGCTAGACACCGGATCGCAGGTGTTCGGGCAGATGATTTGGAAGCTTGGTGACGAAACTTGGAGCTTGGAGCCGGTTCGAAGGCGGAATGGTCGCGTCGGCTCGGCGCTAGGAGAGATTCACGGGCCGCAGGTCAGAGCGCACACAATGATGATGTGATTCCGAGGCAGATAGAGAACAGATGAGCATACAGATTCGTATGAACCACCGGATAGAGAAGACCAAACTTCCTCAGGAACGAGCCCGGGGTACCTGGGATAAAAGACTAAGTTTCCAAGTCCGAAGGAGCGATTGTTAAGGTGTCTGAGGATCAGTGAGGTCATCGGTGGCACCCAGGCAGAACCGGGTAGATACGACAATACATGATGTAGCACCGCCTGGAGGGCGTATTTATGCGTATTTAAGGGATGAAAAGTGGTAAGATACAGTATTGACAAAACAAGCTGAGTCAGCCTCGTCGGACAGCCGCCGCTGCCCCAAAACCAAAAGTCTCCAAGTCGTCAATCGTCAAGTCCCAAAGTGGGAAGGCCCCAGCTCGACCGCCATCCTCAGACAAACGATCGACCGATTGACCCTCAGGTCGTATTCTTGCTCTCAGCAGGTCCTGTTGTATTTGGGTGCCATTTGCATAATCGATCAACCAAGCTGACTCGAGCCTCCTCGGCTTCATAATCCTCCCGCATCGACATTGCCCCGTCGTCATATTTGACTCGACTTTGGCGAATTTGATCTTATCTTTGATGGTTGTGGGAGTTACAATGAAGAGCTGGTAGAGGCCGTGCTTCCCGGGCGACTCCAGGAGACCTGAATCTACGAAATACCATGGATTTCGCACCACACTCGGCCAGCGGCCCTACGGGCATGACATCGTTCCCCGACCTAATGAACGACCCAGCTTTCGATGACCGGGAGGGAGGAATGGAAGATATGGATACATGCCGAATTTGTCATGGAGAAGCAACGGAGGAGGAGCCACTGTTCTATCCCTGCAAATGTAGCGGTAGTATCAAGTTCGTCCATCAGAGCTGCTTGGTGGAGTGGCTGTCACATTCGCAGAAGAAGCACTGCGAGCTCTGCAAAACGCCCTTCCGATTTACGAAACTATACGATCCTAATATGCCCCAAAGTCTCCCGACGCCCTTATTCCTACAACAGGCTTTGATTCAAACTCTCCGAACCATGGTGACATGGCTGCGCTTTGTTCTCGTGGCGTTTGTGTGGTTAGGTTGGCTGCCCTGGTCGATGCGAGCGATCTGGAGGGCGCTTTTCTGGCTCGCTGACGGCCGCTGGTCGGCCGGTGGGACAGTCCAGCAACGAGGCGCGCAAGCCATCCAGAATGGTGTCGAGAAACTGGCTACCAACGCCAGCGTAGTTGCCACTGCTGCGCTCAATTCGGTGACTTCGGGCGCTTCGAGTGCCGCTTCTTCCTCAGCCATCGCTGCCCCGTCGGCTCAAGCTGCTACTATCAGCTTCCCAGCCGGCGATCCGCTCATGCTTACATTAATCAAGAAAATAATTCCTACTCTGTTTATCCCTGCCTGGTCATCCAGCAGCAGCGAGAGCGGCCCTCTTGCAAATGGTCTCTCTGGCTCACCAAAACCGCGGTACCCGTCATGGCTATCGGATGTCAAGTTTCTCAATACGCTGACACCCTACCCGACAATCAATAACATGATCATCGACACTCTGGAGGGCCAACTCATTACTCTGCTCGTGGTCGTTGCTTTTATTATTCTGTTCCTGATTCGAGAATGGGTCGTTCAGCAGCAGCCCATGGCCAACATTGCTGAAGGAGAGCGCGAAGCAGCATTGCAGCTGATCGCAAACAATCGCCCCAATGAGGAAGTCAACGGATTACGCCCGGACGTTGCCCCGCCTCAACCCCATGAAGAGGTTGAACCCGAACAGAATCCGCTGGCAGAAGATACGGACGACGATGTACCCGCTCGTGCTGCCAACCATTCTCCCGCACCGTCCTGGACCGACTCTGACGATGGGCTCCCGGTTTATGATAGGCAAGCAGGCTTCCGGGATTACGATTTCCCAAGAGATCCGTTCCAGGACGATCCTCATATGGAAATCGGCCATCCAGAGCGCCAAGCGCCGACCACTCCACAGTATTCAGACGTGTCGCTGTTTCAAGATATCCTGGCTCGTGCAAACGGCGATCGTGACGAAATCCTTCGAATTATTCGACAAGAAGGCCATGAAGAGGAACTAAGTTGGATTGTTGACGCACTTACCAGGTCACCGCTTGACCAACCACTCCCTGGGCCATCTACTCGCGCAACAGGGCTTTTCCAAAACCAGCCCGCAACTGCTCAGGATACATTGGACCCGGAGAGTGAAGATGGCGATGTACACTCACAAGCTGACGAAATCACTGGGCAGGAGGCCCACATCCAGCAGCCCGCGGCAACAAGAGAGGTTGAGAGTCCAATTAATATTCCAGTTGAACAGCAACGTCCAAAGAATCTGGGCGATCGACTGATCGATTGGTTCTGGGGAGATATTGCACCTGATCACCACGATCATGACGACCTACCCCTAGAGGATGACGAGCAGATCATGCAAGACCCAGCCTTGGAAGATCCTTTTGTCCCTGTTCCAAACCGATTGGAAGGGCCGCCTGCCGAAGGAGCGGCGTTCGTTGGAGGCGCGGCTGATGGGGCGCTAGAAGGCAATGACGTGGATGCAATTGAAGGCGATGATTTTGAAGGAATCATGGATCTCATCGGCATGCAAGGTCCCATCTTTGGACTCTTGCAGAATGGCGTTTTCTGCGCTCTCCTAATTGCCTTCACGGTCGCTATTGGGATCTGGCTTCCCTACTTGTGGGGTAAGATTGCTCTTGTCCTTTTGGCCAACCCTCTGGAGCTCATCGTTGGTGTTCCTATGACTGCTATCACAGTGGTTGCAGATATCGTGCTTGATACTCTGATTGGCGTTGTAGGCTACGTTATGTACTGGCTGAGCTTCACCTTCAAAGTCCTTCTCAGTCCATTTGGTGCTCTGGTCCCTGCCCTCGAATGGATTCCTCGAACCAAATCCATCACTAGCACATCGCTATCTCTCATTGACAAAAGCACCGATCGTTTGAACAAGGTCGTCCAGGCTTTCCTGGTATTCCATGAGTCTGATATACCCATGTTCTCTGTGCTTTCTCACCAGGCCCTCAAACTACATCAAGCTCGTGTCATGACCCTCTTTCGATCTGCATTTGCCGTTTTCAAGTTTGTTCTACATGACTTTCCTCTCCGGCTGATGACCCTTGGGATCCCGGGTGCGCTGTCATTTGATATCGACTTGTCCCAGCTGAAGAATGCCACCGTCCAAGCACAGCATTACGTTGGGAACTTTACTAGATCATCAATTTTTGCCAACTCCGGGACGAAACTCATGAATGCAAGTGCTGCTCGAACAGCTTCTGCCACTGTGCCGGTTGACTACGATCTGGCTGTATGGGATACCAAAGATCGTGTCATTGCCATTGCGATGGGTTATCTTCTAGCAACAATGATCGGCTTCCTGTACCTGCGAGTCACCGGATTGCTCGCTGGGGCCAACCGTGGCCAACGAATCGAAGGAATCGTCGCCGAGGTGCTTCTACAAGCTGGGGGAGTGATGAAAGTCATTCTCATCATTGGCATTGAGATGATCGTCTTCCCCCTCTACTGTGGTACACTATTGGATGTTGCCTTGCTTCCCTTGTTTTCCAATGCTACTATTTCCTCGCGCATCGCCTTCACAGTTGGGTCTCCACTGACATCGCTTTTCGTGCACTGGTTCATTGGCACTTGTTACATGTTCCACTTTGCCTTGTTCGTTTCCATGTGCCGAAAGATCCTGAGAAGCGGTGTTCTCTGTAAGCACGACTTTTTCCCTCAAAAGATCCGTCTTTTCTTCTGCTGACTTGTCTGAACAGATTTCATCCGTGATCCCGATGACCCGACTTTCCATCCGATCCGCGACGTTCTCGAGCGCAGTATTACCACACAGCTTCGGAAAATTGCGTTCAGCGCTCTGGTCTACGGTGCCTTGGTAATTGTCTGCCTAGGTGGCGTTGTTTGGGGTCTGTTTTATGCATTCAATGGCGTTCTTCCTATCCATTGGTCCGCTAGTGCCCCAATGCTCGAATTCCCGGTGGACCTGCTGTTCTACAATTTCATCATGCCGTTGGCAATTCAATCCGTCAAACCCTCAGATGGATTGCACGACCTGTACGACTGGTGGTTCCACAAGTGCGCTCACTTCCTGCGCCTGAGCAACTTTTTCTTCCCTGAAAGACACCCCGAAGAAGAAGGGCGCCATGTTCGGCGATCCTGGTGGGGTCTACTTTCAGGAAGCAAGGGTGACTGGGAACACCCTGTCATTGGAGATGAAGCGCAGGCTGCCGCCGAAGCAGAGAACCGTGACGTTTATTTCCTACGGGATGGCCGGTATGTCCGTGCCCCTGCTTCCGACCAGGTCCGTATCCCCAAGGATACGCAGGTATTCTTGGACGTGACCGAGGACAATGACCGTGTTGATGGGAAACCTGACACGAACGATGGTCTTCATGGCCGTGAAAATCCCACGTTCACCAAGGTCTACATTCCACCACACTTCCGAACTCGCATTGCTGCCTTCATCCTGTTCATCTGGCTGTTTGCCGCCACCACCGGGGTAGGCATCACCGTTGTACCGCTGGTTATTGGACGCAAGATCACCTCCGTGTGCTTCTCCAGCCCAGTTCCCGTCAACGATATCTACGCCTTTTCCAGTGGCCTCTCTGTGGTCGGTGCCCTAGCCTACACCGCATACTATTGCCGAGCTGCCCTTGGATTCCTTCGCGAGAATTGGGGAACATACCTGCAGTCCCCGCGAGAACTGGGCTTACTCATTACTGACCTCGTGCTCGATGCGGCCCGACTTGTGTACATTGCGGTTGCTCTGGTGGTTGTGCTCCCGTCGCTCTTTGCGCTGTTGACCGAGTTGTACATTCTCATCCCGGCACATACCTTCCTCGGTGATGGACATGATCACGTGGTGCACGTTGTTCAGGATTGGACGCTGGGGGTGCTGTACGTGCAAATGGCGATCAAGCTTATCCTGTGGCACCCTCACTCTTGGCCTGCGGCCGTGCTCAATGGTATCTTCCGCGATGGCTGGTTCAAGCCCAATGTTCAACTGGCGACCCGCGCTTTGATTCTGCCGCTGGCGCTTTTCACCGCCGCGGCTGTGGCCGCGCCACTATCATTGGGTGGTGTCCTGCGATGGACCCTTTTCTATACGCGTATTGAGGCGCAGCCTGACATCTATCGCTATGCCTACCCAGCGACCTTGCTGGTCGTCCTGGCCGCGTGGTCTGTCCACCTGGCCCTGCGACGGGTGGCGATTTGGCGCATCAACATCCGCGACGATGTATATCTAATCGGCGAGCGGTTGCATAACTTTAGCGAGAAGCGGGCGCGGGACGTTGGAGTCTCGCGGCGGGTGATTACGGGCTAAGAAGGCAAGCGATGAATCATGAAGGTTCACACCGGCGTATATGAAGCGTCCGAGGACGGGTTCCAGGGCCGTTTTACTTCAGACTAGCCAACGCTTAGTTGCAGTGGGACGGGGTTCGACGACGATTAGACTCGCTTGCCCCTCCCCCTTTCTCCTGTACATTTAGAGTGCATGCATTTTGAATAGTCTTTGCATGGATCCCATAGTTCCACTGACGGGCTCTAGCCAGGTTATACTTTTTTTCATAGTCGAGAATACACATTCAATACCGTTTAATACCTGCTCTTGACCTCACAGATCCGCCATCTTTGGCTGGTCCACTAAACGCTGCTGCCTGAGGATTGTATTGGTATTACCGGTAATCTACCCCAACCCACCAATTTAGATGCCTGCCACGTGACCCACACCCAGCGGACTCGGCGATGCTGATTGGTTAGGCAACAGGATTCCCTAGGATCCTCTCGCAATGAGCGATGGTCTATCGGCCCTTCATCGCCGTCGACCAGGCACCCATTGAACTTTGGCTTTTCCCTCTCGTCTTTTTCGCGCAGGCCTTTCTCGCATCTTGACCTCTTCATGACTGCCAGAATGGACCTGTGAACCCCCTTTGCGACAACGACGCCCACGTTATTAATGTCATTGTCATAAGCATTCTCCCCCTCCTCGCGGCCCTTATCGAATCGCTATCGCCAAGATGTCCGTTATGCGCCATGGAGGAAGCGGTTTCCTCCAGCGCCGCCTCACAAAGCTGTATACCGATACGAAGACCTCCTGCGAAAGTGTGACGACAGCCTCCAAGGCTCTAGATGATCCGGAGCTGGTGGCGCTACATCAGAGCTTCCAGAAACAGCGGGATCGGTTGCTGTCGTGGGGTCTAGATTGGAGCGATGCGAGCGCCGCCCAGCCGAACGATATCGACGAGTCTTTGACCGCGGCCGGTTTTAGCGATGTCGTCGAGAGCGTCATGTCCACCATACAGGACTTGCTCAATGATGCCGAGCGTGTTCAGCACATTGATGCACCTATGCCGTCTAAAGAGCGCAAGGTTGATCTGCCCTCGAAGGATACTCTGGGGAGCCGGCCTCTCAAGACACAATGGACGGACGATGATATCAGTCGATCGAAGATCATATTGAGCGACTTGACCGCATGTATTGATACCCTATACGACTTATCCACCTCGCGCCGAACAATGGCGTCCAGCATGTCATCGAGCAAGCACATGGGCGCCCGACGAGCGAAAACCCACCCTCTTCCCTCCCATGATGCATCCTATGGTTCCTTCTCAGATTCCAAGGAGAGGATGCAGAGCCCGAAACAAATGTACGAACCTTTCACCTACTCTCCTACGACCCCGAAACACGATTCCTGCCACCCTCTCGTCATCGAACGATCCGCCCTGCAACTATACGGAGCGACCCACGATAACAGCCCTCCGCCATATGAGCCAATTGCAGCCTCATCAAACTCTCGTGTTGTCGGCCGTCTCAAGACCTCGGCATGCCCGTTGCTTTTGGGCTCCGTCAAGGATTCGCATGTCTCGGTGCTGGTCGAGTTTATGCCTATGATTGTGGACTCTCAGGCGAGCTCAAAGAGCTCACGACTGGAGAAACTGCAGAACTCACTCGACCAGTTGCTTCAGAATGCCAGAGTCGGCCACCTGGGTCTTCTAAGATTCCTGGGTTACTGTGTCGATGACCCTAATGCCCGCTACGCCTTCTTATATCAAATGCCTGTCGATTATTTCCCATTCCTCCAAAACCCTAGCGACCTTTTGAAAGAGCTCAAGCCAATTCCTCTGGTTGCACTACTTCCCTCAGCCGAAGACTATCGTGAGAAGCGGATGCCTAACCTGGAAACGCGTTTCCGGTTAGCCTATGACCTCATGATGTCTGTTTTGCACCTGAGAAGCCAAAATGCCGTGCATGGAAACATCAACAGCAGCAATATCATTTTCTTCCCTGGTCGAACCGATTCCAGTAACGACGAGCGTGGCCTTGCCCCAGACATGCGCCGTCCTTACTTGACTTCGCCAGCGCGCTTCTCTGGGGATGGGCCCACCCCCGAGCCTCTCCCTACAGCGATGTATCGGCATCCTGATGACAAGAGATCTGTTGAAGACGAAGCCGCTTGGGCTTACGACCTCTACTCGCTCGGTCTCGTCCTGTTGGAGATCGGTCTGTGGGCACCAATTGGCCGACTATGGAAGATGAAGTATGATCGCTCTTGGTTCAAGCACCGCGTTGAGGATCTCTACGTGAAGAAGCTCGGCTCAAAGTGCGGTACTGCATATCTCCAGGTCGTTCAGCTCTGCCTCGACGCTCCTAACTTCCATCTTTCGACCCAACCCATGACCGACCTCAACCTTCGTGTGCCCCAAATCTACCACTACCCCGTTCTCGACTTATCCGACCCTGATGGCACATTCTCTTTCTCGATGAACTTCCTCTATACCATTTGCAAGGTCCTCTGGTCATGCACCCGGATTGATATCTTCTCAGCACCCCCTGCAGAAGAGCTTGACGATTCCCTGCCCCTGGCACTTGTTCCATCCCCAGAACCCACACCGGCTGAAGAGAAGGCCAATCCATACAACCTTTCCCATGAACCGATCAACCTGGACAAGCAGTTGCCGACCACACCGAATGATCAATGGGGGATTCTACCCGAAGAGAGAACCCTGGATAAGCCAGCCAAGAAACGGACCGTCAAGCGTCTCCCCCACCTCGAGATACCCGATGAACATCTCCAAGAATGGAACTTCCAGATGATGCCTCGTCTAAGTCGCCTTCTACAGAAAATTCTTAAGGAGTCCGATGAGTCCTGCGGTGCCACTCTCATGATGACTGGCGAGTCTCCCGAGACTGCAAAAACCACAATCTGCGTGACCTGTGGTAGCGTCAAGAAAGTTCGATCGGCCTTGAAAAAGCACTTCCCCCTGGACCGCGATGACTGGGACCTGATCGTCATTCGCGGTGACATTGAGCGATCCAAAGTCCCCCGCAATAAGCGTCGCCGACCTGCCAAGACTCGCCCAAACGGATCGAATGAGACTCCTTTTCGTCAGCGTGAATTGAACCCGTGCTATCAGCAACGGCCTCTATGTGGCGCATCTATTGGGGCCTTTCAGAACGAAGAACACCTACCTCCCGTCTCTTATGGTGGCGCCGTGCTCGTTGATGGCCAACCCTATGGTCTGACCGTCCACCATATGCTTGAGGCGCCCAGCGATGACGAGGGTCATGGTGATGATGAGCCGGAAGCACCTTTACGCTCTTCGGGGAATTGGCCTCGTGACACGTCTCGAGACACGTCAAGTGTGAACAATCAAGACTTCATGTACTCGTGGCGCGAGGATGAACCCTCAGAAGTCAATCTGGACCTTGAGATCTCGGATCCAGAAGACGATGATGCATCATTCTCGCAGGGTCCCGATGGCGGACTCGATGAATATTGGTTGTCTGAAGATGAATCATCGGATGACGAGTCTATCGAGGGCGCTGATGCCGAGGACGACGACGATGATGCTGCATCGGTTGGTGATACTGCTGGTATCGAGCCGGGGGAAGAGCCGCGGCTGCTCGTCACGCAGCCAGCCATAGACGATGTCCACGAGGACTTTTTTCCGTCCCCCGAAGACCGTGACGATGAACATCTCGCTTCACACTCCTTGGCTACGTCCACGCCTCCTCGGGTGTGAGGCGATGGACGCGCAAGGGCATCAAGCACGAGATAGATTGGGCTCTCATCAAAGTCGATGAGAACCGCATGGATCCTCGCAACATCATCTTCGACTACACCACTTCCCTTCCGGGTCGCCCAGGTTTTGGACGGGGCCAACCGCAACCGATCTTTATCAACCAAGTTGCTCGTATGGAGGAATTAGGGGGCTTGTTCGTGCACTGCTGCGGTCGCACAAGCGGGTTGCAGAATGGGCAGATATCCAAGGCGATGACGTTGGTTAAGTTGCATGGCCGACACTCTTTTTCAACGAGCTTTTGTGTCAACGGGAACTTTGGAGGTAAGAGGCGCACTTCTGCAGATTCATATTGATGTCTATACGATCCTTAATTAGATACCCTGGTCTTTTTGATTTGTTATGATTCCCTCTCGTGTCCTGTCTCCCCATCTTCCTGTTAAGCTGGCCGATAAAAACCTCCCATAACCACGGCCATCGGATCCTAAGACCATCCCACCAAGACTGTATTGAGTAAACTTGAAAGCCTGCAAGAACAAAAGAAAAAGCTAACATCCCACTCCCCCTCAGCTCCCGGTGACTCCGGCGCATGGGTTTTCGATAGGTCCACTGGCCGTGTCTGCGGCCACGTCCTCGCCTGGTCCGCTCGCTCTAACACAACATACATCTCGCCGATGGAGGTCACCTTCGCAGACATTGCCCGCACCCTCAACGCCTCCCTTGTCTCTCTTCCCGGCGACCCCTCCCGCGCCATGGGCTATCCCAGCCTAACCTCTCCTCATCCGGGCGGATACGGCTACCAGACTCAACAGCTCCCGGCCGATTTCAATCGGCTAGCTGTTGGAGGTGTGCCTCCTGGTGGTCCGCCCGCTATTCCTCCGCACCCGCTCGCTCATCCTCATGCCCACCATCCTGGAGGCTTCATGCGTCCTTCACCTCCGCCTCCGCCTCCACCCCGTCCAGGATCCCAGGACTCTCATGTGTTTCGGGGGTGAGTCCGATTCCACCGTCGTTGTTGACCGGGCCAAGGAATATTGAGAGGCAGCTTGCCTAATCTATAATGGTTTGGGCCTTTTGAGGGCATTATTATCTTGTGTTGATGATTTTTTTGGTTTATGATACTTGATACTGTTCGGTTTGGGTTATTTCATAGAAGATGTGACATGATAAAGTTATGATTGGTTTTGGGGATACCCAGGGCGATGCTGAATTCTTGGGGTTAGTTTGATCGAATACGAATTGATTATTTACCATTAATGATATCTTCTTGACCGGGCTACGTAGTCTTTGGTGTGTCCATACTAACCATCCTGGTCTGTCGATTCTACTTCTCTCTCGTTGATTGGAGGCTTGCCAGCTCCGAGGCGAGTCCAGCGTTGGGGGCGGAAAATACAGAGAGCTTCAGCCGCAACGTCAACGTTGGCTTAGGAGCCGGCTTTAACCCTTTAAACGAGATTTAAGCAGGCACCTCGTAAGCACACCTCGTGTATATCCTCAATAACCTACAGCATCTGACTGAGACCGAGGATAGGGCACTGCTCGACCCGCTTTATCACCCTTCACTCCCAACTTCGTCCTCATGCTCGATGCCAAGCCCAGTACCCCTCGGTCTGCTTCATCCACAACGCATCGAAGGGCGGGTAAGCCCAAATCCCGGAAAGGATGTGTGACTTGCAAGTATGTCCTATTGCATCTACAATATCCCATCTATATCCCATGTCTAACCGGTGAATTTTCAGAATCCGCCATGTTAAATGCGATGAGGCAAAGCCGGAATGCAACCAGTGCATTCGTTCGGGTCGTAAATGCGATGGCTACACCGATTCGTCGCAGAGAGAGCTCCAGGAGCAAATCAAAAGGGATATTCCCCGCCAGACATGGCAGATCAACTCGGATCAACGTTTAGTGCTGGTCCCTGGATCTCGAGAAGAGCGCCAGTATGTACATGTTTTCTGCACACAGGCGACACATACATTATCGGGCTTCTTTCCGTCTGATTTCTGGACGAGGTTTCTTCCTCAGCTCAGTCATCGCTATCCGACGATTCGTCATGCTGTTTCGGCAGTTGGTGCGGTTTATGAGAAGCAGTTGCTTCCTGCGACTTCTGATTCTACCAATGTGGAGCAGTTTACTCTACAACAATATAACAAAGCTATCCAGAGCTTCCTCGGCCAGATGAGTGCCCCGCAGACGGTGGGGATTGACTTGGTTCTGGTTACATGCCTCTTATTCGTATGCCTTGAAACTCTCCGATCGAAAAACTCCAGGGCGTTGGATCATATTCAGAGCGGTGTTCAAATTCTTGCAGCCCGATTGAAGGAGAAGAAAATCACTATTAACAATGAGTTTGATCGGGAACTCTTAAACACATTCGGCCGGCTTAACATTCAGACATGTTTATTCGGACGTGGCATACAACCTCTCGATATCAACCCGGAAAAGTCTACGCTTGCGATGTCTGAGGAGGGTCTTACGTTCGACAACATCTCGCAGGCGCGGGAAGCGCTGACCAGCCTTCAATGCCGAGCGTTAGTTTTTATTCGATCGGTCGGGAGTAGAAGTGGAATTACCTATGACGATGTCTATGCGCAGCAAATCAAAGAGCAACAAGCTTTCGAAGCAGAACATTATACATGGCGCGCGGCATTTGATCGCCTCCGAAAGAGATCGAGCAAAACTACTGGCATCTCGGATCCACGGGCGCCATTGGCGCTACTCATTGACTATAATACGTCCTTGGTCTGGCTGCTCAATTGTATTTTCCAAGAAGAGTCGCATTTCGACAACTTTACTTCGCACTTTGAAGAAATTGTTCGTTTAGCGGAAAATATCCTCGAGCTCAGCCCGGAGACAGAATCGAAGCCCGATGCCGAGCAGTTCTCTCTTGACCCAGGGGTGCTAGCTCATATATACTGGACAGCCCATAAATGCCGAAATCCACTGATCCGGCGAAGAGCAATAAAGGCACTAGCTCGGTGCCCAACACGGCAGGGAATGTGGTTTCGACCGTTAATTGTGCAAGTGGCTTCTAAGATTGTGGAGACCGAAGAAGCCGCGCAATGTACTTTGCCCGTTGAAGAGAGGAAAGTCGCAGAAAAGGATCGTGTCTATGAGGCACTTATTTATCCAGATAATCACCAGAGACCGTGTCCGGTTGAATTCTGGTTTAAGCCAGATTCGGTGAATGGCGATTTTGAGAGCCGTCGGGTGGATGTGTCGTGGTGAAGGGGTTTAGAATTAGAGAATGTGGTTCTTAGCTTTGACTTCTTTCATAGACAGGTGTCTAGACACTTTCAAGTACAGACTAGTTTGAAAATCTATGAATCGAAACAAGTCTTGTGTGAATGGCATTAACACTAGGCATCAAGCATCGGGCCAACTAGATACCTGCTTCTGCAGAAGGACTTGACCGAAACACCAGGGGTTTGGCAGGATGTCTCCATACGCCTTAATGGACGCGCCCTACCCTGTGAGATCTGGTCTTCTATGCAATCTTGTCCTTCACAAAGCTATTTTTCTTAGATATATGGGAATGATACTTCGCAAGTTCCACTATAGTTCCGGTCTTTCTATTTTTGATCAATAGGCAACGATAAAAGCAAAATATGAGTACAGTATGTGGACATCTTTAATATGTCTCTGGCCCCCGGCCCACAGTCGAGTTTTACGAGCGGCCCAATCACAGAAGACTCCTTCATTATGAATGAGTGAGGCCCCCCCACTTTGTTGGTTGGGGCTCAGCTTGATTTGGCCCCAGAATAAACCTAGCGTGAATGCCACAAAACTCGCAGCCTGATTGATACGCGCCAGCCAATCAGAGGTGTTTACGGTTTATGAAGTCTGTTTTAGAAGCCTGCACTCTGTGATCTAGATCGAGTTTGTAGCCTGTAATATCCCCCAATTGTCTATCACATTGCTAATTATGGGGTTTTTGCTTAGCACTCCTCTGCTCAGCCTTGAATGATTACCTTGCAGGCTTAGGTATCAGGCCTTTCTTTGGCTTACGAGTGGATGAACCGTATTTTAGTTTATTTTGTCTTCAGCAAGATGCATAGGCTGGCAACTATAGAGTCTCTGTCTGGATGAGCGGGTATATATGCTATTAGGATTTCCCATAAAATGATCATTAGATTCTCCATTCACCTCACGGTCTCGAGTTTGCTACACCTTGACTTTTCAACTTACCATTCAAACAGTTGTCGACGTCCTCATCTCTTCTAGCTTCAATTCTACTGCTACGTTCACAACCTTCACTATGTCCAGCCAATTCGACCCCAACCTCTACATCGGTTGTAAAGCCTATAATGGCATAGACACGAGTTATGGTTATGTTCCTACGAAAGCCGCCGGTGTTGCATTTTGCGTGCTCTTTGGATTGTCAATGCTCGCTCACATTGTCCAATTTGTTTGGACCCGGACGTGGTGGTGTAGTGTATTTGCAGTAGGATGCTTTGGTATGATATTTTCCCTAACCCTTGTGAACCGTCAGGGTTACTGGACTAACAGAGCACAGTTGAACTATTAGGATGGGCTGGGCGTATGTGGAGTGCAGAATGCCCATATAACTCTACCGCCTTCATGATTCAGATATCAACTCTCATCATTGGTAAATGCAAACAATATCCTTCTGAAAGTTTGAGTGTATCAATTCTAACACCTTTTCCAACATAGCCCCTGTCTTTTTCACTGCCGGTATATACGTACTACTCGGTCGCTACATTCAAATTTTTGGCAAGGAGACCTCCTTCCTCACACCGAAGCTCTACCTCTGGATTTTCTGTACTTGCGACCTCATTTCGCTCGTCATCCAGGCCGCGGGTGGCGGAATAGCTAGCTCTCAATCCAACGATCCCCACGGAAACCCCGATCCAGGCACTCACACCATGGTCGCCGGTATCGTCTTCCAGCTGGTCTCGATCTCAGTCTTTGTGTACTGCACCATCGACTTCTTTCTACGCATCAAGCGCCTCGGACAACTTCAGTTGTTCACTCATGGTCCCCTAGCGGCACTTACGGGTGCGATGGCGCTGTCCGTCGTTTGCATTTACATTCGAAGTATCTATCGTACCGTTGAGTTGGCTCAAGGCTGGACTGGATACTTGATTACACATGAGTCTTATTTCATTGGTCTTGATGGTGTTATGATGGTGATTGCAGTTGGCGTATTCAATTTGTGCCACCCAGGGTGGCTTTTGCCTTCGAAGAGTGAGGTTGGTCTGCCTCAGTACCGCAAGACTTCCACCAACTCGGACGTTGAGATGATACGTCCGCAAGTTTAAAAGCGATCGTTAAGCTTGCGACTGTTTCAGAGTGAAGAGACACTCAATTAACTTCAAGCTGAATATCTTGGGTCTCTAACGTTGCATAGGTCCAAAAAGGGTACTTGCAACGGCTGCACGCAGGTGCCTGTGATCAATGTGGCGACATCTTGAATTGCAAATTGGTTTCATCTTAGTTTTACAATTAGACCAGCCACATGTTTTTTATTATCCAGTTACACTCCCAAAAGAGATTTTCCACCTTCAAAGTTCGTCATCAAATTACCTCAGCAGCGTGATAGTATGGTACTGTGGAGCAGATCAATGTTCGTCGTGCTACTCTGGAGAGTGCCGAGGACAGTACGCGGTCCTCCCACCATTACTTGAATCATCTAAACTTCAAAGTGGCAATAATTATCCCTGTTCATCATATTCAAATCAAGCTTACGGATGGAGTTTCATTGGCGGGGTCCTTCAATTGTCATGTTCGGTCCAACAGACTTAAGCTTCCTTTCACCTTGGGTATGACATCAACAGCCCCAACTTCTGAGTTCATGAAGAGAGTTCATAAACTGCTGCATTTTCTCGGGCCACGGAGCCGCTTGTATTATAAAAAGCTGGTTTGCTTGATTGATTAAAGATTATATTCCGTCTAGGATAATTTAAAGTCCTATTCGCAATTCTGGAAAGCCGAAGCTACAGACTCGGGCACTTTCAAGTTCAGATTTCTCTCTTTGATCCAGCAAATCAATCCCGTTCATCTTTATCCTACCATGGCTGAACAAGAAAGCTCCGATACAGCTGCCCAGGGGGCTCATGAAACTGCGACATGGGATCCAGCTGTCGGAAAAAGAGAGAATGGCACTACGCCTATTCCCACGCGACGGCAGGGGCAGACAGTGTCTCAAGTCCAAGCTCCGGAGTTCACTAAATTAGGAAACCCGGGTCCCCTGGGATTGCTTGCTTTCGCAATTACCACATTTGTTGTTGGTCTTCTCGAGTGTGGTGCAGGGTATGGCGACTCCCTGATGCATTCAGCATCTCGAATTCGATACTAATCTCTCTCTCCAGGCTTCCTCACTCCAACCCAAATGGCAGTGTTGGCCCTAACCAGGCCTCATTCGGGATTGTGGTGTTTATGGGCGGAACGGCTCAAATCCTCGCAGGCATTATGCAATTCCGTGTCGGCAACACTTTTGGTACGACGATTCACTGTGCCTATGGCGCGTTCTGGCTGAGCTATGGAATGTTCATGCTACCATACCTCGGCATTGAAGCTGCCTACCAAGGTGATAAGAGAGCTTATACCTTTGCCATTGGCATATACTTGATCATGTGGTCCTTCCTGACAGTATTGTTCTTCATTGCCGCACTACGGACTAACCTTGCGATCCTTGCTGTCTTTTTCTTCCTGATCCTTGCCTATCTCTTCCTGGGCTTGGCCAACTTTACTGCTACGGAGCATGCCACTGCAAGCGAGAATTTGAATAAAGCCGGTGGGGCTTTTGCAGTTGTCTGTGCGTTTTGTGCTTTTTATGCTGGCGCATCTGGCTTGATGCTGCCTGAAACTACCTGGGTGCGTTTCCCGCTGGGTGAGATCTCAAGGGTCTAGTTGTAATGGGGTATCGCTCGGGAGTCTGGGATGGATTTGAATTATTTACTCATTTGTCTTGTATGATTATCGGAACGTTTCTGTCCTTGCGCGAACGGCAAATTATAGCAACGAGTCTAGGCTACTGAGTATGCGTCAACTCATATCTTGTTATTTTGAAGACATTTTCCCAGAATAGTAAGAGTATCTTTGAACCGTGATTGGCCAACTGCGGCTACCAGTTCGGGTAGAGGCTAGTTTGTAAGGTCAAATTTCACCCGATCGACGATTTTCATATGTAGCTGAATTTTTACGTGGAGTAGTCTATTCTCGACGATCTAACTACCCGCCTGTGGCTCTATGGGTTTGAGTAGAGCAGACAGATTACACGGATCGCGCGGTCCTTCACTCATGCACAGGTTTATTCAATAAGAACAAGTCTCCTCATATAATATTTATTAAGACAGTTATTCGAGTATGATAGAGCTTTAGCTCTCGTATCCCCAAGCTTCTATTATGATGGTATCGTTAAAAGTGACAAAAAGCAGTACGCGCAGTTCATGACTATCGTGATGGTTCGTGGCGGTTGGTAGTTTCTGACACGAGATAGTGTCAATAAATCACAATCATGTAGACTCGATAACAAGCGAAAGACACCTACCACTTTCTGATCCTCTTGGGTATACCTTGGCCGGCGTATGGGCCCTGCGGGAAATTGTACTCGTCGTCGAGGTCTTCCTTCGCAGCCATAAGGGGACCCCATTTTTTCTGGATATTGTCCATATGCTTCTTCAATCGCGAAATGACAGTGTCACTATGCGACTTGCTGGTGACACTCATCTCCGTAATAGAGGAGGAGGATGATTTGCTCATTGTCAAAGGTCTTGAGGAAAAAAAGGTGTTGACAAGGTTGGACGGAACAGGAGATTGAATAATGTTTTGACAGCGTAGGTAGTATTGGAGATTTATATAGATCCGAACTATAAGCTGGCAAGCTCTAATTTATAAGTAAGAGAAAAAAAAATTACTCTCCAACTTTCAAGGTACGTGAGTCAAGGCCTACGGCGAACTCTCGGAAGGCGCCGAGTCTTAGCCGAGTTGTGCCGATGTATCGCCGACTCAAACTCTTCCGAACAGATGCTACTTCTGCCCAGTGCTCTTGCGAATTTGAGACAAAGGCTAAAACTTTTGCCGCAATTGATAAGTTTTGACCCCAATAGCCCCTGAATACTTGTGGAATGTTCCTGAAAATCCCGTAGTTGATTGCTAGTCATTTAGAATCCTTCTCTAGCGAGTCGTCGGCTTGCTTTTGATGTTGTGGCCAGGTGGAGGTAGTTAGTTCATTGTTGTGGACAAGTGGAGAAAGGTTTCCCTAGCCCACTACAGCATGTACTAATTCTTAGAACTGGTTGAGGTTCATGGTCTATCTAATCCATGATCCACGGGTTCCTCCTTATCTTTCTTCCATTCATGTGGCTATAGGGTAAAATTCTATCCCGTTTGTCAATCAATCAATATTCAAGTTAATCAATATTGTTTATCCCTTGGTCTCCCTGTTCAAAATATACAGGTCCTCAATCGAGAAATCGCCGAACCAATACATTAAATCGAGTATTGTGAGAAAGCACCTTTCCAGGATTCAGATCTCTCAAATAGGTAGATGCAACTTGACTCCACGCATGATATGCAAGCTGATCGGGGTATATTCCACCTTCGTTTTCATTAACTGTGTGCTGAAACTCCTGCGCCTCGCTTTGCGTAATCGGCTCGTGCATGTATCGAATGTGCTTCCTTGTCCAGGTTGGCCAGTAAAAGACTGAAGGCGAAATTGTGCAAATCTCATCGCGGTACATGAGAGACAGCTCCTTGGGTAGAATGACCGAGTGGTAGTTCCACTCGTTGGTGGCAAACGTGCCGTAGCTCTTGCGCCAACGTTGGATGAAGGAAGAGCCTGGGCGGCCCACAATGATCGCGTTGCATAGCCCATGCCTGTCTCCGCCTTCATGGCCAAGAATGAGGTCTTTTTCACAGCCTAGTAAATGATCGAACGATCGAAGAGCGATAACGTCCATGTCAAGGTATATCCCTCCTTCCTTAGCAATAACATCTAGGCGGAGCAGATCTGCGACATGAGAAATCTGCCATTTGTCTTTGATTTGCTGACCATATTCTGTTTCTAGGTCGTGTTGCACAAGAGTCACATTGTCACGCAACTTTATAAACCACTCGTTCTGACCATTGAGGTCGGTGTAATGGAGATTGACCCGATCTGGTTGTAGAGATATCAAGGCTGATCGTATGGTCAAATAGTTGATAAAATCTAGCTCAGTATTGTTGAGCCATATGACGTGGACAACATTAGGAACCGGGTCTGTCGAGTGGATATTGCTACGGGAGCATGTTTCCTCGATGTCGGTCGGCTTAAAATCGAAGCTTTCGACTCGCTTCTCGCCAGAGAAATCGAAACGCTGCCCAATATCGCCAAGAAGAGGGAAAAGAAGATACAGCAGAGCAACCAGGGGAATTATCAGAATTGCTGCATTGGCAAAGACACGTATTCGAGGCATCATAAGAGAGAAGAAACTAACACTCATGCTCAGCAACAGCAAGTTTATTTTATTTACCCTTCGCAGGTATATATGAGTGCCATGGATCGCGCTGCGGGAGATGGATCGCGCTGATCTCCCGCAGATCCTGTCATATTGGAGCAACGAAAGTCGCGCAAAACACCACGTGCAAACTACTCAAGGTTTTAATTGAGCAGCCTACGGCCTTGTAAAAGGGCTATGTATCAAAAGTTTGGCATAGAAACACTTAAATCAGGATTTAGGACAAGGTCGGGAAGCTGAAAAGAGGTGTTCCTGTTTGGTGTCTTCCACGGAGCTAGCACAGTCTTTTGTCCTGTGCGGTAGAAAAAAAAACACTCTACTGGGTTCAAAATAACTGTCGTATATTCGCTCTTCACTCGTTTCTAAACTAGACATAAAAGTGTCTCATGTGGGTCTTTTAGGGTCAACCTCCGTGAACTACCAACCATTGACGACGAAAGGCCGCCAGCATTTCCTCGCTGCCTGGCTAAGTACCGTTCGTGGTAGGGCTAGTATTCTAGTAATCGATATTTTATATTTTTACCGTAGTGACTTTCTCATTTATAGGTGACCAATACTAATTGCAACATACTTCCCTGAGAGGCTGATTGATGTGAGCATTGTTTTCTGCCTGATCGCCGGTGGGTGGGAATCAACGGACGGACTACTGAAATGATCGTGCACCTCACCCTTGCAACGACAGACACATCATGGCAGCCCTACAGGGCTGAGATGGTCAAATGGCTTCTGACATTTTCGTGAGGGATACTCTTGAATTTCGATGTTCCTGGACGATCATTGGCGGGCTATATAAGGCTATGAGTATGTGACACAGGTAACATCACCTCTCCAATATGGGACCCCTGTGCCTCCAATCCAACCAAATTCAAGATATACGCGCTCTGGTCTGACCTTTGACCATCCTCTATATTTCTCGCATCTGTGTGAAAGTTCGTAGTATTGGGATCGCCGTAGTATAAACTGCTCGCCATGGTTACTCTTCATCTCTCAGTTTCTGAGCACCACAGCCCTCCAGAATTTCGCCTCGCTTTTCGCCTCGCTTTTCGAGTCGTGCTTGACTCGTCTTAATTCATACGCCGATCAATCTATCAATCACTATGGGTCTCGTGAAATTCCTTCTCAAAGTCATACTCATCCCCATCGTCCTCGTCCTCGTGGCTGCCGTCGTCATTGTCTTGCTCGTTAAGATGCGTCGTGAAAAGAAAGAGAAGCAAAGAGAACTTCAGAATAATGCCTTTCAACCCCCACCAATACAACAATGAAGCTATCCCGAGCCCATTCAAAAGCCAGAGGCTGTGATGTATCCAAAGGGTACTCTAGGGCAGATAGAGCAAGGCATTGCACGCTTCTAATATGGAGGACAAGTATGAGAACAGGATTTCTTATTGTGTTTATTGTGATCAACCGATTACTGACTCCTCTCTCTTCAAAGTTATGTTTCTGTGTCACATATAGGGATTCCTTGAGTGTGGATTTTACCGGAAGATGCCTGGGTCTGATAGTCAATTTGGCGCCCCGAGGATGACTTATTATCCAACTCCATTTGTTTTCATCTAAGATACTTCTTTTGTAAGATAATGTAAGCGCCACTAGTCTATTGTATCTTCAACACCTAACCCCTTACCAACCCGGTCTCGAAATCACAACCCCCAATGTTTCATCAAGCCCTTCCACACAAGGAGACTTTGACACTGCAGGGTCGAATTTAGATTACCCTATCACTTACTCGCCCGACATTGTGGCACCGCTAATTGGCTTCAGGGGGAAATATTGTTGCCTGCTGCCCTGCGAGAGTGACATGATACTTACATTCTCAAACGTGCGTTGCTGACTTTGCGTGAAAATTGGTGATTTCGGTATTCTTAGAGCAACTCATGCAACCTATGATCATGAGCAGGCCGGAACAGTAGGATACTCTTTCCAACATACATTTTCGGCTGCCATTTATTCGACCCTGCTTGAAGTGGTATCTTAACTTAGACCCACTCCACCGTAGGGCTGAAGGGCGATCGCTTCTGTGAACGAGCAACCATTTTAGCGTCTGGTGATGAAATGAGTTAGTTGCATGTGATTTCGTCATAACTATGGCGAGAAAATTAATGGCACATCGGATGGTATCAAACGATACTAGCGTTCGGTTCTTCAAGACTCATGGTTTACGCTTCGACAAAAAAGGGTTGCGTGGCTATTAAACTAGCAGAATTAAGAGCCAAGTCAAGTGCGTCTATGCGGTACTCTAGACTCTTTTTGGCTGAAGATATCAGGTCCCAAAATTCCTACAATCTAAAACTCTGTTTGGTAGTAACACTTATCCAACTACACCCGCCGAACTGATTCCAGGAGGCCTCCCAGGGACACTGACATGGATGCTTTTACACTAGCCAACCTACAACTACTTCCTATTCTTAGTCTATAAGCAAGTTATACCCTATAGTACAAGATAGTAACGAGAGATCAATTGAACATACAAACTCGTCGTTCACAAATGACGTTTCCCAGCATCCTTCTTACCCACCATCCAAATTGGCCCCCAAACAGCATCTTTGGCACTTAGCGCCGACTCATAATGGGTCGAGCGACACTATTCCCTAAAAAGCGCCATACAGCGCCCCGAGCCCCATCCAAGATTATTGCCCGTCGCAAGGCGCAGCATGCTCAACCTCCACCTCCCTCCGCAAGGGAGTCTTGAAATAAAGAAGCACACTGTCGCAGATAGGACTGTACTCTTTCCATTATCGACTGTGTACGAAACACCTACAACATAGATCAGCCTCCTATTTACAAGCTCGAAACAACCAAAATAGACAACCGCATCCTCCCATGACCCAACCACGCAACCACCACAAAAATGTTCACTTGGCTCAAAAGCTTCCTCACAGGCCAAACATCCACAAACTGGCGACGCAAACGCGCAAACCGCGCATACCACAAGCGAGTACGCGCACGCGAGCGCGAGCTCCGCCGGACGTGGAACCACGAGGAAGTTGCCAATCGATACTTTTATTGGGCGCCGTATAGTAGTGAGAGGCCGTCTAAAGACGCGATTAAGGAGTTTCGGAGGAAGAAGGGGAGGTAGGAGGTTGGGACGTTGGAGGTATGGAGTTGAGGATTGGGGAGGGTGGGAGGGGTGTTGATAGTGATACCTTGTTGCTGATGATGCCAGGGTATAGTTAAGGAGTGAGTCTGTCTGGGGTATACGTCAGGCTGCGAGTGTTAGGATATAGTTTTTGGGGTTTGGTCTTTGGGTGATGCGAGGATATTGCAGCGGGGCCTAACAGGCATGGGACATTAATATGCGCGAACAACGGGCTACACAGACGGAAAGGAGCAAGGAAAGATTCGAATCAAAGACCCAATTAGTGTATTTATGGGACAAAACATCTCAATATAATAATTAACCAGATACAAAAACAAACAAGTCATGATGCCAAGGAAACAAACACCATGCACATACAAAACCAACACAGTAAGAGAAGAAAAAAATTACATCAAGTCATGATTTATCTATAATTTCCCACAATCACATTCAAACACACTCACTGAACCCACAATCCATGTATAAGGGTTCACAACCACTCTTAAGCAGAAGCAAGATACTTCAGCACGCTCTCACGCTCCTCAACAGGCAACATGGAAAGGACCTGCTGCACACCACGCAGACCGCCGTCCTTGTTACCAATCAGCAGGGCGGCGACCTCGGAGGCAACGCCCTCAGTACGCAGGGACTCAACCTTGGCCTGGACAGCCTTCTTGTTCTCCTCGTACCACATGGCAACCTTGCGGTCATCGTGCTCAAGCTCCTCATCGAGCATGCCAGTCCAGGCATGCAGGGTGCGCAGGTGCGCGGCGCGAGGGGACTCAGCCGAGGGCAGGGCAGTCTCGGCAGCGGTAGCGGTAGACGAGGGGATGGTGCCAGTGCGGGAAGAGGGGGTGGCGGAGGCGGCGACCATGCGCTTGACGATGAGCTCCTCGCTCAAACGGCGGCGCAGACGCCAGTAGAAGAAGCGACGGGCGTTCTGCCAGCGCAGCGGGGAGCGAATCGTGTTCTTGGCCTGCATGCGGCCGGCACGATCGTGCAGGTCGGCGAATTGCAGGGCGATCTGGAGGTACACGGGGAGGAGCTGCTCCTCGCGCTCGGCCATCTTCGCCTTGATGGCGGACAGCTGTTCCTTGGACAGCGAGGTGTCCTCGAGCGAGCGGCGCAGCTCACCGTAGGTGGCATCCAGTCGGGCCATGGTGTCCAGCTGCTTGTCGCGGCGGTACTTGATGTTGACGATACCCTCGGGCTCGAGGACACCACCACGGGCGTCCTCGTCGGCGTACATCTCCATCTGGTCGGGGTTGATGGTCGGGTCGATGACGACCCAAGATCCACCACGGAGCTCGCCGAAGGGCGGGATGTACACGAAGATGGGCTGCTCGTACTTGACGAGGGCATCGACAATGTACGAGCCGTACTTGAGGACCTCGTTGTACATGTCGCGCTGACCACCAGAGAAACCACGCCAGTTGGCCAGGATCATGACGGGCAGCTGCTCACCATGGTTGAAGTCGCGCAGAGCCTGAGCGGTCTTGTACGCCGAGTTGGGGTACCAGACACCACCAGCCTCCTGGGAGATCATCTCCATGGAGTCGGGGTTGGCAGGGTCAGCGGGAGTGACGTTCTCGACAGCGCGAGTCTCAACGGCGATAACACCCATAGGGATACCACCGAGGCGAGCACGACCAACGACGACAGTACGGGCCCAGCCGCCAAGAGCCTCCTCGAAGGAGTCCTTGTCGAACAGACCAGGCAGGAAGCCCTCCTCATCCTGCTTACCGGCAATCAGCCAGCGCGGGTCGTAGGCCTGCTTGGCGGGAGGGAAGTAGGCGACATCGCGGTCCCAGTCGTCAGACCAGGGGCGGATGGGGATGGGAGAACCCTTCTTGTCAGGGACGAAGCTCATCCACTGAACGATCTTCTCAACACCCTCAAAGTCGTCGTTGGCGGTCATGTGCGAGACACCGTTCTTGTACATGATCTGGGTACCACCCAGCTGCAGGTTAGAGGTGTACACCTCACGACCGAGCAGCTTGTTAATGGCAGGGGCACCAGTCAGGATGATGGGCTGACCCTCAACCTGGATGGCACGCTGACCAAGGCGGACTAGGTAGGCACCGATACCAACGGAGCGGCAAGTGACCAGGGTAATGGTGAAGATGTCCTCGTAAGCCTTGGAAGTGGCACCGGCAATGAGACCAGAGCCCTTCAGACACTCGACACCAAGACCGTCCTTGGCACCAATGACAGTGGTGATCTTGTGACGCTCCTCACCCTCATCATGGATCAGCTCGGTGATGACCTCCTTCTTCTTGCCGGCATCGAAGCGCTTCTTGACCTCGGGGGTGAGGTACAAGTACTTGAAGCCAGCCTCGGGCTTCGCAGCGTCGTTCCAAGCAACGGAGAAGTAGGGGATCAGCTCGTCGGCCATGCCGATGCGAGCACCGGAGTTGGCAGACAGGTAGATGCGAGGAATACCCAGCATGCGAGCGAGCTCAGTACACTTGTGGAAGAACTTGTCTTCCTGAGGACCGAACGAACCAATCTGGAAGGTGATGTCGTTGGCGACAATGATGAAGCGACGGCCGCGGGGGTACTCGGGAGTGCGGGCAGTGACGATCCAACCGACCATGCCGTGGTTGTTGGTACCAGGCTCGCGGGAAACTTCAACCAGGTTGTCGGTGTCATCCAGGACCAGCTCGCTGTAGTCGATGCACTCGCCTGTAGGCGGGCGCTGCGAAGCAAGCGAGGGGATGGTCCGGACAGCCTTGGTCCAGCTGTTCTGGAAGGCCTGGCGGAACAGCTCGGGGAAGTCGTACACATACTGAGTTCCCATAATGTGAGCCTTGTAACGCTTAGGCTGCAGCCACTCCTTGGTCGGGTAGGGAGTGGAGACAGGGCGCATGTGCATGGAGCCAAGCTTGTTGGTGCCACCAATGCTCTGGAAGATCCACTCGCCCTTCTCGGACTTGCGCTCAATGTACAGCTCGACCTGGATGATGAATCCGTAGGTGTTGCTGATGATGACACGCAGGGGGTAGGGCAAGCCGGTGGTGGGATCGGTGCACAGAATGCGAATCTCAGCACCAGTGACACGCAGGCGCCACAGACGGCGGCCGAAGCGGTCCAGGAAGCCGGCGAGAGCCTGCTCGACATCGATGGGCTGCAGGTTGAAAACGGGGGAGAAGTTGATGAAGATGTGGTTAAGATCAGAGTTGTTGTTGCCAATGATCTCAAGAGCATCGAGAATGTCGTTCATCAGGCGATCAGCTTCAGAGATGAGGTACTCCGCAGTGGGAATATCATCGCGGAGACGGCCGGGACGCACGACGGCACGCACGAAGTAGCGCTTATCAACAGCCTTGTCGTTCTCAGGGCCCTTGCCAATAGCCTCATAGACGTGGATGTTACGGTTCTCGGTGAAGACGGGCTTGATCTTGAACTTGGACAGACGGCCCAGCTCCAGCTGGAAGGCAAGGGCAGGCTCGCTGTGACGGATACTCTCATCCTCCTCGTAGGCAGGGCCACGGAAGGTGAAGTAGCCGGGGTAGACACCGTTTTTGCCACAGATGAAGGTGACACGACGAACGCGGCGGGCCAGGAGCTCATCCTTGGCATCAGCCAGCAGCTTCTGCATCTGGCTCACGATCTGAGAGTCATCCTGGTCCTCAATATCGCGGATAGCAATGTTGAGAACACCGGTGAGTTCGTCACTCTCGGTGGGCTTGACAGTGGGGCGGCGCTTGCCCTCCAGGTTGGCGATCAGGCCGTTGTCACCAGGACGCTTAGTCTTGGAGCCGGCACGGGGGAAGGCGTCCAAAGCCTTGGACAGGAACTCCTCGGCATCCTCGAGGTACTGGATGGGAACAATGACACCCTTGCGAATAGGGTCGCTGGACGGGTCGTTGACCAGGTAGGACATGTCGCTAATAGAGTTGATCCGCTTGAAGGGGTTGTTGGCCTCGGCCGTGGGGGTGCTGGGAGTGGAGGCTTGAGTAGAGGAGACAGAGCCAAACTCAGGCTGGCCGAGCTTGCCAATGGTGAAGTCCCAAGACAGAATGGGAGACTCGGCGCCAGCAGTGTAGTCAATGCCCTTCAGGGTGTAGGCACGGTAGGCACGGCGGACGTAGACCTCGAGAGCGGCGAGGGTAACCCAGGGGTCAGAGTGGATGAAGAAGCGAGGCAGGACATCGAAGACGGTGTACTTGGAGTCAACAACCTCCTTGAGGACACCAAAGTCGGGCTCACGGTGCTCCCAGCCAGTCTCACCGTAGCGGGACTCGACGACCGAGGAGCGAAGAATGTGCTCCATCTGGGACAGGCGCTCCTCCAGAGAAGGCAGAGCGCACTGGATGAGAACCTCACGGGCCTTAAGAGTAACCTTGGCGGCAGGGCGAGCCTCCAGCTCAGTCAGCTTCTTGAGGATGGTCTTGAAGTGCTTGCCGACGTTCTCAACGTTGGGCTGGTTGGGGCGGTACATGTCCAGGATGGCGAGGACCAGGTTATTCTTGGAGCCAATGCGGCTGTGAGAGAGGACGGTATGGATAACGGGGACGATGTCCTCCTTGTTCTCCTCACGGAGCTTCAGGATCACATCCTCATCACGCTTGGTACCAGTGCTGAACAGCTTCTCGATCTCGTAGTACTGCTCGAGCAGGCCAATGAACACATTGTACTCGTTGATCTTCAGGCCATCCAAGTACTTGTTGATGACCTGGACCAGAGGAAGGAGAGTGGTCTTGAGGATATCAGCATCGGCAGGGTTGACGTTCTCCTCGATGAAGCGAACGATGGTCTTCTGGAGCTGCTTGGCGGGAAACTCGGCTTTGCGGGCCTTGGCCTTGTCAACGATGGTCTGCAGCTGGGTATCGAGCTTCTGGGGCATGCGAGAGTGCAGAGCCGAGGACTGAGCATTCCACTCGCCGTAGGGCAGCTCGGGGTTGCGCAGAACCTCAACCAGTTCCTTCAGGGTCGCGGCCAAGATAACCTGGTTGTCGAAACCGCGGAGAATGTTCTCCAGAATGGTGTGGAGGAGG